TTGCGTCTGGCCCCGCCAACTGGGCGGTGCATCAACATAGACACGCGACACACCGTCCCACCAGATTCGTATGCCCCCGGCAAAGTCCACGGTCAGGAACGTGGAGCTGGCGCGTCGTATCAGCACCTCGCCAGCGCCCAGCATCTTAGGCAACTTCGCAATTGGCTTATCGTTGATGATCGTTGTTAGGCCCTGATCCAACTTGATGGTGGCTGGTGTGCCATCGCGTTGCAGAAAACGAATGGTTACAGACTTGGTGCAAGAAGGATCATCGGGCGCCGCATAGTTGAGTGCCTCCGATATGGCACCGGAACAGGCAATGTTCTCCGCCTCCAACGACATGTTCGCTGTCTTTAGCAAATAGTAGGAGCACTTGCCCATAAAATCGTAACGCTTGCCATCGAAAGTCTGGTAATGAGGATCACCAATGGCACCGCAACGTGCACCACACTTGTCTTCTGTGCAATTCCATTGGCCGTTCTTGCAGGTGCAAGTATTGCAGTTCTTCTTGACTGTTGCCTCGGGCTTGAATTCACGTCCACGCAAGGTGCAGGGACACAGCTCTCGAGTGATGCACGCATCCTTGTACTGAACCGTGCCTTCAGGACAGAAACAGCCCTCGTTGCATTTGCCTTTTGTAGGTGCAGCGGCTGTCAGACCTGATTCACAGGTTGGCTCCACATCGGGTCCACAAGCTTGATAAACACGTCCAAAGCCGCAGCTGATGGCTATGAGAGCATTTCGTAAAGATAAGTAAATGTGATCTGAAATATTCTAGCTCTTTACTCACGGCATATTTCCAGATTGCGCCAGCCGTGCTCCAATTGAATGCCCTTGAACATGCACTCCTTGGCCAGCATGGCAATGGCATCGCAATTGCAACTTTCGGGCTTCTCACGATTGGCACAGTTGCAATAGTCGGCGATGCAGGTGCGTATGAGTGCATCATAGTTGAAGGGCTTGATGCAGTCGCTTAGCTTTTCGTTGGCCAGCAGACGCTCACATACGCTGACTGCCTTCTGGAGTTTGCTCTGTTCACAGGATTCAATGCCAAATTCCATCTCGGCACTGTTCTCCACGCGGCACATTTCACTGTGATCATCCACACGCCATGTATCGGCGAATGCCTTCACTGTTTCCAATTTCTTGCCAGTTCGAGACATCAGATCGTTGCGGTGATCACCGTCCAGAGAGCCACATAGACCACCTACTTTGCCCCACATGGCAGGGCCTGCATGCACTGCCACATACTGTTGATGATCCCAGTCCAACTTAAGACCAATTGATTCCAAATCAATTTGCACATGCTGCGCCACTGGCATCACCTTCATGCCCATTACCTGAACGGGTATTGGTAACTGTTTGTTGGGCGTGGACAAACGTATTGTGCCATCTATAAAGTAAGTGAAAATCATTTTCATTCTGACTTAATATATATATTAATACTCACTCAAGTTTTCCAGGGTATAAAGCACCGATTGCCATTGAATCTTCAGTGTATGCGCACAGCCGTAGCCAGAACCATAAGGACACGCTTTCAGTGTTACATCAAATGTGCCAGACACTTGATCCAAGGTCAATGTATGTGAGCAAGACAAAGGTGCCCTAAACATAGAAGGAACGTTTATTTTCAAATACTTTAGCGCCAATAAGATCGGAGTTGATTAATTGATAAGCATCTCAGCTATCGCAGTATACTCAATCGCTATCGATATTTGATTAACAGCAAGTATTCATCGTTGCCAATTGGTTAGCCATTTTAAAACTATCAAAATGTACTCAAGTTATCGATAAGTACGTACTTGAAAACCAAACCGTCGAACGTTTTCATATTGATGCCACCCCAGGTGGTGCACATTGCTGGCCTGGGCGATTTATCGATGACCACATCCACCTCGCTACTCATATACAAGGAGTAACTGCTGAGAGTTGACACTGTTTCCTCCGATGACCACCACTCCTGCAGAGTATACGAAAGTTAAAGTGCAGTACGTTGATTTGTAAGCTCAACTTACACTTCGATGTTCCAGATCCTTATACTTAGCCAGCAGCGCCAACAGAATCTCACGTTGGCTTCTCAGCTCGGACGTAATCTCCCCGCTAAAGGCGCCATGATAGGTGCGACCCGGCTGTTGCATATGAGTGACCTGCACGCTGCCCGATCTGATAGTATATCCTTTAGCTGCGCATTTTAAATAATTTACTAAAACTCTTTTTAGTTATAATTGAAGAGAAACTTACGAAAAATGCATTTTGGCAATGGCGCAGGCAAATAGACACCCTGTTGATAGCTGCACTTATACTCCATGTCCAGGCGTCCTTGCACCTTAAGACCCTTCACCTGGGGACAGCTAAAAGTGCAACGTGCCTCCTCCGTATCGTAGGCACACTTGTAGTTGCCATTGAAGTGTGTGTTGGTTACATTGCAGCTTGAAATGCCTATTATAAAAGTTTTGAATATATAAAGAAGTCATTCAAGGATGTTCAAAAAAATACTTACTGTATTGGCAAAAGGCGCCGCGATGCATCTTGGAGCACTGACAGATATTGAAGCTGATGCATTGACCGCCGTTCTCACAGGCCGGCGAGCAGGTAGCTAAAGATAAAAAGAAAGTTAGCTTACATAACATACCCAGCATATGCTGTCCACTTACGTCCACAATCTGGCATCTTGGCAAGCCCAGTTTTGGAATGCACCCATTGACCGTTGCGGCATTCGATGTTGGCGATGCCGCTGCCATCTGGGAACTGAAAGCCTCGCATGCATTGAGCATTACAAAAGCTAACAGAAAATTGCATATTCAATATATAAATATATATAATAGTTGATATAGTCCGCTAAACTTACTTATTCTTGCAGGAGACCTTGGAATTCTTGGGCACTGGCGGCTTGGCTGCGCACACGGACTTTTTGTGCTGGCACAGCGGGCCCGAATAGTTCTCCGGGCACTGACATATGCCCGCTTGCAGACAAATGCCATTGTTCTCGCATGGTGGCAAGCACACGGCCTGACAAGGAGGCACTTTACTGAACTCCGAGTTGCGTATTATCCAGCCATCGTTGCTGCAAAACAGTTCCAGGGATTTGGTGTCCTGGGAAAATGTATAACCATCCGGGCAATACACTTGACATCGACCACTCCCACTGCACTGGGACAGCACATTTTGTGGCAGTGTAAGCGAGGCGCACTTGCCATACGCGCCCAACTGTTGAGCAGCGTTGCCATAAAAGTTGCCCTTCACTCTGGGGAATTACATGATATATAGGATATAAACTAGATATCATCTGAAATACTTTACCCTTTGACCACGCCAAATAAGCCCAGCGCATTGTTCATGAAATTTGAGCTAAATTAAGAAAGTTCTAACTCTATATACATATTGCAAATTTAGTCTTAGCACTCACCTCGCGGTTTTTACGCCGCCCATTAGAGTACCATGATTACCACCATAGCCACCGGCCGCAGCTTGACCATCATTGTAGCTGTAGCTATAGCGCGCACTAAAGGATAACTATTTTATAACAATATATATTTCTTTTGCAATTTGTCATATCTCGCACCTCACGGCTGGCGCCGAACGAAGCCCAAAATTGAAATGTCGTTCCTTGCGTTCCTTATTATCAACATCCGGTGCCAACTGAGCCAGGGGGCTATCAAGTAGCGAATATTGTGCCAAGTGGCATTCAATTAGATAAATATATATTCAAATGCGAAATAGTGTTAAATAATTTTATCTTAGAAACAACTGCGTAGCAAAAACGGAAGTCGATTGAAATTTGAAAAAAACTCATTTTAATGATTGTTATATGTGATATCATATATATAGTGTATTTTATACATATACATTTTAAGGACATTTCCCTTTTTGGTTTTATATGTTTTCTAGGCCAATTCTTCTCATTAAGGCCATTTATTTCAAGTAATTTCAAGCCTGACATGGCAGCTTACAGACTTCATGTAACTTCACTCACTCTATATCTTGATCATCATCATCAGACATGATTATATCACCTTCTTCGGCACACACATGGCTGAGAATTAGCAGCCATGCTAAGAAGTACATGAATTTGTTTGCCATTTTATGGCAGGCTCAAATATCCTTTTGTTTGTATTGCATATATCACTGGTAATCCGTATTATCCTTGATACTGAAGTATTCAGTTATCCTGGGAATCCTTGCCGATGCACTTCACAGTTTAACACTTCAATATTGTTTTCACTTTAACACATATTCACAAATAAAATCCGTTAGTCGGGGCGACCGCGCGAACGCAACTAATTTAGCTGCCGATCCCCAGCGCCTTTTATAGCCCACAAACTAAAGCCAAGCGCCATTTTGTTTTGGATTCTAATCAGAGTTTTTGTGCTTCCTAAAGTCAACGGCGAATATGCTGATTTTTATGTAGTTCGCATTTCAAATTCACTTTTTTCTCGCGTTATCGTCTTTAAATGTGCCAAGTTGAAGCTGGGAGTGCAATTCAGCAACTTGGAAGCGATAATACGGTTTCCCACACACAAAGATATTATGAAACTGACCTAAAGAATATGCCAAGGCTAAGTTTATAAATAAATTACATAAGCGACACGCAAATCGGAATTTACGTCGCCATTCAGCCTAATCTGTATATAAAACATGAATGAATTGAGTACTGAGCGTGCATTTTGCTTGCAATGACGTTTTCAAGTTAAATATATAATCAAACTAGGTAGCGCGGTCAATGTTCTTGTAACGGTTAATAGTGTCAATTGGCTATCAATTACAGCACCGCTTATCGATTTCAATCGATAGTTCTGCTACAAAGTGCTGCCCATAAAGATGAGAAGCGATGAGGAGCACAGGCGCCATGATTTGAATCTATCAATTAAAATTCAAAAATATGTATACATCACTATTTCCATTTTATTGATATTTATTTCCTTAGCAACTAATGTATCCAATTTGTAGCGCAATAAAAATTTATCACAGGAAATTGCAATCATCAAAACGCTATTTGCTTGGACAACGATTTGCTCAGTTTTAGAGGCAAAATTTTGGCGACGGGATGTTGATAAAACAAAATTTCCAAAATTAAGATAAATATAACTATATTATATACATATATTAAAAACATCTGTTTGCTACTGCTGTTTTGTATAGGGTTCAATATCTCGCTGCTGACGCATTGCCTCGGTTTCAGCGCCCACAGCGCAGGCTAGCAGAGAGTTAACCGTTTGCTCCTCGCCCGCTTTATAGACATAGCCATTTGCTTTGTCAATGTGGTTGCGAAGCCGGAGCATGCTGTCCGTGCTGAAAGCATCCAGCAATTTAAAGGAAACCAGCGCATAATCCTCCACCATGGAGCAAATGGCTTCGTTTAGCTTCTGATACTTGCGCATAGTGGGGTCATCGTCGAGTTTCTCTAGTAAATATTTCAGATCAAGCACATCAGTGTAGTAGTCAACGTTGAAATGAAGCTTCGATTCATGTTTACGTAGCAGATCCGCTTTGGATAACACATTTACATGGGGTAAGCTCATTCGCATCATCGCATTCAGCGCCATCAGCAGCGTGGCTATGAACTTAGCTGGCTCTGAGCAATAGTGCGAGTCGATAAGATTGACTGTTACCAAGTTGTAGCGCTCTTGTTCTAGGCGTTCAAAGACTCGCGCCATGGCATTGTGGTGAGTGTATAGCTCCACTTGTCCAGGACAGTCGAAGAGAAAGTAATTATGCGTTGCGCTCAGTTTTCTAAGTGCCGGCAGCAGCCAATCTTCGAAATGCTGTTCCAGGTACTCCGCACAGTGCATGAGTGCTCCGTTCGGTCCCAGCTGCAAGTGCTCCATACAATCTTCAACAGTAATGAGCTCCATTACGTTGACTACCGGCTGATAGGACATGTTGTCATTGCCTGGATCCAAATTGACGACGCCCACTTGCCGTCCCAACTCTTTATAGAATTTATAGGCCTCGTTACAGTAGGTAGTCTTCCCAGAACCAGGTGGACCAATTATTAGCTGACCATAACGTGGATTTTCTACTCTTGGTTGAACGCGTTGCAACATTTTATGTTCATTTATTATTGTTATGGCCAGTGTGACCAAGCAGAACTAACACGAAATAACCCAAGAGATGTTACAGTATGGTCACTCTATAAGTTCTTACAGCTACTCATTATGGTTCTGTTATTCTGTTAAATACACCATAATAATCAGCTTAACGTAACAGGTGCCTCGATACTTACAGCAGATAATTTAAAGCATATCGATTATTTCGAATAATTAACATGGCGGTGTTTAATTGAAATATTACATTTAATAAACTATATATAATATACACTTTTTTTTAGAATACACATAACAGACTAAATTTTAAGATAGAGAAATACGTTTATTAATACTGATGCTAAATTTGAATTTACCTCTAAGTCTATATGGATTATTATAAAGTTAAAATTTGAATAAATAAATGCTTCAATGGGTATTACATACATATGAATTATTAAAATGTAGCGTGCAATATTTGATTATATTTGGAGTGCAATAAAAACGAGTCTTGGTAAATCACTTGGCTGCTTCATTGGCTGCTGCTCTTTTGTGCTGTTTACTTGGCTACGCCTTCAGTTGATTCCTTGTGTCCATTATTCTTCTGGACAAATAGGTCTGATGGACCGACATGCTTAATGGGTATAATGCGTTCGGTTCCCTCGACTTGGGGAGCCAAAGGGGGCACCGTTATGGTAAGAACTCCTTCGTCAGTTAAAGTAGACGCAATGGCATCTGCATTATACTCCTTGGCCAGGGGGTAGCGGCGCACAAAATGACGATAGACGTGTCCGTGCTCGTCCTCGCGCTCCTCGTGTTTGCCCTCAACGATGACGCAATTGTTAACCAGCTTAACGCTGAGCTCACCTGGCTCAAACAGACCCACATCGAGATGCACTTGATAGTTACCGTGCTTATCCTGTCCAACGGCTCGAGTAGTGCCTATTTCACCACTGTGCTTCTGGGCCACCAGATGACGAGCATGTGCTCCCATCTGGGCAATCATACCCAATGTATGCATATCCAGGGAATCGTGATGACGCGAATGCAGCCTGCGATACATTCGATTGGGGAACATATCGTGGCCATAGTAAATGGAATCAGGTCCATCCAAGTTCAGCACAAATGGAATGTCTGGCATTTTATTTTTTCCCTTGAAATTAATTCACAAAATTGAGAAAATGTATCTGGTGGAGGTTCACTGAACCCAGCTGCGACGTCTTGCTTTCCGTGTATAGGTGAGGGTTGATTTTTAAGCGACTGGTGGGCAGTGTGGATGCTCCAATCACAGTTCAAGTAAAATGTCGCGACGCAAATGTGAAGTTGCCTAGCGCAGAGCTGACTTTTATAGTCGAGCCAGGGCAAAGCTCTACCGTTGGGAATTTTCTGGACTCAATGCAATTGTTCGATGTTGGAGCTTGAGCTTTTGGAGTGAATACAACTGAACTCGATTATTGCGACGTAATTGCGAAGTTCTAGCAGTCAGAGTCTGCTAGTGAAAAAGCTTTGCAACTGGAAGTAACTGGGAATTTATTAAACTTAATGCATATTTTTGAAGTTAGAGGTCGAGCTTTGAAAGCGCATGAAATAAAATTCGACTATCGCGACGCAAATGTTTGAAGTTTAACTCATGAAAAAGCTCTGCTTTACTGCAGTGGCAGTCGGAAATTTTCTGGTATTCAATGCAATTCTTCGAAGTTGGAGGTCGAGCTTTGAGAGCGCGCCAAAAAAATAAAAACAAAAACCGCAGACACCCTTTGAATTTAAATTCGATACATTTCGAAAATAGTAAACAGCCAGCGACTGCTGTTGGCGTCTGTCTGGAAGACAAAACTGTTAACGCTGTTCGTATTGAAGCAGCGTCTGAGGTGAAATTCGATGATTGGCCGGTGGCGGTTGTCGCCAGCGTTTAACCACAAAGCGACAACAACAATAGAAACCGGCTACAGGTTGGATTTCGATTAACAATCCGAATCTGAGTCCAGCTGCGGTTGCTTTATTGTAGCTGAAGCATGCGGCTGATAAACATTAACATTGGCGCTGCCGTCGCCGTCGCTGTCGACGCTGTCGTCATCGTCTTGGCAGTAGCTTCGCTCTTGCCTATAATAAGTGCCAATGATTCGTCAAACAGAGAACTTAGTGATCCGTCGACAATCAAGCTAAGTGAAAGCACAATTTTGAGTGCTGCTAATTTGCATATTGATCAAAGCAAAATAATGGATGTCACATACGAACAAGTGAAAGATGTGCCCAACCATCCAGAGGTCTATTTGATCGATGTACGCAATCCGGAGGAGCTGACGGCTACTGGCAGCATCCCCTCCAGCCTCAATGTGCCCTGTAAGTACTCAAGATAAACACATTATTTGTTTTTTGTTATTTATATTTCTATTTGAATTCAGTACCTGAATTGGAAGCCGCTTTAAAGTCCGAGTCTGAGGAGTTCGAAAAGAAATATGGACGGGCAAAGCCTGCGAACGATGCAAACATCATATTCACATGTCGCTCGGGCAGACGTGCCCAGGAGGCTGCAGAGATTGCCAAGACTGCGGGCTTTACCAAGTAAGTTTCTCTTTTCTGAAAGTCTGAAATCTCAATATATTTTAATAATACTGGTTTATCCACAGCTTGAGCGTCTATCGCGGCTCCTGGCTGGAATGGGCCGAGAAGGAGGGTCTTCCACAGTGAGATCCAAAAAGCTAAGCATTTCCTCACTCTTTGGCTTGTTCTATAATTTAATTGCAATTTATTAACTACTTATATACGCTACACATTTATTTAAAGAATATATACGGTTGCGGAATAAATTTGACTATTAAAGCAATAATTATAAACAAGTTTTAGGCACACGGTTAAATTCGTTAATATGAAAAACAGAAATGACAGCTGTAGATGTGGTGGTTGATTGACTGTAGTATGATTATATTTGTGCACTTATAATTTTAACAAGATGTAATAATAATCAAAGAATTGAAATTACCCTTCTAATCTTATTGCATAAAAAAGCTCACCCCTTTACTACGCCCATGTTCCATGTCTCACGCACACACATGAACGCAAGCTCATTTTGCAGAGCAAGCACGAACACATATGCTCTCTTTAAATTTACCACTCTCACTACGTCTCGCTCTCTCTTTCTCTCTTGCTGCTGTTGCACTGACCTGCCTCACTTTTGTTTGTAAATATCAAAAAGTTCGTGCATTCGTAAAGTTCCTGAAACTTCGATTGTTGAAGTATATTAAAAAAAATTCAAAATTATTTTTACTTCACATACAAAAATAACGAAATTCCCTAAATAAATACTATTTAAATGCTAGTACAGTTGGAATATTGAAAATTGCATCAGCTGCCAAGTCGAGAGAGAGCTAGAACATTCTCGAACGCATTGTCATTTCGTATAAAAGACGGCCAACATCTTGTGCTCTCTACATTTGAACAAAATACGTCAAAGTGAGCGGAACTACCGTAAAACAGTGGCAAAAGAGAGAATTTCACAAGTAACCGAAGTTATTACAAAATATTAAGAAAGATGCGTTCGTTACCTATGTTTGTACGTATGGTTGAGGAGCTGACCAGGATGCCTCGTGTGTCGCCATTCCAGACCTTCTTCCACGAGCCGCCCATGTGGACCGGATTGACTGTGCCTCGCAACTGGCAGCAAATAGCGCGCAGTCAAGAGCAGCAGTTTGCATCAGGTGCTACAATTGGCAAGCAGGGCTATCAGGTGTGTCTGGACGTCAGCGAATTCAAGCCCAACGAGCTGACTGTTAAGACGGTGAATAACAGCGTCGTCATCGAGGGCAAGTCTGAGCAAGAGGAGGATGCACAGGGTAGCTACCATTCCCGTCACTTTTTGCGTCGCTTCACTCTGCCCGAAGGCTACGAGGCGGATAAAACTACTTCCAGCCTAAGCAGCGATGGTGTCCTCACCATCAGTGTACCCAATCCGCCAGCTGTTGAGGCAGCACTCCAGGAACGCGTCGTACCCATACAACAAACCGGGCCAGCAGAGCTGAATGTGAAGCCAAATCCTCCATTGGAGCAACCTGATGAGAAAGAGAAGGGACAATGAATCCTCAACTATAAAATTTAGGCTCTCAATAGTTTTACAACTAGCATATGTAAAAATAATACAATAAACATAAACAAAACCGAATACACTTTCGTTTTACTATGCTTGGCAGCAGCCACATGCACTCAGGCCCCTTCCTGGCCTTCCTGCCCCTTGGACCATGGGTCTGTTCCTCTATGACGTCCACTTGACTCGCGTCCAATATTGCAGTTGCCGTTAGACACGCCTGTGTCTTGTTTGTTGGCCTTCGCGCATCGGGCAAATGATTCATCAGCCATCCGCATCCGGCGCAGCCATCACACGAGGCCACTTGGTCGTAGTCGTCTCCGTCTTCGTAGACTCTGGGAGACTATAAAAGCGCTGACAGCGCCATCAACAAATTTTATAAGCATTAGACACGAGAAAGCTATCAGAAATGACTTTGGTGCCGACCACATATCGCGATCTATCCCGGGAATTGGATCGACCGCGTCCGCTCTACCAGCCGCCATACGACTTCCAGCTATATCCCTACCTATGGGACGACCCTCGTATTTGGTGGCCCACCAACAGCAACAGCAGTGACTACTTGCGCCCATTGGATGAGCTGGTAAGCAGGCGAGTGCGCAATCAGCTAATACAATCGACGCCCTACGACTGGACATATCCAATGCGCTGGGACAACTACTACTCAGGTGAGCGGGTGCATGCGGATGAGAAAGGCTTTCGCATCGACATCGATGTCCGCCAGTTCCGACCACATGAAATTGTGGTGAAGACCAACGATGACTACATCATTGTTCAGGGCAATCATAACAAGCGCAGCGAGGGTGCCAATGGCTACGTGGAGCGACACTTTGTGCGCAAGTATCTGCTCCCACGTGGCTACAATGCCAACGAAGTCATCTCCGACATCTCCACGGACGGCATCCTTACCATCAAGGCGCCGCCACCACCACCAGCCAAATACTATGCGCCCAGCGAACGGCTCGTCCGGGTACATGAAACAGGAAAACTATCGCTGCCCTGGAAGTAAATGCTCCTGCTTCAGTCCCCGGCATCTTTAAAGCACCCTTTCGCATCATTGGGGAATATTCAAATTCAAGGTGAACTATTTATGGCCATCGCGCTGCATCGAGGATTTTAATTTTATTTTAAGTTCACAAATACAGCAAAACACTTGATGCAATCTTAAATGCGCAATAAATTGAATTTATAGAAATTTTCATTGGAATAGATCAGTTACAATATTCAGGGTTGCCACAGTTTTCGTTTATAGCCTATTCTCGCCTTGGTTCATTTTTAATGTGAATTTAGTTCTCTTTATTACTTAAAGCAAATTAGAGTTTAACGATGAAATTTAAAAATACGTTTTACGGACATTTTTAACAGTTTCAACTAAAAAGCCAAGCAATTGTAGAACTTTAAATAACTCAAATTAGATTTATTTCTAAAATGTTTTTTCTTTTGTCCCTTTCGGAACTAGTCAATTGTTCACAACAAAAAAGAATTTTTAATTCAGTTGGAATTGTTGAATTATTTGTTACTAGATTATTTAGTCTTCTGTTCATTACAATAAATATGACTTTTAATAAATACAATGGGGTTTAGTGAGGAATGAGGATGACACAGTTTCAGAGGTTGCTCGTTAGCCTCCAATTTCCAGCGTCCAACGATTACTTGGCTGCATTGCCATTGGTGGCAGCCTTGTCCTTCGGCTCCTCCTCGTTGGGCTTGACGTTCAGATGAGCTGGACCTACTTGCTGAATTTGGATCACACGCTCCTTGGTTTTGTCCTCAAGGGGTTGTGGTTTGGGTACACTCACAGTGAGTACGCCATCGGAGGACAGAGAGGAGACCACCTTATCTCCATCGTAGCCTTGGGGCAGGGCATAGCGACGCAAGAAATGGCGCGAGATGAAGCCATGATCGTCCTCACGTTCCTCGTGCTTGCCCTCGACGATAATAAAATTGTCCACTACTTTAACACTTAGTTCGCTTGGAGTGAACTGAGTGACATCCATGCACACCTGGAAGCCGTCTTTGCCCACCTGCGAGACAGGCCAGTGCCAACCATCGCCCGCTCCATTTGTTGGCTTTGCCATGTCACGGCTGCGACGGCTGCCCAAAATCTTTCCGATCGCCGAAGTTGGACATTCAGGATGTACGCACTGCCAGGGATTCAATAGAATCTGTTGAGTAGTTTTTGGTTGCCGCAGCTGAATGGGATGAATGCCCAGTCCGTAATCGTAGAGAGGACGATGAGGCTCCTGCAGCTCGTTAACCAAAGAAATTAGTTGAGACAGCGACATTTTCTTCTTTAATTTTTAAAACAACTTAGATATTTATTTCGCACAGCGAAGTTCTTCACTCGATGAATATTATTTTTCAACTGAGGAGAGAAGCGCAATCAGCGGTGTTTTTATAGCCAGCCGAGTTGATTTTCTAGAAACATCGAGCTTTTGCTAGTGTGTGTGCGAAACAGAGAAACAGAGCGAGAAACATCGCGCGCTTGCCAGACTATTCGAATGTGTCAAAATAAGATAAAACGAAAGAGAGTCTAAAGAGCAGCGTGTGCCAATATTGTGTGTGTGTATAAGAGCAAGAGAAATAATGTCAGACAGTGCAAAAAGTCAAAGCAAAATGACAAAACCAATTAAAAAGGCAACTTCGGAAGCACTTAACGAACTCTTTTTACAAAAATACATTTTATGCATTTACACAGCCAAACATATATGTATATGTCGCCTTTTTTATATATGTATGTTCTTACATACATATACAATGTAGATACATACATACATACTTGCTTTATTTTTATTTTTTGCAATTACATTTCTTCAGAAACCTAAAAGTTGCATCCAAAGCGCATTTGTAGGCTTGTATATAAATAAATATTCAAAGCAGACGTACTTGTATATATATTTGAATTAACTTTAGAGAAATCCATCCATTAACTTTAGGGAAGCCATACCTAAAATGCACATAAGTACGTACGTGCAACTCTTAAGTAAATATATAATATAAATATACTATGCGCGTAGGACTCAGACACAGCAAATACATACATATAAAATATGTATATTGATCTATATACCCATATTGAAAACTGTTTAAACTCTTGACATAGATTTTAAATCATATTTATTCGATTCTCACAGTAAACAGTAAACATAAATGCAAAGTGCGAGTGTTGCCGGTGCTCTTTTACATGTTATAAATTAGATTCAATGAATGAGTCAACATACAAAGTACATACATATGTACATGTAGTTAACCAAATGGAATTCTTACGTTTCAAAATGTTACATTTAAGATATCTTATAGCTAAATGTGACAAAGTTTGTGATGTGTTCTTTTATTATTTTTTTAAGTCTTACACTCTCCGAGCAGCGTGGCAACACTCAGTTATCGACTAAACTCCTTCCTCTGTACGCTCCCTCCTCTATTTGCCTGTTTCCATTTTTTCGCCACTGCCATTTTCGCTCTTGCCTTTGCCGTCGGTAGCGCCCTCTGGTGCCTTGACGCTTAGGTGAGCAGGACCCGTTTGTTGAATTTGAACAATGCGCTCTTTGTTAGCCTCCTTGCTTGGCGGTGGAGGTGCCTTTAGCGTTAGAACACCATCCGAGGAAACCGTGGAGACGACATCGTTACCATCGTAGTCCTTGGGCAAGGTGTACTTGCGCACAAAATGGCGCTGGATCATGCCGTGGCCATCCTCGCGCTCTTCGTGCTTGCCCTCAACTATGATCGTTTTGTCCTGCACCTTAACAGACAGCTCGCTGGGCTTAAACTGCGCCACGTCCATGCAAACCTGGAAACCATCTTTGCCAATAATGGGCAGCAGTGCATTCTGACCAGCGGAGGCGCGGCGACGTGCAGGCACCAACTGGTGATGGTTTCTCTCATAGGGTGTAAAGTGAGAGCGGCGACGATGCAAATGATGGGGCATCATCAGACGTGGACGGTGGAATAGCTCGTTAACATGCAGTCCGAATCCGAAATCATCGTCCAAGAAGTGGTCCCAGTCGTTGTAGGCGCTATCTAGATCGCGGGCCAGACTCAAGAGTGGAACAATTGACATTTTTACTCTTTTTCCTTTTCTTGCTTGCTAAATAATTGAAACTTTTTCTGTTTGCTTCTGCGCAGCAGATGTGCTTTAAACAACGGTTGGAATGGAATTGAAGAGGCGCAAGGAACGCAGCGGGCTTTTATACCGACGCCAAACTGACACACGCACACAGAGACAACATGGTGGTGATTGTTGCTGGTTCGCTCTTGAAATTACTCGCTCTTTCTGTCGGCAAGTACGTTTATGTGTGTGTGTGTGTGCCAGCCGGCATATTATTTTGTTTGTTCTCTTTCACACACAAAGTTCTATCAATTTCATGAAGTTTCTGTGTGTGGCAACAAGATGAGAGTGTAATACATGATACATATGTACACATATATATGCATGTACTATATGCATATATATATGATATTTTAAGTTTGGCTTTTTTAAATTCGTATAGCGCTTTAGCTAAAATGTTAAAGTGCATTTAGGAGTCCACTGGCAGAAAATCTCATCCAGACATTGCCGTTGTCGTTGCCGTTGCCATTTTGCAAGTACATTGAACTTGCTGTCTCTGTTTGTCGAGACCGGTTTGTTTGTCATTCTTTATCATTGTTTTCTGTTTACTGTATGTGCAAACACGTCTGTACGTATGTACATGTACTCATGCATGTGCCTATATGTGAATTTTTGCATTCTCTTTGGAGTAAGTTGCACTCGAATTTAAGGGAAATTTTTAAGCTTTTAACTAAAGCGATATGCAGTAATATGCTACTAGCTAAGCTTATTCAGCATGGATATATACTACATACATACACAGAGATGTAATATGAATGGAGTTGTGTATCTACTTCAAAGGAAAATTCCCTAGACGCACCTATTTATACATACTGTGTAAGCTTACTTTTTATGTATATAAGTCATAATATTATTGTAACACCCATAATTAAACCACTTATTCATTACAGAAAAATTATTTTTCTTTATTTTGGATATATAATAGTTACAATGCTAAGGAAAAGGAAATGTTTAACATGTACATTAACATATATAAGTGTATGTATGTATGTCTGGCATGTGGTAATAGGCTAAATATATGTATGTATATAAAACAGATATTTGACTTTGATAATTGATTATAATAATAATGCAATCTACACACTAAAAATGACGTGACTTATATAAGAAGCATAGCTTATTTGTCGCTGGTGGTATCTTGCTCCACCTGCTCTTTGGCGTTCTCCTTCACATTGAGATGGGCAGGTCCAACCTGCTGGATCTGGACAACACGGGGATTGCCCTTCTCCTCGATGGCTGCTGGCTTCGGTACGCTGACAGTGAGCACTCCATCCGAGGATAAAGTGGAGGCCACTTTATCGGCTTCATAACCGTCGGGCAAGGCGTAACGGCGCACAAAGTGGCGAGTGATGAAACCGTGATCATCCTCCCGCTCCTCATGCTTGCCCTCGACGACAATGGAATTGTTCACAACCTTGACGTTTAGCTCGCTGGGCTTAAACTGGGCAACGTCCATGCACACCTGGAAGCCATCTTTGCCGATCTTGGACACTGGGTTAATGCCACCTGCTTGTTTCTCCAACTGGCGCAGCTGCTGGTCCAGGGGCACTGCAGCCAATGCTAGGTACGGATTACGCTGCTGGCGCTGCCAATAGTAGGGCGTGTCGTAGAATGGCACCATCGAAAGACGGTTCAAATCGTCAGCCAGGCTCAAGAGAAGTGGAAGATTTGCCATATTTCTTTTTTAATAATACTTTGTTTCCTTCTTTTCAAAAAATATACTGTGCTTTTACTCCTTGTAGGCAAGCTCTTTGCTGATTTCCTGTTGCTTCGCTTTTTCAACGCAAACTGATGACGAGAATAAAATGCGTCGCCTATTTATAGCTGCTTCGGTGGTGGCTTTCGATTACGCGCGCGCTTGTGCGTGTGAGAGAGATGGCAGCTTTGAGATTGCCAAGGAAACTTCTGGCTGTGGCCAAAGTTGAATAATATTGCAAGTGTTCTGGAAAGCGCTCGAATGTGTGTATGTACATATTTGATGCTTGCAAACATATACAAACATACATACATCTGTACATATTTATATATTCATTCGCAACATTATCTAGCAATGAAAGTGAGAGTGTTTCGCTGAGATATCAGCAGTTGCAGGGCTATGTATGGGCGAGTAATGTGATAACGAAAAGAGTAAACAAAAACATTGCAGCTAGAAGAACGTTCTGTAACTTGCCAGATCATGTATCTAGAATGTTTCTTCATTTTCGAGCTTCTAGACTTTTTCACTTGCTTTCTTTTATTGGTTTATTTATATTCTACTGTAGATTCTTTTTATTTGTTGAGAGGCCAATTTATCGAGACAATTCTAGCATACATAAGGTATGTACATATACATATATACATAAAGAGTAATTTTTGGATTTGATTAAATTATGAATGTGTAAAAAACCATAGCTTTTAAGGGTAGCAAATATTAAAAAAAAATGTCTATCTCTTTATATATATGCAAAATGTATGTGCATACATAAGTAAGAATATATGTATGCATCCAATGCATTGCAACTATGTACAGATGTATACATGCATATATATTAGACAAACATTATGTCAGAACACACAGCATAGGTACTCTACCCAAACCCAAACATTCATATGTATAGTTAACGTTTACATATGGCTAAATTCCAATCAACTTATGAATTTTCACTATAACGATATCTCTCTTAAAAAATGCACATATGTATGAACACATACACTAACGTACACACATACATATATGTATGTATGTATTCTTTAATAGACAGCTAGCTTAGTTGCCATCCCCCTATTTTGTTTGTCGCTTACTGTCGCACAAGTCTCCAAACTAGTGTCTGGCTCTTGTCTAGAAATGGCCTGTATGTGTAACAAACTTTATACGCACACATGTACACGCATGGTTTGTGCATGTATTCAACCGAGCACATCAGCTTTTATTGCTGCATACAACTGCACTCTGCGGTATATGTATATGTGTATACGCAGAGCTTCGCCAAGGGGCATTGCGCATGCCTTGCGCCTACCCCACTGCAGGCTGTTGCCCCCTTAGACAAAATTCCATTATCAACAAATTTTCAGTTGCCGGTTGGCCTTCCAGACCACCGACACATATGCACATGACTTTGTGTGTGTGTGTGTGTGTGAGTGTGTGAGTGAGTAAGTGAGTGAGTGAGTGGAGAGACGCAAAAAACCAGCTGTTGTTGTAGTTGCTACAATCGCGCCGGTTCGGCAACCGGCCTGTGGCACGATACGTTTTTGCGGCCTCTCAGCTGTTTAGCTGTTTGCCGGCTGAGCGCAGGGAATTCAGCTGCAACATGGCTACTTTACATGTTCGTATCTTCATTTATATGTAGTAAGTATATGAAAGTGTATGTGCAGACATATCTGTGTATGTATGTATGTATGTATAAATAGTATTCATATGTATGTACATATATTGTCTTGGCAACTCGTGCCCAGGGCCGAGGCGTAGGTCGAGAGGCTGGAGCCGGTTTTTAAGTTGCGCCGGCTTGTGTGTGTTTCTCCATCGTTGTCGGCCTGGAATACTTTCTTTGTTCTCGCAACCGGAAAATTGCCAACTTCGTATTGCGAAAAAGCAGACGCATACACATACACATGTAAACATATGTATATATATGTATACGTCTTCGTAAGTGCTCACTCTTGAAGATAACCAATACTTCTGGATCTTATTTCGAGGGGTGTCGTCGCCAGGTTTTCTTCTATTGATTTTTTGCCAAAACTGTGCAAATAAACAAAGATTGCACATGGGAAACGTTGGCCCAGCCTCACTTTACATAAGCCGACGTCGACGTCTACACCGACACCAACTCAGCGAGCAGCAACGATGTTGAGTACGAGCCGGCATTCGTAGCCGCTGCTGCAGCGCACTTCCAGGCCAGACATTTGCTTTCCATTCAGCGCTGCACAGTCGTTTAAAAGGTTGAACATTCAGCCATAAGAGCTCAAACGCAATCCAGTTAGAAGCCGGAACGGATCGCACGCGGAACGGTAGCAGCCAGATATTCAGTGCTCTAGTGCCCAGTGCCAAGTGTCAGTGTCATCAGATCCCAGCCAGAAGCAGAGACAATTGAAAGCCAAGTGCTCTATCCCCCAGTGAATTATATCGGAAAATGTCGCTAATACCGTTCATACTCGATCTGGCCGAGGAGCTGCATGACATCAATTTCAATCGCAGCGCCAGCCTCGGCCTAGGCTTGGGCATGGACATTGACGACGTGGGCTTCGGTATGTATCCGCTGGAGCAGCTGGCCGCTGCGACGGCTGCCACACAGCCGCCTCAGCTATCGCACTCGCATCCGCAGCTGTCGCCCTCAAACAGCACGCGTCGTGGCACACGTCTCGCCCACTCGCATAGCCACGCCCACTCCCCTACATCCACTGGTGGGGTGTTGTGGGTGCCTATCAAGGGTGGGGGGCAGGTACAGGGCCAGCATCGCCATCATCCCTACAATCGTGTGGCAGGCGCCAAGACCGTCTGCTGCAATAAGTCCCTGCTAGAGCTGGAGAAGGAGCTGGGCGACAAGGTCAACTCCTCATTGGCAACTCCTTCGAGCAGCTCATCGGCAAATGCCAGCAAATCGGCATCTGCCTATTCTGTGGTCAATCGTAACGGCTTCCAGGTTAGCATGAATGTCAAGCAGTTCGCCCCGGACGAGCTCACTGTAAAGACCATCGACAATTGCATCGTGGTCGAGGGGCAGCACGACGAGAAGGAGGATGGCCACGGCGTCATCTCACGTCATTTCATTCGCAAATACATGTTGCCGAAGGGCTTCGATCCGGCCGATGTCCACTCGACGCTGTCTTCGGACGGCATTCTAACTGTAAAGGCGCCACCACCGCCACCGCCTCCCGCCTGCAAAGCGGGCGAGGAGCGACCCATTGAGCGCATCGTCGACATTCAGCAGCAGCCGCAGCAGCAGTCGGCTGCAGTACCGTTACCCGTGCTGGCGCAGACGAAGGATGCGCAGTTGCCAATTGGAAAAAGTGCAGCCAACGAAGTGGAGCAGCCAACCCTAAAAACAGCTGCAGTAGTAGCAGCAGCAGTCGCTTCCAGCGGTGAGCAAAATAGCGCTGAAGAGCACAATGGCAACGGAGAGGCAAACGTCGACGTTGACGCTGACGGCGACGTCAACGCCAACACAAACGCAGCTAAAACTGCTGATGAGACTGCAAATGCAAAAACAAAAGAAAAAGAGAAAGAGACTGAGCCCGTTATCCAAACTTCCACTTCCAATTCCAATTCAATTTCCACTTCCAGTTCCAATGGCAACAATGGCGAACCGCAGCCAACTCCAGAGTCAAAGTCAATGGAAGTGGATGATACTGCTGAAAATGACAATGTGGCTGCCACTACTGCTTCCTCAGTTGCAGTCGCTGCTGCTGGCGAAAAGGAGGACTCCACCGATGCCAACGCCGTTAGTAGCAGTGGCACAGCCTCGGCAGACGCCGATGGCACGAAAACCGAAGATGCTAATGCAAATGGCAATTCGTTAAGCTCTGATTCGAATTCGAAAGCCGAAAAGGCTGCCGCCGAAGATGCAGAGGACGACATCATGCCGGCAGCCAAGAAAGCCAAAATTGAAGCCGAGGGGCAGCTCGTGGAGCAAGAGAAAGTTGAAAAGGCCACTAAGGGCGCGGAGGAGATCGCTGCCGAAGACGCGGCTATTCTACTAGCCAAGAAACAGACAAGCGAGAACGGCGCAGTCGCCGGCAAGGCAGAGGAGCCAACCCTGGCAGCGGCTAAGTGAATGTAGAGACTGATAATTGATGCGCAACCCAGAACTAAAAGAACTAAAAAGAAAAACAAAATAATAATAATGATAAACAAATATCGAATCGGAATGCGTTTTAATCTATAAATGTTTTATGTGTTTTTCAATAATTCGCAATAAATACATGATAGGGCCTGCAGGAAGACGAAAGAAATGAGAAACTATGATATGAAATTATGATTTCCTAAACAAGTGTGAAACAATTACGACTACAAGTATTCAGTAAAGCTAAGCACATTATGTACTTAAAACTTACAAGTAAATAAAGATTCAAAGAGTGAGTTTTGCGTTTTGCTTTTTCGTTTGCGTTTGTTTTCTCATGGCTGTTCTTTTTCAGTCTATGATTCTCTCTTTTCTACGCATACACTCTTTCTAGTTGTTGCGCTCTGCGAGTGTAAAGTATACTCTTATAGCTATGCGATGTTTTTTATTCTCTCATTATGCACTAGCAATTGCGCGATGTTTTAAGATTAGCACGACTGCCGGCTATAAAAGCAGGAGCTAATAGTCCGAGAGGTTACAGTTGAACAACAGTATTATTTAAAAGCAGAACTTCGCTGAGCGAAAGAAAAGTTAAAAAAGCGGCAAATCTTTTTCTAAAACTACATAACCTTAAATCTAAAGAAGTAAAAAACTCAAAATGTCGTTATCCCATTTAATTACATTGGTTGATGCTCTAAGCGAGCCTCGAAATCCCGTCTACGATTTTGGCATGGGCATGAACCCACGCCACTTCCAAACCAGAAGCATGAATCAGTCGTTGCTGAGCCCTTGGCAGTGCCCACATCCTGAATGCCCGACCTCGCCAGTTGGAAAGATTTTGGCCAGTCGCCGCGGTCGTGGTGATATGACAAAGCTAATGAATGGCGAGGTCGATGCATGGAGTATGCCTATCGCTCAGGTGGGCAAAGATGGCTACCAGGTGTGCATGGATGTCGCTCAGTTCACTCCCAGAGAGCTGAACGTAAAGGTGGCCGACAACTGGATTACGATCGAGGGCAAGCACGAAGAACGCGAGGACGGCCATGGCTACATCTCGCGCCATTTTGTGCGTCGCTATGCCCTGCCCAAGGGCTTTGATGGTGATAAGGTTGTCTCCTCTCTGTCATCCGATGGCATTCTCTCTGTGAGCGTGCCGAAGCCGAAACCCACTGAGGACAAGACCAATGAGAGAGTGGTTCAAATTCAGCAAGTGGGCCCAGCTCATCTGAACATCAAGCGCAACGAGGAAGAGTCAAAAGCTAAAACTCCCACCAATGGAAGCAGCACCAAGTAGAATCTGCAAACTGATAGCGAACGATCAGCGTTAACCAAACTCAACCGTATTCCCAATCATGTTCCAATATATTTATTAAAAGTATTTATTGTAATGAGCAAAAGACTAATATGTTAAAAAATAAAATGTTTGTAAAAAAAACACTAAATTTTGTATAACTCTTCATCCGCCATTTTGCTATTCTTCTTTGTGTTGGAACCAGTGCAGTTTTGTTCGCTCATTTTAGTTCCGCCCGCCATTAAGTGCTCGTCATTCTCTTTGGAATAGGTTTTTCTTTTTATTTGTTTTGCATATATATTTATTTAAATAATGTAATGCATAATAAAAAATGTCGCGATCATAAGTATGCACACAGTATATATTATGCTAATTCTATATATCTAAATCGGCTTCAATTTCAATTTCAATTTTATCGCAAGCTGAGGATTTACATAGAGAGCCGTCGAAGCTGCAAAGCTCCCAGGCATTGGGGCTTTTGCACTTTTAATCATCAAAATGCCATTTTTAATATAGTTAAAAACTACATATGTACTTATGCATTGTTATTGGTTGTGTGTTGCTGCTGTTATTATTATTATTAGTTTTAGTTTTAATTTAATGTATGTTAGGTTATGTTGTTGTATGTGTATATATTCAATGACGCTTAATCACAGATCAATTTTTAAAATTTTCATTTGACTTAGAAGTTAAGAAACAAAATACAAAATGTCACAAGTTCACGTCTACGGCTTCATGCATGTCATTATATAGTATATATATATATATATGAGCTACACGTAAAAAATGAATTTGGCTTAATTACCAGGAGGAGGAGAATGGGAAAGAGCAGGAGTGGAAGGACGGGGCTGGAATCCAGCGCTAGCTGTGAAAATGGCCAAAATGTGTTTCTGCACGAATCGCAGCGATTTAGTCGATTTGTATAACTATCTATAAGTTGTATGTTTGTTCATTTGTTCAGTTCCTATCCGTCTATATAGCTCTTTAGCCAGATATAGATACTGTTTCTCTTCTCTTTTCTTTTGCTTTCCAAATGAAACTATATTTTTCTTGTTTGTTCTAAACGTACATACATTGTATTCCACATGTGTGTGTGTTTGTTTTGTTGTTGTTGTATGTTATGTTTGCAGTCTCAAAATTGTGTATGGGCTTTGTTTATGATACGAAATTAAATTAGGAACGGCTCCAAGGATGGGTTAGGTCATCAAATAGATATAAACAAAGAAAATATGTGAATTTGTGGGTCTGTCTGTTTGTCTAAATACTTTGAACATGTTAAGAGAGATAAGAACAATCACTTTTTGATGAGACTTTCGCAGCTGCTGCTGAGATTTGGCAACGACTTGAAACACAAACGGGAACGATCCATTTGCGCATCCCTCGATGAACGATTCGAGCACCTACTGCCCTTATTCGTTTCGTCCACGCCCTTGTCAAAAGAGCGACGAAGCATCAGCTGCTGCTGCTGCTGCTGTTGGTGCTGGTGTCCGGCGTAGGCAGCTGGCGGCGACAGCGGTGAGGTTGGCAGCTCTATATCCAGCACAGTGTCGTTGCCATCGATATTTTTGCAGCGCAGCATCGCCTCCTGCTCCATGTCCAGCTTGGTGTCCGAGTAGCGACGCACGTCCACCTCCCTGCCCAGTCGACAGTCGGCAGCAGTGGCACAACAGCTGAGCCCCGTTTGGTCCTCTTCGCCCAATATGCTCGAGTGGCGATAATCGATCTTTGGTGGTGTGCTGTAATCGTAGGCGAGCGGCGTGCCCACACCCACGCACATAGGCGAGTCGTTGAGAATATCACGATTCTCCAGAAAAATGGACGAGTTGGAGTAGCGCTTCGACTGATGCGGCTTATAGACAAAGCCGCCCAAGCCATTGGCCACAGCATGCGACACACCGGAGCTAATCGAAGGCGCTTTGTGCTCACCACTGCCTGTAAATGAAAACGGGATTAGCATATGGGTAGCGAGGCTCTTATTTATCTACAGACCACTAAAGCTGCTCAACTGCATCGCGTGCTCACGGCCCGTGTCTGTGGATATGCCGCTGGCACTGAGATCTTGGCGTGAGCCAGCGCAGAGATCTGTGGCCGAGCCACGACTGGAGCTCTCCGAGTGCTCCAGCACATTGTGTATTGAGTCATGGAACGGCGTCATACTGCCTGACCCTTGCGGACAGGGCCGAAACGAGGAGATCTGAGAGACGACATCGTCCAGCGCCCAGTCGCGATCGTAATTGTGTTGCGACTGCGAGCACTCAATGTTGGCCGCCACAGCCACCTGGCCCAGCTGCTGGCCAAGCTGTTGGCCATGCAACTGTTGCTGTTGCTGCAGACGTTGTGCGTGCGCGTCCTCCGTCTGGGTGCCCGCGCTGTTGCTGCTGTGCGGCACTGCGTCCAACTGCAGCATGTGCTGCGGCGAGGCGTTCAACAGACGCTGCTGCAGCTGAAGCTGCATTTGTTGCTGATGCTGATGGACACCTGTTGAGTTGCCATTCTCCATGGTGCCACAGCTCGAATCGTGCACAGAGTGACCTGCGCCACCCGAGGCGTTGATCTCCACTGCACCATGGCCATGAAGCGAACTATGCCGCTCGCTGAACTGATGATGAGCAGCCACTGGTGAGGGCGGCGCCAATGGATGAATCTTCTCCGGTGCATTCTGAATGAGCAGAATCCTGTAAATTCATTGAGAGCAGCAGTATTAATGAAATGTGTCGAATTTTGTTTAAGAAAATATCATTCAAGGGCAAGAACAGTCGGCAGTAACTGACTAGATTATATATTGAGCTAAACAACTCTGCTTATTTCATATTTAATATTTCCAGTCTCCAGCTGGAGAACTTAGCTAGCTCTATTCAACTAATCAAGAATATGTATATTATGTAAGCTACCAGAAGTTTTCTTCTACTTTAATTACTAAAATTAGTACAGTTTTTAATATTTTAAATTCCTTTAGAACTCCAACTAGTTACACTAATTGAAGTCCCTTTATTACTTTGACTATTCTGACTTTCATTACTTTTACTATCTCTATTACAACTACTGCTATTTCTACAACTACTACTATTACTACTACTTCTTTTACTACTACTATTACTACTTCTTTTACTACTACAACTACTACTATTACTACTACTTCTTTTACTACTACTATTACTACTTCTTTTACTACTACAACTACTACTATTACTACTACTTCTTTTACTACTACTCCTACCAAACGTACTCCTACTTGTACTACCAGAACTACTGTTATCACTACGACTAATTCTTCATATCAAAAGTAAGTAACTTTGTGAGCCTAATTTTGAACATTTACATACATTTTTAGCGCCCGAGTTAAACAATATGTTTTCTATTAATATGATAAAAATACTTTGGTATATGGCAAAGGCAGTGTATTAAACAGTTTGTAAGCTGCGTTTGCCATTGTTTTTTCAATTGTGCATTCAATATTGTGGCTAGTGGAAACACATGTTGACAATTGATTTGGGTTATTCGCAATTTTTAGCAGATAGATTCATATTTAAAATCGAATCCCACCAATTGGCTGGCTAGTTTAGGTTTGAAACTGAAATGGACATGAAGTTTTGCTTGTTACTCATTGGCCTAGCTTTATTCGCGGCCAACATTGAGGCTCGTAGCCAAAAGGCACCCAAATGTGTTGGACAACCAAGTAAGTGATCAAGTAAATCTAGCAAGCGATCAACTAACTAATCATTACATCAGTTAGACAAGCTTGTAAAGCGCGCAGAGATCAGGGCCACAATAGTTACAGTTGGTGCAAAGACAATGCCATGGCTCAAATGTGGTACTACAATATGGTACACAACTCCTGCAATAAGATGATATACCAGGGCTGCGGAGGCAACTTCAACCGCTACTGCAGTGAAGATGACTGTGCTCAGCGGTGCATTAAAGCAACAAACAAGAAAAAATTGATTAATTAATCATAGAGAGGCCTTAGTTCATTTTCTACAAAATAAAAAAAAAGTGTAACAGTTAAATAATGACAAACCCTGACGAAAACTATAAACGCATCTCTTTAAACGCCTGTCCTCTACCAAGATAAACCCAAGCTAAAAAAAATTAAAAAAAAAATCTACTATATAGAGAGGATATATGCTATAATTTGAGCACACTGATATATACATTTTATATTTGTAAACAAATTTGTAGATATATTCGCCTTTAATGGTAATAAAAATATTACGGCTGTAAATTACTAACTGTTGGTTTCATTAATCTGCTGTTCGCTTGTTGAACACGGACAGATTATTATATAGCTTACATAATTGTACACAAATTTAGGGATATTAAAATAATATCTTTACTACAATACTATATTCTATCTGCAGTTTGGCTAATTCAAATGGTTAGCTAGAGAGCTAAGCTGGTTATCATCCATTATCTACAAAGATCAACTAGTTATCTTCCTTTGGCTGGTCTACTCGCCTGTTGAGTGCTTTCCAGCGATGGCAGAGATGCAGATAGGCCTTGCACTGAATGTACATGAAGACAATGCCGCCAGTGAGTCCGACGGTAACAACGGCCAGCTTTGTCCAGAACGGCCAATCTATGTGTGGGTGAATGAATGTAGTTAAGTTTAATCATGGCCATTATATGGTATACATAGGAATATAGAGTTAATGGGGTATACAAACCAATCACTCCACGTTTCACATCATCTGCGGCCCGCTCGATGAGCACACACAGCGACCAAATGACGCACAAGGCGGCCGCTGAGTGGAAGAGCACCGAACAGCAGAGCCGGCGCCTCTCAATGCTGGAGATGTCAAGGCTGCGCCACTGTCAGCCGCAATGCAATCGATGGCCCGGCACAGAAACAGAGCGACATAGGGAGACGGAGAGGGAGAGAGAGATAAAGGAAGCCAAACAATGCGCAAAAGAAAAGCAAAAACAATGCGAAATAAATTAGTTTGAGTAATAGAGATAGAGAAATGTCAGCTGCTGCTGCTGCTGTTGCTGCTGCTGCCACTTACCTCATTGAAGGGCTTTATTTTGGTGTGCATGATGAAGGGGAACTTGCATAGCTCGCAGGAGTTGGTCGCCGATGCAGTCAGCCACTGCTGCAGGCACGCCTGATGCACATACTTCAAGCTGCCCGAACAGTAGCAGGGCGTCAGCAGCGGGTTCTGTGGATCGCTCTCGCAGTGGCAGATGCGGCATATATCGCCGCTATTCTGCGACGCTTGGCTGCTGCCCGAGCCGAATCTGCAAATAAATTGTGAACTCCATTATAAGTTGACCTTTTCATACATATAAAGTGCGTATGTATGTTGGCCCGGGTCGTGACCTTCAACGGAGAACTTAAACCGATTATTCGATGCGAAATGGCAGCCGTTTGTTGCCCCATTTGATTGGCAGCTAAAAGAAAACAAGCCCCAAGCACCCAATCCACACAGCTTATGCACTGCCTTTGTCCGTCCACTTTTACAAAGCATTTGGCTTGGGGGTCATGGCTGGGCCGAGTCTGGGCTTTGTTCTCTCATTATGTCCAAATAAATATAGGCTTATGTGTTGGCAATTTTATAGGCCTCTGATTACAACTAAAGCAGGGCGAAACCTCCCATAGATATTTAGCCAAATATCAGTTCACTTTACAGAGCCTGATACAACTCGACTATCAATCCCAGTCCAGACCACTTGAGTTTGGATTGCCTCTATAAACTGAACGATAATGCGACTTTCGAATTAAGTTAATGCACGATAAGGAAGTTAAGTGACGCGATGAACGATAAAAATGGAACGTGGTTCGGTCGATCGATATATGTATAAAGCGCCATTTATTTTCAGTCAAACGATTTATGTATTTTTATATATTAATTTCTTTTTTTTTTATGCACAGCAATAAATTGATTTTTTTATTATTCTTACTTTCGCTCGATGGCCCTGTCTTATGCTTTCTCCCCTTTCTGTCTTTCTTTATCTGAATATCACCAGTAAGCCAAAATAATAGTGAATTTTATTAATATTATTTTTATCAGTTATCAGTTTCTATTTAACTTTCGCATTCGCTTTTTGTTCACATTCAGTTTAAAGCTTTTCCTGCACAGGCCCTGCTCTTAATATGTGTAATAACAAAACTAATTATATTATGTAAGTTTGTATCTACCATTTACCACTGAACACTATTTACATTCAGCCTTCCCTAGTCGCCTTCGCCTTTGTTGATAAACAATTTCCAAATCAATTTGCGCACAACTTAGAGCCAAAGTGTCTTTGGGCAAATAGACGTACTTAATTTAGTTAGCACATTGCATTTTCTATGCCATATTGATATAATCATATAATGAGATTTATACATATACACTATGCATATAGACGACTTAAGTGTTTGCTGCTTCGAGTGAAGCTGGCAAACAGAAACGCAGTTCTATTAGATTACATACTCAGCATACGTGTGTATACCTATGTATTCTCTCATCGCTGTTGTCGACAAATGCACGCTGTTTAATTTCCAGTAAGCCTGTAATCAATTTACTAAAGGACTACCGTGCCCATAATGCATAATAATAAATCCTTGCTCATTAAGCTCTTACTTTTCTCACAATCCATGAACTGACTCTGATTCTACACAGTCAAACAAAGTTAAATCTGACGAAGTTGTTGTTCTAACAATTTCTCTTTAAGATATTGACTGAAGTGATTGGCTATATCTGAAATCTTGTTCTGCTTACGCATTTCCTTCAACAGATAATATGGCATGGACTTTAATTGAGATAGTTTTTTAAAGCTGAGGAGAGATTATATTTTAATACGGTCCAAAAATAGTTGGATCATTTTTGGTATACCCCAAGAGGAAGTCTGCAAAATGTTGCAATTCAAGCTCCAAAACTTTGGCCGAATATATCACAGAATCAATATACTCTTTTTACTTTGAGGAGTATAAAATTATGCTTTATGATACAGAATCTTAAATTTTAACCGAACTACTCTTTTTTTTGCATTTTCTGCTAAGATAAACCGCGGATTTAGTTTAAAAAACATCTCAATATTGAACATGTGAAAAACAATCTGTTCCCAAATCCTGCTGGTCAGTGTTATTATATATTATATTATATTTTTTTTGCTTGAAATATACATTCATAAATATATTTGTATATACTCGTTTATATTTTATATGTATATGTATTCAGATGAGATTTACATATATATTCCGAACAGCATAAGTAAACATAGAAAATTCTTCATAAATTATAAAAATAGCTGGAATATTTACTTGGAATTTATTTATTACAATTCACTGTATAGATTATCGATGTTATTATTTTTTTCTTTTTTTTTTTGGAAGAGATGAACACGCTATTTCCGAATTATTACTAATCTAGTGCGTGTTTGTTGTACTTTTTATTGTGCAAATCCGATAAGAAATACACGAAAATTTCTGTATATATAAAATATATATGCATATATGTACATATGTATATATAAATATAATTATATATATCAAAATTGAAAGAAGCCTGCACTTTGTAATTAATTTCCTTTGCCTGGCATTTCGTGCTTTGTTGTATGTATTTCAAAATAATAATGGAATATGATTTCCATGTCGAAAAACTGATGGCTTGCATTATAATTACTAAAATTTGTTCAATCATTCAATGTGCCAATGCCTCAATCGCACATTGCCACAATCACAACATTCCAATCAGCTTTCAGCTGGTCAAGTTCATGGCAGGCGCAATTAGTTTAGCCGAACAGAGAGGGCTATCATTAGGGCCGGGTTAAGTCCCAACACTGAAGCGTCATAAAACGTCATAAAATAACTAACTACAGTGGATGTTGGTCAATTGGACACAAAGGAGCAACCAGCAGGCGGCCTGACTGGAAAATACCCTGAACTCGTATTTAATATATATATAAAATATATCTATTATAATTTGTTTATGTATTTTTATCCTTTCCTTTCTAATATAAGAAAGAGATTGGTATAAAAAACTAATAATATTATATAAAGAATATATATATATATAGATAATATGTATAGAGCTCAAGTTACTTGGTTATATTTTGATATAATAATTTAATATTCGATTTTTCTTCTAACCTGTTACATCTAGTTAATCGCAATCAATAAACTTTTTTACTTCTTTCAAGTGGGTTTAGGGTATTAGAATTGGTTTTAGTTGAGCCACTTTTACTTTCAATGCCCGCTCCGCTCCTCTTTCGCGCCGTTGGCTGTTTGCTGTTTGCTGTTTGTGATTTTAGAGTTCAGACAGCAAGTGCGTGATTGGGCCGAAGGACATGGCTGGACAAAGTCAGGCGCACAGCCAGTGAAGCGTTTGTGGTGCCGGTTGTCATCACATTTTAGCTGTTGTTATGGGCCTGGCCAGGGTCACGTAGTAGTTGTCCAATCGGATCAATAAAACGCATTTGAACAGTGTGAAGCCCCCGAACAGGAGCCAGCCCAATCATAAAACAGTCTAATATCTTTGACTGGTATATCTCTCTCGCTCTCTATATATATAAATATATATTTGGCTGCACACTCAATTTAGTGACTGTTTATCCTTTCAGACTGTCACATTTCTATGCATATCTAACCATGATGTCTGCCAATTTTATGACTTCATTAGTTAATAGGCTCAGGAGCCGGCTGACGGCAGACGGCAGACGACAGACAAGAGCCGAGAGCAGTCGCCAGTCTGGCGGAATACCCAGTCTTAATTTGCATACATCTTGATAATAGACAGAACAGACGGAGGCTGCGGCTCTCCACAATGATGGGTTGACATTTTATTTTCGAAGACGCAGTAAACACATTTGGCGTAATTAGGGGAAAGTAAATAAATTGAGTTCATATCCGAAGATCAGGCTGCATAAATCAGAAACAATTCCAAGTTTGTCGAATCAGATCTTCAACCCCCGCGCAGACTGCAAATATCTTTGTCTATACACAACAAAGCGCATTCATTGACCTTCTTGGCTATTTTCGTATATATATATATAATAAATAAGGGGTCTATGGGATCTATATTTGGTGGCTATAGCAGCTTTGTGAGTATTCTGTGGGTTCTTGCAATGAAAGCTTTCTCCCTGCCACACTATTCGATATGCTAACGCATTAGTGCAAAGCTCACTTTATCGCGCCGATAAGATATATGCGCTGAAAGCCAAGCAATAGCAATAACAATAATATTTATAGATATTCCGTCTGCGTATTCCATTATTCACAATTCGTATTGACCGTGGGGTAGGCAGGCAAGTGTGGGGGCACTCAAACTGAGCACAATGGAGCTGTCTGTCCGAATGTTTATAAGTCAGCGTACGTAAACAACTTCGATCAAGTATGTTTCGGGGGGGACTACAAATTGAAATTTTCGGTTTTGTATACCCGAGAAAGAGATTATCTGGTTCTGCTTACTTTATGCCAGACATAACTCTGATACTATGAAAGATACAACTAGTCATTTTCTTAAGTTGACTCACAAATCACAATGGAAGAACATGAATTGCTAAGGAAAGCACAGTCGCCAGATTCCAGACATCGATTCCCTCTGGCTATTCCCAAAACTGACTAAGCCCAAGACAAGAATCTACGATCGAGGGGAAGGCATTGTAGGTATGACGCAACTTCTAATTATGTATAAACTATATAAAAAGCAGCTCAGATTAAAGCTGCGCATATAGCTTAGGCAGTAAAGTTTTCTACATGAACGTAAATCACACTCACAAACAGCACAAATGTGCACAGGTGCTCCTCAAGCTTAAACTGTGAGCTTAGCAAAGCAAACTGCGCAGAGAGCATCGTATATCTCTACTAATAAGGAGATGGATACACACACACACACACACACACAAAGTTAGCTGAACTGATGAAACGTGGCTGTGGTATATAATTGATAATTGTAATATGCACCTTGCTATCGCATTTCCACTTTGGGACAGGTGCAAAACTCAATAAAACAAAATTAAAACAACTTTCGGACTTTTTTGTTTTTGTTTTTGTTTTCGGTTTCAAGTTTCCGTTCGCAAAGTTAAAGCAAATGTTTGTTACTGTTGTTTTTGTTGTTGTTACAGCGTTTCCGCTGTCACTTGAAGAGGCGCCCAAGACAATTATATATATATACACATATATAATCCATATATTTATTTGAACAAGTGGCCGAGCATTATGTGTAATCAGCAAGTGTGCTATCAAGCAATCAATTCAATCAGTTGAGTTATTGCAGTAGAAGCTCTCATATGCATGCCAAGAGACATGGGACATGGAGTAATTAATAGTAGATTTTTCCCTCACTCCATACTGCTTTGTTCGATCAATTCGTACGTAGTATGGAATCGAAAGTGACTGTAGCTTGTGCCCATTCTCCCATGGAGACGGACTGCAGCAATTGAAGCCGCACAACATGCGTAACGTATACGCAGCGTGTTACGCGTCGCAAATCAATGAAACGAATATGACAAAAAACAAAAGCATTTCACTTACATTTACTTATCATCAATTTAGCTTATTTTGAAACAACAAAACTTACATTTAGCAACAAATTAATACATTTATTTATATACAGCATATATGTGTGCATACATTTATGAGAAAACGCTGAATTGCCGGAAGTGTTCTGTCTTCTCGCTTTCTACACTCTGTACTTGGAAGTGACAAAGAGCATATTTTTAAGATTAAGCAGTCAAATTATGGTTAGATTTTGCTTCAGGGAACTTCTTAATCTTAAACTTTTATTTATATATATTTTGTTATTTATCATAAATAAATAAATTTAGCTTTATATTACCATAGTCTATACAGCGTATTTCACAGTCGTTGCAGATCGTCTTTTCTTATTTTTCTTTCTGTTTACTTTTAATTGTTCTGTGGTTTATTTTTGTAGTTGCTTCTTTTTAAAGCCAACTGGTTTTGGGCCTTGCAGCTGACAAGACAACTCAGTGAGCTCCTCAGTAATGCCATTTGATTCTTGGTTCTTAACTTCAAGGCAGACTGAGCAACTAACTAATCTAGCGACAAATTAATCAGTAATGCAAAATAATTAATAAACATTCAGTCATATATAAACATAATTTACATACATTTAATATATATAATATGTCACGTTTGCTAGGTCTGGTTCTAGTTCGCGGTTCAGCTCACGTACACAGCACACGGATACTGCGTTTACTTCCACAGAACACTCAAGCCTCGAGAGTGCAAGCAGTGCACCAATACCAAGACGATGACTGAGGCATATGTATGTGTGTACGTAATTTGTGTGCTGTGAATATCACTTGTTTTTCAGCTAAATGTATGTTTATTTTTTGCTTTTTTGTTTGTTTTTATTTTTGTGCTTTCAAATGGAACAACAAATTTGTCAATAATATTTCAAGGTAAAGGCAATGTATCTATCTATATATGTGAACTGGTATCTAAAATGTTTTATTTTAGTTATTCTTTATAAGCTTCTTCGCTCAGCAGAGATATCTCAGCGATAATGACAAAATGTGTTCGAAAGCGCTTTACAGACTTTAGTCAAAAGCTAAAGTTTTCTTGGAAATCATAAACAAACAAATCTTTTGTGGTTTTTCCTGTAAAGTTGAAACATTTTAGTTTATCAATAAAAACAGTAGGGGTTTTTCAGAATATGAAAAGAACATATGTCTAAGGCACTAGGCACTCGCCACTCATAGTTCTTATCAGCGGATCGTATGTTTGGTAATTTTATTTGAGCGAATTATCCGCTTAACAGGTAAGCAAGCCACATAAGTAAATATTCAATTGCTACAGCAGAGCTGTCGACCCGTGGCTGGGCTAAAGATTTCCACATATGATATATATAATATAGATTGCGCGTCGCTCAGATAAGGTGACAAGTTGAGTTGTTTCAGGTTCACACTTGACTAAGAGACTTTATCTGAAGTCTGTTTGAGTTTCTGACTGGTTTATAAATTAAAATGACGCCATAATTGTGGCCAGCGAAATGTAAACTAAAGCAATGGGATGAATGAATGGGAAACATATACTATGAATATGTAAATATATATACATATATCATCGGCATGGGAGTTGAGCTCAGTTGAAATAAGTTGTAAATCAAAGTAATTAGACAGCCAGGTGTCAGTGGCTTGACACCTGACCGCCTGCCCGTATACAAATCCGAGTATTTGCATTTCAATTGATAAAATGCTTGGGAATCCGAATTAGACAAATGCATGCATGGCATATGCATATGCAAATGTATTTGCCGTATTATTAATTAAATTAGTTATGCCTTCAGCTATTCATAGTCATATGGGAGCTCGCACGCTGTTGCAAATTTAATTGCTGTCATTAACATTTGCTAAATGCGATTACATTAATGGAATGGGCAATGACTGTTTTGATAGTTAAACAGATGAAAGACTGTATCAGCACACTGCTCGAGCGGCTTCTGTTTTGATATTTTTATGAGTAGAGCACACTATTAACCCTTTTTATGAATTCAAAAATTTATGCACTATTTTATTGAATTTTAAGTGCAGGTTAAATATAATAGCTCTTCTCTATGACGAACTATTTCTTTAGACTATTAAATTCTAGACGTAATCAAAATATCTATTAAAAAAGTCAAAGGCGCTTTACGAGTAAAACATATATTAATCTCTATTTTTTTTTAATAAAGCGTTTTCTAACAACATTTTTAGTATAACAACATATGTAGTATAAAAAATGTTTTCTATGACAAACCGCTTAGCCCATCAAATTCATCAAAATTCTGCAGCTCATAAAAATGTAAAGAAAGTAACGGTAAGTCAAGGCAGTCAATGGTACTTCACTGCAATGAAATGCAACTAGAAAACAAATGAAAAGGCACTTCATAAATTTGATTTGAAAATAACAAATTTCTGCTTAACTTAAACTTCTCTTTCTTGTGTATAAATATTGCATTGTGTTTCATTGTGTTTCTCTGAATAATGTATTAGACACCCTTTACTTAACCAAACCAAACAATACCCCGTATTAAGTCGCTTCGAGTTGGCAAATAAAATTTTTGTTTGTGTTTGTTTTTGTTGCTGTTCATATTTCTAAGTAGTTTGCATTCGAACTTACCTGACATTTGCGTAGTGCTGGCCGGAGCCGCCGGTGCTCCAGTCTACATGCTCTATATCTGAGGAGGTTTTAGCGTTATCGCATGACATTTTTGTGTTGTTTTTGGTTGCTCTATGACCTGCATTCAAAAGGATGCATTAGTTGCGTTATTTTCTACAGAAATATGGTCACTCTTACGTAGCACCCTTTAAAATTTGTTTTGTTGTTGGTGTTGCTGCTGTTTTATTATTGTTTTGGTTTTATTTTTTCTTGCGACGTTATTATTTGCTGACCGCTGACTTCGAGCGTTTAACGTTGTTAGTTAGTCGATATGTTTATTTGTTGTTATGTTGCTATTGTTGTTATTCTATTTGATGCATTTGTTTGTTTTGAAATGGGAAACAGATGCTGCTGCGGCTGCTGCTGATTTATTTTTAGCAAATGCCTGTTCTGATTGATGTTTTTCCTTTTTTTCGTTTCGTTCTTTTGGTTCGTTGACTTCACACAGTTTGTTTTGGCCGGAGATTATTTTGAAGGTTTCAAAATAAATTTAAATTTCTATTGCACTTCGACGTAGGTTTTTAAGGCAATGAACTTTTATAATATCTGAGAGACGCAAATGTGAATGCATGTGTGTGTGTGTGTGTTTGTGCGTGCCTAGTATTATATATTTTGCTAATGCACAATAAATTAATTAAATTGATTTATTTAATATGAGTTTTTGGCGCAACAACACGACCAATAATCCGTATTGTTCACGATTGCACATATTTATATTTATTTGACCAGATGCAATCTGTTATAGTTACAAATAAAACAAAGACATTTTAATTTAACCTGCGACATAAAAGCACTTGCACAGACAAGAGCTGCGACAACACTGCAGAGTGACTGCACCCTGCAATTATGAAAATACTTGCTTTCAGTGTTAGTCGATTATACTTCCTGATTTCGATAAATGAAATTTGGTTACCCTAACAATCGATATGTTTCAAGTATGTGCATTAATAGTAAAACAATAATAACAGAAATTTTAATATTTTAAGCTCTACCATGGATACGGGAGTCCACTGGAGCTACGATGTGCTCAAGAAAATGGAAATCGAAGGTGCCAGCGAACATGATTTGGATTGGCTGAAGGAATCGTTTGCCATCGAAATCGGATCTCCAAAAAATGTAAATCGTATAAATACTATAAAAGACTTAATTGACTGCCTGGAACAGGGCGGTCAAATCAGTGAAGAGAATATTGAACCACTGCTTAGTCTTGGCAAGAATAATATGCAACCCCAAGAGGCGGTAGACAATTACCTTAGAGTTGAGCGCAGAGCAGCTATAAACTGCTTCCAGGAATTAAGTCTAGCCGAAGAACTAAAACAACAATTGTACATCAATCCACAGCGAGCTGCACAGCCAGCAGTCGCAGCTCCACAACATTGTGTGACTGTGACGCAATTTAAAGAAGCGAAGCGCGCTGCTGTTTTTAAAAAAATTTCCCAGCAACTCGGTCGCTCTTGGCGAGATTTGGGCCGCAAGCTAAACATAAGTGAAGGTACCATGGACGAAATTGAGATGCTCTACCCACAGGATTTCAAATCGCGCATTTTGCGACTGCTCCAGATCTTTGAGGAGGACGAATGTAACGACCCCAGGCAACTGCTATTGCAACTGTGTCGTGGACTTTCAGAATGTGGACGGAAGGACTTGCGATACCGAGTGGAGCAAATAATGTCTCACTAGAAGCTATGTGATTACATTGCATTTTTTTTTCCATGAACAATAAAACTCCGTCTTCTGACAATTGGTTTGATTATATGCCAGTAATACGGGCTATGCGAAAAATGCGTTACAAAAAAACAGTTGCATAATTTAGAGATCATTTTTAGCATTTTTACAAAGTATAAATCGATTTAACACTCGAACTCTGTTTGACCATTGTATCCTTATGCAGTTGGTATTGAAGCAAATTTTAGCGTCCCAGACGCAGGGCATCCCGTAACTTGTATTCATTCTCTAGAGAGGAAACCGTTTTTGCCTTTCGCAGTACATATGGCTAAAAAGTAACATTTATATAATAAAATATATTTTTCTAATTTTCGCAATTGCCCGTGAACTAACCTGGCAGTGGTAGTGTTCGATATGCTGATATTGTTGCTGAAGCTTCTGCTTTGTTATTGTTTTAAATTTTTTTGTTGCCTCGATTTTTATTTGCTGACCGTTGGCTTTAGCATTTCATAATTTTTTGATATGTGTAAATTGCAATCTTTACTATTTATGAATGAACATATTTATATGTATTTGAATAGTTGTACTCACGTCTTATCACAAATAAAAAACTATTTTAATTTAACTGGCGACATACATTAAATTGCGCCCACAAGGGTTCCAATAGCATTGCAGTGTGGGCGTATATTTCATCTATGAACATCGATTACACTTTACGTTTTTGGAAACTGAAACCAAATTGGTCACCCTAACAATCGATACATCGCGGATCTGTGTATTTTTAGTAAAATAAATAATTTTGATATTTCATTACTTTAAGATCATGGCTGCAGAAGTTCACTGGGGCTATGATTTGCTCAAGAAAATGGCTATTGAAGGAGTCACCAGCAATGACTTGCATTACCTGAAGAAAACCTTTGTCAATGAAATAGGATCCCCAAGAAAATTGGATCGCATAAATACTATAGAAGACTTAATCGACTGCCTGGAACGGGGTGATCGAATTAGTGAGGAGAATGTTGAACCACTGCGTAATCTTGGCATGAATAATATGCAACTGCAGGTGGCGGTAGACAATTACCAAAGAGTTGAGCGCAGAGCAGTTATAAACTGCTATCAGGAACAAAGAGTAGCCGAAGAGCTACAAATGCAGTTGCACATCAATCCACATCGAGTTGTACAGCCAGCAGCCGCAGCTCCACAGAATTATGTGACTGTGGCGCAGCTTACAGATGAGAAGCGTGCTGCAGTTTTTAAAAAAATTTCCGAACAACTCGGTCGTTCATGGCGTGATTTGGGTCGAAAGCTAAGCATAAGCGAAGGTGCTATGGACGAAATTGAGATGCGCTACCCACAGGATCTCAAATCGCGCATTTTGCGACTTCTCCAGATCTTTGAGGAGGATGAATGCAACGACCCAAGGCAACTGCTATTGCAGCTGTGCCGTGGACTTTCAGAATGCGGACGGAAGGACCTGCGACGCAGAGTGGAGCAAATAATGTCTCACTAGCAGTTATATGTAATTCCATTGTATAGTTTATCTAACAGTATAGAAAGTATAATTTCTTTTTCAAACCTTAGTTTTCTTTATTTTTCGCAAATTCCATGACTAAAAAAGCGGCGCGTCTAATAATACGCTCCACTTTCTGATAACAAGAGGATGTCTCTCGTTTATTTCCTTTTTTTGGATCAGTTTGTTTACGTTGCTATGAATGGATTGGTTATAGACCAGTAATAAAGGCAACGCAAAAGAGCTAAAAAAAACTGTTGCAAAATTTAGAGAGCATTGCTCGAAATTTTACAAAGTATAAATCGATTTGACACTCGAACCCTGTTTGACCATGGTGTCCTTATGCAGTTGGTATTGAAGCAAATTTTGGCGTCCCAGACGCAGGGCGTCACGCAGTTTGTGTCCTATCTCTAGAGCGGCTTCCTCATTGTTGCCATTTGCAGTCCATATGGCTAAAAAGTACAATAATACACATTAACATTTGTCTAATTGTTCCAATTGCAGGGACATCTTACATATCTTATTGCTTTTGGCGCGAATATTGACAACAGCGCCACAGATCTGATCGGAATGATCGAATGCCTCACCAATCAAACAGAGCAGCTAGAAGAAAATACAAAATTATAACAATGGAAATTAGATTGCTTATATTTGGGTCACTTGATCACTTACCACATCGAGCCACAAGTTGTCCAAATCGTTCTTGGAGCTTTTGTTCAGTGTGATCACCCAGCGACCACCCTGCTTATTGGCAGCATCCTCCCACATTGGGCTAAATAGCACAATGGTTTAGAATTGCCTTAAATATAGCTATATACGTATATATATTCTTACCGAATGCCCTTCTTGAATAAAGAATAATCGCTGCCCAGTTTTATTTCAGATGGTGGCTTAATATGATTGTACAGACTCCAGAAGTCCTCGACTGTATCAAAGCTGGTAATTTCGTTTAGCATATCCTCCCAGGATTTGGTACGATCGTTCTCCAAATACCATAGGGTCCACGTATTCTGCAGCGGGTGTTTAAACAAATGCTCGGTGCGCACAGCTCCATCATCGGACTGTTGCTCGGCGACAACCTTTGCTTCCTCTTTGTTGGAAGCAACTTCGGTATCAGCAACTGCGGCAACAGCACTGGTTGGAGTTGGTTCCGGACGACCAGGCGCTACTGTGTTAGCGCTAGCATTGGCCTGTTCATTGCCAGCAGTCACATTGCTGCTCTGTTAAAATAAAAAGAGTTAAAACTAAATCAAATAAATTTGCCAATGAACAGCTAGAGTGAGGCGAATTCATTGGCAAATCAATTTTTACGTTTACTTTGAACATAGACTTGGGGTTGGCAAAATTCTTCATTCTGTGAAAGTCGCTCTGCATGTTGAGGCCGAACGAGTCGAAGAGGCTTTCGCCGCTGTTTCTGACGATGGCAGGGAGCGTGAGCGCGAGCTTTTGCGAGTGGGAGCGGCGAGACGATCAGACACTGATTCACTTGACGCGTTCACTAGTCGTTGCTGTGTATCGTATATACATATATACATATATATTTATATATGTGTGTATATATATATATATATATGTATAGATATGTGCGTTTTGAATGTATGTGGATGTGTATGTGTGTGTGCGTGCGTGAAGCTTTTCTTTTGTACTTTCCTATTTGTATGTAAATAACGGGCCGGGTGGAATTATTGCTTATTGCAGTATTTTAATTTTTGCCTCTTCTGTCAGTTGAGCCAAGCTGAGAGACGCTTACAAAACCGATTTTTGTTAGATTCTGGAGATTTAGTGGATGTCATTGACATTACACTGTCACTTTGCACTTATGTATGTCTTTTACTTTATTTATTTATTTTTTTTTTGCAGAGAGCTAAACTTGTTCAACTCGTGTGTTCAATTCGCGGCCGCTTTTACTTTCGATTTGTGCACAATTACTATGTATGTTGTATTTATATATATATATATATACATATATAAATATATATATATATTTATATGTCCTTTATTTGTTAAAAATAATACACGAAATATCTTTTTTCGGTACTGGAAATGGAAGTACAAATTCCGAAATGAATGTGTTGCTTGCACGCTAAAATTTACGACTACACAACACACACATCTGTCTGAATACACACAGTTTGCCTGGATCTTTCGTTTTTCTCACTGGCAACTTTTGATCTTTGTGGCAAATGAGAAGAAAGAAAAAAAAAACTGAATAATATATTTAATTTAGATATAATTTGAGTGTGCAAGTCCCGATAAGTGCGGCGGCGAATAACTCAAAGCCAACGGACTAAACTGAACTGTTCATTTGACGTTAGCTGCAATAAAAGTCTAAAGCAAAGCGTCGCAGTCGCCATGGCAAAAAAAAAACTTAACTGTTGTTTCTCATGTTGGCTGCTGCTTTGTTTCTCATTGCAGTAATTTAGTTTTCTGTTTCTCCTGCTTCACCTACTTTTTATGCTGCACACACATACACATGTACACTCACACACACACACCTGTATTTGAACATATATGTATATGTATATATATATATCTATATATCTATGTACATGTATATAAAAAAGCGAGTAAGGCGTGTGTGCGCGAGTAGTTTCAGCGAATTCCAGCGACCGAGCGACACCAAAGAAAGAATGACAACCTCAGAGGCAAACTCGCGGCGTGTTTTTAAAGAGCATACGAAAGACACACACAACACACACGGCACAGCATATGCAAATGGAGAGAGCAACTTCGTAACGTAGCGCGAGAAAACTTTACGTAGACAACAGCGTGTAGATAATAATTAACTTTACTCCATTACGTTAACGGCAAAGAACAGAAGTGTGGATGTGTACGTAATTTAACTAATGGAAAAATGTAAATTGAAAATCTAGTGATGACTTGCCACGCCAGCTGCACTCATATACTGCGTGTGTGTGTGTTCATTCCCCTTCCTGCTCGCTCCCCTCTTGTGCAACAGCCCTGTTTATCGACGACCCTGCCACGGCTGAAACCATGCGGCACACATTTATCATATTTTTCTTACCTTTTCGTTCTCTGACACTACCATGATGTCAATGAGAATTTGTTTTAGAAATTACCGTATTATACGCACTCGATTTGCGTACTAAGACACCCGGTAATTATCTGTTAAACGTTAAATAATTGCGTCTGGCTAACTTTGTAAGTTCAATACAGCGTGACCGAATCTAAACCGATCTGAAAATATTTTTAGTATTTATTTCATTTATTTTAATGCTATTTTACTATTACTTTTGCTGGTCACACTAACATTATACAAGCGTAGTCTCACACAGCTGTTTTCGTTTAACAGACTGTTAATTCTCTGTACAATTTAAAAATGTGTTCTAAAATCTGAGAAAAACAATAAGCTGTTATGACATTGTTTCAATAAGCAGAAACATTATAAATTTTTATATCTTGAATACTCATACAACTATATAAAAATTAATTTTCATACATTTATTTACTTATTACTTTTTCTTTTGAATTGGATCCGATTCAAGCTTTAAATTTAATTTAAAGTCTATAGGCTTATCATAGCCCATAATGCGAACATAATGTTCGGGATCATCAAAGAGCGCTGGGTCAACGAAGAGCGGGCGATTTTTTACCAAAAACGAGGTAAACATGCCCGGAACCTCCGGCACAGTCACGTCACTTGCTCGAAATTTCGTCTAGAACAAAAAAAAACAAATTTGAATTATAAACTGAATCACAGCTCAATCGGAACGCTTGACTCACTTTGATCTTCAACAGTATTAAGGATATTGTGGTAGCAATGTATTCATCCGTAGCTTGATTGTAGTGCAGTTCCGTCACATACTTCTTGGTCACAAAATGTAGCAGCAAAGGCGTCACAAAGGTAAAGAAACCACCTACCGAGCATAGGAAGATGGCCATGCCCGTGCCACCTATTTTAATGCCCTGCTCCATGAGAACGGGCTGAGCAGCCAAGCCGGCCAAACTGGTGGTCAGCGAGAAGAGCTTCACCATTCTCATTCGTGGAGCCAATGTTCCATAATATATACGTTTAAGATCTTTAGCCTCCGAATCCTTATCAGCCACTCGCGTTGTCAACCATCTGTGTTGATTCTGTTGTTTTTGCTGGCGGTGCAATTGTGCTGTGTGTAATTGTGTTCTTGACCAGGCCGCAATTCCGCAACTAGGCTGCACTTGAACAGCCCGACTCATATGCATCAGGGCCAGCGTAAATTGCTTGCCATAGCGTATTGTAAACATTTTATTAACTTCTTTTTTACTAAGAATTCACTAGTTTTTTTCTAAGTGGCTGCTTGCAAATGCTTTATTATTGAATAACATATCACATTTTGAAAACAGCTGTGCTGTTAACACATGTTGCAGGCTGTTAAGCGAACGCATATTGAATGACGTGAAGTTGGTTGCGCTAGTCAGAGTGTGGTCGATCCATTTGTGGGATTAATGTGCGCGACATTTGAAACTAGAAAATTAACTATTAAATTCGAATATATGCGTATGCTTAAATGCACATATCTAAATGAGATTAGCATCTTTACTTAACAGCCAACTGCATACATTATGCTGTTCTATTTAGGTTGAATACAGCAAATTAACACAGAGAATATTAGCTTAAGAATGGATATGCCAATAATGGCAAAGCAATTATAATTGATATCAAAAACGTGCACAAACAAATGAAACTTGGAAGTAGCTCTGTTTGTTATATTTGTATGTAGAACATGCGTACATATATATCTATACATATGAATTGAAGCTGAATTCATAATCTGCTTAAATCGAGTATGAATTCAATGTGTGTGCCTGACTGTGTATGTTTTTGCTGTTGTTGCACTTGATTAACAATCAATTTTGTAATGTGCATGTTTGTGGAAAGCAATGCAAGCACACAAAATGCGCTTGTAAATGCACATTAATGCCAAACGAACAGATGGGTAGGCGTGGCACATATATATGCCACAGTGAAGACTCGCATAGGCGGCCGCCAATTGTGAGCTTAAGGGCAAAAGGCGAACATTCGTACATATGTATAATATATACTAAAAATGAGAACGAGAGCTTAAGGCTGTTCGCTAATAGACAGTTTTACTGTATATATACATATTTATGTACAATATATATGCATCTTTGCGCTGTTCGTTGCAACCGCAATTTTTAATTGATTTCGTATTTTAATTGTTAATATGTCAGAAATTTAATTTTTCTCTACATTCATTATTGAATGTTCTTTATGTGTGTTTTTGGTTCATTGCATGCCACAATTTGTGGCCTTGTTGCATGTCCATAATTTGTTTTCTATGTCAAGTGCTCAAAACGAGTTACAATCTAGCTGCATCTACCTTTTCCACTTCCACTACCACTCCCTCTCCCGTTCTCTCTTCCCCCTCTCTATCTATCTCTGTCTCTTTTTAATGCACTGAGGCGTAACTAATCAACAATTTTCAAAGTGACCAAAAATCACATTTGAGTTGAATTTGGATTTGACTCTCTTTCCACTGCGAATCGGTCAACTGCTCTTGTGACATGTGCATACGCCTGCCACGCCCACCTGCCTGCCCGCCTGCTGTGGCAATCCTTTTGTTATCCGTGCCTTTTGTTGTCATTTCATTATTGTTATTTCATGCATCATATGCACTGCGCCCCCATCCCATCCCTTTTCGCTGTCTCACTCCCTCGCTCCGAATTTCGTATGCAGACGAGCCAAAATAATTCATGACCAAAAAGTAGCATTGATATATGAAGCGATGAAGCTGAGAGAGGGAGATGCAAAGAGGGTGCTAGCTTAGGCAGCGCAAATTGCACACTCAAATAAACTGCACTATTAATTTGATTATTATTTTTTAAACCTCCTGCCATACAAATATATACGATATATATATATATATATATATATATATATATATATTTATATACATATATACATATATATCGAATTCTGATTAATGTAATTTCTGGTTACATTTGCCTCTTGCTTAATTCAATTTTTTCGCTTAATTTATAAATTATGCACAATTATGAATTTTTGTTGCGCTCAAAATCTATCAGCGAAAAAACTCAACTCAAAATTAGCTCAACACAAGTGCTGCTGCAGGCACTCATTTGCTCCTTACGTTATTCTGCAAAGGCATGCTGCAACATGTTGCGTTCGCTGTTTGATGTTGCGTTCGTTAAGGAGAGCATCGAACTCGTATACGCAACATTGTGAGTTGCCTGTTGTGTGTATCCTGTTTGATGCAACACGCTGTGTGAATTATGCGAGTTGCTGCTTGTGTTCGAATGCAGCCTGAGTGTAACTCAGTTGTGATGTCTTCATTGGGGAAATTCATTCGAGTGGAGTGCCTTTATAATATAATCCCTTTAAGTCCGTTGCCTGCAAGACTTTGCCAGCACTCAAAATTCCACTCAAACTTAGTTTAGTAGCTCAAACATAAATGTAAATGTAATTACAATTAACTTTCTAATGAGCCTTGCTGCAAAAGATGTTGCCAAGGAGGAAAGGCAGCCTGTGAAATTCACACGATTCGTAAAACGCGTTTTTGTAATTGTTGAATATTTGCATGCAGTTTGAGTACTGCCTGGACCTCCACAGCTAGACGTGCAATAAATCATTTAAAATTCACTTTAACACGCGCAAAACACCCAGCCACATCCTGACCAACCAGACCGAGATAGACAAGGTAAAAGAGAGAGTGAGAGAGAAAGAAGGAGATGGAGAGGGAGAGGGAGAGGACGAGAAGGAAAGATGTAGGATCAACGACGCATGCAGTTTTCATAGCGAGTCCCAAAGGGAGAAGGGGCCAGTTGTTTGGCGAAATGCTAAACTAAATGCTGGAATAATTACAGACTTAAACTATGCGCATATTCAAAAACAAGCAAAAAGAATGCGATGAGCATACAAGCCGATGTCCAGGATGTGCACACCAGGCCATACAAAGACTACAAATTTTGAGAACTCGCTCGTACAGGTGGCAAATGGAAACATTGTATGCTATCTAGTCGTGTGTACAGTAAAAGCTCCAAAAAACAGGATAAATATATATACATGCTTCATTTTGAGTATTTTTTACTAAGCAAATTTAACGAACAAAATTAAACTAATATTTGAATTATATCGATAACGAAAAATCTTTAAGTAATCGAAAATTTGTAATTTACTAGTGCACAATATCCGTTTCTTTTATGTCAATAACATTTATTTCTATTAATTTATTACTTCTTTTATCGTACTTGTGCACTATAGCCAATACTCACCGTAATTGGGGTGTGTGTGTGTGCATATGGGTTTGCCTATGAAAATATGCTTTTTCATTGTCAAGCATATATTTTTCTACCTTTCGTATTTTTGCAGCATAATTCATGTTCACGCTAACTCAGTGCCATTATAATGTTTCGTTAAGTTATGTTTCGGTTTTGTTGTACTCTACAAATTGGTAGTTCATTTCGTGCACATTTTCGCTTGGTTAGATTGTAAATTGGTTTATAATTTATACGCCCTTTCGAGTGTGCAGCCAGCCAAGCCATAATTTTCAACGTTTAATAAAGACAAATGTGTAGCAAATGGGTCAATTTCGGGGCACATGGCTTTTGAATTATAGTTTCTCAGCAGCATTGTATACTTATATTTTTTATCATTTATCTAGTATTTAATTTAGATTGCTGTTGTGAACAGCGTACCTCCCTTATCTGCACTAGCAAGCAACAAGGATCTGTCGATAAGTTCAGCTAGTGAGGAGTGGATCAGTTATCGTTAAGTCCAAGTGTCATTATCGAACCATCGAAAACGCTGTCACAAATGAATTCAGTTAAAAGTTAAAAAGCACATTAATTAATGGTATACATATTTAATGTTAGTTTCATCAAGCAGCAGATATAATTCACTTTGCCCACTTTTCCAGCAGCTTGCTTTGTCCTATTTTGCTATTTTCTATTAGTAACTTGGTCGCTTTGGTAACGGACAACGGGCAACGGGCAACGGGTAACGAGTAACGGGTAGCGCACAAGTTGTACTAAAATAATTACTGACAAAGCCTTAAATATTAAATTACACACTTATTTATTTTTGCCAAAGGAGAAGAGGTGTAACGGGCGGCATATGGAGCCGCAATAATGAGAAGCTGCAACTACTCGACACTCGTGTCTGGTCCTGTCGCACTTCCTGCTCTTCGCCTGCTGCTACAATGTCCTTGTCCACGTCCTTTGGCTGGGCTATTCAAATACCTTTTCAGCCACTCTGCACTGCCCTGCGCAGCACTTTGCCATGGCCAGTGGCACTGGCACTGCTACTGCCACTGCCACTGCTACTGCCACACTCTGGTGTTTACTTTGTGGTTATTTTGAGGCTACAAGTTGCAACTTTTACATTCGCAAGGCGAGGCGCAGGACCTTGTCCTGTGGCTGTGGCTATAGATGTGGCTTCGTGCTGCGGCTGTGTCTGTTGACTGTCAGGAAATATGCTTAGATGCTTACCTTAATCTAATGCAAATGAAATGACAGCCGAGTGGGCGACTCTTTGCTCATCGATTTGGTGTCCTTTCATTAACCTAGATTGCGTGCAAAAAAAAGAAGCAAAATCTTAAATTTCAATAAGCTGACTACTGAGGCGAGGCCATACGAATGGGTTTACCAGTTAGTCCCAACGAAGTTTTATGCCTGTCCAGATGCATGTGCATCCATGTCTTTGTTTCTGCACCGACGCGCAGCGGACTTTGCCTTCAAGCTGTCTGCCAGCATTTAAATCAAAATTAAACCCACCGAAAATAAGCTACTGTTAGATATGAGGGGGTTGTACATATGGGCGGCAAAACTGTACTGTAGTGCTCTAGTTGCAGCAACAGTCAAGTGTCCAAAGTCAATGGCTGCTGTTGGCTGCTGCCTGTTGTGCTGCTGGGCAAACGTTGCGTATACGTAACGTGCTGTTTGTTTTCTTGTCCTGCGATTTAACAGACAACGCCTCCGTATGAACATGTATGTGTGAGTGTGTGGCGATTTAATAAAAATAGATGAGTAAACTGGCATTAGAGTGCCAGTGAGAGCGTGTGTGTGTGTGTGTGTGCGTGTGCCACACACAGACACGAACTTCATTGGCTTTGTGCCTTTGGCTCACTTCAAGCGTTACAAATTTAACTTTAAGCGTTTTGACGCTAAGTAGTTGATGGCAGCATCGCCAGCTACAGCAGCAGTTCCAGCTGCTGCAACCATTGGCAACTGCTTTTGAGTGCATTCCCACATTATTTCTTTAGAATATATCAAAAGTTATAGTTAAAGAGTTGCATGTTTGGAGAGCGCAGACACACATATTCCCAACGATATATATATATATATAGATACAATTTATATATGTGTGTATTTATAACGCCCGCCCGCCGTCACAGCGCATTTGCTTCCGGCACTTTGACTGCCTTGACTGGTTGATTCTAGTCAGCACGCTTCAATGCCAGAGCACAGCTTCCCCCTTCTCTTTCGGCTCCTGCTGACATACACGCATCCTTGAAGCGAAATTGAAGTGTTTGTGCGAAGCGCACAAGTGGCCAAAATGTGCATGAAAATAGCTTAGAGCAGCATGAAAATTGTGACAGCAGCAGCTGAAAGAGCAGCAGGACCAGCGAGTTTTTCCCCAAACTGATGTCGATGAGCTTCGCTTGCGCCAGCAACAGGACACAACGCCAACCACGCTTATGATCACAATGGAAATGCGAATGATAATGTTAAGATGAAAGGAGCAACGACTATATGGAAATGCGGATGCGAATGATGTTACGCATACTCGTTTCACTTTAATATTGCATTACACCCACACTCCTCGCATATATTTGAAGTTTCGTATCAGGAGCAAAGGCAAGAACAAGAAATCTGTTTGCCAACCGCCAAGGCGGCAGCAGGAGATGGCAAGCTCAACAGCTTGTTAACAAGTTAAAGTATTTCAATTTATTTTCTAATTAGCTTTTGGCTTTAAGTAAGTGAAAAATGTAGAACAAGAAATAGAATATATATACATTTATATGTTGACTAAATGTGGGACTTATGCAGTTTAATTAACTTCCTTTTGTTGTACAGCACGGCGTATGTGTAACGATAGCAACAATTGCTTTACTGTATACTATGACGCAGCTAAGCTGTTTAGCCTCAACCCAAATGATTTTGAATAATGAATGCAGTTGCATTTCCCTTGGCCCTTCGCCTCCCCACACTCCCGCACTCACAGTTGTCCCTGGCAACCAGATGCCAATTAGCCAATTAGCTGCTGCTTTGGCTTTAAATCTGAGCTACTTAGTTTTGTGGTTAAATCTTGGGCCAAGTGCTGCGCATGGCTTGACTTGGTGAAAATTCATAAACGAACTTTATTCATTAGTTGGCGACACAAGTCCAACAAACATCAACAGCAACGGCAACAGCAACAAAACTCGTAAGCGAAATAAGTTTCTGTGCAGCGAGTTGTTATGAAATTTAAGCAAGTTGTCATAAAAATGTTCACACCCAAATCGCATTACAAGAAACACCCAAAAAACCCAACCATTGCCGGGATGCATCGAATAACCACTGCCACAGCAAAGTTCGCCACCAAAATCCACTGTGGTTACAACTTTTGCTCTTTGGGGAAGGCTGCAGCTGCAGCTGTTGCTGCTGTTGCTACTGTTGCTGCTGTTGCAGTTGCCATTGCTATTGCTGCTGTAACTTGTTGTTGCTGCTGGCCACAACTTTTTGGCTGGCACAATTGACACCTTCGCTATGTGGGTGAAGTGGTCTTTAACGTGGCCTTAATGCAGCCTACCTACATCTTAATTTGGCTAGCAGCTTGCCAGGCGCCTCTTGTTATTGCCAGATGCTCAAAAGCTGAAAACTCAAAACTGAAAACTTTGCACACAGCAATTGAGGCGGATGAGCGACATTGTTTTTGCTTACGACAAAAACTAAACGTGCCCAATGCGAAATTCCACTAAATGCGCACAAAAAAACAATAAAAAGAAAAACAATAAAATTAAAATGAAAGCCAGTGGGAGTAAGGTAGGCGAGAGAGAGAGAGAGGGGTCGACTTGCAGATACCTTAACTATTAAATTGGTTCAGTTGAATAAGGATTTACCAGTTATAATCTTTTTTGAATGCCAATGGACAGCTTAGATACGCGGGAGCTACAAATCAGCGCTATCGACTGGTATATAATCCTAAAGGAATTCATTCAAAAATGTTTTCAAAAATCGAAAACTACAGAAACTGCGTATTGGTTACTTAAGCTGAGCAGGAACATAGCTGCTTTATAGAGTGAGAAGAATTCTAAGGAATAATTGAAGGTAGTACGTATGTGAAAGCACCCAATACACCCCAGTTGCCCATAATCAATGGGTATAGGTGATATAAAACGATTTCTTTAAGTTGTGCAAGTTCTTTTAATTTTAATTAAACGGATGAGCAGCAATTAGCGAAATAAATTCAACAATTTTGCAAATGAGCCAGGAATGGGGCCACAGCGGGCCAAGTCACTGCGAGCCCAAGTGGGCGTGGCAAGTGAATTTGTCGTAACTTTTGGCCGGAATGCGGGCCAAATAGCAAGCAAACAAAATAGAGCTGACAAAAAAATATGTTTTTACTGCAGAATTTAGAAGTTTAACAACAACAACAAGTTACAGAAGAGACAGAGGATAGAATGAGAGAGTGAGAAGTGAATGTGGAACTCGCTCCTTTCTATGGGCTCTTTGTATAGGGCCTTCAATTTTCAAGTTGAAACCCAACAAAAAAAATCTGTTTTTCGTGGCCTTTCAGCATCCATTTTTGGTAATTTTTTTTTTTTATGTTTATTCATTTTGGCTTTAATTGGAGCTCGCTTACTTGCATTTTCGTTGTCACTTTTGGATTTGCACCCCAAGAACTTAGCCATGGGCAAATGCATTCTATTCTTTCCCCTTTTGCTTCTTGCTGTACTTTTGCATTTAATTACGAAAGTTTTTTAATTAAATTACTGTGAAGAACATCTGTGTCAAGCTGAGGTTCTTTTTTCGGCTTAACATAATGGGCGAGAGAGCAGGCTAAATGACAGCTACCTCTATTTCCGTACTCTATCAATGTGAATCCCCGCATGAAACGAATATGATGTAATTGTATATTCCCCTTGTATCAAAAGAACAGCAAAAGAACATTGTAAACAGATTTTTGCTCTTTGGGGAAGCTCGTACAGTTTTAAAGCTGAGAGACAAATATATAAGTAAATATGGAATATGGAAAGTATATAAATAAATAAATAAAACAAGAGTTTTCCTAAGTATTGCCGCACAAAGCTGACAACTGTTTGAGTCGCCCTCGCAGCTGTTCCAATTGTGTATGCTTTTATATATGACGTTCACAGAAAAGTCACCTCGTCTATCTGCTCTTAGGTGCTTATCGGAGGTCAATAAGTGACAGCACATTCTCGAGCTTGCCTCAGTCACTGAAATGAGCTCCGCGTGGCGAGTACTGCTGGTTGTTGTAGCACTCACAGCTGCTAATGGGCAGAGTAGCGTGTCCATAGTTTCTCGCAAGGATTGGCATGCCCGGCCACCAAGTGGAGAAATGACACCAATGTCGCTGCCCCTGGGTCGGGCTGTGATTGCGCATACGGCTGGGCGTGGCTGCACCGACGATCAGAGCTGTGCCGAGCAGGTGGCCGGTATCCAGACGTATCAGATGGTTCGCTTGAAATACTCAGATATTAGCTATCACTATTTGGTTGGTGGCAACGGTCGCGTCTATGAGGCACGCAGTCCCAGCCAGCAGGGTGCAATAGCCGCTGGAAATAACGCCAACAGCTTGGCAATTGCCTTCATTGGAAACTTTGATTTGGAGCCACCCACAGATGCAGCACTGGCCGCTGCCCAGTCGTTGCTGGAGCATGCTGTCAGCCAGGGAGAGCTTGCCCAGAGTTATCAGCTGCTGGGCCACCGACAGTTGAGCGCCACCAAAAGCCCAGGCGACGCACTGTACACAGTTATAAGGAACTGGCCGCAATGGAGCAGCACAGGAGATGGGACATAGGAACAGGCGTTTGAGACAAGTGTTTAGATTTCGACACGTAAAGACCATTCCTTACACATTTATTGTAAATATAATTATGTATAATTTGTTGCTTGCTTAAATACGAATACTAAACTTTTAATTTTGTTGATCTGTTTTCTCATTTCATTTGTTTATTATTATTATTTTTTTTGTTTTCTTTCATCTCGATATACTCGCTCGCCTTACGTTTGGTTATCGCTTTTGCAAAGCTCCCCGGGAGCACTGGGCCACAATAGAGATTTGAGACATCACATAGCATTCACTGAACTTCCAAAATAAAAACCTAAACTAACTTTACAGAACCTTAAAGCACAGAAGCAAAAGAACAGCTCACTTAATGCAGAGAAGATTAGAGGCAAAACTAGCTGGCTAGCAACATAACCAATATCAATTGCTAATGCCAATATCAATTCAAATATATAGATATATATCTATAAATACATGTGTGTATATATATATGTAGATATATAGATTATGATTTAGAAAATAGAAATAGAAAACAAGGAACTATACAAAATTCGTAAAGTACTTAGGTAAAATTGCACTAATATACGCCACCATTCGTGGCGGCATTACCATTCTGTTGCTGTGCTGCCACAATGGGCAGTTGGAGCAGCCAGTCTCGCTTGGCCTGCCCCTCTGGCGTATCACCACGCTGTGCGCTTAGCGTCTGGAAGCAGGTGGTCAATCCCACGCTGGGTGTGAACTCAGCGCGTTCGCGCAGTTCTTCTTCTGTGGCCAGCATAATGCAATCCTCATCTATATCCTCGCCGTCCGCATAGGCCGGCTGATGTTGCTCGATGCCGTTGCGCTGCTGGACTATGCTGTCGCTGTTGCGCCGAAAGGACTCGTCGGTCTTTCGCAGGAAATTGTATAATGCCACACAGCCCAAGACCACCTCATTGACGTGCTTCTCGCTAACACGCAGTGGTTGCGCCAGTATCGGGAATATATTGCACAATATGCGCAAAGTTTGCTCAGCATGAGCATTGATCTGTTCCAAAGCAGCGTGCGCGGCACTCTCTTTGGCTACAAGCCGGGTGCTGACCAAATACGACGTGCTTGGTAGCACCGCATCGCCGGCGAGATAATAGCCTTTGCGATGCGGCTCAGATTTGGCCTCCAGTGCCTGCATCTTCTGTTCGATATGCTCAACGGCAGTGGTCTGGTTGTAGATATCATTTGGTCGACTGTTCGCTGCACGTTCCACCTTCACATATTGGAAATTGTTGTCAGCATCGACAATGGCCGTAAAGATGACGGTGGCTCGTTTGCGTTCGTCGTTGCTGATGCTGTTCTGCAGCTGAATGCTGCGCATAAATAGATTACCCACACACTGGGGCAGGTTATGCTTGCGCTCCATATCGGTGGCTGCGATGCGCCACTGCTCATCAGTCTTTGGTAGTGTCACGTATTGGTCCTTCAGGTGCTCATAGAAGCCCAGACATATATTGGCAATCATTTCGTTTATCACAAATTTGGAGGCACGGAAGCAGTAGTTTCGACAAGAATGCACTTCACCTGCAATATACATACATATATGTTTATGTATACTAACCATTCTACACATGGGTTTAGAAAGGAATTAAAATCGATTTGTGAGCAATTTGCTTACCCGTTGCCAAATACTTGAGCGTTATGGCCAGACGCTCCTCGGCGCTAAAAGATTTCTTCTTGCGCTGCGGCGCATACTGACTGATGATGGGCTCTAGTTTCTCTACCAGATATCGAAACTGGCTCTCGGTTATGGCTAGGAAGTAATTCAAATGGTAGCACTCGTCCTTTCGCGACTGTAGCTCACTAAGCAGATTCTCCTTGCTGAGAAACTCAGATTGATTCTTGCGGAGCCACTCCTTGGTCCATTCGAGACGCCGTCGCGTATTCAATATGCCAGCAAGATCGAGTGCACTGATTTTTGATGTTTGTGGCCGTGAGAGCACAGACGTGCGTGCCGCACCACCCGCTCCAGTGGCAGTAGCACCACCACTAGCTGCATTCAGTGCATGTGCATCGGTGCGTTCTGGTCCAGGGGCGTTGCCATTGCCGTTGTCGTTGCCATTGCCATTGCTATTGTCCTGCGTGACCCCATTTGCAACAACCGCACCCACGCCCACCTGATGACTGCCAACGCCAGCAGAGACGCCGCCGCTGCGATTCACATTCGTGCCACCGTCGCGCTCGCGCAGCACACCGATAACCTTTAGTTTGATTTTTTCCATTGCCTGGAAATGTATTCAAATTTTGTAGTGGGCATCTCTCATCAAAACAGTTCGTCAGCTCCTCGTACACGCCCCGCCCCGCCCACGACAAACACTCGCCCTCGTGTACAGGGCTGTCACAATCGTGTGCGTGTGTATGTTTGTGGCGTTTTGTGCAACAAATCGATTTTTACTCACCCTCACTCTCCGCTGTGCTGAACTGCCTTTCGCTGCTGCTGCTGCTGCTGCTCCCGTTCCTTCGTTGCCGTCGCCGTCGTTGCTGTCGTCGTCGTTGCTGTCGTCGTCGCTGTGTGTATAACCAGTTTCGTTCTTTGAGGGGAACACGGTTGGGCTGTTGTATAATTAGAATTATTTGCACCACTGTCTCAACATTCGTTTGTTATCTTTATCTTCAATGAATTTCACAAATTTGCACGTAGATTTTAGTTTTGCATCTGTCATCTGCTTCTTGGCTTCTGTCAACTCAATACGATATGCGATAGCAACAACGACGAAGAATCAGAAATTTTGGCAGCAATTTCATAGCCCGTTTGTGCGTTGTATTCTATATAGATTCCTATATAGTTTAATTTTTTAGCTGCTATGCAATTATGTGCTTAAAAACCACATTTCTCTTGACTTTTTCACTATGCAGTTGCCTTTTTTCCAATTTTCTATTCCATACGCACGAAGTGTTGCTTGCTCTCTTCGTCTTGCTGCTTCGTCAGCTGTTGCTTTCGTTGTCAGCTGTAATGTGTGGATGTGCAGTATTGTCGAGCTACCTGCAGAACGAACCAGTTAATTAATGAACTGAATCAATGAATTTGGTATTTTTTTTTGTTTTTAAATTAAATAATCATTAAAAAATAAATGCTATTTAATATATTTTGGTCTACAATGTGAACAAGTCTACTGCTTAACAAATACGAGCATGATTCTAAAAGTAAGTACTGCGAGTTTGACAAAAGAGTGGAAGAGAAAATGCTACTATTTACAAAAATACTACATACATCTTTTGAAATTGGTTACATAAATACTGCTTTGGCTTTTAAATAACAGACTGCTGTTAACAAGTAAAAACCACAAGCGCATGTCCGTCTTCGCCTTGACAACCCCAATGTGGTATTTAATTATGGTACTATTTTTCAAATACTAAATATGCACTCAAATTCAGTTTCAAACGCTTATAACGGCTAAGTCCATTTGGGGGTTTTTTCATTTACATACTCCATCTATATGTGAGTATGCAATGAACTCAAAAGAAAACAATAAGAGCAATTTTTTATTAAGCATTTTATTTGGTTATTCATACGCGTGTGGTTTACAATACAAATAATGTTTTTTTTTTGTTGTTTTTCTATTTGCTGTATGTTTTTAACACAAATATTATTATATTTATAACCCATTACACTGGCGATGCTAAGACGTTTTAATCTTGTAATAATTTATTATAATTTGAATACACGGCAAAGGTGTGCATTACGAAAATTAGCATTAAGTATATGATTCTGTTGTATGTTTGCGGCTTCATGTGAATAATTACCATATATCGGTTGTGTTCATCTTGTATATATAAGTATTTTAAATTTTATCTATGTGTGTTTCTGTTTCTGTTATGTTTTGTTATTGTATAATAATAATGTATGTATTTATGTATATTTTTCATTAAAATATGCAAGCGTAAAAATTTGCTTGGTTCTTGTAAAAAATGAGACTTTAAAAGCATTTCACTTCCCAGGCCTTCACTACTTGCTCTTTACATCGGCATGCACTTGTATATTTTGCTTAAATTAAACTACAATAATAAGCGACTCATTTAATACATACATATAATAGATATAACTACATCAAATTAAAAGCAAATGTGTATTCTGAATTCGATTACAATGCATTTAGCTCGAGAACTCTTGTTTCTTAGAAGATTTTACAAATTTGTAATTATAAAACATTAAAGCCAATTATAGAAAATGTGAAATAGCTTTCGCTTGCCATATTCAACTTTGCGATTCTTATAGTTTTTATAAATATATAAAATATATATATAAATGTGTTTATATATATTTATTTTTTATTTAAAACTCATGTGTATGCGTTTCATATTCATTTAAAATGTTTATATTGATGAAAAAATGACGAATTTGATAGTTTTTTTTTATTATTATGATCATCAAGCTTTTAGTAATATCAAAGTCCGTGACATAAAAAGTTGGTGATGTGGTGTCCCATTCAGTGTGTTTCATAGTCCGGATATAGGATGCGCCTTTACTGCCATCCTTAGTTAAATGTCTTGTCTGAAATGGTATATAAGAAAATATCACGATATTTAGTAAAGGCGAAATAGAATTTGTATATAAAGGCGACATTTGTTCTCTGTCTCTGTCAAAGTTGAGCTCTGCTGCTTCTATATTGAAACCAAAATAAAAACCGAAAATGAAAAATACAACTGAAAGCCGCAAGCCTTGCCTTATAATGCTTACCTAGCCAAATATTCTTAGTCATTGTTTAAGCCCTTTATTAATTAACTCTTTTCTTCTCATCTCTATTGGTGTTGCTGCTGCTGTTGTTGTTGCTGTTGTGTCCTTAGATCTTCATCCTCAACCACCGTCGACTCGTCATGTGACCAAAAACTGGCCGACATTTGTGAGGACGACATACCACCCACACCAGGGAATGAATCCTCCATTAACGTACTTGATGCACAGCTCGTCACGCTCCCCGACATCTGAGAGTTTCCAGCGCTGGTCTGATACGTGGCCGTTGTACCAGCTGAGCTGGTTTGCTCCATGCACAGGTTTAGAGAATCAACGGATATGTCCTTGGTCATACCGCTCTCATCCAGTGGCAATTCCTGAATACCGCTTCCTCCGCCGCTGGTAACCGTCGTGGTGGTTATTACACGCGTGACGGTGTGCTCTTGGCCATCGGCGTCTGTGCTGGTGGTTGTGGTGGTCGTTGTGGTGGTCAAACCATCTCCTAAAGTTACTCCGCCACCAGTGACTAGCTTGGACATAAGATCCATTTGCTCATCGCCAAAGGATTCAATACTCTCCTGTCGCGAGTGTCGCTTATCAATTTCCAAGGAGTCAATGTCCGAGCGTGTGGTGGCGTCCTTTGAGATATCGAAACTCTCTATGCTGCTAGTCATCATGTCATGGCTTCGAATCTCCATGCTATCGATGCTGTCCTTTTCCGAGTCCTGACTGTCAATTTTTGACTTTGGCTCCAGTTCGGTAGTTGGCAATTCGGTAATCTTCACTGTGCCACTAACTGCCCTCGAATCAAATTCTTCCCTTTCCAGCTGTTGCTTGAGCAAGAGTTCAAGGTTTTCGGCTTGGCCTGCTGGCAGAACCTCAGTGCGGGTCACAGTGCGCGTTACCTTGGTGACCACCACATTGCCAACGGCACCATGGTCGCTGCCGTTGGATTTGTTGGATTCATCGGAACGTGAGAGTAGTGCCGCTTCCTCTTTGGCTTTGATCTCAATGAGATGAGCTTCAATGCATGCATTTTCCAGTCCCTCAAAATCTTTAAGGCTGGATATGGAAACATCATCGCCAGGCACTGGTCCACTGCCGCTGTGCCTCACCATATAGCGGCGTGTAAAGCTACCATTGCTAGAGTCTGTTGAGCCTTGGTGGCCACGATTTCGGTTCTCCAGCGAAATGGCCTGCTCCAGAGACTCGAACTCTTGCAGGCTGCTCATAGAAACATCATCGTGCTCACCGCGCGAATGATAACGACGAGCTGCTAAATCATATTCCGGTGTACTCGAGAAGGAATCCTTGAAGCTGCTAATACGACTGCTGCCCACCTCGAATTCTCCATCTTCCTCCTTAATGTCCTCCAACACAGCGCCCGCTAAATCATAAGGATATCGCAGCTGTGTATCTGTCAGCTGCATCTCGACCCAGCGCTTATTTGCAGCTGCAGTGTCGCTCGAATCGCTTTCCTCCTGCTGCTCGCTGCTGCTGCTAGCTCCAGTTGGTGGACTTTCCTCAAACTCAAAGTTGAGATCGTCCTTGTACAACTGGGAGCCCAGCTTGGGATCGGCAGGAGCTGATTTTATGATAATCTTTTCAACATCCTGATCGTGCTTTTGCTCATATTTGGTCGGCTTAATCTTTATGCTTTTGCCACCCAGGTCAACCTCATTGGCCTCTTTGGCTACCTCCTCGATGATGACAAACTCATCTGAGATATCAGGTTGTTCAACCATTTCAAAGGAGTCGGGAGAATCAGCTGCCCTTTGATCGTCGTAATCTGCGCCCACTTCGGCTCGCTTTAGCTCCTCAAGTTTCTGTTTGTACTGCTCCTGCACTCGCCTTTGGAAGTCAAGCTCTTTTTCTTCTTCTTTTGCTTTTTCGTAGATGGCTACATCACTTGCCTTGTTTAGCTCCTCCTCAGTGCGAACTTTGTACAGCGTCTTCTCCGGAAAATCATGCGCATCTTCTTCCAAAATCGGCGACTTTACATCTTCTGTAACCATTATGTCGGGAATATTTGAATAGTCGTGCATATTTTGCGAAGGTCGTCGCTCTTCAATCATGGCAGCTTCCGCTTCGAGCTCCTCTGTAGCATCCTCAACAATAACTTCGGCCACCAGCTGAGATGGTGTGAATGGACGTTTCTCAAGCTCTGAGCTGTGATCCATTTCAGCGGCGGCTTGTTTTTTTTTCTTATGTTTTCGTTCTTTCGGGGAACGGAACTGACGAGCATATTCGGATTCATAGGGGTCTGTATCGGACTCGCTTTCCGATTCCTTGCCTTCGCCTGATGATGGGGCATCCTTGTCTAAGTTCTTTATCGCTTCTCCAGAAATGGTCGTACTTTCATTACGCTTGTGACCGCGTCTTTTCGATTCACTGCCAGGCGGAGTACTGGCATTCGAGTCTTGTGGCGAGCTTTCTTTACTTTCCATTTCTAATACGAATGTATCTTCGGGTACAGACGCGGATGGGATTGGATCCTCATGGCCATACTGAAAACCTTCAATACCCGTCAATGATGAGGAACCGGCAGAACCGATTATATCATCAAAGTTTTCCACAACAGTGTCAATATTTGATGTACTCGACATGCTAACAGAGAGAATGCTTCCCTCATCTAAGCTCGAGGCTAGTTTCGACTCATCGATTGAACGTCTGGCATCACCGTGATAGAGCAGTATGTCCTCTCCCTTTTCGCTATCACGGGGACTATCGATCTTTCCCTCTTTCTCTTCAATTGGATAAGCTAGTCCCCAAGTGCGTTCGATCTCTTTCGGCTTGGGATACTCATCAATTTGCACAGTCTCGGTCGTTTGTTGTAGAGGTATAATATCAGACTCAGACTTGGGCTTGAAAATCATTTCCTGAGAGCGTTTCATCGCACTTTGCTGCTCGGCAGTGGGATAGGAGGCTATCATATCTAGACTTTCATCACTATCGTCGTCGTCAGCTCGCAACTCGTGAAGGCGCGCCATTTCATCAGCCTCCAAGGCGTCAGCTTCTGTTGATGATGCTACCAAAGTCTCCGATAATTCAGAAACATCGATGCTTATCAGATTGGCCGATGTCTCCGACTGTGAGTCCAGGCTGCGCATGCTCTCATGCGAGCTAATCGACTTGCCACTGCTGCTACCTAGAGTACTGACTGCACTTACGTATTCGGTGCCATCGCGGCAGGTGGAAGGTGTGAAATCTCGAGCAGTTTGATATTCGCTTGAAGTTCCGGTACCTGTAAGCAAGTTTTCTACATCAGATGATAATGGACGACTTTGTGTTTTATCGAAACTCTTGTGGCAGCTGTCGCTGGAGCTGGAATTATCTACATCTGGAATCGACCAGCGGTTGGTGGAGTCTGGCGAGGAATCAGTTTTTATGCGATGGACTACTAAGTCTACTGGCTTAATACTCTGATCAGAAATCGCTTCTTCGAAAGCGCTGCTGATGGATTTATCTGCAACGGTTCCTTCCGCGACTATAGATGCTGTGGCTAACCTCTCTGTGTAATAGTCCTCCATTGAACTAAAGTCTTCAGCTGTTTCCGTCGAAATAAATCCAAGTGAGCCTTGCTCTTCCTTTGCCAAACGCTCCTCCATGGAACTAAAGTCTTCAGCTGTGCCCGTTGAAACAAATCCTAGGGATCCATGATCGTCGCGTCGATCTACTTCGCTAAGCACTTCTTTTGCATAATGAGCCATAACAGCTTGCTTTTTTAAAGTCTCCTTGACGGTAGTATCGAAAAGACCCTCTGGTGGTTTTGTAGCATCTATTGTAGAGGTCTGAAGCTCCGGTATTCCTATAAAGGATGAGACATCCTCATTTCCAATGTCAGAGCTGAAGTCTTCAGGCACTCTGCTAAGTTCAAATTCTCTTTTAACTGCCTCCACGGATTCCTGAATCTTTTCAGTGGGCTTCTCAGCCGATGCCTGTGGCTGTAGTGGCGAGTGAACTACCTTTGGTTTACTTGCAGTGGGAATTTCTTTTTCAGCCATTTCCCACTCACTTTTCTCAAGTGGCAGCTCGAACTTATCCGGCTTTTCTACTATTGTATTGACTATCTCAGGAATTTCCTTGCTGGATTCGTCAGGGTCTTCACTGCTTGAAGGCGCCACCTCGATAACAGCACGACCACTGGAGCCCGTCGACGTTGTTAGGCTCTCCTCGGTGGTTACTTTAGACATTTTAGCTTCGGTGGTTTTATCTTTGTCAGCATTTTCGAATTCCAAGAGATCATTTCTGGTTTCTGAGCTTTGCCTGATTATTTTACTATCCAAAGCAAGGGGATCATCGGGCTTCATAGTTACATACTCTTTAAAAGCATCATTAGCTTCATCAGAATCCACTGAGACTTCTTTCATTAGGGGTATATCCTTTGCTTCGATTTCCGTCATATCTGTCTTGGGCTCTTCGTCCTGCGGGGTCATACTTGGAGATTTCGTAAAGGTCTTGGTGATCACATTGCGACTTGATTCGCCAATGTAAAAGCTCGTTGTCTTCTCGACACCTTCGGATTTTTCAGTGTCTGCTTCATCTACTGAAATTTCACTTGTTGGGTCGAAACTTTCGGTGTGATCCTCAGAGGCAGTTGTTGTGGTTGTTGTTGTGACAACATCCCTTTGCTGCGAACGAATAGACTGCTCCGTGGAGGGCTCATCTGTTTTGGAAAGTTCCTCTGTAAAATCAAAGCTACGTAGGCTAATGCTGTCGGATTGCTCGGCCAATGCAGCCAGATTCTCAAACTGATCTGTGTGCTTAATGGGAGCACGGGGCTTCGGAACTGGTGCAGATGCATCAATATTTATATCGATCGATAAGTCTGATTGTTGAACTTGATTTGGAATGGTGGTGCTATCTGTGCCTTCGGAGATGGAGTCGGGCGGGCTTGCTTTGAGTACGCGAGGTTTTGGTGTGGGTGTGTCGTGGCTGGTGGTCGTGAATGTATTGGTTTCGACCACCGTTTCAGCTGCTGTTTTAGTTGTTGTTGTTGTGACAACAGCCGACGGTGGTATAGGAGTGGTATCGGTTGAGATTGGTAAATCGCCGCCTGTTTCTACAAAACAATAGGTGTGAAAATAAAAGCAATTTTAAAAGTGTGTTGCGAAAGTAGAAATCAGAAAGATGATGAGAGAGTGAGAGAGAGAGGAAACACAAGTACACAAGAGCAAGAGAATGAACAGATCAGAGTGTAATATAAGATATATGAGTGATTAGTAAGTGTTAGGTTAGGTTCTTAGAGATAGAATAGGTTGATAGACAGATAGATAGAGTAGGTGTGAGTGATTGATTGATTGACATTTATGGAGTTGACATGCATATTTCATATGAATAAAATAGAACAAATTTTAATATTTCGAAACACAAGATTAAATGCAATTAGAGCTCAACTTGAACAAAAAGTATTTTAGTATTTTCGTTTTTCTTGGCCGCCATTTCACAGGTGTTTATGAAAAGTTAACCAAAAACGAACGTTGTACGTTCTACATCTAGATTTTGTATTCACAAGCTACAGAAGTCACCAATAGAGGAACCATGTACAAAGCAATATTTATGTATAAATTAATGTGGTAAGTGTATGGCTATATAGTTTTTATACTGATGATACCTGTAGTCAATTCTTGTATATCATTATCGGGCGTTAATTGGGTCTGTGCCATATCGGCCATTGTGTTAGTTGTGGGCGAAACACTGTCATCCCAACTGAGCTTCGAGTATTCGCCCTGCAGGGCACTTATCTCGTCGTCTTGTACAACCGTTTCGAATGCCTCATCGAATCGGGCGCTGACATCGTCTACATCAGCGGATAGTTTTTCGATCTTATGCTCGATGCGTCTGGTACGCACCTCCATTTGATCTTCCCCTTCACTAGGCACTACATACATGATTCGTAAGTATTTTTGGGGATGACACATGATCAACGGGTAGCAAACATACAAAGAATACAGGATAATGATTAAATTTAACGGACTACTACAACCCAATGCATATTTCATGGCGCTAAGGTCCTATAAGGTTCCTGCTAACTGCTGTGCTATTATTGTAGATCGAACAGATTGTTGCTTTGGCATTATAGATTACCTTTTGCTGCTGATGAGGCTAGTGGCTGTTGTTGCTGTTGTTGTTGTTGGAATTGCGTTGTTATTGTTGTAGTTGTTGTTGCTGTTATGTTTTGGGCATGCAAGGGTAAACTAATATGCTCATCAGTGAAACTCATATTATCATCAAATGATTTGCCCGACATGGACTCAATAGTTGGCGACTTGATGACATCGACGCCGACAATATCGTCGCATGTGATAGCATAATTCTCACTCTCAGAATTGTATTCGTGTTTTATGAAATCATGGCCATTGGGCTGTTCCCCTTGGCTCTCAATGAAATCGACACTCTCTTCGAGCACATTGTCGACTAGAATTTTGGCTTCCTCGCGTATGCGTGCCACACGATTATCATCTTCGCCATCATCACCTTCACCAACCTTAAGATCACCTGTAAAATAATTGCACATATTCATTGATAGGTAGAAATTAGACAGATAGTTGACAAGCTTGGAAATCATGAACGGCATGAGAAGCGAATTTTCGAAATCTTGTGATTAATAAACAATTGTGCAGCATTACGTGATAGATAGAAGATGGAGTTCAAAATGCGGTGATATTTTGGTGAAGTGAGCGAAATCTTTTAGCAGCGTATACGGTTTATCAATCTGAGTTAGTTGACTTAGTTACTTTTTGTCTCAATGAGCTTTAATTGCATTTGTATTTGTTAAACAATAAGAAAATACTTATAATTATTAAGAAAAATACTTGTGAAGCGCATGAGAAAATGTTCGCGCAAAATCAAGATAAGCATTTCATATATACGAAAACTCGCCGTACTTACCAAATGTATGAGAAATATTCTCTGTATGCAGAATAGTTGGGGCAATTGTTGTTTTTGTAAGGCCTTCTGCAAACGAACAAGCGACTCATTAGTAAATATATACGACCCTGGGAAAGTAACATAAAAGTAACCTAAAAGCAATTACATACTTTAATTATACGCTACGAAATAAAAAGATAACACGGACTCAAAATAAGGACGAAACAAACGGATTCCAAAGATCTTTTTTCACAGTTTTGTTAGTTCTAATTACTAAGTACTTAGAATGTTAGTTGAACGACGCTTAGGTGATTAAAAATGTTGATTTTGTTAGTATTGTACGGGGGCACAAAGTTAAGGCAGACATTAGCAATTATATTCAGGCTTTTTGTTGCTTGTTGTGTGGTAACTTGAACTTGAACGAAAATTGAATTTTATGTATGGTAATTATTAATTGTTAGGTTTACTTACAATATGCTTGAGTGTATGTGTTAAATATATTCAGTTGATTTTTTGTTTATTAGATATCTTAGTTAGACACTTATACGAGTTAGGAAACTATTGTTAAATTGTATTTAGGATTGGAGACTCGAAGACTAGTTGTCGACTCTAGCGGCCGACTCGTCGGACTCAACATATTCCACATCGGTATGGGCATCTCGTATCACACCCTTTATGTGCACCCTCTCGGCATCGGCATTGTAGCTCCTGCCAGTTTTCTCATGTACCACGGTATAGCTCTCATTTAACATATCGTTCAGCTCTTTGCTATTGCTATTGGCCACCTTGATGACTGGTGGCTCGAGAACGTCCTCTGCATCGGAGGGCAGTTGCACGTCTTCCACATCAGTGTTCTGCTGACTGGTGGCATCGTCTTTGAGCAAACGCAAGTGAAGTGGCTGCATTTTATATGTGTTCTGCGATAGCTTGGGTAATTCAGCTGGCGGTAATGAAGCATCAGAAGCATCAGATACATCATCGGTGGACACATCATCGGAATCAGTGTAGCCTTTGGCTTGCTGCTTAAGTTGGGCCACGCGCTTAACGCTTGGCGGTAGTTCACATTCACTCAGATCCATGTCCTCCACATCGGTTATGCCATCCTCTTTGCCCTTAACAATATCAAGCAGCTTGTTTTTTCCCTTGCTGAGAGTGCGTGTCTTCATCTTCTTTCGTCGATTGGTGCCAGCCACAAAGATTTCCTCGACATCAGTTACAGATTCGGCATTCGAAAGCACCTCCAGACGTTTGTTTTGCTGCTTCAACAATTCATTGGAGACAATGACTTCATTGTCTATTAGACTCGCTGCTCCAATAGCCATTTCCTCTGCAAGTGAAACATTTGTACTTATATCTTCGGCACAGGAGTACTCATCCGAATCGGTATGATTAACGTCTTTCAAGTGGTTATATATACCAAACTCGTAATTGCTTTTCATGGGCATAACATTGGTAGTCGTATCGCCGTATTTATCCTCTTTAAGCTCAATGACCTCACGATGGGGCAGTGGCAATAGCTCGGAGCCAACAGCAACTATTTCGGGCAAAACACTTGTAAGTGAAAGGTCATCGCAGTATATGTCCTCCACATCAGTTAGACAGGTGCCATCGTCGCCAGTAGCTAGGATGATAGCCCGTGGAATCGGCTGTTCATCTTCATCCTCATCAAAGCTATCTTCTGCTGCCGAATCATCGATGCCCTCAATATCGGTATGTACTTCTTCGTTTCTAGGAGCCACTTGCAAGAATTGCTTTCGCTCAGTATTGAATAAAGTTGACTTGGAGTTCCTGCGGTGCTCTCCACTGGCGTTAATGAAGGCCACATCGACTGGTGGCAAACTGGCTTCACTTATGCTCGCGCTTCTGGCAGCAGCACCACCCGATTCGGACTCAGAACCCGAGCAGGCTATTTGACATACCTCTTCACTACCACTGCCGGATACGACGAGCACCTCGTCCTCAGACTTGCCACGCACAGGAATGCCAATGCCGGTGCAGTCGGACATCGCGGAGGCCAAGTCACTAATGTCGCTAATGACGGAAACATCTTCGTAGTGATCAGAGTCATCTTCGTGCTTCTCACCGTCAGCTATGTTTACACGTCCCTGATCTCCCACAGCATTGTCTAAGTCAACACACACAGACTTTTCACAGCCATAGCCCACCTCCGAGTCTGTGTCATAGTCTTCGCAGTCGGTTAAGTAATCGGCCAGGCCATTCAGATTTTGTGCTTGCAGAAAATTACCAGCTTTGATTTCACAGCTCTCCTTAGTATCGTTGTCTACGGCTTCCTGGTTTTGCAATCCTTGCTGTAGAAATTCGCGCAGTGACAATTTCAACTCGGGATAAGCAACACTCTTATCATCATCGTCTGATTCGGTGTCATAGTCCTCCACGTCGGTAACATCGTTCTCAAAGGGACCAGATTTTTGTTGCTGGGTGTTTTGCCTTGGTGATACATTACCAGAGCTGCGCCGAGAGTTGAGTCTAAGTACTTCAGCCTGGCTTTCAAAATCTTCAACATCTGTGACAGCCCCGTTGTTATGCCCATAGTCCATATCATTACTATCGGTGTCATGTGAGGATGAGGAAGAATTGGAATGCTGCTCGGCAGTTACGGATATAGTTGGGAGTTTTTTGGACATTTTGGTGGGTTTGTTTTCTCTTATTGAATTGTGGATTTTATATATTTATATTGAGTTTAGTTATTTGCGTTAGCTAGTTGTGGGAAATAAGTTAAAATTAAATTGAATAAAAGCATTTGGCAAATTGATATCAATTAGAAAAGTTGCGTAATGTTTTGTATTGCCCTAAGCATGGTGGGTATCGCTCTAAGCTATGCTTAATAAATGTATGATAGTGCTCTAAGCCTAATTGTATCTATTTACCTTTGGATGTGCAGTATTTCTCCGTCTCTTTCTTTTGTCGACTCTCACTCACCGCCACAATGCTGCCGCTCTCGGCATGCAATTGTTGCGTAGTTTCTACTGCACTGCCCGATGGACCTATATGGGTGTGCTGATGCTGATGGTGGCGTCGCAATGTTTCCTCAATTAAGGCTAAGGGACTACGAGTTGGCTTTGGCGAACCAGGGCTGGCGGCCTGCAAGCGCTCCGGATCACCAGCGCCAAAAATGGGCAGTGCAACAGAGTCGGAGAGACTGGAATCGGTGGTATCTATAAAGCTGACATCAAACTCGTTGACATAGCGCTGTTGTTCATTTGTGGATTGCGGACGCATTCCAATTGATGTATGATGTTCTCCATCAAAATCGGGCTGGCGGTAGATCACTTCCAGGGGTTTGTCGGGGCCGAAAGTCTTAGTGAAAACCTCGCTGGTTAGCACCTTGCGACTGTTGCTGCCGCTACCAGAGGATGATGAGGTAGAGCTTTTTGTACTATCACTTGATTTAATGGATCGTATGGTTATCACCTCGGAGTCGTCATCAACGAGCACGGTGCTAACCGCGCTGGTTGTGGCTGTCGGTGCCTTGTGAACACGCACTGTCGATGTCGATGTCGTTGTGGCCACCTTCTGTTCTGCTGATAGCTTCATATTGGTCTTCTCTTTGTCAGTCTTACGGCTGACCATCACGGAACGTACGCTGCGCCTGGTGCTGTTGGAGGACCCACTGGCACTGGTACTGCCACTGGCGGAAGTGCTCGACTCGTTCATTGTGTCCTTCATCTGTTTTTGTAGTTTCGGTTCTATGGAACTGCGTATGGTTTTGTTGCTTCCCTCACTTACTTTGCTTACTGTCTTCCTAACGATTTTCTTATTGTCTATCTGAGGTCTTAAAACGGTTTCATCACTTTTGTTGCTTAGCTTAGATGAAGTTCTTGTTGTTACGGAAGACACGCTAATTGGAACTTTGGTGCGTTGTTGCATAGTTGTTGTAGTTTTCTTCTGTAGGTTTTTGTTATCAGATTCTATGGAAGTTCTGTAGACAATGGATTTAGTTGCATTAGCTGATTGTGTCTTCATGCTTTTAGTTATTTGGCTCTTGGAGCCTATCACGTTTGTTTGTTTATTCTCTTTGGATGTTTGTCTTTTGTAAAGGCGATCTGTACTCTTTAATGACTCCCTACTTTCGCTGTGGGAGCCTCTCTTGGTCAAAGCTAAAGGCTTTTCTGTATTCAATTTCTTTTGTTTTTGATCTATTGACGAGTTTTTTGTCAAGGCACTTGTCATACTCTTTGTTTTATATACACTTTGTCGATTCGATTGTGTTGGAGCTGGAGATTTTGGCGGTGCTGGTGATTTCGGTGGAGCCGGAGTCACACTTCGGCTTTCACTATCGGCATTCAGGCCATATCGCATACTGTGGGCTAAAGTTGGCTGCATATATCGGTGTGTGGTAGACGGAGTTGGCGTTTTTGTTCGCTTGTCTTCCGCAACTTTTAGTTTTGAGGTGCTTTCTTTCTTTAGTTTTACATTAACTACTTTTACGTTTTGTTTTATGGAAGTCGTTTTTGACGCTTTTGTGGCTTTGGTTGATGGACTTGACGAGCGTATTGAGGTATTGTATGGTATTTTAGTGACATCTGTTTTCACCCTAGGCTTAGGCGTTGTGGAGCGACTATGATCGCCTTGGGGATGGCTTTCATAAAATATTGAACTTGAAGCAGGACTTGAAGATCTTTCAAAGTGAATTTCACTTATGACTCGACTAGTAGCCGATGCTGAACTTGTCGTTGTTGAAACAGAACTTGTCACTGATCTTCTCGATTCGGTTTTTCTAGCAACCTTCTGTGAGTCAATTGATATTGGCTTGTTTGGTCCTATTTGTTTGCTTGGGGCTTTTGCGGCTTTTGGTTGTGTAAGTGGAGCTTTCTTTTGTATTGTCTTCGACTTTTCCTTATTATCTATTTGTTTTTTAGTCTGTGGTTTTAGTATTGCAGTTGCCGTCGATTTCGCACTGACATTGCTTATTGGTTTTGGTTTTGTAATTGGGGTCCTTGTTTCTTTCTTTTTAGTGGGTACTACATCTATATTTTTATCGTCCAACTTCACAAAATATGCTACAGGTCGAACTTCTTTGTACTCAACATTCTTTCTGTCCTGCGAAACTAAATCATCTTTTTCCTGATTAATTACCTGAGTTTTTTCTCCTACTATAATATTTGCATTTTTCAATGTATCTTCCACAATTTCTTCGACTGATCGCTCATTGTCAGCAAATTCAGTTAATATATAATCTTTATGATCTAATTCATGGTTTACCTGCAAACTTTTCAGAGTGGCATTAACAATTTTCTCTGCTTCCTCATCACCAGCTCTTAAAGTTTCTTCAACTATTTGTTGTACTGATCTTGTATCATACAAATCAGTAGCTGCTTCAGATACTAATTTGTCTACTGGTTGTTCAGATTGATTTAAAGGTATTAGGCTTCCCGATATTGGACACAGAGGCATTGTTAACGAATACGGATTGTCTTGTGGCACAACATTTCCAAAATGATCATGTATTTCTCCTCCTAAATGAATCTTTGTTTCTGAGGACTGGGGCTTCGCGGCAAGTTTCACTGAATCTGTTGGCAAGCTGACTACGTCTTTGATCTGTATATCAACAGACTCCCGAGACTCAGTGACAGAAGTAATTTTGCTTGTAGTCATAGATAGAGGTACCAGAGGTGTGGTAGTAGAAAGGGGCTTATCTTGAGGTTTAGCAAACCCTACTTCCTCATCGCTTTCGTCGTCAGAATAGTCCTTTGGAGTTTTCTTAGATACATCCAGAGGACTCTTGGGTTTCTCATCTAATTTAGGATGCGGCTTATCATCTTTTACGTCTGTAAGTGGTTTTGGAATTTCGTCAGATTTTTGGATGGGTTTGTCTGCAATTGGCAGAAGGGGAGTGGTTGACGGAATGGGCTTTTCTTGTGTCTTCACAGATCCAAATTCGTCATCAGTCTCATCGTCTGAATATTCTTTTGGAACTGTCTTTCCTAAATCAGTTGGGGACTTGGGTTTCTCAATGGATTTGACTGTATCTGTGGGTAGCTTTACTACGTCCTTGATCTGTATATCAACAGACTCCCGAGATTCAGTGACAGAAGTAATTTTGCTTGTAGTCATAGATAGAGGTACCAGAGGTGTGGTAGATGAAGGGAACTTATCTTGAGGCTTATTAAACCCTACTTCCTCATCGCTTTCGTCGTCAGAATAGTCCTTTGGAGTTTTCTTAGATACATCCAGAGGACTCTTGGGTTTCTCATCTAATTTAGGGTGCGGCTTATCATCTTTTACGTCTGTAAGTGGTTTTGAAATTTCGTCAGATTTTTGGATGGGTTTGTCTGCAATTGGCAGAAGGGGAGTGGTTGACGGAATGGGCTTTTCTTGTGTCTTCACAGATCCAAATTCGTCATCACTCTCATCGTCGGAATATTCTTTTGGAACTGTCTTTCCTAAATCAGTTGGGGACTTGGGTTTCTCAATGGATTTGACTGTATCTGTGGGTAGCTTTACTACGTCCTTGATCTGTATATCAACAGACTCCCGAGATTCAGTGACAGAAGTAATTTTGCTTGTAGTCATAGATAGAGGTACCAGAGGTGTGGTAGTAGAAAGGGGCTTATCTTGAGGTTTAGCAAACCCTACTTCCTCATCGCTTTCGTCGTCAGAATAGTCCTTTGGAGTTTTCTTAGATACATCCAGAGGACTCTTGGGTTTCTCATCTAATTTCTCATCTTTTACGTCTGTAAGTGGTTTTGGAATTTCGTCAGATTTTTGGATGGGTTTGTCTGCAATTGGCAGAAGGGGAGTGGTTGACGGAATGGTCTTGTCTTGTGGCTTCACAGATCCAAATTCTTCATCAGTCTCATCGTCTGAATATTCTTTTGGAACTGTCTTTCCTAAATCAGTTGGGGACTTGGGTTTCTCAATGGATTTGACTGTATCTGTGGGTGGCTTTACTACGTCCTTGATCTGTATATCAACAGACTCCCGAGATTCAGTGACAGAAGTAATTTTGCTTGTAGTCATAGATAGAGGTACCAGAGGTGTGGTAGATGAAGGGAACTTATCTTGAGGCTTATTAAACCCTACTTCCTCATCGCTTTCGTCGTCAGAATAGTCCTTTGGAGTTTTCTTAGATACATCCAGAGGACTCTTGGGTTTCTCATCTAATTTAGGATGCGGCTTATCATCTTTTACGTCTGTAAGTGGTTTTGAAATTTCGTCAGATTTTTGGATGGGTTTGTCTGCAATTGGCAGAAGGGGAGTGGTTGACGGAATGGGCTTTTCTTGTGTCTTCACAGATCCAAATTCGTCATCACTCTCATCGTCGGAATATTCTTTTGGAACTGTCTTTCCTAAATCAGTTGGGGACTTGGGTTTCTCAATGGATTTGACTGTATCTGTGGGTAGCTTTACTACGTCCTTGATCTGTATATCAACAGACTCCCGAGATTCAGTGACAGAAGTAATTTTGCTTGTAGTCATAGATAGAGGTACCAGAGGTGTGGTAGTAGAAAGGGGCTTATCTTGAGGTTTAGCAAACCCTACTTCCTCATCGCTTTCGTCGTCAGAATAGTCCTTTGGAGTTTTCTTAGATACATCCAGAGGACTCTTGGGTTTCTCATCTAATTTAGGATGCGGCTTATCATCTTTTACGTCTGTAAGTGGTTTTGGAATTTCGTCAGATTTTTGGATGGGTTTGTCTGCAATTGGCAGAAGGGGAGTGGTTGACGGAATGGTCTTGTCTTGTGGCTTCACAGATCCAAATTCTTCATCAGTCTCATCGTCTGAATATTCTTTTGGAACTGTCTTTCCTAACTCAGTTGGGGACTTGGGTTTCTCAATGGATTTGACTGTATCTGTGGGTGGCTTTACTACGTCCTTGATCTGTATATCAACAGACTCCCGAGATTCAGTGACAGAAGTAATTTTGCTTGTAGTCATAGATAGAGGTAGCAGAGGTGTGGTAGATGAAGGGAACTTATCTTGAGGCTTACTAAACCCTACTTCCTCATCGCTTTCGTCGTCAGAATAGTCCCTTGGAGTTTTCTTAGATACATCCAGAGGACTCTTGGGTTTCTCATCTAATTTAGGATGCGGCTTATCATCTTTTACGTCTGTAAGTGGTTTTGAAATTTCGTCAGATTTTTGGATGGGTTTGTCTGCAATTGGCAGAAGGGGAGTGGTTGACGGAATGGGCTTTTCTTGTGTCTTCACAGATCCAAATTCGTCATCACTCTCATCGTCGGAATATTCTTTTGGAACTGTCTTTCCTAAATCAGTTGGGGACTTGGGTTTCTCAATGGATTTGACTGTATCTGTGGGTAGCTTTACTACGTCCTTGATCTGTATATCAACAGACTCCCGAGATTCAGTGACAGAAGTAATTTTGCTTGTAGTCATAGATAGAGGTACCAGAGGTGTGGTAGTAGAAAGGGGCTTATCTTGAGGTTTAGCAAACCCTACTTCCTCATCGCTTTCGTCGTCAGAATAGTCCTTTGGAGTTTTCTTAGATACATCCAGAGGACTCTTGGGTTTCTCATCTAATTTAGGATGCGGCTTATCATCTTTTACGTCTGTAAGTGGTTTTGGAATTTCGTCAGATTTTTGGATGGGTTTGTCTGCAATTGGCAGAAGGGGAGTGGTTGACGGAATGGTCTTGTCTTGTGGCTTCACAGATCCAAATTCTTCATCAGTCTCATCGTCTGAATATTCTTTTGGAACTGTCTTTCCTAAATCAGTTGGGGACTTGGGTTTCTCAATGGATTTGACTGTATCTGTGGGTGGCTTTACTACGTCCTTGATCTGTATATCAACAGACTCCCGAGATTCAGTGACAGAAGTAATTTTGCTTGTAGTCATAGATAGAGGTAGCAGAGGTGTGGTAGATGAAGGGAACTTATCTTGAGGCTTACTAAACCCTACTTCCTCATCGCTTTCGTCGTCAGAATAGTCCCTTGGAGTTTTCTTAGATACATCCAGAGGACTCTTGGGTTTCTCATCTAATTTAGGATGCGGCTTATCATCTTTTACGTCTGTAAGTGGTTTTGAAATTTCGTCAGATTTTTGGATGGGTTTGTCTGCAATTGGCAGAAGGGGAGTGGTTGACGGAATGGGCTTTTCTTGTGTCTTCACAGATCCAAATTCGTCATCACTCTCATCGTCGGAATATTCTTTTGGAACTGTCTTTCCTAAATCAGTTGGGGACTTGGGTTTCTCAATGGATTTGACTGTATCTGTGGGTAGCTTTACTACGTCCTTGATCTGTATATCAACAGACTCCCGAGATTCAGTGACAGAAGTAATTTTGCTTGTAGTCATAGATAGAGGTACCAGAGGTGTGGTAGTAGAAAGGGGCTTATCTTGAGGTTTAGCAAACCCTACTTCCTCATCGCTTTCGTCGTCAGAATAGTCCTTTGGAGTTTTCTTAGATACATCCAGAGGACTCTTGGGTTTCTCATCTAATTTAGGATGCGGCTTATCATCTTTTACGTCTGTAAGTGGTTTTGAAATTTCGTCAGATTTTTGGATGGGTTTGTCTGCAATTGGCAGAAGGGGAGTGGTTGACGGAATGGGCTTTTCTTGTGTCTTCACAGATCCAAATTCGTCATCAGTCTCATCGTCTGAATATTCTTTTGGAACTGTCTTTCCTAACTCAGTTGGGGACGTGGGTTTCTCAGTGGATTTGACTGTATCTGTGGGTGGCTTTACTACGTCCTTGATCTGTATATCAACAGACTCCCGAGATTCAGTGACAGAAGTAATTTTGCTTGTAGTCATAGATAGAGGTACCAGAGGTGTGGTAGATGAAAGGAACTTATCTTGAGGCTTACTAAACCCTACTTCCTCATCGCTTTCGTCGTCAGAATAGTCCCTTGGAGTTTTCTTAGATACATCCAGAGGACTCTTGGGTTTCTCATCTAATTTAGGATGCGGCTTATCATCTTTTACGTCTGTAAGTGGTTTTGAAATTTCGTCAGATTTTTGGATGGGTTTGTCTGCAATTGGCAGAAGGGGAGTGGTTGACGGAATGGGCTTTTCTTGTGTCTTCACAGATCCAAATTCGTCATCACTCTCATCGTCGGAATATTCTTTTGGAACTGTCTTTCCTAAATCAGTTGGGGACTTGGGTTTCTCAATGGATTTGACTGTATCTGTGGGTAGCTTTACTACGTCCTTGATCTGTATATCAACAGACTCCCGAGATTCAGTGACAGAAGTAATTTTGCTTGTAGTCATAGATAGAGGTACCAGAGGTGTGGTAGTAGAAAGGGGCTTATCTTGAGGTTTAGCAAACCCTACTTCCTCATCGCTTTCGTCGTCAGAATAGTCCTTTGGAGTTTTCTTAGATACATCCAGAGGACTCTTGGGTTTCTCATCTAATTTAGGATGCGGCTTATCATCTTTTACGTCTGTAAGTGGTTTTGAAATTTCGTCAGATTTTTGGATGGGTTTGTCTGCAATTGGCAGAAGGGGAGTGGTTGACGGAATGGGCTTTTCTTGTGTCTTCACAGATCCAAATTCGTCATCAGTCTCATCGTCTGAATATTCTTTTGGAACTGTCTTTCCTAACTCAGTTGGGGACGTGGGTTTCTCAGTGGATTTGACTGTATCTGTGGGTGGCTTTACTACGTCCTTGATCTGTATATCAACAGACTCCCGAGATTCAGTGACAGAAGTAATTTTGCTTGTAGTCATAGATAGAGGTACCAGAGGTGTGGTAGATGAAAGGAACTTATCTTGAGGCTTACTAAACCCTACTTCCTCATCGCTTTCGTCGTCAGAATAGTCCCTTGGAGTTTTCTTAGATACATCCAGAGGACTCTTGGGTTTCTCATCTAATTTAGGATGCGGCTTATCATCTTTTACGTCTGTAAGTGGTTTTGAAATTTCGTCAGATTTTTGGATGGGTTTGTCTGCAATTGGCAGAAGGGGAGTGGTTGACGGAATGGGCTTTTCTTGTGTCTTCACAGATCCAAATTCGTCATCACTCTCATCGTCGGAATATTCTTTTGGAACTGTCTTTCCTAAATCAGTTGGGGACTTGGGTTTCTCAATGGATTTGACTGTATCTGTGGGTAGCTTTACTACGTCCTTGATCTGTATATCAACAGACTCCCGAGATTCAGTGACAGAAGTAATTTTGCTTGTAGTCATAGATAGAGGTACCAGAGGTGTGGTAGTAGAAAGGGGCTTATCTTGAGGTTTAGCAAACCCTACTTCCTCATCGCTTTCGTCGTCAGAATAGTCCTTTGGAGTTTTCTTAGATACATCCAGAGGACTCTTGGGTTTCTCATCTAATTTAGGATGCGACTTATCATCTTTTACGTCTGTAAGTGGTTTTGGAATTTCGTCAGATTTTTGGATGGGTTTGTCTGCAATTGGCAGAAGGGGAGTGGTTGACGGAATGGGCTTTTCTTGTGGCTTCACAGATCCAAATTCGTCATCAGTCTCATCGTCGGAATATTCTTTTGGAACTGTCTTTCCTAAATCAGTTGGGGACTTGGGTTTCTCAATGGATTTGACTGTATCTGAGGGTAGCTTTACTACGTCCTTGATCTGTATATCAACAGACTCCCGAGATTCAGTGACAGAAGTAATTTTGCTTGTAGTCATAGATAGAGGTAGCAGAGGTGTGGTAGATGAAGGGAACTTATCTTGAGGCTTATTAAACCCTACTTCCTCATCGCTTTCGTCGTCAGAATAGTCCTTTGGAGTTTTCTTAGACACATCCAGAGGACTCTTGGGTTTCTCATCTAATTTAGGATGCGGCTTATCATCTTTTACGTCTGTAAGTGGTTTTGAAATTTCGTCAGGTTTTTGGATGGGTTTTTCTGCAATTGGCAGAAGGGGAGTGGTTGACGGAATGGGCTTTTCTTGTGGCTTCACAGATCCAAATTCGTCATCAGTCTCATCGTCTGAATATTCTTTTGGAACTGTCTTTCCTAAATCAGTTGGGGACTTGGGTTTCTCAATGGATTCGACTGTATCTGTGGGTAGCTTTACTACGTCCTTGATCTGTATATCAACAGACTCCCGAGATTCAGTGACAGAAGTAATTTTGCTTGTAGTCATAGATAGAGGTACCAGAGGTGTGGTAATAGAAAGGGGCTTATCTTGAGGTTTAGCAAACCCTACTTCCTCATCGCTTTCGTCGTCAGAATAGTCCTTTGGAGTTTTCTTAGATACATCCAGAGGACTCTTGGGTTTCTCATCTAATTTAGGATGCGGCTTATCATCTTTTACGTCTGTAAGTGGTTTTGGAATTTCGTCAGATTTTTGGATGGGTTTGTCTGAAATTGGCAGAAGGGGAGTGGTTGACGGAATGGGCTTGTCTTGTGGCTTCACAGATCCAAATTCGTCATCAGTCTCATCGTCGGAATATTCTTTTGGAACTGTCTTTCCTAAATCAGTTGGGGACTTGGGCTTCTCAATGGATTTGACTGTATCTGTGGGTAGCTTTACTATGTCCTTGATCTGTATATCAACAGACTCCCGAGATTCAGTGACAGAAGTAATTTTGCTTGTAGTCATAGATAGAGGTACCAGAGGTGTGGTAGTAGAAAGGGGCTTATCTTGAGGTTTAGCAAACCCTACTTCCTCATCGCTTTCGTCGTCAGAATAGTCCTTTGGAGTTTTCTTAGATACATTCAGAGGACTCTTGGGTTTCTCATCTAATTTAGGATGCGGCTTATCATCTTTTACGTCTGTAAGTGGTTTTGGAATTTCGTCAGATTTTTGGATGGGTTTGTCTGCAATTGGCAGAAGGGGAGTGGTTGACGGAATGGTCTTGTCTTGTGGCTTCACAGATCCAAATTCTTCATCAGTCTCATCGTCTGAATATTCTTTTGGAACTGTCTTTCCTAACTCAGTTGGGGACTTGGGTTTCTCAATGGATTTGACTGTATCTGTGGGTGGCTTTACTACGTCCTTGATCTGTATATCAACAGACTCCCGAGATTCAGTGACAGAAGTAATTTTGCTTGTAGTCATAGATAGAGGTACCAGAGGTGTGGTAGATGAAGGGAACTTATCTTGAGGCTTATTAAACCCTACTTCCTCATCGCTTTCGTCGTCAGAATAGTCCTTTGGAGTTTTCTTAGATACATCCAGAGGACTCTTGGGTTTCTCATCTAATTTAGGATGCGGCTTATCATCTTTTACGTCTGTAAGTGGTTTTGAAATTTCGTCAGATGTTTGGATGCGTTTGTCTGCAATTGGCAGAAGGGGAGTGGTTGACGGAATGGGCTTTTCTTGTGTCTGCACAGATCCAAATTCGTCATCAGTCTCATCGTCTGAATATTCTTTTGGAACTGTCTTTCCTAACTCAGTTGGGGACGTGGGTTTCTCAGTGGATTTGACTGTATCTGTGGGTAGCTTTACTACGTCCTTGATCTGTATATCAACAGTCTCCCGAGATTCACTGACAGAAGTAATTTTGCTTGTAGTCATAGATAGAGGTACCAGAGGTGTGGTAGATGAAAGGAACTTATCTTGAGGCTTACTAAACCCTACTTCCTCATCGCTTTCGTCGTCAGAATAGTCCCTTGGAGTTTTCTTAGATACATCCAGAGGACTCTTGGGTTTCTCATCTAATTTAGGATGCGGCTTATCATCTTTTACGTCTGTAAGTGGTTTTGAAATTTCGTCAGATTTTTGGATGGGTTTGTCTGCAATTGGCAGAAGGGGAGTGGTTGACGGAATGGGCTTTTCTTGTGTCTTCACAGATCCAAATTCGTCATCACTCTCATCGTCGGAATATTCTTTTGGAACTGTCTTTCCTAAATCAGTTGGGGACTTGGGTTTCTCAATGGATTTGACTGTATCTGTGGGTAGCTTTACTACGTCCTTGATCTGTATATCAACAGACTCCCGAGATTCAGTGACAGAAGTAATTTTGCTTGTAGTCATAGATAGAGGTAGCAGAGGTGTGGTAGATGAAGGGAACTTATCTTGAGGCTTATTAAACCCTACTTCCTCATCGCTTTCGTCGTCAGAATGGTCCTTTGGAGTTTTCTTAGACACATCCAGAGGACTCTTGGGTTTCTCATCTAATTTAGGATGCGACTTATCATCTTTTACGTCTGTAAGTGGTTTTGAAATTTCGTCAGGTTTTTGGATGGGTTTTTCTGCAATTGGCAGAAGGGGAGTGGTTGACGGAATGGGCTTTTCTTGTGGCTTCACAGATCCAAATTCGTCATCAGTCTCATCGTCTGAATATTCTTTTGGAACTGTCTTTCCTAAATCAGTTGGGGACTTGGGTTTCTCAATGGATTTGACTGTATCTGTGGGTAGCTTTACTACGTCCTTGATCTGTATATCAACAGACTCCCGAGATTCAGTGACAGAAGTAATTTTGCTTGTAGTCATAGATAGAGGTACCAGAGGTGTGGTAGTAGAAAGGGGCTTATCTTGAGGTTTAGCAAACCCTACTTCCTCATCGCTTTCGTCGTCAGAATAGTCCTTTGGAGTTTTCTTAGATACATCCAGAGGACTCTTGGGTTTCTCATCTAATTTAGGATGCGGCTTATCATCTTTTACGTCTGTAAGTGGTTTTGAAATTTCGTCAGATGTTTGGATGCGTTTGTCTGCAATTGGCAGAAGGGGAGTGGTTGACGGAATGGGCTTTTCTTGTGTCTTCACAGATCCAAATTCGTCATCAGTCTCATCGTCTGAATATTCTTTTGGAACTGTCTTTCCTAACTCAGTTGGGGACGTGGGTTTCTCAGTGGATTTGACTGTATCTGTGGGTAGCTTTACTACGTCCTTGATCTGTATATCAACAGTCTCCCGAGATTCACTGACAGAAGTAATTTTGCTTGTAGTCATAGATAGAGGTACCAGAGGTGTGGTAGATGAAAGGAACTTATCTTGAGGCTTACTAAACCCTACTTCCTCATCGCTTTCGTCGTCAGAATAGTCCCTTGGAGTTTTCTTAGATACATCCAGAGGACTCTTGGGTTTCTCATCTAATTTAGGATGCGGCTTATCATCTTTTACGTCTGTAAGTGGTTTTGAAATTTCGTCAGATATTTGGATGGGTTTGTCTGCAATTGGCAGAAGGGGAGTGGTTGACGGAATGGGCTTTTCTTGTGTCTTCACAGATCCAAATTCGTCATCACTCTCATCGTCGGAATATTCTTTTGGAACTGTCTTTCCTAAATCAGTTGGGGACTTGGGTTTCTCAATGGATTTGACTGTATCTGTGGGTAGCTTTACTACGTCCTTGATCTGTATATCAACAGACTCCCGAGACTCAGTGACAGAAGTAATTTTGCTTGTAGTCATAGATAGAGGTACCAGAGGTGTGGTAGTAGAAAGGGGCTTATCTTGAGGTTTAGCAAACCCTACTTCCTCATCGCTTTCGTCGTCAGAATAGTCCTTTGGAGTTTTCTTAGATACATCCAGAGGACTCTTGGGTTTCTCATCTAATTTAGGATGCGGCTTATCATCTTTTACGTCTGTAAGTGGTTTTGGAATTTCGTCAGATTTTTGGATGGGTTTGTCTGAAATTGGCAGAAGGGGAGTGGTTGACGGAATGGGCTTGTCTTGTAGCTTCACAGATCCAAATTCGTCATCAGTCTCATCGTCGGAATATTCTTTTGGAACTGTCTTTCCTAAATCAGTTGGGGACTTGGGCTTCTCAATGGATTTGACTGTATCTGTGGGTAGCTTTACTATGTCCTTGATCTGTATATCAACAGACTCCCGAGATTCAGTGACAGAAGTAATTTTGCTTGTAGTCATAGATAGAGGTACCAGAGGTGTGGTAGTAGAAAGGGGCTTATCTTGAGGTTTAGCAAACCCTACTTCCTCATCGCTTTCGTCGTCAGAATAGTCCTTTGGAGTTTTCTTAGATACATCCAGAGGACTCTTGGGTTTCTCATCTAATTTAGGATGCGGCTTATCATCTTTTACGTCTGTAAGTGGTTTTGGAATTTCGTCAGATTTTTGGATGGGTTTGTCTGCAATTGGCAGAAGGGGAGTGGTTGACGGAATGGGCTTGTCTTGTGGCTTCACAGATCCAAATTCGTCATCAGTCTCATCGTCTGAATATTCTTTTGAAACTGTCTTTCCTAAATCAGTTGGGGACTTGGGTTTCTCAGTGGATTTGACTGTATCTGTGGGTAGCTTTACTACGTCCTTGATATGTATATCAACAGACTCCCGAGATTCAGTGACAGAAGTAATTTTGCTTGTAGTCATAGATAGAGGTAGCAGAGGTGTGGTAGATGAAGGGAACTTATCTTGAGGCTTATTAAACCCTACTTCCTCATCGCTTTCGTCGTCAGAATAGTCCCTTGGAGTTTTCTTAGATACATCCAGAGGACTCTTGGGTTTCTCATCTAATTTAGGATGAGGCTTATCATCTTTTACGTCTGTAAGTGGTTTTGGAATTTCGTCAGATTTTTGGATGGGTTTGTCTGCAATTGGCAGAAGGGGAGTGGTTGACGGAATGGGCTTTTCTTGTGGCTTCACAGATCCAAATTCGTCATCAGTCTCATCGTCTGAATATTCTTTTGGAACTGTCTTTCCTAAATCAGTTGGGGACTTGGGTTTCTCAATGGATTTGACTGTATCTGTGGGTAGCTTTACTACGTCCTTGATCTGTATATCAACAGACTCCCGAGATTCAGTGACAGAAGTAATTTTGCTTGTAGTCATAGATAGAGGTACCAGAGGTGTGGTAGTAGAAAGGGGCTTATCTTGAGGTTTAGCAAACCCTACTTCCTCATCGCTTTCGTCGTCAGAATAGTCCTTTGGAGTTTTCTTAGATACATCCAGAGGACTCTTGGGTTTCTCATCTAATTTCTCATCTTTTACGTCTGTAAGTGGTTTTGGAATTTCGTCAGATTTTTGGATGGGTTTGTCTGCAATTGGCAGAAGGGGAGTGGTTGACGGAATGGGCTTTTCTTGTGGCTTCACAGATCCAAATTCGTCATCAGTCTCATCGTCTGAATATTCTTTTGGAACTGTCTTTCCTAAATCAGTTGGGGACTTGGGTTTCTCAATGGATTTGACTGTATCTGTGGGTAGCTTTACTACGTCCTTGATCTGTATATCAACAGACTCCCGAGATTCAGTGACAGAAGTAATTTTGCTTGTAGTCATAGATAGAGGTACCAGAGGTGTGGTAGTAGAAAGGGGCTTATCTTGAGGTTTAGCAAACCCTACTTCCTCATTGCTTTCGTCGTCAGAATAGTCCTTTGGAGTTTTCTTAGATACATCCAGAGGACTCTTGGGTTTCTCATCTAATTTAGGATGCGGCTTATCATCTTTTACGTCTGTAAGTGGTTTTGGAATTTCGTCAGCTTTTTGGATGGGTTTGTCTGCAATTGGCAGAAGGGGAGTGGTTGACGGAATGGGCTTGTCTTGTGGCTTCACAGATCCAAATTCGTCATCAGTCTCATCGTCTGAATATTCTTTTGGAACTGTCTTTCCTAACTCAGTTGGGGACTTGGGTTTCTCAATGGATTTGGGAGTGGTTGACGGAATGTGCTTTTCTTGTGGCTTCACAGATCCAAATTCGTCATCAGTCTCATCGTCTGAATATTCTTTTGGAACTGTCTTTCCTAAATCAGTTGGGGACTTGGGTTTCTCAATGGATTTGACTGTATCTGTGGGTAGCTTTACTACGTCCTTGATCTGTATATCAACAGACTCCCGAGATTCAGTGACAGAAGTAATTTTGCTTGTAGTCATAGATAGAGGTACCAGAGGTGTGGTAGTAGAAAGGGGCTTATCTTGAGGTTTAGCAAACCCTACTTCCTCATCGCTTTCGTCGTCAGAATAGTCCTTTGGAGTTTTCTTAGATACATCCAGAGGACTCTTGGGTTTCTCATCTAATTTAGGATGCGACTTATCATCTTTTACGTCTGTAAGTGGTTTTGGAATTTCGTCAGATTTTTGGATGGGTTTGTCTGAAATTGGCAGAAGGGGAGTGGTTGACGGGATGGGCTTTTCTTGTGGCTTCACAGTTCCAAATTCGTCGTCACTCTCATCGTCGGAATATTTTTTTGGAACTGTCTTTCCTAAATCAGTTGGGGACTTGGGTTTCTCAATGGATTTGACTGTATCTGTGTGTAGCTTTACTGCGTCCTTGATCTGTATATCAACAGACTCCCGAGATTCAGTTACAGAAGTAATTTTGCTTGTAGTCATAGATAGAGGTACCAGAGGTGTGGTAGATGAAGGGAACTTATCTTGAGGCTTATTAAACCCTACTTCCTCATCGCTTTCGTCGTCAGAATAGTCCTTTGGAGTTTTCTTAGATACATCCAGAGGACTCTTGGGTTTCTCATCTAATTTAGGATGCGACTTATCATCTTTTACGTCTGTAAGTGGTTTTGGAACTTCGTCAGATTTTTGGATGGCTTTGTCTGCAATTGGCAGAAGGGAAGTGGTTGACGGAATGGGCTTTTCTTGTGGCTTCACAGATCCAAATTCGTCATCAGTCTCATCGTCTGAATATTCTTTTGGAACTGTCTTTCCTAACTCAGTTGGGGACTTGGGTTTCTCAGTGGATTTAACTGTATCTGTGGGTGGCTTTACTACGTCCTTGATCTGTATATCAACAGACTCCCGAGATTCAGTGACAGAAGTAATTTTGCTTGTAGTCATAGATAGAGGTACCAGAGGTGTGGTAGTAGAAAGGGGCTTATCTTGAGGTTTAGCAAACCCTACTTCCTCATCGCTTTCGTCGTCAGAATAGTCCTTTGGAGTTTTCTTAGATACATCCAGAGGACTCTTGGGTTTCTCATCTAATTTAGGATGCGACTTATCATCTTTTACGTCTGTAAGTGGTTTTGGAACTTCGTCAGATTTTTGGATGGCTTTGTCTGCAATTGGCAGAAGGGGAGTGGTTGACGGAATGGGCTTTTCTTGTGGCTTCACAGATCCAAATTCGTCATCAGTCTCATCGTCTGAATATTCTTTTGGAACTGTCTTTCCTAACTCAGTTGGGGACTTGGGTTTCTCAGTGGATTTAACTGTATCTGTGGGTGGCTTTACTACGTCCTTGATCTGTATATCAACAGACTCCCGAGATTCAGTGACAGAAGTAATTTTGCTTGTAGTCATAGATAGAGGTACCAGAGGTGTGGTAGTAGAAAGGGGCTTATCTTGAGGTTTAGCAAACCCTACTTCCTCATTGCTTTCGTCGTCAGAATAGTCCTTTGGAGTTTTCTTAGATACATCCAGAGGACTCTTGGGTTTCTCATCTAATTTAGGATGCGGCTTATCATCTTTTACGTCTGTAAGTGGTTTTGGAATTTCGTCAGCTTTTTGGATGGGTTTGTCTGCAATTGGCAGAAGGGGAGTGGTTGACGGAATGGGCTTGTCTTGTGGCTTCACAGATCCAAATTCGTCATCAGTCTCATCGTCTGAATATTCTTTTGGAACTGTCTTTCCTAACTCAGTTGGGGACTTGGGTTTCTCAATGGATTTGGGAGTGGTTGACGGAATGTGCTTTTCTTGTGGCTTCACAGATCCAAATTCGTCATCAGTCTCATCGTCTGAATATTCTTTTGGAACTGTCTTTCCTAAATCAGTTGGGGACTTGGGTTTCTCAATGGATTTGACTGTATCTGTGGGTAGCTTTACTACGTCCTTGATCTGTATATCAACAGACTCCCGAGATTCAGTGACAGAAGTAATTTTGCTTGTAGTCATAGATAGAGGTACCAGAGGTGTGGTAGTAGAAAGGGGCTTATCTTGAGGTTTAGCAAACCCTACTTCCTCATCGCTTTCGTCGTCAGAATAGTCCTTTGGAGTTTTCTTAGATACATCCAGAGGACTCTTGGGTTTCTCATCTAATTTAGGATGCGACTTATCATCTTTTACGTCTGTAAGTGGTTTTGGAATTTCGTCAGATTTTTGGATGGGTTTGTCTGAAATTGGCAGAAGGGGAGTGGTTGACGGGATGGGCTTTTCTTGTGGCTTCACAGTTCCAAATTCGTCGTCACTCTCATCGTCGGAATATTTTTTTGGAACTGTCTTTCCTAAATCAGTTGGGGACTTGGGTTTCTCAATGGATTTGACTGTATCTGTGTGTAGCTTTACTGCGTCCTTGATCTGTAAATCAACAGACTCCCGAGATTCAGTTACAGAAGTAATTTTGCTTGTAGTCATAGATAGAGGTACCAGAGGTGTGGTAGATGAAGGGAACTTATCTTGAGGCTTATTAAACCCTACTTCCTCATCGCTTTCGTCGTCAGAATAGTCCTTTGGAGTTTTCTTAGATACATCCAGAGGACTCTTGGGTTTCTCATCTAATTTAGGATGCGACTTATCATCTTTTACGTCTGTAAGTGGTTTTGGAACTTCGTCAGATTTTTGGATGGCTTTGTCTGCAATTGGCAGAAGGGGAGTGGTTGACGGAATGGGCTTTTCTTGTGGCTTCACAGATCCAAATTCGTCATCACTCTCATCGTCGGAATATTCTTTTGGAACTGTCTTTCCTAAATCAGTTGGGGACTTGGGTTTCTCAATGGATTTGACTGTATCTGTGGGTGGCTTTACTACGTCCTTGATCTGTATATCAACAGACTCCCGAGATTCAGTGACAGAAGTAATTTTGCTTGTAGTCATAGATAGAGGTACCAGAGGTGTGGTAGTTGAGAGGGGCTTATCTTGAGGTTTAGCAAACCCTACTTCCTCATCGCTTTCGTCGTCAGAATAGTCCTTTGGAGTTTTCTTAGATACATCCAGAGGACTCTTGGGTTTCTCATCTAATTTAGGATGCGACTTATCATCTTTTACGTCTGTAAGTGGTTTTGGAACTTCGTCAGATTTTTGGATGGCTTTGTCTGCAATTGGCAGAAGGGGAGTGGTTGACGGAATGGGCTTTTCTTGTGGCTTCACAGATCCAAATTCGTCATCACTCTCATCGTCGGAATATTCTTTTGGAACTGTCTTTCCTAACTCAGTTGGGGACGTGGGTTTCTCAGTGGATTTGACTGTATCTGTGGGTAGCTTTACTACGTCCTTGATCTGTATATCAACAGACTCCCGAGATTCAGTGCCAGAAGTAATTTTGCTTGTCGTCATAGATAGAGGTACCAGAGGTGTGGTAGATGAAGGGAACTTATCTTGAGGCTTATTAAACCCAACTTCCTCATCGCTTTCGTCGTCAGAATAGTCCTTTGGAGTTTTCTTAGATACATCCAGAGAACTCTTGGGTTTCTCATCTAATTTAGGATGCGGCTTATCATCTTTTACGTCTGTAAGTGGTTTTGGAATTTCGTCAGATTTTTGGATGGGTTTGTCTGCAATTGGCAGAAGGGGAGTGGTTGACGGAATGGGCTTGTCTTGTGGCTTCACAGATCCAAATTCGTCATCAGTCTCATCGTCTGAATATTCTTTTGGAACTGTCTTACCTAAATCAGTTGGGGACTTGGGTTTCTCAATGGATTTGACTGTATCTGTGGGTGGCTTTACTACATGTTGGATCTGTATATCAACAGACTCCCGAGATTCAGTGCCAGAAGTAATTTTGCTTGTAGTCATAGATAGAGGTACCAGAGGTGTGGTAGATGAAGGGAACTTATCTTGAGGCTTATTAAACCCTACTTCCTCATCGCTTTCGTCGTCAGAATAGTCCTTTGGAGTTTTCTTAGATACATCCAGAGGACTTTTGGGTTTCTCATCTAATTTAGGATGCGACGTATCATCTTTTACGTCTGTAAGTGGTTTTGAAATTTCGTCAGATTTTTGGATGGGTTTGTCTGAAATTGGCAGAAGGGGAGTGATTGACGGAATGGGCTTTTCTTGTGGCTTCACAGATCCAAATTCGTCATCACTCTCATCGTCGGAATATTCTTTTGGAACTGTCTTTCCTAAATCAGTTGGGGACTTGGGTTTCTCAGTGGATTTGACTTTATCTGTGGGTAGCTTTACTACGTCCTTGATCTGTATATCAACAGACTCCCGAGATTCAGTAACAGAAGTAATTTTGCTTGTAGTCATAGATAGAGGTACCAGAGGTGTGGTAGTAGAAAGGGGCTTATCTTGAGGTTTATCAAACCCTACTTCCTCATCGCTTTCGTCGTCAGAATAATCCTTTGGAGTTTTCTTAGATACATCCAGAGGACTCTTGGGTTTCTCATCTAATTTAGGATGCGGCTTATCATCTTTTACGTCTGTAAGTGGTTTTGGAATTTCGTCAGATTTTTGAATGGGTTTGTCTGCAATTGGCAGAAGGGGAGTGGTTGACGGAATGGGCTTTTCTTGTGGCTTCACAGATCCAAATTCGTCATCAGTCTCATCGTCTGAATATTCTTTTGGAACTGTCTTTCCTAACTCAGTTGGGGACTTGGGTTTCTCAATGGATTTGACTGTATCTGTGGGTAGCTTTACTACGTCCTTGATCTGTATATCAACAGACTCCCGAGATTCAGTGACAGAAGTAATTTTGCTTGTAGTCATAGATAGAGGTACCAGAGGTGTGGTAGATGAAGGGAACTTATCTTGAGGCTTATTAAACCCTACTTCCTCATCGCTTTCGTCGTCAGAATAGTCCTTTGGAGTTTTCTTAGATACATCCAGAGGACTTTTGGGTTTCTCATCTAATTTAGGATGCGACGTATCATCTTTTACGTCTGTAAGTGGTTTTGAAATTTCGTCAGATTTTTGGATGGGTTTGTCTGAAATTGGCAGAAGGGGAGTGATTGACGGAATGGGCTTTTCTTGTGGCTTCACAGATCCAAATTCGTCGTCACTCTCATCGTCGGAATATTCTTTTGGAACTGTCTTTCCTAAATCAGTTGGGGACTTGGGTTTCTCAGTGGATTTGACTTTATCTGTGGGTAGCTTTACTACGTCCTTGATCTGTATATCAACAGACTCCCGAGATTCAGTGACAGAAGTAATTTTGCTTGTAGTCATAGATAGAGGTACCAGAGGTGTGGTAGTAGAAAGGGGCTTATGTTGAGGTTTATCAAACCCTACTTCCTCATCGCTTTCGTCGTCAGAATAATCCTTTGGAGTTTTCTTAGATACATCCAGAGGACTCTTGGGTTTCTCATCTAATTTAGGATGCGGCTTATCATCTTTTACGTCTGTAAGTGGTTTTGGAATTTCGTCAGATTTTTGAATGGGTTTGTCTGCAATTGGCAGAAGGGGAGTGGTTGACGGAATGGGCTTTTCTTGTGGCTTCACAGATCCAAATTCGTCATCAGTCTCATCGTCGGAATATTCTTTTGGAACTGTCTTTCCTAAATCAGTTGGGGACTTGGGTTTCTCAATGGATTTGACTGTATCTGTGGGTGGCTTTACTACGTCCTTGATCTGTATATCAACAGACTCCCGAGATTCAGTGACAGAAGTAATTTTGCTTGTAGTCATAGATAGAGGTACCAGAGGTGTGGTAGTAGAAAGGGGCTTATCTTGAGGTTTAGCAAACCCTACTTCCTCATCGCTTTCGTCGTCAGAATAGTCCTTTGGAGTTTTCTTAGATACATCCAGAGGACTCTTGGGTTTCTCATCTAATTTAGGATGCGACGTATCATCTTTTACGTCTGTAAGTGGTTTTGGAATTTCGTCAGATTTTTGGATGGGTTTGTCTGCAATTGGCAGAAGGGGAGTGGTTGACGGAATGGGCTTTTCTTGTGGCTTCACAGATCCAAATTCGTCATCACTCTCATCGTCTGAATATTCTTTTGGAACTGTCTTTCCCAACTCAGTTGGGGACTTGGGTTTCTCAATGGATTTGACTACGTCCTTGATCTGTATATCAACAGACTCCCGAGATTCAGTGACAGAAGTAATTTTGCTTGTAGTCATAGATAGAGGTACCAGAGGTGTGGTAGTAGAAAGGGGCTTATCTTGAGGTTTATCAAACCCTACTTCCTCATCGCTTTCGTCGTCAGAATAATCCTTTGGAGTTTTCTTAGATTCATCCAGAGGACTCTTGGGTTTCTGATCTAATTTAGGATGCGACTTATCATCTTTTACGTCTGTAAGTGGTTTTGGAATTTCGTCAGATTTTTGGATGGGTTTGTCTGCAATTGGCAGAAGGGGAGTGGTTGACGGAATGGGCTTTTCTTGTGGCTTCACAGATCCAAATTCGTCATCACTCTCATCGTCGGAATATTCTTTTGGAACTGTCTTTCCTAAATCAGTTGGGGTCTTGGGTTTCTCAGTGGATTTGACTGTATCTGTGGGTAGCTTTACTACGTCCTTGATCTGTATATCAACAGACTCCCGAGATTCAGTGACAGAAGTAATTTTGCTTGTAGTCATAGATAGAGGTACCAGAGGTGTGGTAGTTGAGAGGGGCTTATCTTGAGGTTTAGCAAACCCTACTTCCTCATCGCTTTCGTCGTCAGAATAGTCCTTTGGAGTTTTCTTAGATACATCCAGAGGACTCTTGGGTTTCTCATCTAATTTCTCATCTTTTACGTCTGTAAGTGGTTTTGGAACTTCGTCAGATTTTTGGATGGGTTTGTCTGCAATTGGCAGAAGGGGAGTGGTTGACGGAATGGGCTTTTCTTGTGGCTTCACAGATCCAAATTCTTTTGGAACTGTCTTTCCTAACTCAGTTGGGGACTTGGGTTTCTCAATGGATATGACTGTATCTGTGGTTGGCTTTACTACGTCCTTGATCTGTATATCAACAGACTCCCGAGATTCAGTGACAGAAGTAATTTTGCTTGTAGTCATAGATAGAGGTACCAGAGGTGTGGTAGTAGAAAGGGGCTTATCTTGAGGTTTAGCAAACCCTACTTCCTCATCGCTTTCGTCGTCAGAATAGTCCTTTGGAGTTTTCTTAGATACATCCAGAGGATTCTTGGGTTTCTCATCTAATTTAGGATGCGGCTTATCATCTTTTACGTCTGTAAGTGCTTTTGGAATTTCGTCAGATTTTTGGATGGGTTTGTCTGCAATTGGCAGAAGGGGAGTGGTTGACGGAATGGGCTTTTCTTGTGGCTTCACAGATCCAAATTCGTCATCACTTTCATCGTCTGAATATTCTTTTGGAACTGTCTTTCCCAACTCAGTTGGGGACTTGGGTTTCTCAATGGATTTGACTACGTCCTTGATCTGTATATCAACAGACTCCCGAGATTCAGTGACAGAAGTAATTTTGCTTGTAGTCATAGATAGAGGTACCAGAGGTGTGGTAGTAGAAAGGGGCTTATCTTGAGGTTTATCAAACCCTACTTCCTCATCGCTTTCGTCGTCAGAATAATCCTTTGGAGTTTTCTTAGATTCATCCAGAGGACTCTTGGGTTTCTCATCTAATTTAGGATGCGGCTTATCATCTTTTACGTCTGTAAGTGGTTTTGGAATTTCGTCAGATTTTTGGATGGGTTTGTCTGCAATTGGCAGAAGGGGAGTGGTTGACGGAATGGGCTTTTCTTGTGGCTTCACAGATCCAAATTCGTCATCACTCTCATCGTCGGAATATTCTTTTGGAACTGTCTTTCCTAAATCAGTTGGGGACTTGGGTTTCTCAATGGATTTGACTACGTCCTTGATCTGTATATCAACAGACTCCCGAGATTCAGTGACAGAAGTAATTTTGCTTGTAGTCATAGATAGAGGTACCAGAGGTGTGGTAGTAGAAAGGGGCTTATCTTGAGGTTTAGCAAACCCTACTTCCTCATCGCTTTCGTCGTCAGAATAGTCCTTTGGAGTTTTCTTAGCTACATCCAGAGGACTCTTGGGGTTCTCATCTAATTTCTCATCTTCTACGTCTGTAAGTGGTTTTGGAACTTCGTCAGATTTTTGGATGGGTTTGTTTGCAATTGGCAGAAGGGGAGTGGTTGACGGAATGGGCTTTTCTTGTGGCTTCACAGATCCAAATTCGTCATCAGTCTCATCGTCTGAATATTCATTTAGAACTGTCTTTCCTAAATCAGTTGGGGACTTGGGTTTCTCAGTGGATTTGACTGTATCTGTGGGTAGCTTTACTACGTCCTTGATCTGTATATCAACAGACTCCCGAGATTCAGTGACAGAAGTAATTTTGCTTGTAGTCATAGATAGAGGTACCAGAGGTGTGGTAGTAGAAAGGGGCTTATCTTGAGGTTTAGCAAACCCTACTTCCTCATCGCTTTCGTCGTCACAATAGTCCTTTGGAGTTTTCTTAGATACATCCAGAGGACTCTTGGGTTTCTCATCTAATTTAGGATGCGACTTATCATCTTTTACGTCTGTAAGTGGTTTTGGAATTTCGTCAGATTTTTGGATGGGTTTGTCTGCAATTGGCAGAAGGGGAGTGGTTGACGGAATGGGCTTTTCTTGTGGCTTCACAGATCCAAATTCGTCATCAGTCTCATCGTCTGAATATTCATTTAGAACTGTCTTTCCTAAATCAGTTGGGGACTTGGGTTTCTCAGTCGATTTGACTGTATCTGTGGGTAGCTTTACTACGTCCTTGATCTGTATATCAACAGACTCCCGAGATTCAGTGACAGAAGTAATTTTGCTTGTAGTCATAGATAGAGGTACCAGAGGTGTGGTAGTTGAGAGGGGCTTATCTTGAGGTTTAGCAAACCCTACTTCCTCATCACTTTCGTCGTCAGAATAGTCCTTTGGAGTTTTCTTAGATACATCCAGAGGACTCTTGGGTTTCTCATCTAATTTCTCATCTTTTAAGTCTGTAAGTGGTTTTGGAACTTCGTCAGATTTTTGGATGGGTTTGTCTGCAATTGGCAGAAGGGGAGTGGTTGACGGAATGGGCTTTTCTTGTGCCTTCACAGATCCAAATTCTTTTGGAACTGTCTTTCCTAACTCAGTTGGGGACTTGGGTTTCTCAATGGATATGACTGTATCTGTGGTTGGCTTTACTACGTCCTTGATCTGTATATCAACAGACTCCCGAGATTCAGTGACAGAAGTAATTTTGCTTGTAGTCATAGATAGAGGTACCAGAGGTGTGGTAGTTGAGAGGGGCTTATCTTGAGGTTTAGCAAACCCTACTTCCTCATCGCTTTCGTCGTCAGAATAGTCCTTTGGAGTTTTCTTAGATACATCCAGAGGACTCTTGGGTTTCTCATCTAATTTAGGATGCGGCTTATCATCTTTTACGTCTGTATGTGGTTTTGGAATTTCGTCAGATTTTTGGATGGGTTTGTCTGCAATTGGCAGAAGGGGAGTGGTTGACGGAATGGGCTTTTCTTGTGGCTTCACAGATCCAAATTCGTCATCAGTCTCATCGTCTGAATATTCATTTAGAACTGTCTTTCCTAAATCAGTTGGGGACTTGGGTTTCTCAGTGGATTTGACTGTATCTGTGGGTAGCTTTACTACGTCCTTGATCTGTATATCAACAGACTCCCGAGATTCAGTGACAGAAGTAATTTTGCTTGTAGTCATAGATAGAGGTACCAGAGGTGTGGTAGTAGAAAGGGGCTTATCTTGAGGTTTAGCAAACCCTACTTCCTCATCGCTTTCGTCGTCAGAATAGTCCTTTGGAGTTTTCTTAGCTACATCCAGAGGACTCTTGGGGTTCTCATCTAATTTCTCATCTTCTACGTCTGTAAGTGGTTTTGGAACTTCGTCAGATTTTTGGATGGGTTTGTTTGCAATTGGCAGAAGGGGAGTGGTTGACGGAATGGGCTTTTCTTGTGGCTTCACAGATCCAAATTCGTCATCACTCTCATCGTCGGAATATTCTTTTGGAACTGTCTTTCCTAAATCAGTTGGGGACTTGGGTTTCTCAGTGGATTTGACTGTATCTGTGGGTAGCTTTACTACGTCCTTGATCTGTATATCAACAGACTCCCGAGATTCAGTGACAGAAGTAATTTTGCTTGTAGTCATAGATAGAGGTACCAGAGGTGTGGTAGTTGAGAGGGGCTTATCTTGAGGTTTAGCAAACCCTACTTCCTCATCGCTTTCGTCGTCAGAATAGTCCTTTGGAGTTTTCTTAGATACATCCAGAGGACTCTTGGGTTTCTCATCTAATTTCTCATCTTTTACGTCTGTAAGTGGTTTTGGAATTTCGTCAGATTTTTGGATGGGTTTGTCTGCAATTGGCAGAAGGGGAGTGGTTGACGGAATGGGCTTTTCTTGTGGCTTCACAGATCCAAATTCGTCATCACTCTCATCGTCGGAATATTCTTTTGGAACTGTCTTTCCTAAATCAGTTGGGGACTTGGGTTTCTCAGTGGATTTGACTGTATCTGTGGGTAGCTTTACTACGTCCTTGATCTGTATATCAACAGACTCCCGAGATTCAGTGACAGAAGTAATTTTGCTTGTAGTCATAGATAGAGGTACCAGAGGTGTGGTAGTTGAGAGGGGCTTATCTTGAGGTTTAGCAAACCCAACTTCCTCATCGCTTTCGTCGTCAGAATAGTCCTTTGGAGTTTTCTTAGATACATCCAGAGGACTCTTGGGTTTCTCATCTAATTTCTCATCTTTTACGTCTGTAAGTGGTTTTGGAATTTCGTCAGATTTTTGGATGGGTTTGTCTGCAATTGGCAGAAGGGGAGTGGTTGACGGAATGGGCTTTTCTTGTGGCTTCACAGATCCAAATTCTTTTGGAACTGTCTTTCCCAACTCAGTTGGGGACTTGGGTTTCTCAATGGATATGACTGTATCTGTGGTTGGCTTTACTACGTCCTTGATCTGTATATCAACAGACTCCCGAGATTCAGTGACAGAAGTAATTTTGCTTGTAGTCATAGATAGAGGTACCAGAGGTGTGGTAGTTGAGAGGGGCTTATCTTGAGGTTTAGCAAACCCTACTTCCTCATCGCTTTCGTCGTCAGAATAGTCCTTTGGAGTTTTCTTAGATACATCCAGAGGACTCTTGGGTTTCTCATCTAATTTCTCATCTTTTACGTCTGTAAGTGGTTTTGGAATTTCGTCAGATTTTTGGATGGGTTTGTCTGCAATTGGCAGAAGGGGAGTGGTTGACGGAATGGGCTTTTCTTGTGGCTTCACAGATCCAAATTCGTCATCACTCTCATCGTCGGAATATTCTTTTGGAACTGTCTTTCCTAAATCAGTTGGGGACTTGGGTTTCTCAGTGGATTTGACTGTATCTGTGGGTAGCTTTACTACGTCCTTGATCTGTATATCAACAGACTCCCGAGATTCAGTGACAGAAGTAATTTTGCTTGTAGTCATAGATAGAGGTACCAGAGGTGTGGTAGTTGAGAGGGGCTTATCTTGAGGTTTAGCAAACCCTACTTCCTCATCGCTTTCGTCATCAGAATAGTCCTTTGGAGTTTTCTTAGATACATCCAGAGGACTCTTGGGTATCTCATCTAATTTCTCATCTTTTACGTCTGTAAGTGGTTTTGGAACTTCGTCAGATTTTTGGATGGGTTTGTCTGCAATTGGCAGAAGGGGAGTGGTTGACGGAATGGGCTTTTCTTGTGGCTTCACAGATCCAAATTCTTTTGGAACTGTCTTTCCCAACTCAGTTGGGGACTTGGGTTTCTCAATGGATATGACTGTATCTGTGGTTGGCTTTACTACGTCCTTGATCTGTATATCAACAGACTCCCGAGATTCAGTGACAGAAGTAATTTTGCTTGTAGTCATAGATAGAGGTACCAGAGGTGTGGTAGTTGAGAGGGGCTTATCTTGAGGTTTAGCAAACCCTACTTCCTCATCGCTTTCGTCGTCAGAATAGTCCTTTGGAGTTTTCTTAGATACATCCAGAGGACTCTTGGGTATCTCATCTAATTTCTCATCTTTTACGTCTGTAAGTGGTTTTGGAACTTCGTCAGATTTTTGGATGGGTTTGTCTGCAATTGGCAGAAGGGGAGTGGTTGACGGAATGGGCTTTTCTTGTGGCTTCACAGATCCAAATTCTTTTGGAACTGTCTTTCCCAACTCAGTTGGGGACTTGGGTTTCTCAATGGATATGACTGTATCTGTGGTTGGCTTTACTACGTCCTTGATCTGTATATCAACAGACTCCCGAGATTCAGTGACAGAAGTAATTTTGCTTGTAGTCATAGATAGAGGTACCAGAGGTGTGGTAGTTGAGAGGGGCTTATCTTGAGGTTTAGCAAACCCTACTTCCTCATCGCTTTCGTCGTCAGAATAGTCCTTTGGAGTTTTCTTAGATACATCCAGAGGACTCTTGGGGCTCTCATCTAATTTAGGATGCGACTTATCATCTTTTACGTCTGTAAGTGGTTTTGGAATTTCGTCAGATTTTTGGATGGGTTTGTCTGCAATTGGCAGAAGGGGAGTAATTGACGGAATGGGCTTTTCTTGTGGCTTCACAGATCCAAATTCGTCATCAGTCTCATCGTCTGAATATTCATTTAGAACTGTCTTTCCTAAATCAGTTGGGGACTTGGGTTTCTCAGTCGATTTGACTGTATCTGTGGGTAGCTTTACTACGTCCTTGATCTGTATATCAACAGACTCCCGAGATTCAGTGACAGAAGTAATTTTGCTTGTAGTCATAGATAGAGGTACCAGAGGTGTGGTAGTAGAAAGGGGCTTATCTTGAGGTTTAGCAAACCCTACTTCCTCATCGCTTTCGTCGTCAGAATAGTCCTTTGGAGTTTTCTTAGATACATCCAGAGGACTCTTGGGGCTCTCATCTAATTTAGGATGCGACTTATCATCTTTTACGTCTGTAAGTGGTTTTGGAATTTCGTCAGATTTTTGGGTGGGTTTGTCTGCAATTGGCAGAAGGGGAGTAATTGACGGAATGGGCTTTTCTTGTGGCTTCACAGATCCAAATTCGTCATCAGTCTCATCGTCTGAATATTCATTTAGAACTGTCTTTCCTAAATCAGTTGGGGACTTGGGTTTCTCAGTGGATTTGACTGTATCTGTGGGTAGCTTTACTACGTCCTTGATCTGTATATCAACAGACTCCCGAGATTCAGTGACAGAAGTAATTTTGCTTGTAGTCATAGATAGAGGTACCAGAGGTGTGGTAGTAGAAAGGAGCTTATCTTGAGGTTTAGCAAACCCTACTTCCTCATCGCTTTCGTCGTCAGAATAGTCCTTTAGAGTTTTCTTAGATACATCCAGAGGACTCTTGGGTTTCTCATCTAATTTAGGATGCGACATATCATCTTTTACGTCTGTAAGTGGTTTTGGAATTTCGTCAGATTTTTTGATGGGTTTGTCTGCAATTGGCAGAAGGAGAGTGGTTGACGGAATGGGCTTTTCTTGTGGCTTCACAGATCCAAATTCGTCATCACTCTTATCGTCGGAATATTCTTTTGGAACTGTCTTTCCTAAATCAGTTGGGGACTTGGGTTTCTCAATGGATTTGACTGTATCTGTGGGTGGCTTTACTACATGTTTGATCTGTATATCAACAGACTCCCGAGATTCAGTGACAGAAGTAATTTTGCTTGTAGTCATAGGTAGAGGTACCAGAGGTGTGGTAGATGAAGGGAACTTATCTTGAGGCTTATTAAACCCTACTTCCTCATCGCTTTCGTCGTCAGAATAGTCCTTTGGAGTTTTCTTAGATACATCCAGAGGACTCTTGGGTTTCTCATCTAATTTAGGATGCGACATATCATCTTTTACGTCTGTAAGTGGTTTTGGAATTTCGTCAGATTTTTTGATGGGTTTGTCTGCAATTAGCAGAAGGGGAGTGGTTGACGGAATGGGCTTTTCTTGTGGCTTCACAGATCCAAATTCGTCATCAGTCTCATCGTCTGAATATTCATTTAGAACTGTCTTTCCTAAATCAGTTGGGGACTTGGGTTTCTCAGTCGATTTGACTGTATCTGTGGGTAGCTTTACTACGTCCTTGATCTGTATATCAACAGACTCCCGAGATTCAGTGACAGAAGTAATTTTGCTTGTAGTCATAGGTAGAGGTACCAGAGGTGTGGTAGATGAAGGGAACTTATCTTGAGGCTTATTAAACCCTACTTCCTCATCGCTTTCGTCGTCAGAATAGTCCTTTGGAGTTTTCTTAGATACATCCAGAGGACTTTTGGGTTTCTCATCTAATTTAGGATGCGACGTATCATCTTTTACGGCAGTCAATGGTTTTGCTATATCATCCGATTTTTGAATAGGTTTGTCTGCAATTGACAGCAAAGGACTATCTTGTCGCTTAGATATATATATTGGAGGCTTAGTGGTTTCATTTAATTCTTTCTTTATATTGTGGGTACTTTGAATGATTTTATGATGTTCTGTTTTGTTTTTAGTGATAAATTCGGAAGTTAATATTTCTTCTCGTTCTTTTGAATTTGATGGAAGCTTTCTCTCTTCTTGTTTAGTTATTATTGTTGACTCTAGAATTTTGGATTCGCTTACATAAATAGGTTTTTGAGGACTTTTTTTATTATTGGATAGTGTTTTTATCTTTTTCAGCTGTTCACTATGATTAATCTCTTCATCGCTTTCACTCTCGTGTGCTATATTAAGTGTATCTTGTGGAAAACTTGTTTTAAAATCAATCGCTTTTTGAGCTTGCGTCGCATCGACTGAAGACCTTAATTGTATATCATGGGTTGGAAACTTATCTGAAAATTGGTTTTCTATTTCAGTTTTATCAGTCTGTGATTTCGGTCGGTTCTCATCTAAAATTAGTTTGCTCAGTTTTCTTTCGTATTCAGTTGCAACGCTTATAAATTCTTTTGCGTCTTTAATGTCAGCTTTTGAAATGGAATGCAATTGCTCAACTGTGTGTGCCAGTTTCGGGAAGACTACTTCCTTATTGTGCTTATTTAAATCTATTGGAAATTCTTGTTTATCACATTGCTTAGATAAAATATAATCACTTTCAGGTGCCTGTTTAATACTTCCGGATATATTGTATTTAGTTCTTTCGTCCAAAAGGAACTTAGCAGTAATTGATTTAACATCGTTCGATTGTAAACTATCTTCACTATCAGGTTCCCTTTGGAACTCTTTCGCCATATCGGAAACTTTACGCTTTAAGCATATCTTTTCACAAACTACTTCAAGATTTTCAGTACTGGGGCTTGTTTTATCCATGTGCAACACCGGCGAAGATACCTTCTGTTCAGGAAAACGGATTGTACCCAGGTTTTCTAGAACTAGGTCAGCTTCGCTTAATATCTGATGTTCTATCGTGGATAAATCAGCCTTGCGATCTACCGTTCCACGTTTTCGTGGACTAAATGGTGTAAGTTCTAAGCTCGTTGAGGTATACCTACGTTCAATGTCTTGGACAACTTCCTTCACTTTTGGCAATGTCTCTAATGTGTTTTCCTTACTTACTAAGTCTTTCGGTTCATCAATACTAGCTGTTAAAATGTTGCCAGGTACCTGTTCTACTTGTCTATTTAAATCTACTACCTGCTCATCCAAAGTCTTTTGCGTTTCATTTAAGTCTTCTGCCACCACAAAGGCCTTTCGCTTCTCACAAATCTTTTCGCAAACTTCTTCCTCAATTTGCGCCATACCAATTGCTCCACGCTCCATAGCCTCAACAGGTGAGCGCTTAACAACTTCAGCAGGTGGTTCGCATTTTGTTAACTTATCTAGTGCAAGATCTGCTGCTGTTAGTATCTGTTTCTCTACCTCACAGATGTTCGGCTCTTTATGTTCCTGATCTGTTGCTCGCTTATGTACGGGAAATGGAATAGCCTCAACTTCAGTGCCGCTTATCTTGCTCTCAATGCTCTGGACCACATCTTTAACAACTGGTACCTTCTCGCCTATGTACTTGGGTGGGGCACTCTGTTGTGTGGTACTGGATTCCAAAGATTCCGTACTGCCACAGCTCTCCAAACGCAATATTTTGCGCCTCACATCACCGCAGCCCATTATCTGCTCTAAATATTCCCTATCGCCAGCATCGCGCTGGATATCATCCAGCTCCGCTTGTTTCTTTGGATGACCGATTGGCTTTGCAGTTAAATCTACTTTGGTGCGTTCTACTTGCGTAGTCAGAGTCGTCGTTGTTGTTATTGTTGCTGTTGTGGTCGTTGTCTTCGGAGTTGGACTACTTGCACTCATTTCTGTAAATGAGGTAGTGTCTTGTGAGTATGGTTTCTGTATAGTGGGGGGAGCTGCCATTCTATGTAGCAGCTTATCAGTTTCATCTGAACTTGTAAAGGTTTCGGTTTTTACATTATGAACACTGAAGTGCTCTGTTTGAGGCGTTCCAGGTTGGTTGGCGAAATATTTTTAAGAAGTAGAAACAAGGCAATATTTAGACAGTTAACACCTATTACAAACAAACCAGACTGGTATGGTGGGTTAGTTTATATACACAGTGCAATTGACCGCATGACTACAAGCTTGTACGCCATAAAAAAAACCCAGCAGCAGGCACAAACATGCAATTTGTAGTACGATATAAGTAAATGCGCTCATTACGTTACATATTTAGTTAGTTGATAAAGCAGAACAAAATGTCTCGACAGACAGACAGAATTAGTTGCCAGTCGAGCATTTCTTAGGATGTATACTCTGCCAGAAGAATGTCTAGAGTATGGTCTATATGAAGTCGTGGATTCCTTGCCCATTTGCTGCTCTGGCGTCGTTTTTGAATTCAACTCGATTTGAAATTTTCATTCATTACGTTTGCATATTTTTTCACAAGAATATTTAAGCAATTGTTGTATGTTTTCGATTTTGCATTCATTTTGGAGTTTGGAAACAAACTTAAAAAGACAAAATTAGCAAAGTACTGCAAGAATAATTATACCACGACATCATATGTCACATACAATACGTTGCAGCCTTAGTGTTAATCAGGTGCAAAAGTATAGCAGGTATTTTTCGTTTGTATTTCAATCTAACTTTTACATTTACATATACATCATACATTATACATAGTATGTAGCCAATTAGGATAAGGAAGCGCGTTAGGAGTGCATTAAAGTGTATTTGTTGTAAAAGCCGCAAATGCAAAAACTTAAATAATCTATAAACTAAACATAGTACGATTTATGCATGTTTAAGTAACTGCTACTGTGAGGTATTTTTGATGTTAATTGGTTTATGTTTTAATATTTTAATTGATTTTTTACTAAACATTTAGTTAAGATATTCGTGGTTTTCAGATGACAGAGAAAGAGAGAGAGACATATGCTTTTTCGTTAAGGACTCACAAATATTACGAAAAGCAAACATAACATAATCAAATAAATGAAAAAATGATTGGGAACTTAAAGCCATGGTGGTTTACAGATATCGAACTTGGTACTGAAGTGCTGAATGCGGCATATTGGTTGGGATCGAAATGCGTAATGAGATCACAATGGAATTGGATAGTTTTTTATTTTTTTTTTAATTTTTATATTTTGTTACTCAACTCATTTCTGATCACAACACACATTACGATTGACAAATGAATCTAGAGAAATTTTGAAAATTTCGAATATATCGAAAACTTTAGTGTTTATCTTAATGAAAAAAATCTTATAGTACATTGTTAATATGTTGTATGTACACTAGTTGGCTTAACTTGTTATTGTACTTATTGATTTGTATTTGAAATGTTTAAAACAATTTGAATTGAAATTGAATCAATTATTGTAGCTTGCAGTATTTGACCGTAAAACATAAACTGAATTGCATAAATAATTGCTTAAAAATTGCAAACGTAATTGTCGTTTTATATTCGATCATAAAAAAAAACAATTATGTTATATTATTATTGTTGTTGAATGTATATATATAAAGTATAATAGAGAGAGAGAGAGAGAGACCTATTAGCGATACCCATCATATATGCTTAGAACTTTTCTAATTGCAACTTTTCAAATTTGCTTTTTTTCAGAACTTACCATAAAATTACAATACTTAAAGTTACTTTAGTGTTTGGGTTTTGAGTTTTATAAAGTTTTTAGTGTAGTTTAAACTAGATTTGTTTGGTATTTAAGTTTATTTAAGATGTTATCAATGCATTGAATAAACCACAAACAACAACTCAATGCTACAATGCTCGATTACTACTCGTTAAATTGAAACGCACAAAGAAACACAACACAAATTTGGCCACAATATATTTGAGGGCTTTGGCTTGGCCAGAAGACAGCGCGTCTACAAGAAAATCGGCTACGTATTACCGTCGCGTGTACTTGGGCAAACGCAAATGTGTAACTAAATCTGCGAACAAATGGACGCTCACTGCTTAACTACACCAAAATGAACGAAACAAATTAAATTAAGTATACGCCAGCGCGTACCTGCGCAGTGACATAACACTTGACACCCTCCAAACTACGAGCAGTTATATTATATTATATATAGAAAATAATACATATATGCATACTTCTAACTAGAACTATCTGGGCGAAATAATAAATTGTATTTTATTAACTTTTATGATTTTCATATGTAGCTTAAACAGGAATAGGCAAACTGCTTTGCTCAGTCCCCTGCATATTTACCCAAAGTATGCAATTGTTTCCTATCGATTTGTACTTTAGTGTTGACATTGTCAATTTTGAATGTTAGTCAGCCACATTAGCTGCGGCGCCAGACACTAGCTGAACTATTAGGGATTTTCTCTTGTTTATGTTTTCCTCATTTCCCCGACCTTAGACTTTTGGTAATTGGATTAGCTACAGTACTGCGACGTTACAACGGTATTTCGACGGCATTTTCTTGAAGAGCTTTTGTCACCAGCTGCTGCTGGCCAAACGCCACTCAGTGAGCTTCAATTTGAGATGGTGAATTGCGAATTATGGTTTGTTCAGATACAGACTTTTTTTATTAAGATATACACACTAGCAGCTTGTTGCTTTATGCTTTTATGACTATTTGTTAACAATGAACTATTTTCGTTTCCATTGAATCGTAGTTAGTTTTAATGAATGGTAGTTTGCATACAAAAAGCCTTTGGATTTGAACTCAAAACGAAATGAGTTCAACACACAAAACAAGTGGAAATAATAAATTATAATTTGTACTAATTAAAATTGAAAACAAACACACTACAAAAGGCTCAGAAATCATAGGGAAAACAGAAACAAAAACAGGGGGTGTTACGAGTTCATTTTCTTATACCAAAAAGGCAAACAAAAAACGTTGGTAAGTCAATTTACATAACAAATACTTGAATTGCATAAAGTAGGAGCAGCACTTACCAACTGTGGAAATGGCAGCAACGCGTTCGAAAGTCGACTCTGTGGTCGTGTGCAAAGTGGTCACAGTGTCGGCTAGATAATCTATATAAATAGTCAATAAGCTCATCAATCAGTGCCATCAATTACATGTCAATTTTCTACAATTTACCATGCTCTAGATCGCCCAGTCCGGATTGCTCATTCTGCTTCTCGGTTTTGGCATCACTCGGTGTTGGTGGCGGAGTTTGGGAGTGTGGTATGTCGCTCGCTAAAAGTACAGGGTACTTAGTTATACAGTTCAGTTGATATATATGTTGCCCTGTTTACGCACCTATCTGTTTGAGTTCATCTGGCATTTCAATTAAACCCTCGCTCATCTTTTTGGTAATGGTTTCGCCGACATATTTGCAGAACTCCGCATCGGTCAGCGATTTGCGTGGCTCTATGGACAGCGGTGCACAGAGTCCTTCTTCCTTGAGGTCATCGCTCAGTGGCACTGTGGCTCGCTTATCGAACGTATCGCTATCGTATTCTGACATCACTTTAGGTATACTAGGCTGCTGAGCTTGTTGCTCCATCGCTAGAAAATCGGCGGTCAGCTTGCGTGCAGCAAATGGTGAAACCTCGCCAATTGGTGCAGCTGACTCGATGCCATCTCCTGAAACGACCTTCGTCTCAGGCTCCACGATTGTGGCTTTCGGTTCTTTGTCAATGATAGTAGTCTCAGTTATAGCTGCTGTTTCCTGCATAGCAAGTTTTGGCTGCATGACTTCTGGTAGAATTGTCGCTTCCGCGATGTTCTTTGGTGGTTGAGGCTGAGTTTGTTGTTCCATCTGCAAAAAGTCCGCTGTAAGCTGACGTTCGTTGAGTGGGGCGGGCTTCGGCTTTTGACTGCTTATAACCTCAGCTTGTTTCACTGTGTCATCCACTAATGGCTTTCTAGGTTCTACAACAGGTATTTTACTGGCAGGTGGTGCTGCTTTCACAGATATCACGGACTCAGGCTCGGAGGCGGTTGATGTCTGGCTAGACTCGATCAACGACTCGGGTGCACTACGCAGACTGGGCAGTTGGCTCTGCTGTTCCATGCTCAGGAAATCATTAGTTTTCTTGAGAGTATCAAAGACAATGTGCTCTTCGATTTTGTGGAATGTCTCGACAACATCAGCCACTTTTTCTGCCACTTTATCTTCCTTTTTGGCCAATTCGGGCAGTTTTTGTTGAGCTGCAATCAGAGGCTCCTTCTTTTTGCCTGCAACTTCCTCTATCTTGTCAGCTAACTCTGCGGGCTTGTCGGCTTTTATTATTTTATCCTCGATCTTGTGGAACGTGTCAATTAGATCGGTTAACTTTTCATTCACAGTTTCGGCCTTGGCAGCAATTTCGGGTTGTGGCTTGGGCTGTTCGCTAGCCATTCCGGATGTCATAATGGTTGTAGTGGATGCTACAATGTCATCAAAGATTTTCGACTCCTTGTCCACTGACTTTCTAGGTTCTACTTTCGGTATCTTACTTGCAGCTGGAGCTGCTTTTGGCTCGGCTGCAGCTTGGGCTGGCAGTTGAGTTTTCTGCTCAGCTTGCAGAAAATCTTGTGTCAATTTTCGTGCATCCACTTCGGCTATCTTGGCACCTTCGCCACTCTTCACGGGAATCCGTGAGACTGGTTTCTCTACCTTTGCCTCGACTGGTTTCTCAAACTCAGCTTCAGCTGCAGCCCGAGGAGCCGCTGTAGGTTTAATGGCTTCCTCGCTAGGTTTCTTAACAAGTTTAGGTATTTGCGTCTTTGGCTCGCCACCATGGAAATCGTATTTCACCTTTTTGGCCTCGAAGTCAGCAATTTTCTCCTCAATTTTCGAGCTCTCAATAATTTCAACTGTTTTGGAAATGTCTTCCGCAGGTGTAAATTGAGTTTCTTGCAGATGCTTTATTGTCTCGCTGACCTTCGTTGTGTCTTTAGTAATCTCACTGCTCTTCTCCTGGATCTCCTGTTTGCCGCTCTCAAAGGAACTGATTATATTCTCTACCTTTTTGCTGGCAGTTTCAGTGACTTCACTGATGACTTGTTCAACCTCTTTGATTGTTTCCTGCGCAATTGTTGCCACAGGACTTGTCTTTTCCTTAAACTCCTCTGAGAACTTTTCGTGAACGGTAGCAGACGTTTCGGATGGCAGTTGATTGCGCTTTTCGAACTCCAAGAAATCCTCGGTCATATCACGCGCTTCCTGACGGGTAATGAAGCCCACTCTGCTGGTGGTAGTCGGGTCCTTCTTAGCGGTCTTCTCAGCAGTGCTAATGTCCTGAACAATCTTATCAACCTTGTCTGGAGAGGGCAGTTCTTCTTCCTCTGAGCTGCGGCCAGAAGTTTTCAACTTATGCGTCAGCTCCTTATCGAATTCGCTCTTGCTCACTTCAGTCGAATCCAATTTACCCATCTTCATCTTGATGACCTGCTCGGGCACAGTCGTCGTTTTAATTATGACATTATCGGCGGGTAGCTGCATCAGAATCTCTGACTCGTGATGCGCCTTTTTGTCCTCAATCAAGCTTTTGCGTTTGATTTCAGTAATCTCTCGTGTGATTTCCTTCTTTTGGGTTGAAGCTGGTATGGAGCGCTCCACCGAGAGTCGCTTGACGATTTTCTCTCGGCGTTCGGCAACGGTTCGTTTTGCTGGTTCCTCATCGGACTCGGACTCTTCAACTTCCTTCTCCTCAGCGGAGTATTTGACTTCTTCGCGTTCGTTGATTTGCTGGATTCGCTTGCCTAAAAGGACCGAATTATAATTTGCATGCTGTAAATGATCAATAGTACTTACTTTCTCTGCGGACCAGCTCCTCTACAGATTCGGAGTTCTTCATAAGATCTGCCTCGTCAAACTCTCGCGAATGCGATAATCTTCCACTCTTGCACTTCTTCATGATGTCGTCTCGTCCGATGTTCTTAAGAGCTGCTTCCAGTGCGAGAATGTCATAGTTTGGCTTATCTTTGTACAAGCGAATCATGCTCTGCGCCTGTCGCGCAATACTGTCGGTATTTTGGTTAATGATTTCATCGATCTCATCGGCAGTTACGCCTATCTCTGGAGCCAGTTGTATCCAGTCTTTACCCAGTAAGTTTGATAGGTCTACAATGCGTATATCGCCAATGTAATGATCGTTTTGATGCTTGCTCAGACTGAACATCGAGGTGCGATAGGCGGAGGAGACGCGTTCCGAAAACGCTGTCGTCGAATCAGGTATGACAGCCTCAGGCAGTACTATGTTCAGTATGCAGATGGGTTGCTGTGGAGGCTCGCCCTTCGCCACTTTGGGCTCCTTCATGAACAACGTGCGACCCACAATATCTGCATGTTGATCCTTCACACGCACCGTGAAGGGCAAACGATTCTCACGGAAGGCCTTGAACTGCAACTGCAATTGGTCACCCGACTTGGTAACGGGCACCAGGTTGCCAGCCATTTCAATGTACTGGGGTTTGCCCTCGAGCACCTCGACATCACGGCTCTTAGCCACCTCGGTGTATAGCTCGTGCTTCTCGAGTGTTTTATCCTCGCGATCGTCGGTCATACAGAAGACGCGCAGACGTGCCTCGAAGGGCTCTATTTTCTTGGCGAACACCACAAATCTGGCTATGAAGGGCACATGTATGACTTCCCTAATAATGAATACATGGTTAATATGAGCTATATATAATCAAGGCATACTACTCGACTTACTTATACAGCTCTGTTGCCATTTTGGTTGCATCGGAAATGTTGCGACAATCCATCAGCCAGAAACGGGCCGAAACCGTTGTCGTAAATGAGACGCAATCGTTGACAAATGTCAATGGCGTGGAGCCCGTAACATCCTCCCATTGGGCCCGGGACGGTCCGCCTAATGGGTAATAAGATGTTCAATTTTCAAGCATGGATCAAGGCAAAGGCGAAACGCATAGACTAAATATGAATAACTCTTTGAAAACTCTACTTATGTCTTATTAGCAGATAATTATGTAATTCGAAAAATTGTTCAACTAAATGAAAACGAAAAAGTTGTTTGGTTTTAAAGAGAGAGAAATACGATCGTGTATTATAATTACAAAGCAATTGTATATATTATGTATTAAAGAGTATTATTGAGAAAAGTGTTAAGTTGTAAGTTATTTCCAAAAAGTATCGAATATGTATTTAGCGTAAGAGTTATAGGAAAATTAGTAAATTGTTTCTTGTGGTCTGTGTGTCTGTGGCATATCGTATATATATATATAGATTAATGTGATGCTGTGACTGAGTTAGGTCTAAGCCTTGTATAATGGATCAATGTACATGTGTATGTCTATGTATGTGTGTGTGTGTGTCGCACCTTGGTTTCAAGCATTATATGTATTTGTTAAGTTAAGACTTTGGAGGGCTGTAGCATTTACAAGGATATACAGGTACTAAGGTACTTGTTACGCTGACTTTGAAGCCATTTTGAAACAACATGCTAAGTATTTTGGAATAATAAAATTATTAGACGTTTCAATGATAATTAAGTGAGCGTGTTTCACGTGTTTCTTGTAAATGTGTAGAAAACAAGAAAAACGAAAACCAAATCAACTCAAACATACAAAATCATAGAAATTGAATAAAAATCAACTAAATCAATAAGGTAAATAAATAGACCTTGGACTTGTTTATGTACAATAAACAAAATATATTTAGGTTCTTTAAATATATAATATAGAGCTTAATTTCTTTAATAGCATTAATTTCTTTTCCTTTTCTTTTTCTATTTGATTGTGTGTGAATATTTTGGTTTTGTTTTTCTTTTTTTGTCGGTTTCAGAAAAGTTCTCTTTGGGGCCACAAACAGTTGAAATTCGAAATTCGAAATTGAATTGGTTATTTTTGAAAACAATTTATTTAGATAATATGTGAATATATTCTGCTTTATGTGGAACGTATAAGAAAGCATAATAAATCAAATAGGATCTGAATAATCTAATAAAACGAACGAAACTACGATTTATCTTAAGTGCATGACATTCCAAATAAAGAACAATGTGAGAACTTAAGATATATGGTAAATAAAGATAGTAAAAAATAAAGCTGAGTAAATCTGGCCTTGATTCAAATACGGTTTCTTTGGCCCAAAGAGCAACTTTAGCAAATATTTTATTAGAGACCTGTTTTTTGATTATTATTTTTGTTGTTTAATGAAAATGTGCAATTTATATATGAATAGAAAAACCGCGTGCATTCAGAAATTTCATTTAAGATATTTGTTGTTTATTCTTATTTAGTTAGTTTAGAGCAAGAGAGAGAGAGAGAGATAGAGCGCAGCAAAAGAGTTGTTTTTGTAGGACAAGCTTAAGAGTTCGGGAAAGTTAGCTTACTTCAAAAAAAACGAAGCTTCTTTGAGCTGAAGAAGCCTTGGCTTTAACAATTGGAAGGGAATCAGGAGAGGCCCAACAGAATTTGTTCCTGATCTTCGTTTTATTTTACGCAATTTTATTTTACAGAAAACCCAAAGACGCAGCGCAACCCGAATTGAGGCAAACGAACGATTTCAAAATGAGGTTAAATAAATAAAGCCAAAATATATAAGAAACGAAACAAACATGTTGAAAGCATAGTATAATATTAAAGAAATAAACATATATTTTTAAAAATATTTGCAATAGTTTTTTAGTATTTTTTTTTAATAAGAAATTTGTTTTGAAATAAAATATGCAGAATTTTCAAATATTATTTTTGATTGAAATTTGCTAAGTTTTTTCATTTGATATTTTTATATTTGGTTCATATTCAATATAAGTAACTATGTTTTGTTATTGTTGTTAATTATTATTATTTTTTTTTTTGGCATAGAACGAAACAACTAAATATGAACAAATAACATTTTGTTTATATTGTAAACAGAGTTTCAATTTGAAGAAACTTCATACATGTTTGTGAATTTCTGAATTTATTTTATTTTTATTTTTTATGGTTTTTTGGACATTTTGTCATTTTTTAGTTACCTTTTAGAGACCTTTTCCGAAACACACCTTCAATGGATTGAGAAAACAGAATGGAATGCGTGCACAAATGCATTTGACGCATTAGTACAAAATTATAGAACAATTAAATACGGTTTCAATTAAGAATTTAATTAAACTATTTTTGTATTTTTAGTTTTGCTTTGTTCCAAAAATTATAAACATATTAAATAAAAGTTCAAGGAAACTCATAGAACAAAAGTCGTATATGTACATAAATAAGAAAACAAGGACATATATATATATATATATATATATATATATATATATATATATATATATATATATATATATATATATATATATATATATATATATATATAGATATATATATGGTATAATATATACTGGATCAAACACTGTTTGGCACAATGATAACATTTAATTGAGTACGAGAGAGAGAGAGAGTATATGTGTGATTGGGTTCGTATTTGTATCTGTATTTGTGTGGGTGTAGCTTGGAGTATGAGCGTATTCTATGTCTGTATGCGGGGGTGAATGAACATTTAACTATGCTGTTTGCTGTTAAGATTACTGTTGCTGTTACTGTTACTGTTAAGGTTACTGTTACTGTTACTGTTACTGTTACTGAATATAAAAACGAGGCTAATGGTAATCAAATTTCGATTTCAATTTCAATTTGAATTTGGAGTAAATGCTGCACAAACGAAATATAGTTTAACCCGAAACAACTTATACGCATCAACTACACAGACACAAGCACATTGTTGCTATCAAATGCGACCTGGACTTTTGGCAATTCACGAATTATTATAATTATTGTTATTAATTATTATTGTTATTATTATATTGGTAATTTGGCAATTTTCACTGTACAACATTTTATGTATATAGATATATATGGCATGTATATATATAGTACATGATAATTGTATGTAGTACATTATAGTTAAATAAAGAAGAAATATATACTAAACAAAATTATACTAAATACAGACTAGAGCTGGACTAAAGGAGAAAACTAAATGGAAACTAATTATAAATCAAAGTGGAAATGGAATTATAAAATGAAAGCCTGAGAGGTTTACAGAGAGAGAGAGAGAGGCTTCAGGTATTCGTTACTCATATAAAAAACATCAACCAACAAAACAACATAATGTTAAGTAGATACTCATTATTTATGCAATTTGCTTGACAACAACACAAAAGAGAAGAACACAAACAATGTTAACTTACCTGTTATCGAACAGAGCAGTCGTAGCGTCGGCGTATTGCCCGAGTACTGATTGATCATGCCCTGGCTGTGTGCCTTCGGGGCGGGCATGCTCAGTGTGATTGCCTTGTGGAATTTGCGACGACGCGGCTCGACCGTTACGATCGGCGAGACGGCCACGCCGCGACCCAATAGCTTAGCCGTTAGATCTGGATCAACTGGTTGGGCCTAGAAATGTAACGAATTTTCGGCACTATAGATAACAAAAATCGATTTTCCGGCCACACGCACACTCTTCAACAATAATGACAGATGATAAAAATTATAATAAAAAGTAAACCATATATATACGAACTATGCGTCATTTGTTAGAGTATATACATCTATATCTATAAATGTATATATATATATATATATATATAATATATATATAAATATAAATATATATATATGTATATATATATATATATATATATATATATATGTATATAACTCTATTGAATTGAAGAACACAAAACGTAAATTGAAATTTGAAAAATGAAATGAGTTTTGGGCTAAATGGTGAACATTTTAGTTTTTGTCTTTTGTTTCATATTCTGTTTGTTGTTGTTTATACAATGCTTATTTAGGATTTGGATGTGTCATTCATACTACTATTATTTTGTAATGGTTCTATTGAGCAATCGCATGTTTTTAGTTAAGTTAACTACAAACAATAACAATGTTCAAGCCCATTTATGTCCCAATAAATTTAGTTATCAAAAAAAACTTTGACTACAACTTAATCGAACTCTATAAAACGAAAATTTAAACAATTTGTCGAAAATAATATTTTATTGAAATTTATATACAAAATGCAAACTAAAATGTGCTAAAAAAAAGTTTTCAACTCATGAGTGGGGCCATCATAAAATCGGTTTTTCTTCTTCTTATTTTTTCTTTTTTTTTGGCTTACAACTTCGTTAGGCACTTCTGGACCGAACCCAATTGTAACGGTATCTAAGCATTTTTACAATACATATATACAACTATATAGTATTTCACAATTCCATTATTTTTTTCGTTCTCAAAAAAGCAATTTAATTGAAAAATTAATTAATAAAAATGAAAATTAATGAAAAGATTTTCATTGTTATAAAGTTTTTGTTGAACTAAATTTATTGGGTATAGTACTTCATTTCAGTAAACTTTTATAATCTTAGGCATAGGTAAGTTTTCTCTTTCTTTTGTTAAATATGTTAATTTTATAATAATAATAGGCATATGTATATATAGTATTATATCATTAGTTGTCTACTTCGATTGGACAATTGTTTGGTTAAAGTTTAAGAAAATACGCGATCTGTTAGATAAGTCGCTTGATCCATGATCAATCATCATAAATAGTTAATATATATGTATTTAAGTATTATTGCAAGTCACTATAAAGTAATTCTTTCTTTCATTGAGGAGTGCCAAATAATTCTCAACTAGCTCTGCAGTGTGATTTCTAGTAAATTCTCAAACAAAGTGCGCATATATCATAAATAACACATAAAGCCCCCAAAACAACAAAAAAAAATTGTAACTAGAGGCATTCAAAGTAGGAATATTTCTAAACAAATCTAAATACTAGTATTGGTATATAGAATATTTTGATTTGAACCTTTCGAACTGATCTGAGCTGATCATGCTGGAGATACAAATATGTATATATTGATATAGATATATGAAGGTGTATATAATCGACTACGCGTATTACAAAGATTATGGAGCGGTATTACATCTTGATTGATTAATTAGTATTTAAATGCGTATTTGTAATATTTTGGAAAACTTGACTGATATACGTTCGGGAAGCTATTAATGTTAAATGCACGATTATTGGTGTATCTCTTTATATATCGATCGATTACTTTTTTGTGTTGATCTTGCTGCTTGATTTACCAAATGAGCGAGAAGCGCTTCTTTTTGGGCACATGATTGACGCTGATCTTGCGTAGTTTCTCGGGCGCAACGCCTTTGCGTGGTTTAAAGAGGTTTACCTGTAAGCCAACTTTGATTTTCTTGGTCAGGGCGCCCTGCGGGAAGACGGCCTGAACCTGCGGCACCACAGTGCTGGACACCATGCCGCCTTCGGGTCCAATTGCATGCACCTCCTGGCGTATACGTGATACGACAGCAAAATACTGCGGGAAATCGTAGGTGACAAAGCGACAGACATGATTGCCGGCCTGCTCCTCCAGCTGTGCGATTTCTGTGGCAGCAAAAGAAAAAAATTGCAAATTGAAAAGAGAAAAACGAATTAAGTTAAGCCGAGTCCACGCACCCTCTGGCTCGAAGCACTGCTGCATGACATCGTGTATGACCTCCTCGGAGTTATCAATAGTATGCTCTCGCCAGGTTTCGCCATTGTCGGAACGTAAGATGATGATCTCACGCTCCTTGCCACGCAGTGAAGCGAAATGTGGCACTTCCATGACAACGGGGCCAATGAACTTGGTCGAGCAGGGTCCTAGTTCGAGCACGCGGCTGGCCAAGGCCTCACCCTCCATCAACTGCGGTGGATGCATGGTGCGCTGCGGCTTCACATAGCGGCAGGTCACCCGCGTCGGCTGGCAGGTGGAGCGCGACGGTATGATCATACGGACGCCGCTGTGGCGACAGCCACGCATGGCTCCGCCGCGTGCATCCACCAGGAATGACACCAGGAAGCTCTTCCAGCTCAGCTTACGACTACAAAGAGCACAAGATTAGGAAACTTATTGGAGTAAGTCGAATGCTGTACCTACCCCACATGTGGTGGCTCATCATTGCCAGATCCATTGGCTATATAGACACCATCGACCGTTGCCTTGGGTGAGTTGCCATATACTTGAGCCTTGTGCGGACTTATCATCTCCTCGCCAATGGTAGGTGGTACTCCACCTGCATACTCAGCACTCTGGGTCATGCGGTTGGAGTCCATGCGCTCATCGCGCGTAACATCAATCGGCAGCGAGTCATCGCCTAGGGATTTCATTTCATCAACGGTCAAATAGCGATAAGGTTGATCAGATAGCATATTATCTTCGCCTATTGGTTTTTATTTTTCGTTTATTTGCGTAGCATTTCGGTTGCATTCCACAGCATATCAATTAAGCACAAGACAGTCCAATTGGCCATATAGCGAAGTATTGTTGTTGTTTTTATTGTTGTTGTATTGTATTGTATAGTGTAGTTCAGTTGTTATTTTTGTTGCAGTTGATGAGAGCGCAGTGCATTGAAAATAGAAGAATGCAAATGAGTTTTCTTTTAGTTGAGAAATTTCGTTAACACTACATGCATATTATGTATAAGTAGGTATATATTAATAGGATGATATGTAAAGCTAGCATGAATAATAAATAGGAGCAGTATATAACTTAGTTTAGAGATTATATCTGATACATCATTTAATATATATATTATATAGTTTTTCATGCCGTGGTACAAAGAAGTCACAATTTTCACCCAAAACCCTATCTCTTGTATATTTACATGGCCATCAAGGTATAAAGAAATGAAACCGTTATTTATTTAAAAACAAATTCCAACTACTTATCGATGTATTGCAAATCGATATAAATTACATAGATGTAATTGGCATAACGAAACAGCCGATGGGCGAAACGCTGCTTATTCACAAAATTGCAATCGATTAATCGATACCATAACGATTTCATTTCTGTATATGTAAGTTTAAACAAATCAAATAATTGGAAATGGTGTTAAAACACGCCACATTTTGTGTTTCTTGTGTTTTTTGTTGGTGTTTACGACAACGTCAAGATATAATTTATACATTTAGGCGAGGCAACCATATAAAGTGCTGACTTATCCTTGCTGATTAATTATAATTTGAATTCCAATTAGATGCCAATCAATGCCAATTGGTGCACTTGATAGCAGTCGGCTCTTCAATATTATTTTACAATTGGCCTTGCAACGTTTCAATTGACAACTTACTGGAGACATATAGATAGTCGCCCTGGTAATACGGTTGAAAGATCTGGATGTCTGGCCTACGGTCTCGATCACCGCCAATGCCAAACTCGTAGCATGCGTCCAATTCCCATTCTGTGTCACCTGACGGCACACATAAAAGGGTTTGTTGTTTTTTTTCGTTTTACTTAAGACTAATCATAACTTAGAGTATTGCTGTAGTCGAAGTATGTGACTGTGTTTAGGTGTAAAACGAACATAAGTCTGTACATACCGCCCTCTTCCTCGGAGTCGGACATGAAAGATTCGTGCATGGCTTCTGGGGCCACTACGCGGTACTTTTCCTCCGTCTGAGTGGTTGCAGCGGCATCTTCGTCCTCCTTAGTAATCGACTTGAGAGAATCGAGCACACTGATGTAGCCCAACTTGCGTGCAATGTGTAAAGGTGTCTGCCCATTGACCGTCTGGGCATTTGCATTGGCCTTATGCTCCAGCAGCAAGTTGACAATGTGGCAATGGCCCTGCTGGGCGGTCTGATGCAAAGGCGTATAGCCGGCTTTGGTAGCCATATCGATGTTGGCCCCGTTCTGCAGCAAGAACCGCACCATGTTGGCCTGCCCGAAGTGGGAGGCCACATGCAGCGGAGTATAGCCAGCCTTGGTGGCCATGTCGATGTTGGCACCGTTGCGCTGCAGAATCTCTGCAACATTAACATTATCCTCCTGGGCGCACAGATGCATGGGTGTAAGACCATTCTTGGCTGGATGATTGACGGCAGCCTTGTGCTCAATCAGTAAATTGGAAATCTCGGCATGTCCTTCCTGGCTGCTTAGATGCAGTGGCGTAAAACCAGCCTTGCTCTCAGCATTGGCCTGAGCGCCATATTCCAGCAAAGTGGTGGCAATGTCCATCTGGTTCTTACGCGCTGCAATGTGCAGCGGTGTATGTCCATTCTTGGCGGTGGCATGTGGGCTGGCGCCCTTCTCCAGCAACAGCAGTGCCACCTGCTGGTTGTTGTAGTGGCATGCCACATGCAACGGTGTGACTCCATTCTTGCCCTGGGCATCCACATCCGCCTCCTTCTGGAGCAGCAGCTGGGCGACCTTTATGTGCCCATACTTGGCTGTCAGATGCAATGGCGTGAACCCCTTCTTGGTGGCCGCGTCCAAAGCAGCTCCGTTCTCAATCAGCACAGCTGCCACCTAAATAGATAATCACTTATAAATAAACTGCAATTGAAATTCTCTATGAACCACTTTCACTTTAGTATTACTTGTGAAAGCGGTGCATAGATTGAACTGCCTGTTCAGGAATTAAACTAAATATGAGCAAAAATCATAAATCATAAGAAATTAAAATATATCAAAATAATATCAAAGTGGACACATTTATTTATGGCCAACATTATAGACAATAACAAAGGACACAACAAAACTCGTAATACTCGATGAACGTAACAGAAACAAAAGTAAAAGTTTAAGTTAAAGCAAATATACATAAGGAAACTTAAAAGCCAATTTCAAATGAAAAACTCCTGATGACGAATCCAGAACAATTGCATTAGGTAGACGGTGTCGATGTGATCCGTTATCTTTTTGGCAATCAAGTCTTTTACCTCGTCCTGGCCTTCCTTGGCAGCAATATGCAAAGCCGTATACATGTCCTTTGTGGTGGCATCAACCTGAGCGCCGTGCTGCAGTAACAGCATAACAATATCAACATTGCCCAGACGTGAAGCGATGTGCAGCGGCGTTTGCTGTTCCCGAGCACGTGCATCAACCTGGGCGCCATTGCGCAAAAGAATGCGTATGATGTCCGTCTGAAACGAAGGAAAATGAAATTTGAAGTTAACGGATCATTGAATACATAAAAGTATGATCTATGTATGCTATCGATATGTTTTTGAATGTAAAAACTTTGAATATCGATTACTCAAAAACGACAACAGAGAAGCGATCGTATTAAATTGAATACTCAAAAAGGCGATAGATAACGAAAAATATCTTATGCTATCGACCTTTTCAATGAAATAGAATACCCCTCACACAGAACAACACTCCAAATCATTCTAGTTAACTGCCATAAATGGATGACACTCACCTGGTTGGCGCGTGCAGCCAAATGCAATGGAGTTTCCCCACGCACAGTGGGCACATCGGGGCTAGCGTCGTGTTGCAGCAAGTAAATGACGATATTCATGCAACCCATGAAGGCGGCCACATGTAGCGGAGTTAGACCGCTTTCCGTAGTGGCGCTAATACTGGCGCCGTGGCGCAGCAGCAGCTCGACGACCTTCAAGCGATTCTTTTTGCAGGCTATGTGCAGTGGGGTAAATCCATTTAGGGCACGTGCATTGGCATCGGCATTACGGTCCAGCAGAAGCTTGGCCACACGCACATGTCCACAATGGGCAGCCACATGCAGAGCAGTGAGATAATCGACAGTGACCTCATCCACTGGTGCGCGATGGTAGAGCAAAATGCGAGCAGCATCCACATGCTCTCCCTGGGCAGCCATATGCAACGGAGCCAAGCCGTTCTTGGTTTTGGCGCTGATGGGAGCACCGCGCTCTAGCAACATGTCCACGACCTGCTCGTGGCCGGAACGTGCGGCACAGTGGAGTGGAGTGAGGCCATCGCGAGTCTTGGCCTCGATGTTACCGCCCTTCTCAAGCAACAGCGAGACCATGTTCGTCTTGCCCCACTTGGCAGCCACATGCAGTGGACTGATGTTGTGCTTGGCCGAGTAGTTGACATCGGCGCCCTTCTGGATCAACAAATTGGCAATGTTCTGGTTGCCATAATGTGAGGCAATATGCAGTGGCGTAAAGCCCGACTTAGAGGTTACATCCGGATTGTGGTCATTCTGTGGAGACAGTAAATAACTATCCGAATATTATCGAATGCATGATGTGTACTTACATCCAGTAGGAGCGTAGCTGCCTTGACGTCATCCTTTTTGGCAGCTATATGCAGCGCAGGCAAACGCACCTTGCCACGTGTATCGCTCTCGAGAAGCACGGCAACAACTTTGTCGTGTCCCTGCTGCATGGCTACAGCCAGCGGAGTAAAGCCATCCTCCGTGGCCAAGCTCTGATTAGCTCCATTAGACAACAAGAGACGAACTACAGCATCATGATTCTCCTGGGCAGCCATGTACAGGGGTGTAAAGCCATTCTGCGATTGCACATTGACAGAAGCATTGTGCTCTAACAGTAGCTTCACCACCTCCTCCTGTCCAGCCAGCGAGGCAATGTGCAACGCTGTATTGCCCTTCTTGGTGGCGCTGTCAACAATGGCGCCGCGACGCAGCAGCTCCGAGACAACGTGTATGTGTCCATCCTTGGATGCCAAATGCAGGGCATTCAAGCCGTTCTACAATAGTTTCAAGAAAGAGAAATTCAGAACTGAAGTTAACTCATTTTCGCTAGTTTTGCTTACCGCATTGCTAGTGTTAATGTCAATGTTGTTCTTTAGGTGTTCCAGCACGCGCTCCAAATTACCAGCGCGTGCGGCACGAAGGAAGGAAGTATTGCCATCGCCCTAAAATTATGAAAGTTTATCTTATATGAGTGTCAATTGAAAAAGGAAGATAGAATATGATAGTAAAAATGTAGAGATTCACATGAGAAAAAGAGAGGTAAATATGTAAATGCAATCAGAATAATTTCAGGCTTAAATTATGATTAGGACTATGAAACGAGGTCGGAAAAATCAAAACAATTTAAAGTTAACAATATTAAAATATTGTCAAAAGATTCTCATGATTGTTACCATTTTATCATTGGTTTCTCATCTAGATTGAGAGTGCACTTAAATTATTTAAATCCGATTTTTACACTTGCCCAAAGTCTTATGACTCAGTTTGTAAGTCGGGCAGAGCTATAACTCAAAGCGCTTCTCTCTGTCCTTGGCCAAGCGTAAGTTGCGTGCCAGCTGCGTATTCATCAAAAGAGCTTTACCAGAGGGCTGTTATTGATCGTATATGTACATGCATATAGGTAAAGCCCGTTACGGTCGTTGCGCAACTGAAGCTCGCACTGTGAACTGTGCACCTGGTAACGTGGGACGGGGTGGAATGTGGGGAAAGAAGGGAGACCCAAGTTCAGCTAGCTGACGGTCAAGGCGAGGGGTCAACGTCAGCGCTTACAATGCGCAGGTGTAATTCGGCTTTGTGCCAACTACCAACTGCCAGCAGCCTTCTTTCCTTCTTTTTTTAATGGCCACCCACAATTTGTTTATGTTTTCGTTTTGCTGTACGCTCCACTGAGCAGCATTTGGGGCGCGCTGCCTGGAATTCGATATCGAAAATGACGTCATGTTGTGGCATTGGAAAACTGCAAGTGGAAGGCGGCTTCCAGTTGGAAGGTTAGTTTTCGCACTGGATACGCAATGCCGACAATGTTAAAAATTACCGCAGATAAAAGTCCATATAAAACCGAGCCGCCGCTTCCTGTCGGAGCCTTCAGCTCCAAAGCTGTTGCAATTGAAGAGCTTGAGGGAGAGGACGCGAGCGACGGTAAGGGCGAAATCGAGGGCTCGCCCCTTCGCCAATACGGAAGTTGAAGCGTCACCTATTCATGGCTGGGCCAACACAAAACTCATTTCATATGCCTTTGTATATATGTATGTATATATAGAAGAAGCCCAACTCTAAAGGATATCTTTAGGCGCTGGCTGCTTCCTTGTTTGCCCAACTTGATGAGGGGCAAACACACACAATCATACACAAACACACTCAGGCAGTCAAAGTTCAAAGGTGCTTCTCAGGGATTGTATAACAAGCTGGATTGAATGCTTGAAGCCTTGAAGTGGATTTTCTTTGAACTTGTGCAGCAAAATGTCGCCCAAGTAGCTAATCAACTCGAAGCTGGAATCTCAAGTGCCGATTATAATGGAAAATCGGTGCAACAACTGACTTGATATTCATTAAGTACCAGAGAGCACAGGCAGAATATGACTCATATTATGGATTTTCTCTACATCTTGGTCGTGGCATAAAATGTCGCATGTCATCATTAAATTTAACCTAAATCTCTATTACCTTGCAACACGGGTTGGGGCACGGACACACGCACAGCGTGTACCGCACCACACCCAGTTCTGATGACAGAGGAACTAACTATTGTTGAGAGTGACACTCAACAATAGTTAGCTATTTATTTATAGCTCACTTTATAAATGAATATGAATATCTTATTTGATAATGTACGCAATTCCATTTCAATACTATTAAGAAAAATCAATAAGACTTTGCAGTCATTAAAATGGCTGGCAGACAGCAATTATAATGAAGCCAAAGTCTTGATTAGTGCCTACGCTTGGCTTTAATAATTAAAAAAAATTAGTTTTAATTGCTCATTGCTACTTTTTGCTACCAATTTTTCCGACCAGACACTGAAAAATCGATAACGTGCAAAATGGACGCCAACATGGCCGTCTCAGACAGTCTGTTCGAAAAGTTAATACACGGTGCAATTGAAACGGCAAATATTTCTGAAATTTCTTCTTTACCTGAGCTCCATTTTCAGTGACCATTTTGCGTTCACCGTTTTCCAATTAGAATAGAGCAGCCGATTTTCAATCTTATGATATATATATTTATAGGTATATATATATCTAGTATAGAAATATTGTGTAAGCGAGGCTCGCGGATGTCGTCACTGATTAGTCATAGTTTTTCTTTTTCACTCGGCTAATTAACAAACTTTCTTTTTTGTATTCGAATAAGACGCGAATAAAGTTTTAACTACTCGAGACTTTTTTTGTTGAATTTTAAATGCACTCGCATCGATTTTTCCTTGGATTTTATATAAGCTTTGGTGCATGTGTGTGCGTGTGTGTGCGAGGGTGTGTGTCTGTCTATGTATGTGAGTGTCAGTGTACGTTTATGTGTGACTGTAACTGTGACTGTGTCGTTGTGTGTGTGTGTGCGTCTGATTGGATTCCTTTTGCTAGTTAACACAGTCGCTTCTGAATTATACACGCTGAGGAGCGGTCGCTTTTTGCTGCCGTTTTCTTCAATGTTCAACTCCAGACTGGATGTGCGCTGGGCTCGTACGAGGAGTCCTACCTTAGAGTCGTGGTTGAAATTCGGCTGTCGGCAACCGAACAACACCAGGATTTCCGAAGGACCTGCGCACTTGCATATTCCAACTGGGAAACGCCGCCCGTGCGGCCTGCGTCTGCGCCATCATCACCCAAGGGTGGTTCACTGGAACTGGAAGCGGAAGCGTATGCCGCCCAGTTGGCACGTGCGTCTCGCTTTGTTGACATTTGAAGCCATTGGAAGCGGCGCAGCGAGCACGTGTGCAGCGAGTGCAATATCAAACACGATTTTAAAGCAAGTCTAATAAGAAACCAGTAGGACCCATAAAGAAAGGAAAATATCATATTTTCAATACTCGATAAATATCTCTAACTGCATAATTCCTTTGAGGAGTTATCAAGAATACTAAATTGACGAAACTCGAGAGAATTTAACGTGTAAATTGATCCTTGGGGATTGTAGCGAAGTGGAAAAACGACCTTCTACGGTCACGTCATTAATTTGCTGTCGCACCCAACTGCGTTTGTAATTTCAGCATATTTCAAGTAATTAGCTGAGCAAATAGTATCATTAGGGAACAGGTCCTTGGCACAGGCGGCATTTAGAACTTTGTTGACTGAGCGTAAACAAGGCTAAGAGAAACCACACACAATCCACAGTTGGTTGGTGGATGGTTTGTGTGAGGCTTGATGGGGGGGTTGATTTGCCTTCCAACGCAGTGCCTCGCTGGCGCAGTCGCTGGACTTTGTTTACTTCCAGTTTCGAATTGGAAATGAAATAGCAACCCTAAATCCCAGCACCCTCACGAAAATCCAATCAGATGCGTATGCAGTCGCATTCAGAGTCACGTTTTGCCAAGTAAGCCAAGCCGAGGCAAGGCAAAGCTAGCCAACTAAAAGGAACGACACAATTTCTGCTATTGTTCTTGGCAAATTAGCCGATTGAAGGGAATTCCACCCTATTGTTGAAACTTACCCCTAGGCGAGTGCATAAAATTGCATTTCGAATTGCATTCGTGACCGGGACAAATTGTGTAAAGTGCTTGCTCTGCTTTATATACTGCAAGGGGTTTCGCTTGGGTCGAGGGTAAGCAACTAATGTTGCTTGTGGCATGTGGCATGTGGCATGTGGCAGCAAGGTGTGACGCACATTTTGGTATTCAATTAATGAGCCTTTCAGCTTTTCCTGGTATCTTTAAGCTGCATTTCAGTCTTTATCGCTTACCCAAACACTGGACCTATTTGTTTTGGCCAGCAAAGGGTTTTCGATTACACTTTAAACCCATCGAACTGTTTGGGGTTGTGCACGAAAGTCTCGAAACTCAGCTAAATTGCAGGTTTGCATGTTAGCTGCTACTCTTTAATATATGTTGTTTGAGCCTATATACTCTATAGACATTATGAGTGTTATATAGATGACTATTGACATTGCTTGATTACTATTTGCGGATGAGCTATCTAAATACTATATAACTACTTATATTTCAACACCTAGTATATATTGACGTTAATATTCAAGATATACTCTTTGCAGTTTAAGATATGAATCGCCCTTTTAATACCTATTTGTATTTAATTCCTAGTTCTTAGTATTTTATAGACAAAAATTAGTTGAGAAAATTATAGATTGATTACATAAATCAATTTCTTATGAATTATGTTGATGCGTACAGCAATAAGGTCATTTATAACTCGTAGCACTAAAGTGGTATTAATATAATTATAATTTTTGGCTTACACTCTGGATACCTGAATTATGTAGACTATTAATAAACGAAAATTCCTTCCTTGTGCGAATAATCTCTTAAAACTGTTCAAAAAGATAGTCGTATTTTTAGGGAGTATCCGGCTTAGTGGGGCAATACTCTTCATTACATATATCATATTATCCGGCAATATTAATTAGTTTTTAGCGAGTGACAACTGCTCTGAAGAGTATTTAGACTTCGACATAAATTAAAATATTTGGCATTTTTATTATTTTTTTTAACAATTTTGTTGGCGTCGCTCAGGCTATCGCTGGTTGGCGCGACAAGGCATATAACATTTCAATGGCCACAGCTACAAGGAAAAGAAGAAGAAAAGAGGAACAACCACAGTCATGCCAACACGAATGGCTCGAAGTAAAGCGCCAGTCAGACGACATGGCCTAAGCTAATTGTCCACAACTTTGACGACCTTTAAAAACGCAAGCGAGTCGCGACAGGCCATTTAGTGTAAAGCTACCCTGGGGTAGTTAGTTGAGTGGTATGAGGGGCTGTTGAGCGGGGGATGGGAGAAGTTTCTCGTAGATGAACTGTTCACTGCACCGACACAAAAGACGCCGAGGCACAAAATTTAATAAAACAAAAAAATGTAAATATTTGATGCACATAAATCTGTCTATTTCCCTTATGAAATGCTTGATACTTTTGGGTCAACTGCACTTTTGATAGCAGAATATATGTGAGTGTATACATATTGATATATGTATATATATATATATATATATATATCTATGTATATATTACATAAATCGAGTCCAAGTTGCCAGCGACTTACGCCCAAACTCTGCAGCGAGGGAAAACGTTTCTTCAATGTCTCCATGCCGTTTATTATTTTTTATATTCAAACAAAACACAGACGCTTAAAATTTAGATGGAATAAATATATATATATATCTATATATATATAGATAAATAGACGAGTAGTCACGCGTTGGCCGCCACCAAGAACCGCAGACAGCGAGCGATTCGAGTCGTTTTCTAAATTATTTTCGATTCGCCGTGCGGCCAGAGACCCATGCGAAGAGCACAAAGAGAAATTCGCCAATTGGTTTTATTTTTAAAACACACACAACACATTTTAGAGAAGCAAATTATAAAGAAAAAAGCTTTCGAGTGTACAGGATGAATGGGGGCTAATGCGAAAATGAGGCAGGGCCGGGTTTCGGGTTTGGAATGGGGAGTGCCGTTGGGCGGATGGATGGGTGTCAGGGTTCTAATTTTGAAGCTTTTTTTAATAGAGCCGTAAGTGATGCCTGGGAGACGCTACGACGCCACAGAGTCGTCATGGAATGGTTAATGGCCCAGCAAGGACAGCGTTAGATGTGCTCGATGACTCATTTGGCATTCAGTTATTCAGCTCAAGGATTGCGATTGCGTCATTGAATGGACTGGGTGCTCCACAAGTACATATACATATACATAGGCAAATATACATATATATACAGTTAAGAGATGAGCTCTATGAATATGGGCAATTTATAAGTAAACGCGATCATTACCCTGGCTCAATAGTCGCATATGATGTAAGCCTTGGCACTCACCGCACTCTGATGTCCTGTGGGGCAGTGTTCATGCTTATCGTGCTGCTGCTTGTTGTTCGTGCCGCAAAGCGGGGCGCCACCATGTTGAAAGACCAGCTCATGCTGATGCTGAAAGTATTCGTAGTGGCCCACATGCTCCCCAAGCGGCGGAGACAACTGCTTGGGTGGACTTTGAATCGCCTTGGCGGCACCATGAGTTGTCGGATGATGTGATTTCTTGTGCTGCTGCTGCTGCTGGTGATGCTGCTGCTCTGGATGCTGATGATGGGATTGCTGATGCGATTGCTGGTGATGCGATGTGGCATTGCCATGATGTCCACCATGATGATGATGATTGTGTGCCGTGGGTGGCGATGGCATGTTGTGGCCACTGTGTGGCAAATGCGACGAGTGCTGCACGCCTACCTGATGGCCATGATGGTGCGGCACATGACCTTGCGATGCCTCCATCAGCGTTGGCTGTATGTGAGTCACAAATTGAGCCATGATGAAAAGCACTTAAGGCCTTGCACTTGTTTGATTACGATTTGAGATACTTTTTTCACTTAATATTTAGAGAGGTACATATACATACATATGTATACCAAAAAACTGGGAGTGTGTAGCACTCACACACACTCACACTTGCACTTGCACAAACACAGTTAAACGGGAGTTGGAGACGACTTGTTCGACGACGGATTAATTTTGCTGTGCGCGTGGACAACCTTTACGCAGGAGCAATGTCAAATGACTGGCCTAGCCGAAAGCAGCAGCTATCCCAGTTTTTGCCTTAGATGTGACGGGACTTTCACCTCGTCCTCGTCCTTCGTTACTTCGCTATTCGCTTCGGCTACGAGTCGTGCGCGCTTTTTTGGGGGTGGTGCTAGGTGGTTTAACGGAAGCTTTAACCGGACCAAGTTTTATGTGATGCTGTTGCGGTCGTGCCTGATAAGAGCAGCTGGCAATAAACAATTGATTTATTTTTGTTTTTCTTATTTTCTTGTTGTTGCTGCTCTAGGCCGACCATCCATTTCGTCACAACTGTGAAAGGGCGTTCGACTGTGCTTTAGGTATATACAAAATGTTGTTATTTTTAACATAACCTTTGAATTAATATTGGTAGCTCCTGAAAGTATGCTTTTTTTTAATTTGAGGTATTTAAGTAGCGCGCGCTTTTTTGCTGCATACAAAGCTTTTTGCATAAAAAGCTTTTCGTTGGCTTTGTTGCTGAAATTCGCTTTGGCCTTGGGATCTCATTTGGGGGTGTGTCTCGACTAGTGTGCCATGGTGAATGATATTCGCCCGCATGCAGCGAAAGTTTATTGACGCCACTTTCCAACCTACGCAAGCTTGGAGAGAACTGCAACTTGTTGTTGTTCGCAATTCGCCGCAAGCAACAGGGTCTAATGTTCACATTTCGCTTTGACTGCGCTACGTCGTTTTGTGAGCAAGAAAATACTCATTCGCTTTAATACGACACAATAACTCGGCGAGTAAGCAGCACGACCTACATAAAGCGGACTAACATTGAACATTTATTAATTTGCAATTACTTGATAATATATTTGCTGCGACATGGCATTTCTAAATAAGGTATGTACAAGTAAAGTTGAGAAGAAAATAGAGTTTGAGACTCCAAACCAAGCGTTGCAGCTGTTGATCTGGCAGACATTTTGAAAAACATTGTAAAGAGAAATAGAGATTGTTGAGATTATTTCTCTTATCTGTCGTGTTTGTACTTTGCCCTCCGATTGGACTTGTGGACCCAAACGGAATTCCGAAATTAACTATGTCGTTTATTTGTAGCTCGCAGCGCCAGCTTTGCGCCAGCTGGTGGCCAGCCGGTCCTACGCTGCCGTCTCGCATGTCTCGCCCACTGGTCCGTCGTTTGCTCTGACCGAAGAGCAGCAACAGCTCCAGGAGTTGGCGCGCAAATTTACCCGTGAAGAGATCATTCCAGTGGCTGCGCAATATGATAAAACCGGCGAGTACCCATGGCCAATCATTAAGAAGGCTTGGAGTTTGGGTCTGATGAACAATCACATACCCGCTGAGTTGGGTGGCTTAGAATTGGATGTGTTCACCACCTGCCTGACGGCCGAGGAGCTGGCCTATGGATGTACCGGCATTATGACTGCCCTAGAGGCCAGCGGCTTGGGCGTAAGTGAAGGTTACTCTACGTTCCTTGCCTATATGCTAAAATACTGCTATCTTCTTCTAGCAAACACCTGTGATCCTCTCTGGCAATAAGGAACAGAAGAAGAAGTATCTGGGCCGCCTATTGGAAGAACCTTTAGTGGCTGCTTATTGTGTCACGGAACCTGGAGCCGGCTCTGATGTGTCTGGTATTAAGACGCGCGCCGAAAAGAAGGGCGACGAGTATGTGATCAATGGTCAGAAAATGTGGATCACCAATGGTGGCGTGGCAAACTGGTACTTTGTGCTTGCCCGCACCAACCCCGATCCCAAGTGCCCGGCCAGCAAAGCCTTCACTGGCTTCATTGTTGATCGCGAAACTCCTGGTTTAACGCCCGGCCGCAAGGAACAGAACATGGGTCAGCGCGCATCTGACACGCGTGGCATCACCTTTGAGGATGTCCGTGTCCCCAAAGAGAACGTGCTGATTAGCGAGGGAGCCGGCTTCAAAATTGCCATGGGCACCTTCGACAAGACCCGCCCTCCAGTCGCAGCCGGAGCAGTTGGTTTGGCCCAGCGCTGCATGGACGAGGCCCTGAAGTATGCGCTAGAACGCAAGACTTTCGGGGTACCTATCGCCCAACACCAGGCTGTGCAGTTTATGCTGGCCGACATGGCCATTGGAGTGGAGACTTCTCGATTGGCGTGGCGCCTGTCCGCCTGGGAGATTGACCAGGGACGTCGCAACAGCTACTATGCATCCATTGCCAAGTGTCATGCGGCCGACATGGCCAACAAGATTGCCTCTGATGCTGTGCAAATCTTTGGCGGCAATGGTTTCAACAGTGAGTATCCCGTGGAGAAGCTGATGCGCGATGCTAAGATTTATCAGATCTATGAGGGCACATCTCAGATTCAACGACTCATTATCTCAAGGAACATGTATGAAATGGCCAAGGACGGTGCCACTAGATAAGATGTTAGATCACGTCCACACTCATCCTGATTCACAAACAACGATAAATAAAGTTAAAATATAAGTACTTAAACTATTGCTGGAGACATTCAAAACCATTTGATAGAGGTAGTCATATAGTACATATTATTGCTACAGATAACATACATACAATCTTAGCTAGAAGACACCAAATCGCGTAACTAAACTGGGACATTGGCAAACGCTTACTGATAAGATACGAAAGTTCTCGACAATCTGCCCCCTTGGTTCTTCAGATAGTAATTATGGCTATTTTAGCACTGTCAATTGGTAAAAATATAAAAAAGAGACTTTAAACACAAATAACAAAAGACTTCACAGTGACTTCATCCAGGGCACCAATGCAGATCACTTTCGTCCAAATACAGTCTCAGTACATCCTTTCTGCGCTTCGGAGTCAACGTTTTGGCATTATCACCCCATTTTAATCGCCAAATGGCCACCAACGTGGCCAAAGCACCTGGCAATGAGAATGCCTGCTCATCGATGCTGAGGTCCATGCGCTTAGGCAGCTGCTTCTGTTCCTCCAACTTCTGTAAGCGAAGATCGTCTACTAAACGTATACAATTCGTGGCCAAGAGAACGCGAAGATGAGGCAGGTCATCTAGCACATATTCCAATGCAGCTCCACTTAAGCGCTCATTGTCACTAATGTCCAACCAATCCAGATGCTGTGCCTTGGCCAGCTGTTGTGTTATCTTGTAAATATGCGCATCGTTCAACCCGCAGCCAGCAAGCTCCAATCGCACAAATCTCTCACTTGTGCCGCTCTCGAGCAGCGAAACCAAACGCTCACCGAGCGCAAAGCCGCTCTGTTCATCCAAGGGCCATCGCACGTAGCTCAGATTTAGGTGCTCCAAGCGGCAGCTATTCAACAGATCGGTTAATCGACGCACGCTCTGCAGCGTTAGTTGATTGAAACTAATGTCGAAGCTGGTCAATTGAGTGTAGGCCAGATCAAAGTCCTGCAGCTCTGTCACTTCACATTGTGAAAGTTCCAACGCTGTCAACGAGCGTCCAGCTTGACTAGCACAAAATTTATGCAAAGTTCGCAGACTGGCATTTCCCAACGGATTCTGACTGAGCTGCAGCTCCTCTAAGTTTTCCAGCTTTTCGATGTCCTGGCCGCAAAGCAGAGCCTCGAGACCTAGATTACTGATGCCATTGCACTTTAGTCGCAACGTTTTCAATTGCAATAATGTAGGCAACGCCTTGGCCAACTGCTGACAGCCCTCGTTGCCAATGAAATTGAAGGATAAATCAAGCACTGTGAGACGCGCCTGGTGCAGCAATGCCTTGAACAGTGGCTCCGTTTGAGTGTATCGTAGCCAAAGACTCGACAGCTCAAGTGTTTGTGTATTTTGTGAGCGTTCTAACCGCAGCTTTATCTTATCATCTACAACTGAGGAAGATTAAACATTTATTCATTCATTCAAAGCCATCAAGATTAATGTGTGTTGCATACCTTTCTGCAATTGATGGCACATTTCCTCATATCGTTGAGATAGTGGTGAGATTTTCCAATCTAGAATTGTGGACAATAGCATATTCTGCTCAAGAGCAACGCTTACTGAATCCGCCTCCTCGTAGGAAAATCCATCTGATGTCTTGAGACGCAATAAAGGCGTAAGTCCAGTTAATCTGAAAAAGTATAAAAGATATTTTGAGAATAAGCATTTCGATTGCTATTCGAATTTGCTAACTTATTGTAACGCCGTCCTGCCTCTTCGGCCAGCCAACGCATGTTAATATCCTGCAGTTTCTTGCGCTCAATGGGCACTAGCAGCAGCTCGTCCTGCACTTTGACTTTGAAAGAGACTGTGGTGGCCAGCACAGGCGTTGCCTGCACTTTGATGGGCGAAGCTGTTTTAGAGGGCGAGATAAGTAGCTGAATGCCAGCATTTTGTGCACTAGGCGTTGTGGAATCCGGTTCCGTATGTGTGCGCAAGCTAATTACAGAAGCACCATCCATGGAATCCTCGCCACTACCCAATGGACTTTCACTGCGAAAGCGACAAAAGCCGCTGTCCAGCAGCGATGCCTGCTGCTTAGACTTGGAATTGCCGCTGCTGTGATTGCTGTTCATGCTGGAGGAGCGGGAGAGCGTTAGTTTACGCATTTGTTTCTGGCGCTGCTTCGAATTGGCTGCCTCGAGTAGCAGTTGATGGGCGTCCTGCTCTGGGGGTGTGGCCTGGAAATCCGTATCCCAAGCCAGCGCGGAATCCTGCAGATTCTCTTTTGAGCTAATTGCACGACTGCCAATGCTGCCGGAATTGTACCGCTTGCGCTTCCGCTCTGGTCCTACATCATCGATCAACCAATTATCCGCGTCTACTTCATCATTATCCAAAAGTGCTGCACGCTTCTGCTTGGCATTGAAGCTCGTGCTGCTACTAGGCTCATCGTAAGTGTCGGGTGTGCGATTTGGCCGCTTCAGCTGGGCCATCACGTTGCGATATTCCTTGCTAGCGCTTGTTGATTGACGCGGACTGCTCACTGAACCCCCTGAACGATTGTGCATGTTAAAGGAGCGTCTGAGGCGCGGTGCCATCTCAAGATCTTCCTCCTCCTCAGCTTCCGATGAAGCTGATGCACTGGATGTTGGCTGAGCATTCGCATTGGTCAAGGGACGTGCTTGCCGCATGCTGCAAATACCCACTTTGGAGAGTGTTCGTAAAAGCGTTTCTCGCAGCTGGGCATACTGCGCCTGTTCGCCATCGATCAGTTGCTTGGACTTCCGCCATTTGTCCAAGCCCTCAATACAGGTCTCGTTGTAGTCTGTGCGTACAGTTGCATCGGCTCCTCGCTCCAATAGTAGCTCGGCTACATCCAGATATCCATTGGCACAGGCATCGTAGAGCGGTGTAATGCCATCACAGCTAGTTCCGCCCTTGTCATTGATCGCCACTGTGGCTCCCTTATCCAGCAGTAATTCCACAATATCACGATAGCCATGATTGCAAGCCTCGTGTAGAGGCAACCAGCCAGCATGATCACGCACATTCACCGTGTGGCCCTGTTCGATGAGACGGCGTGCCAGCTCCAGGTTGCCTGCTATGCAGGCCTGGTGCAGCTGAGTTTCCCCCTTGTTGTTGCGCTTAATAGTGAGTGTGCGATTGCCGCGTGTAATACGCTGTGGACGTGGTTTGTCAGTCTCATCGAGATCGCTAGCATCGGAATCAGTGAGTGCATCTAAGTCCACATCATCACCCCAGTCAGGTGTGTTCTGCTGCAAAGCTGCAGCCGTTTCGCTATCCGCATCCTCATCCTCGTCCAGTTTTGCTGCCTCCTCAGCCAGATTGATACCCTTGACTTTAGCCTCAGCCTCCAAATTTTCAGCCAGCACTGTCATTTTATGCTTTAGCTGAAGCTTATGTAAGCGCACTAAGGCAATCTTCTCTAGCTTTGCGGCCGACGATTCATCTGCTTTGGCTGCCTGTCTCAGCGCTGTTTGATACACATCATGGACAGTCCAGAATGGCTGCGCCTGCTGCTCACAAATCTCTGCAATGCTGCAAAGCGTCGTAAATGCCTCGACGGGTGTATCCTGATTAAGCTCAAACTCTTTCCACAAATACTCCAAAGCCTTATCGTACTGCTTATTATCCTTGTACGTCTGATAGAGGCTCACATAGATAGGCACCAAGCTCTTGCCCCGCTCCTCGTTTAGCTCAGCATTTTCCAGCATTTTCTGGTAGTAATCGATGGCCTTCTCATAGTTCAACAGATGGCAACAGCCATCGCCAAGTTTTTCGTACAAATCTTTCAGTTTAGCATAGTTTACAGAGCTTGTCAGTACCAGCTCATCAAGGGTTTGACATATCTTGACAACAACGCGCAATGAGCGCTCAATAGTGGCGCGATCATTCTCATCGGGGGAATGCTTCTTATACGCTTTCGTCAGTATTTGCTTGACGCTTGCAAAATCTCCAGCTTTGATTAGTATCTCTGATTTGGTTATAAGCGTCTCACAGATCTTTTTCACTTTATTAGGCAAACGCTTGGCAACTTCCTGTGCCATATTACAGTAGCGTAACGCAGACGCCGCGTCGTTCTTCTTGCAATTGTAAAGCAAACTCATCGAAATATAGCACAAGTGGGTCAGCTCGAACAAATCGTGAGTTTTGCTGATTTTGATGGCTTTATCAATGTATTCAATTGAGGCCTCGAACTCTTCCATATGCTCTTTCACAACGCCAATATTCAGGTAACAACGCGCTTGCATATCCAATTGCTCCAGTTTCGAAATTTGACCTGAAAGCCTACAAAATGGATTATTATTTATTAAGGTAAGCTTTAAAGTAGTCAGCACTTACTCTTTGATAAGCAAAAGACTGCGCAGAAAACTCTTTTCCGCTAGCTTTAACTGGTCCATAGCACCGGAAGCTGAGGTCTCGGACAGGTTCTGTCCGTGCAGGAGATGGACACGTCCTAACGTTGCATAAGCACGTTGTTGTTCCACTTTGTTTTGCAGTCTTTTGGCAATTTCTGCCAAGTTAAAGCAACGTTTAAAACGATATAGATTTACCCTATAGCAGCTACTCACTTAAGTAATCATTGATATGATCCTTGGCAGCATCGTATTCACAAAGCAATGTGAACATTTCGCCCAGCATGCGCTTCGCCTTCGCCGTCTCCAGCTCCTTGCCCATGCTGGTGTATATGGTTGCCTCTTGTTTATATTCTTTGGCCGCCTCATTGTACTTGCCCAGTTGATAGTAAAAGTCGCCCAGTTGATTGCAGCTGACTGCCAGTTGCTCGCGATTTCCATCAGTGCGCGCCTTCTCCTTGCGCTTTAAATAGCGCTTTTCATCCATTAAAACAAAGAAATCGCACAAGCAAACACAAATATTACAGTCAATACATTTTTGCATCCATCGTTTTGTTTTCGGCGCGAATTACCGGTGTTACCACACTGTTAGACATCGCATTTCAAACATATCGATAGCTATTTTTATAGTCGAATATCAACTCCACTTTGTTATCGGCACAGTGCGATATTTATACACACATCCCTACTGTCGCCGGTTGATAGACAGAAAATTTTTCAACAGTTCAGCAAATTGAAGGTAATTTTGGTGCACAAATTTTTCCTTAAACTCTTTGGTTTTTTTTATGTGTATGTAATTGTATTATTTAGGTAACATTGATGGTTGTGCGTGCGTGTGTCTTGCATATGTGATGAAATGCATTAAAATTGTAATGCCTGAAAAATCGATAGAGAAAAAAATGGTGGGGGCTTCCTTTTGGCCAGACTGCGAAACATGACGTGACTAAGAGTACTTTTTCATGCATTCTATTAACAGATATAAACGGCCTATTATTCGACAAGCACAAATAAATAAATATCTAGTCAAAGGGAATATTTGGCACGGCAATAAGAAAGTAATAAGAAGTAAATGTAAATGTAAGAACTGATTTGTCGATTTAGTCAAGGCGGAACGAAGGAAGGAAAAATTGGATCATTAACTTATTTGCATTGATTGGTAATTTGTATGTTCGTTTTACAGCAATTGCGTGGCAATGGCGAACAACAACTATGCCGGGTTCAACTACGGCGGCACTCAGTACAATACGGGACAGGTGACATATCCGGCCGTAACTAATGCAACATATGCAAATGCGGCGGCCTATCAAAGTGCTGCTGTAGCTGCTGGCCAAGGAGGTGGTGGGTATGCAGCGGCCGGTGCCGGCGCTGGTGCTGCTGGTTATGGCGGCTATGGTGACTATCGCAGTGCCATGCAGTCGTACGACGCAACCAAAACATTCTATCAGCAAGCGCCGGCCAGCTACAACCCAGCCTCAGCGGCAGCAGCAGCAGCAGCAGTTAGCAAGACACATTACTCGGCGCCGCCGGTAAAGAACCCAAACTCTTCACAAAAGGGCATGAATAAAATGGACAAATCGAATGGTGCACCGAAGCCACCTCCAAATGCCGCTGGTGGCAATAATTACAGTGGCTATGATACGGCGATCTACAATGCGGCCAGCATGTATGTGGCACAACAGCATCCAGGGTCGCAGCAAAAACCAAATGGTGGATCCAACAACAGCTGGTATCAGCGCAAGATGGGACCAACGATCCCTGGGGCAGTCACCTTGCGTGGCTTGCGCCCAAAGGCTCCGCCGCGACCACAGCAACTGCATTACTGCGAGGTATGCAAAATCTCATGTGCCGGTCCCCAAACGTATCGAGAACATTTGGAAGGGCAGAAGCATAAGAAGCGTGAGGCATCCCTGAAAATGCAGGCGTCCGCTGCTAACAGCGCACAGAATCGTGGTAACAACTATCACTGCGAGCTCTGTGACGTCACCTGCACTGGCACTGATGCCTATGCGGCTCATGTACGCGGCGCTAAGCATCAGAAGGTAGTTAAGCTACATCAGAAGCTGGGAAAACCAATACCTTCTGATGAGCCCAAGAAAATGGGCAAGATAAACTTTGTGCCCGCGGCTGGGCCGAATGCACCCGCTGCAGCTGCAGCAGCAAGTAAGTCTGATCAAGCCGAAGCTGATGCAACCGCTGGCGGTGGAACTGCTGCAGCTGAAAGCTTGGATGATAATATGGACGATTCGATGGGTGAGAACACGGATAACATTAAGCCTGTGGGCGGCGAGTACATTGAGGAGGTCAAAGACGATGAGGGCAAGATACTTAGCTTCAACTGTAAGCTGTGCGACTGCAAGTTCAACGACCCGAATGCCAAAGAGATGCACATGAAAGGACGTCGCCATCGCTTGCAGTACAAACGCAAAGTTCAGCCAGATTTGGTTGTGGACTTTAAACCCACACCGCGTCAACGTCGTCTGGCCGAAGCGCGTGCCCAACGAGCGCTGATGTCCTCACACCGTGGTGATGAGCACGAAGGAGGCAACTACTGGGACGAACAGCGTAATCGTCAATACAATGAAGAGTATGATTACAACAATTGGATGTCTCGCAGCTTTGGAGGTAAGGCTCATATACAAATTAAATCAAATCTATATATAATGAGTCATTGTTATGTATAGGTGCTCAGCGCTTCGGACGCATGGGCAATGGTCCGCCGCCACACTTTGGCATGATGCCTGGCGGCGGAAACGTGCGTCGTCCGGAGAGCACTGACGATCGTCACGCCATAGCGCGTCATGCTGAAATCTATCCAAAGGAGGAAGAACTCCAGACTATACAGCGCATTGTGTCGCATACAGAACGCGCTCTTAAACTCGTCTCGGATACTTTGGCTGAGTTGCCAACACCAGCTGCGGCCAGTGATAGCGAACCGGCAGCCAAAAAGGAGAAGCCCGATAAGGCATCGGAAAAGGACGGACGCGATAATCAGATATTCTCATTCCACAAAGATGCCGACAATGGCGGAAATGTGGTGCGCATCTTAAAGGGTGTCATGCGTGTTGGCTACTTGGCCAAGGGACTGCTGCTGCATGGCGATACAGCGGTCGAATTGGTTGTTCTCTGTGCAGAGAAGCCAACGACAAGTTTACTACAACGTGTGGCCAATGTGCTGCCCGATAAGCTCAAGGAGGTTGCAGGTAAGTTGCAGAACGTTCGGCAACTGTGAATTACATACAATATTTACATGCATAACTATATTCCTTGATATATATACACATATATATATATATATATTTCGGTGTCCATTGTGATATAGATTGCAAAAACTTTTTCCAGAGAAATGGCTATAAACAAAAGATGCAGATGCATTAATTTCTGTAGTACAGAAATTAAAAATGTATCATGGATATGTCTTAGGCTCTCCACAAATGCTCATACATTACATAACTTGTTACAACTTCACATCTTCTCTATAGGAAGTGTTTTCAATGTGACATGATAACTTTTTGATATTGTTGTCCGATACGGATCCTTTTGACCCTATCTAAAGTATAAAAACCATGGGCTCATAACATTCTTTTAATACCCTTTCCTTTTTCTTTTTACACAAATAATAATTTACCCTTTCCAAGCAACATATTTCATATTGGCTAAATGGTGTGTGGAACAGAGTTATAGATGTACCTTCTATGAGAACAATATTTACAAACACATTTACAACATATTTACATTTGTACAAAGTGATAAAAATATAAATTCGACAATAAATAAAACTTAATGTGATACCAAGACATATCCATGTCAAAAAGAGAAATAATAAAACGCGACAAATTGCAAAATCAAAAGCAGCAATTCCAAAAATTACAAAACTTTTGCCTGGCCAATTTCACAATACTGAAACAGAAACAGAATGTGAATTTCGCCGAGAGAGTAAATGAATTTCGGAGCGCCATAATGAATGCTAGTAAAAGCAATGCGAAAGCAAGTAAACAAATTATATATTACGAAAGCACAACTAATGTGATGTCATGTATTCAATATATAAATTTAGTTCCGTTTGAGATGCGCAATTTGTGTGGAAAAAGTGAAATCATTGTTTGAATTAATGTATGTACATACTCTACTACTACCTACCACCTACTACTATTACTACTACTACTACTAGTTGTACTACTGTTGAGCCCTGTTGTTGTTGTTGCCGTGATGGATTTTAAATTGTTTGACGACCAGAACCAACAGCAACAAACAGAAACAACGAACAACAGCAGCCTAAACAAAGCCGAACAACAACAATAGCAAGCAAAAAAATCAAAACAAAAAAATAAAAAAATATATAAACGTATTTGCCGTTTTCAGCTTCTCTTCACTGCAGGATTTGAGATTTGAGCCCTTAGCCATATTGAGATGCTATCCACTCACACTACTCACACTCAGGTGTCTGTTAGCCGTCTATAGCTTTCCAAGTCTGCTGCTGCTGCTACCAACTGCTACTGCTACTGCAACTGCTGGTGGTGGATAACAATCAACGGATCGCATAATCGTAATGGTAACACACTCTCTAACCCGCGGATGCCAATGCGGATGCGGAAGAGTTCATATGTGTGGAACAATGAAACTTTAACAAAATGAACAAACAAAACAATCGAACCAAAGGAATATATTTATACAAAGTTTGGGTGCTCGCTCTGTTGTGCTCTGTTGTTGTTCTACTGTACACATAAACACACACAACGCACACACTTACACACACACTCTCACTCTTACATTTTTTCCCCATTCTCCACTTCCAATGCGAAGAAACTTTGTGTAAATAAAGTCCTTTGAGATATATATATATTAAGCTCAAAGCAGCTATAAATATTAATATAAAAAAACAGAGCCGACCTGAAGCAATGCGATTGATCCACACAGACAGACGCATAGAAGGCGTACACACTCATGGAATATATAGAATGTGTGTACCATATATGTACCATGGTCATATCTATATAGTATTTATCAACCAAAATTGTTGCGCCCCTTGCTAAATGGGCAGCTCCACTAGCTTACTAGAGAATCGATGCCTCTTCAAGCAGCCGTTTTGTGTGTATCAAACTTGATTGTAAAAAAATAAAAAACAAAAAAATCGAACGAAAAATTGCGACCGAAATTTATGTTGCGAACGGTGAATGCTGACCGGACCGATGAGTAATTGAGTGAGCCGCAAATAAATGAAAAATTTCGTTCAATGTTTTTAGTTTTGTTTGCCAGAAAACTAACCAAAAATGAAAGCAAAAAAACACAGCCAACCACGCGCTCTAAGTGGAATTGCAATTCCAATTTTCCAATTTCAATTTCGATTCTTGCAATTCCGTTTATGAGTCCCAGGTGGAGGTGGCGGTGGTGCCGTCGCTTTAACCGCTGGCTAACCCGGTCCGATCCCAGCACGCAAGTCATAAAACAACGTTAAATAATTATTCTATATATATTTATACTTATATATATATAATATATATGTTTGTAATATGTATGTTTGCTGGGAACTGAGCGGAATTTGTTATCTCTGGAATGGAGGAAGAAACAAACATTTACATTTTGCTTATGATTATCAGATGTGCACCTTCATGTCTTATATACCTATATATATTTTGTGGGCCCACACATAGAATTATCTATTGTATCTATCTAACAATGTTTGTCTCTTTTCTAAGCCGAACTTAATTGTTAATGCTTAAATTATTGCTGAGTTCCGATTGAAACTAATCCATGGCCAAACACTCTCCGTTCCAGGTGACACACAGGTCAACTATCGCGTTGAGGTGAATGCCGAAGAAGCTGCTGTTATAGTGCTCGATGAAGTGGTCGCTGTGAAGATTACACTCACTTCTCCGCTGCTCCGCGAAACCGGCGATCCCGTTTCTAAGACCGATGATGCAAGTGGGGCCTCAACATCTGCAGCTGCCGAAACAGAGTTTTTGCCACGTGAGCCATGCCTGCGTGTAAGTATTTCACACCCATAGAGCCCTTAAGAATTGCATTAATATTGCTTCTATTGTAGGCACTCGCTGATTTGCGGCATGCCAAATGGTTCCAGGCACGAGCCACCGGATTACAGTCTTGTGTGATGGTTATTCGCATATTGCGCGATCTTTGCCAACGTGTTCCATCGTGGCAATCACTACCGCAGTGGTCGTTAGAGTTGTTAGTGGAAAAAGTTATCTCATCGGCTGGTTTCCCCATTTCACCCGGCGACTGTTTGCGTCGTATTATGGAGGCTTTGTCTTCGGGCTTTTTAATCAATGGTCCCGGATTGTTAGATCCCTGTGAAAAGGATCCGACCGATGCTCTGCAGCAACTCAGCAAGCAGGAGCGTGAAGATCTCACTGTCTCCTCACAGTTATTCCTGCGTTACATTGCTTTCCGTCAGATGTTCAAAGTGCTTGGCATGGACCAACTGCCGGCCATGAAGTATCCAATGCGTCCGTGGCGCATCAACCGCAAGCGACGTCGCTCATCTGGCAAAGCCGGTGCGCCCGGTGGCGAAACGGACCCTGCCGACATCGAGGAGACTGGATCCGATGAGAAAGTGGCCAAGAAGGATATAAGCGCAACTGCTTCTTCTACCACAGCCTAAATGCTAAGCAATCAGCAATAGGAATACGTAGCCGTCAACAAACATAAGTTTTTTTCTCAATCTAATTGCGTTATAAAATGCGATCAATAATAACTATAACAATTTCCATTCACAATAATTAAATTTGAACACGAATTTTTATTGTGTCCAATAAATTGCCCAATTTGAAAGCAACAACAACATTAAATACAATCTCTAAACTAACAATATTTAACTCAAAATAATTAGTTGCATTTTTCTATATTATGTAAAAATTAATACGAAATGTAATCGATTAGCCGTGGAGGCGTTGATCCTCTATAAACATAAACTATATACTCAGCTGCCTCCACAACGCGTTTCAAACATTAAAGAGATAAAAGAATTAAAAACAAAATTTAATAAAAATACATTATACACAATTGTTAAGTACTTTATTTTATGAATCCAATTAAAATGTGCTATAGAAAGTCTTGCCACTTTGAATAGGACTTTTTAATAACTACAGAATCGTTTTGAGCTTTACGCTTGTTAGAATCACTTTTCTTTCTGTACAAAGAATTTTTCTGCGGCTCATCCAACTCTTTAGGTTGAACACGTTTGTTTGAACCAAGATGTATCTCTGATATGGGGTCATCGACATAGTCAGCCCATTTACTTGATCCTTCTAAGCGCTGCGGTGGTTGCAGCTGATCTTCCAACTCAATTAAAGTACGGTCACGTATGTTTGGTTCTTGTGCCTCCAATATATTACGTTCTTCCTGGGCTTGTTTTCGTTCTCCACGTTTTAGATTCAAATGCTGCACCTTTGCACGGCATTCAGCGCCAGTACCGCGGAAAAACTCTTTTTGTGTCACCTGTTTAAGCCGGCATACTTTACATTCCCATTTATTGGCCTTTTTAACTATGTCCACCTACATATTTATGCATTAGACTTATTAAGCAATATAAAAAGTTGTATATTAGCCCACCTGATATAAGCTGCACTCAATACACTGTACAACGCGTATTTGTTGCGACATATTTTGTTGTCCACTATTTTTAAATAAACGCCGGCATATGTGAATTGGCAAAGTTGCCACATTATACGTTTGATGTTGGTCTGAACAGCTGTTTTGATTAGGGCTCTGTTATGAGAATGTTAAACTACCATCTGTTACCATTAATACAATTGAAACAATCAAATACAGTTTAGTTTAGTTGTATTTTTTGAAACATACAACTATCAGTTACTTAATATTTATTTGTATCACCTTTTATTTTTAGTGATATGTAAATACATCGAAAAGCCAGGATGCTGACAAATAAACTGAGAGCCCCTCGCTGTTATTAACATCTCCTGCAAATGTTAAATGCAAAACGCCAATTGTTTTAATAGTAATCAAGTGGCCGAACGGCGTCACAGCGACTGGCACTTTTTCGAAATGAGATTGGTATATAAAAACGCACCTGAAAAACAAGTGTTATCAACGGAAATGACAATGTAAATTATTCTAAACTTTATATTTGTAGTATTGTCTCAGCGGTGACTTGGCAAAACCATGCTACATCATTACATTCAAAGGACTGCGAATAATGCTCGATTGCGGTCTGACGGAGCAAACTGTATTAAACTTCTTGCCACTTCCCTTCGTCCAGAGTTTGAAGTTGTCCAATCTCCCAAATTTCGTGCCAAGCAGCGATCATGATCCCCAAATGGATGGCGAGCTAAAAGAGTGTTGCGGCCGCGTGTTTGTAGACTCGGTGCCAGAATTCAATTTGCCCATGGATAAAATGCTAGATTTTAGCGAGCTGGACGTCATTCTTATCTCCAATTATCTCAATATGTTGGCACTGCCCTACATTACGGAGAATACGGGTTTTAAGGGCAAAGTCTATGCAACGGAACCAACGCTACAAATTGGTCGATTTTTTCTTGAGGAGCTGGTGGATTACATTGAAGTATCCCCCAAAGCATGCACGGCACGTCTGTGGAAGGATAAGCTACACCTATTGCCCAGTCCGCTGAGTGAAGCCTTCCGCGCTAAGAAATGGCGCACCATATTTAGCCTGAAGGATGTCCAGGGCAGTCTCTCAAAAGTGACAATAATGGGCTATGATGAAAAACTGGATATTCTTGGTGCATTTATAGCAACGCCCGTCAGTTCGGGCTATTGTCTAGGCTCCAGCAACTGGGTGCTTAGCACTGCGCATGAGAAGATTTGCTATGTCAGCGGCTCCTCAACGCTGACAACGCATCCACGTCCCATCAATCAGTCGGCACTCAAGCACGCCGATGTTCTAATCATGACTGGATTAACTCAGGCCCCAACAGTCAATCCGGACACAAAGCTGGGTGAGCTCTGCATGAATGTGGCTTTGACGATAAGAAACAATGGGTCAGCCCTTATACCTTGTTATCCATCGGGCGTTGTCTACGATCTGTTTGAGTGTCTAACACAAAATCTAGAGAACGCTGGACTCAACAATGTGCCCATGTTCTTTATATCACCTGTAGCAGACAGCTCTCTGGCCTACTCCAACATCTTGGCAGAATGGCTGAGCTCGGCGAAGCAGAATAAAGTCTATCTACCCGACGATCCATTTCCACACGCTTTCTACCTACGCAATTCCAAGCTAAAACACTATAACCACGTCTTCTCCGAGGGCTTTAGTAAAGACTTCAGACAGGTGAGTCTCCTCTTAACTAAAAACCTATTGCTTTAATGATGTAAACTGTTCTTGGTACAGCCCTGCGTTGTTTTTTGCGGTCATCCGAGCTTGCGCTTTGGCGATGCAGTCCATTTCATTGAAATGTGGGGCAATAATCCAAATAACTCCATTATATTCACGGAACCAGATTTTCCATACCTGCAAGTATTGGCGCCCTTCCAGCCGCTGGCTATGAAAGCTTTTTACTGTCCCATCGATACATCGCTGAACTATCAGCAGGCCAATAAGCTGATCAAGGAACTAAAGCCAAATGTGCTGGTCATTCCGGATGCCTACACAAAGCCGCATCCCACAGCGCCGAATCTATTTATTGAGCAGCCTGATAAGAAAATTATTACCTTCAAATGCGGAGAGATCATCAGGTTGCCATTGAAGCGCAAACTTGATCGCATTTATATTGCCTCAGAGCTTGCTCAGAAGATCACGGCACGTGAAGTGGCAGCTGGTGTATCACTTTCCACCCTCACAGGTGTGCTTCAGGTGAAGGACAAGGTGCACTGCATTCAACCGTGCGCAGACAGCATTAAGGATGAACCCGGCACGAGCGGCAGCATTACTGCCATGGCGCCCTCTAAAGAGGATGTGCTTAAGAATGTCAAATACGAATATGGAACCATCGATGTGGATGCACTTATGAAGCGTTTAGCTCAGGATGGTTTCTCGAATATCAAAATGGATCGCAGCGGCGGCAATTTGACACTCCAGCTAGTCAATGAAGACACTACGATCAAGTTCGAGGACAATGAAACGCATATCATTTGCGGCGGCAAGCCAACAACGCGCCTCAAACTACGCGACACACTGCTCAAATGCTTACAAAGTTTTTAGCAAATTCTCTTTTATATATAAAACGTATTACCTTTTACACAAATAACCTATACAAACAATATTTTTAATTCTTGGTAGATAATATTTCCGAGCACCTGCCGCAAATCTCTTGCTGTACAATGCTAAAGCGTCGACAACGAGGACATAGCGACGAATCCAGCGTTTGTAGCCTAACCATAGCTGTATCCACGGAGGAGTCTAGTTGAGACTCAACTGTAGCACTACCTACTTGTAGAATCTCACAGAGTTCCGTGTTCGCAATTGGCACATCCAACTTGCCTTGCAATGCGGTAAGCATTTCCAATTGCTGCGGTGAGCAGCATTTGATGCCCACTGAGAGATGCCAACTATTGACATCGCCTGCCTGTTGGTTAACAATACGTTTGATATCCAATGCTGCATTTACTATCTGGGTAGCTTGCACATTTCTCCAATCTTTGTCAGCTTGCACTGTTTCCTCGTGGAAGGCACTTCCAGTCGGTTCGTAATAGCTCCAACTCTCCTCGATTAAATACGGCGCAATGGGCCACAAAGCCTTGCAAAGCAGTCTGTAACAGTGGCTGAGCGTGCAGCGAATATCCTGCAGCTCCTGACTGTTGCCGCAGTACAGACGATCTTTAATCAAATGCACGTAAATGCTTGAAACCTGATTCGCAATGAAATTCTGAATGCTGGCCACAACACGATTGTATTCATAGGCATTGTAAAGCATTTCTATCTGTGGCAATTCAAGATTTATAAATATTTGTCTTTAAAATTAACCCATTGCTGACTTACCTCCTCCTCAAATTCCACCAGACTGTGTAAGAGATATTTATTCAAATAGCTATTATTCGCTGGTATAGGCAGCCTCTGTTCCTTCTGATTGATGACTCCGTTAAGGTAGCGTAGCGTGCCACGCACCTTGCTAAGACTTTCGGCTGCCTGCTGCAGCAGCTTCTCGCTGACTGTAATGGACATATGTTGAGTGCCATGTGAAGCTACCCACCAGCGGAGCGCATCTGTGCCAAACTTCTTAGTTATTTGCTTGGGTAAAATGACATTGCCCAATGACTTCGACATCTTATAACCCTTTTCGTCCACTGTAAAACCATGTACAAAAAGCGCTCTGCGAGAGCAAAATCAATGTAGATACCTAGAATTAATTATCTTAGGGACAACTTACTTGTAGGGCGCACAATTGCGTGCAGCTATGCTCGTTAAGAGCGACGATTGAAACCAACCGGTGAACTGATCGTAGCCTTCTAAGTACAGATCGGCTACTTGTCCTGGCTGATCTTTTAGCACCGCAGACCAAGTACTACCCGAATCGAACCAAATATCAAAGATGTCGTTCCCCCTACTAAGCTGATTTGTTTCACAACCAATCTGTTTTAAAAGTTTGTCCGGCAGTAGCTCATCCAGCGACTTAGACCACCAAAAATCCATTGAGCCCTCGGAGCGCAATAACCCACACAGATGCTCAATCAAAGCTGCATTGAGCACCACCTGATTATTGTCTTTTTTGTACAGTACAGGTATGGGCACGCCCCAGGCACGTTGTCTTGAGATGCACCAATAGGGCCGCTTATGCAGCTGAGTCAGTAGGGCTTTTTTGCTCGATTCAGCATTGACACGTGGATAGATTTGCACACGTTCTAGGGCAGCAGCTGCAGGTGCTTTTAGCTTATCCGTATTGATGAACCACTGTTCGCTTGCTCGAATTATAACTGGTTGCTTGGTACGCCAGTCAATTGGGTAGGAATGCTCGAACTGGGATGCATGCAATACGTCATCGGCTATATGTTGCAGCACTAGTGAATTTCCCTGCGCCAACACTGACTGTCCACGCAGGAACTCAGGCGCTTCCTCAGTATAAATGCCCGCTTCGTTGACGTAACACTTAACGGATAACTTGTTGGCCAGGCTAATCAGAAAGTCATCTGGCCCGTGAGCTGGCGCTGTGTGCACCAGGCCTGTGCCTTTACTATCCTGAACATGTGTAGCTTCAAAGAATGGCAGATTTGCTTGTCCTTTGTCAATGGGATGTTGATAGCTACAATTTTGCAATGCACTGCCAGGCATACGCTCTACAATCTCACACTTCAACTGCGTGCTGTTCTCAAAGTCAGAAACGAGCGCAGATGCCATGAGGTAAAGTTCATTTGGGTTGCGATCCAACAGCTTGACCAGCACATATTCCAACGAACTATTATAACAGATGGCTTGATTACTGGGCAGTGTCCACGGCGTTGTCGTCCAAACCAGCGCATAGATTTGTTTGCCCTTTGTAACTTCAGCAGCTACTAAGCCGTTTAACCCAAATCGTAAGTAAACCGAAGGGCTAATGAATTTCGGATCATACTCCAGCTCAGCCTCCGCCAGCGCTGTTCTATAAGATATACATTTAGGAGTAAGAATAATCAATTAACTAAAGATAAGCTTACTTAGAGGAGGGCGACCAGTAGACAGGCTTGAGATCACGGTAAACAAGTCCACGCTCGTACAGATTGTAAAACATTTGTAGCTGATTTGCAATAAACTCTGGCTTAAAGGTCAAGTAGATTTGCTCTGGTTGCCAGCTAGCTAAAATGCCCCAGCTGCGAAAGTCTGCCTTTTGTGATTCGATGGCCTCCGAGGCAAAGGCTCGTGCTGCAACGGCAAAGATTTATACACCTTGACTATATAACCCTCTCCTTAGAGAAAACTCACATTTCTGCCGTATTTCCAATGCAGTCTGCTCGCCCGCCGCCGTGCTAGTTGCCTTCAACTCGATGGGCAAGCCGTGGCAATCCCAGCCGGGTATGTAATTAACTTGCTGTCCATGTGCCAATCGCTGACGCAACGTAATATCCTTAAGTATCTTGTTGACGGCATGGCCCATATGTAACTGGCCATTGGCATAGGGTGGTCCATCGTGCAGCACAAAAGTTGGCTTACCCTTGTGCTGTTCCTGGTACTGATAAGCGGTCGCAATCTTATGCTGCAAAATAACATATCGTAAATTGAGACTCCGTACGCATGCCCCAATAGACAAAGTATCTCACATCCAAAATTTCTTGTTCCAGTTGCTCGCGTTTGGCAGCACTCAAGCGATTTGGAAATCTGGTTCTGGGCAAATTTATTGTATCTGTATACTTATTGGCATCTTTTTTCACCGGCTTCACAGAATAAAGGCGTATGCCAAAGCGAAAATTAATGGCACGCAACATTCTGCACGTAACCAAAACAATTTAGCCGGCTCCAATAAAAAGTCAGCTGTTTTAACAGCTGATTCCTGTTCGCCAGATTGCGCGACATATTTAAAATTCACATACGCAGAATAATTGGCATTAAAAGTACACAAATAAATTCACACTATTTATTATTTTTAGTTTACATCATTTTCCATTTTAGTTATAAATTGGTAACAAAATAAATTGATTTTAATTAATGCCAATCGATAGTCATTATCTTTACGACTTCGAAAATTCAAATTTCACAACAATCGTGTGGCAATTCTTTGGCAATTCATATCAATCGATAACAGGGATATATGAGACTTCCGAAGCTTTTCGGCATTTCTTGGACGAGCTGTCCTTTGATCTCAATCATATAAACTGCGTATTTCTATTGTAATAAAATGCTGTAATTATATTTTTTTATATAGAATTCTGAAATCTATTTCTTCTTGTCTTTTGGATCATCCTTCTTGTCTTTTGGATCATCCTTCTTGCCTTTTGGATCATCCTTCTTGTCTTTCTTGTCCTTGACCGTTGTGTCTTTTGCCGTAGTCTCACTTGGCTTATCTTTGCCATCTTTTCCCTTTTCTGGCTTCTTTGCATCTTTAGCTTCTGCTTTGGGAGCCTTGGCGTCGCCCCCAGCTTTCGAATCATCCTTTTGTTTTTTATCATCTTTAGGTGCTTCCTTGGGCGGAGGCGTAGTAGGCCCATCGGCGGACATGCTCGTTGCCAACTGATTTGCCTTGGCCAACACTTCGTCTATGTCCCCGACCATGTAAAATGCTATTTCCGGTATGTCATCGTATTCGCCGTTTAGTAATCGCTTAAACCCATCCACACACTTAGCTACAGGCACTAGTTTGCCCGGAGTTCCAGTGAACACCTCAGCTACTTGGAATGGCTGCGAAAGGAAACGTTGCATTTTGCGAGCCCGTGCCACCGTTAGTTTGTCTTCCTCAGAGAGTTCATCCATGCCAAGAATAGCGATGATATCCTGCAGAGACTTGTAACCCTGCAACGTTTTCTGTACGGCTCTGGCGACATTATAATGCTCTTCACCCACAATCTCGGGATCAAGAACACGTGACGAAGAGTCCAGCGGGTCCACAGCTGGATAAATGCCCAATTCCGCTATTGGACGGGATAGTACCGTTGTTGCATCCAAGTGGGAGAACGTAGCAGCTGGTGCCGGATCAGACAAATCATCAGCCGGCACATAGACCGCTTGCACGGAAGTAATTGAACCATTTTTGGTACTGGTAATTCGCTCTTGCATGGTACCCATGTCTGTGCCGAGCGTGGGTTGGTATCCAACGGCAGAGGGTATACGACCAAGCAGCGCGGACACCTCGGAGCCAGCTTGAGTGAAACGGAATATATTATCGATAAACAGTAGTACATCTTGTCCATCAATATCCCGAAAGTATTCGGCAATAGTTAAGCCAGTCAAGACAACGCGACTGCGAGCGCCTGGCGGCTCATTCATCTGACCATAAACGAGCGACACCTTCGACGTATCATCCTCAAGGGAAATTACCTTAGTCTCGATCATCTCATGATACAGATCGTTACCCTCCCGTGTGCGCTCCCCGGCGCCAACAAACACTGAGTAGCCACCATGTGACTTGGCAATGTTATTGATAAGCTCCATAATTAGCACCGTTTTGCCAACACCAGCTCCGCCAAAAAGACCAATTTTTCCGCCCTTTACATATGGGGCAAGCAGATCAATCACTTTGATGCCCGTAACCAAAATCTCAGGCTTAACACTCAACTCTGACAAGAGCGGAGCTTCATTGTGTATAAATGAGTAGAACTCGCTCTTTACCTCGCCGCGTTCGTCTATTGGATCACCCACCACGTTCAAAATTCGACCTAATACAGTTTTGCCCACGGGCACCCTAATAGGGTATCCAGTATCGAGAACTTTCTGACCACGCCTAAGTCCGTCTGTGGAATCCATTGCGACGCAGCGCACCACATTGTTACCCAGATGATGGAAGACCTAGATGGCGTTTTGCTTAAAAAATAGATTAAATTAGTTGAATGAACCGATCTCACCTCTAATACAAGCCGGCCAATAGGGGCGTCTTGTACCTCCATGGCATTTAACACTTCTGGCATGTCATCAGGAAAGTAAACATCGATTACAGGTCCAATGACAGCGTGAATAACTCCCTCGCGACGTTTTCCTAGTATCTTTCCGTCATCTTTGCCTGATTTATTGCCAGATTCTTTTCCACCTTTTCCAAAACAGACTTGCATTAACGAAACCATTTGCCATATATATATCAATTTGTCATTTACCCTTTACCGATGCATCCTCAGGTGACTTACATTTGTCGTCATCATCCTTAAGCAGAGGTGTACTGTGAAGGCTACGCGTCTGCAACGAAAAGTTCACCTTTGCAGGTTGGCCAACTTGATGATTTGTCTTAAACCCAATTCTGGCACAAGCTTCAAATAGTAAATAGAAGTTAACTCCCAATAAATCTAGCGAACAATCTAAAAAAATACCTTTTGCCAATCTAGACCAAATCAACATTTTTAACAAATTAAGTTTTATTATTTGATAGAAAACTTTTGCTGAGGTCTCAAACGAGATATATTATTTTTTTAATGAATTATTTTTTATTTCTCAGCCAAATTTTAATTGCAATTGACTCGATTCTGTTTGCAAATGAAAGTTTCTCCTTTTCTGACTATTTCCATTTGCTGCATTGTCAAGGACTACTAAGAAAAATCCGTTAGATATTGAAACAAGTACTTAAAATACGATAGGAAGATTAATCGATTAATGATAGCCAGTAACGAATTGACTTTTAAAGATACTATAGGAAAATTAATCGATAAATCAGCAAATTCGAAAAATTTAAAACAAGCTAGATAATCTAAAGTTTTGTTTTTTCTGGTTAGAAACTAAAACCAAAACAGCACAGCTAAATAAAAGTAGCGAACCGCAATTGAAGCTAAAAATGTTGTAGGGTAACTACTACTAGTTGCTATGCCAACAACTCACTGATGTTGTGTCCATGGAATATTTAAGTACTTGGAAGCAGCATGGACGTCCTATCGCATTATAGCTCTCCTGTGATCGAATTCCCAGCCGCACAGCCGCTAGAAAAGCAAAATGTACTGGTTGACAACTGCACTGGCACTGATCCTCCGCCATCTTATATAGACACGTCTACCGAGACGCAGCAGAAACAGCATGTGTCCACACAAACAGAGCAAAGCTGCAGCAGCAATAAACATGTGGAATATGATGAGCGTGCCTTGGCCAAATGGCTGCGGCAGATATGTCCGCTGGTGGAGAAGGAATTAAGTCAGCCAACGCCACTCATGGATGAGCAGCAGTCCAGTCAGGTTACGCTGCAGGAGCAGCTGCAAGTGCACGCTTATCAGAAGTTGGCGATGGGCAGCATTGAGAACTCTCAAGGTTTGGCCATTTGGCTGTGCGTGCACACAAACAATGCGCCCGTGTTGGTAGTCACAACTGTGGCACCTCACGACGATTGGTGCGAGCATATGGAACAGCAATTGAAGCTCTTTATACCCCAGCGTATGTCCCATGGCAACTTTGTAGTATACTCGGAAGCCAAAGCTTTGCCTCTCAAATCGTGCTTACGCAGCCTGTGCACAAATAATTTTAATAAGAATATTTTTGCCGGCTCTACAATGGATGGGGAGCTATTCGTCTGGCTGTACGAGCAGGCAACCGTGGAAATTAGACTGCTGTACAGTGTTTCCTCTACACAAGGCGCAGCCGTGGCCCTCGATTGGGTCACGGAACAACGTCTGCTCGCCTGCTATGCGAACGGCACAGTGCATCAATGGTTGGTGACCCAGCAAATGACCATGGACTGGGAGTAAGTTAACAGCCGACAAAATAGAAACTTTCCTATAATCTATTTTCCAGATATTCTTTGCCAGCTTCAGTTGGCGCAGAGCTGACTACTATGGTGTCGCTCGGCCTGGACGACTTCGTACTGGGTACCAATAATGGCGGCGTCTATCGCTGCTGGAGCACAGGTCGCCAACCGACTGTTGATAGGTCTAGCAAGCAATTGCAATTGCTAGCACTGCGCAAGCATCGCTTCATGGTCTCCACACTGCTGAAGACTTTAATGAAAGGCCGTCAAATTGTGATTAGCTGCGATTTGAGTGGTCAGACCTACTACCACGATATGCGACACGAGGAAGAGGTATGTATGAGAATACATGCATAGGTCTGTATCTATTTACAAGGATATTTCATTCTTTGACAGGACACTGCGCAATTGATTGTGCAAATCCCGTTGCCTTTTAAGAATGCCATTGCCTGCAGCCGTGATGCCAATATCATCTATTGTCCCAGCAATGACGGCGCCTTGGAGTATTACAGGATCAGCGACGGTGCTCATGCTCATGCAAAAGGTGCTCTGCGTGGACGTGGACACTTCATACGCATCAGTGACAATGGCTGCTGGCTAATCACAGGCCTCTATGGCAATGAATTTCAAATATTCTATATTGATAGTACCTCAGGAGACTAAATAAAAATGCTTTCGATTGCAGAAGAAACCCACTTCTACAATAAGAAAATGTGGTTTTATATTAGCTATGAATTTATATAATCTAAAAATATGTCTATTTCATTATTAAGCTTTGCTACTTGGTTTTTTGCTGGGCAGAACATCTTTAGTATCGACATGTGCTTTCTTTTTCGAAACAAGTAGCTTGCCACAGAATCCAGATACTTTTTCACATAAAACAATCAGATGTCTACTGAACGTTACCGGCTGTTTAATAGAAGTCATTATTTGCGTAGAGCTGTTCGCTGATGTTCCGCATTTACTTTTAATTTTGTTGCAGTCATTCTCTATTTGACCTGATGTTTCTGATCCACAAATGGTCTGCTTTACACAAGTCTCTATTTTATTAGAGTCTAAAGGATCTTTACAAAATAAACTTGGATTGACGGTATTCCCCTTCGTGCTACAGACGCCTAATTTTTCACTGGATTGGCTGATGGTACTCTGATTTTGATCAGATTGCTCTGTTCTGGAGCTAGCATGAGTTAAACAACTCTCTATATTATTAGAGCCTTTTGGTTCCCCATAAGACGAGTCAATTATAGAGGTAGTGACTTCTTTGAAAACTATCGGATGTCCACAGAAATCAGAAGATATTGTTGTGGAAGATTGATCCGTTTTAATAGAGGTGGACGGTGTTTCAAAGTTGGCATTCGATGCTATACAGAACTCATAAGCCGTAGTTTCCTCATTATTAGATGTGGGCTTCTGAGAGGGGGCAGTGCGTTCCGTTCCAGATGACCGGACATTCTCTATCTTATGAGAGTCATGCATGTTTTCAGAGTCGGCAGTGGAAGAACTCTTATTATTGAAATCTGTTAAGTTTACACACAAGTGGGCCCAACCCGAACAAGTGGAACTTTCAGAAATTGCCATGTCTTCTAAACTAGTCGAGCTATTATCAGTTGCAGTCAAATTTATGATAGCCGCATTTTCCTTGCCGCGGTCGACTGATTTATCAAATAAAGCATTTGGATACTCACAGAATCTAGTCTCTTCCTTAGTTACGATTTGCCTGGAGGCATTCCATATTTGACTAGAATTTTGATTGGAGGCAGTTGCTTCCTTATTGAATGCGGTAAAGCTCTCCTTGTTTGGATAAACTGCTGTTTCACTAGAGGCAATGAATGTGTCGGTAATCTCCTTTTTTTCGGAAGTTCCGTTCATATTAGAGGCGAGCACCTTTTCCCCAAAAAAAGGCTCCTCATTTTTTGAGACACGCTGTTTTTCGATTGGTGCCGTCTGCATGACATTGATGGCATTATCAAAGGATATATTTTTTGATATGCCCATGAACTTCTTAATAAACATTTTATAAGGATCTTCGACTTCCTCACATTTGTGAGATGTATGTGCAGTACAAGCTTCCGCATCATCGCCGTCGGTAGAGAGCGGTTGGCACAAGGTCTTCTCTTTATTACAATTGGATGTGGGCTTCGTCATCCGTATATCTTTGTCGCAATCCACGGTTTTCTTAAAACCCACCGACCCATTATGTAATAAATTCCCTGCCTTCAAGGCAAACAGATGTCCACGTGGCTGACACTCGCCATGGTCACAAATGTTAGGCCCCATTTTGGGACATGCTTTCAAAATGAATCAAGGTTCATATAAAAAGTAATATAATTTTCTTTTGTGCTGTTCTTACCCTTTCCGAATCTCCCCAAAACTGTGAACATATTTCTAAATTGCAATTTTGTTTTTGTTAATGTTTTAACATAACTAAAAGTGAAGTAATGATAAACAAACTATGATACCTTGTGTCAAAGTAAAAATGAATTTTGGTGCAAAGTTTATGTAAGCAATCAAAGGTTGATTATTATTTTTTATATATATATATATATATATATATATATATATATATATATATATATATATATATATACATATATATATACATATATATATATATATATATATATAATCTCTAGTGTCTCTGATTTAGAAGAAGAACATCGTTTAATTATTCATATAATATAGATTTTATATAGCTTCGCTTAAGTTTATTTATGGTTTCATCATCTTTCAATGCTATTTACACGAGTTTGGATTAAAATTTCACAGATGTCTAACAAAACACAATATTTGTATATATATGTATTTATATATAGGTATGAATTTTAAACATAATGCAAAACATATAATCCATTCTTATTAATTTTCTATTAAATAAAATCATTTCTTTCATACTATTGCCTGTGCTGCCAGTGTAAAAATAGCTTTACATAAAAAAATATTTCCAAACACTCAATCATGCGCGTGATGTACAAAGGTATATAAAAAATATGTTGATTACATATAATTAAAATAATCATAGAAAATAGAAAATATTATTTTGATTAAGTTTACAAATGATAATAATTACAGAGCGCAAATTAATGAATATGTTGCAAAATGTTGCACTAATTTTCAATAAATTATACAATTAACATTAACGAGACAATCATCTGCATAGTTCTATATCAATTAATATATACTATACATATGCATGTATATATGTATATAGTAGTACTGCACACAATTTTGCTAAATCCATCACGCTTGCCGATTCCATACGTAAATTTCCTAATCACTTTCTTCATGCTCTCAACTTTCCACTTATTCATATAAAGTTTTGTTGATTTTGCAATAATAATAGTACTCATAATAATAATAATAATAATAATAATAACTAGGCATCTATCTGCCTAACTGCTGATTGGCTAATAAATTCAACTTAATTAAACAGCACAGTATTGGGATCTTCATTATCCATTTGCTTAACATGCCGTAGTACGTCCTTTTTCGTTATAACACCCAACAATCGACTGCAAATAGTTGAAAACTTAGTTCAATTATTTTAAAAATTATAATTATCATATACTTACCCGTTATGTGTCACAAGCGTTTGACGCAGACCCAGTTTGCGGAACATATCGACGACAGTTTCCATGGGTGTTTGATCGGTGACCGTGATGGGCGCCATATCAAGTATTTTCTTTAATTTAAGTGGCGGCGGTCCCAGATTTTGAGTGGGTGTCGTGGACGTAAATAATACTATGGAATTACTATTAATGCCCTCGATAAGACGCTTTGCGTTACCTGCCAAAAATATAATGATTTAAATACATACATTTTGAAAAGATATGTTGCTAACTCACCAATAGCCAAATTAAGATCCCTGCGCAACACAAAACCAACTAAATATTGATTTTCCCTAGATACAACTACAGGATAGCCATTGTGCTCGGTCTCCTTAAGCAGATTCTCAATATCGTCGACTGTCATGGAATCCTGAGTTATGACATTTAATGTTTCATTGCGCTTTGGCTGCATGACATCAGCCGCCAACGTTGTATGTGCAAACTCCTCTTTGCTGTCAAGGAACGGATAACCATTTAACGCAATATGCGCATCATATATTCCCTGTCTACCCAGCGCATCGCCAACCCACTTGGAGGCCATTGCAGCTGCCATCAATGGGACGATATAACGCACTCCACCAGTTAGCTCGAACATAATAACCACGAGGGAGACAGTCATGCGCGTAACTCCGCCAAGCACGGCAGCAGCGCCGACAACTGCATACAATCCAGGTGTTATTAGATTACTATCCGCACACTCTCCGGTGAAGAACCAAATGTTTGGATAACTGTACGCAAACTGCTCCACACCGATGCCTACAATGCGGCCCATAATGGCGCCCAACAGCAGTGATGGTATGAACAGGCCCGAGGGCACCTTTATGCCGAATGTAAAAATGGTCAGTGCCAGTTTCAGTACAAAGGTCAAAACCAGCAGCCAAATGGAACGATAGACGCCGGGACCTGGCTCTGTCACTTCAATAAAGCTAGTACCTGTGCTGATATTCATTCGCTTGTAGTCACTGTCCCATGATAAATAGGAGGAAAATTAGAGTGAGTTTTAGTTAAGATTAACAACTACTACACTTACCACAAAGGGTTTGAGTCTCCGGGCGAACACTTGCTGACCAACAGAAAAATGAGTTCGTTCATGTTCATGCGTGTGAAGGGATTTGGATAGCATATGATGGCAGTAACCAAAGTAACAAAAAGCACTTCGCTAACAGGATATTGGCCCAACTTGCTAAATTTTCTGTAGCGGCACCACCATAGGTTCGCCTTTATAAAGAACGTGCCAATAACACCCTGAAAGATATACAACGAAGAATATATACTATAACTATATATTAATTTTTCAATATGCTACTTACACCCATGATGCCCAGAAAGACGAATGGAATTAACTCAAAGAATATCCAAGGTTTGTTATATTCCACAAAGAACAGAACGGAATGCTCATTGCCAAATGGCGTCAGTGATCGTAGAACAAAAGCAGCAATAAGCGCACAGAAGAACGAGCGCCACAGAGTCTTCAAAGGAAAGTAATAAGACACCTCCTCCAGCGAGAACAGCACTCCACCTATAGGCGCTCCAAAGGCAACCGACACGCCAGCAGCAGATGCTGCTGATAGAATTTCACGCTTTTTGGCCTCGTTACGCCCATATTTGGGAAACAGATGCGAAAATATGTTGCCAATACAGCTAGCAATGTGCACCATTGGTCCTTCCTTGCCAAGCGTCAGACCTGCAGACACGGAGAGCATCAAGCCCACCGATTTGATCAACAGAGTCCATTTTCCCAAATAGCCACGAATGATAAAGCCCGACAATATAGTCTTGATTTCTGGTATGCCAGATCCGCATGCATATGGGGCAAACATGCGCACCAGTGATGCACTTAGTGAGGCAAACAGCAATGCCCATAAAATATATAAAATATACGATATGATATTCGGACCAGTGCCCGTGCGATTGAGTCCAAAGATCTCCGGCCACGTTTTCCACTGAAATGGAAGTGATTTAGTTATAGAATTATGGAGTTCAATTTAATTAATTAAACTCACCATGGAACAGTTACCCTCCTCGAAGACAGACTGCTTATCTGGATAGCAGCATTGCTCGCGATTAAACCAAAAGGCAGTCGGACATATGCCATGTTTCAAATCTGACATCCAGCTAGCGCCTATATCAACCATGCCAGCCACACAGCCCGCCGCAATGCCCACAAGCAGGACACACAGCCAGCCAGAGCCAGCATCAACAGCTCCCTATAAATGGTAGATAAGTATTATATTAGTTAAGATTACAAAGAGAGCTTAAGGCATATCATTTTTACTTTTATCAAATCCCAAACTGAATCCTGCCGCTTTTTGACTATGTAACGATGTCGCATACGATCGCGTGCAATATCCCGCTGCCAATCGATAGTGTGAAAATCTTCGTACTGCCCAATGCCCGGTATGTCATCGTGTACCTCCGAGGAACCATAGAACGACAGTGCTCCTAAAGCGAGGACATGGTCGCAAAATAGAAAGTACTTTGATTTAAATTGCTCATATGTTAAACACATTTTGAATTTGATAAAATGGACTGGATTCTTGAGCAGCAGCTGTAAAAAGGCAGTTATTAATATTACTTTACAAATTTAAGATTAACAAATTAGAATATTTTGCGATAATAGCTTTCCGCTTTCACTAAGGAAATGCTTATCTACGACATAAGTGCTGCAGTTTGCAGTTGTTTTTAAATAGGAGTACAGACGCATGCACATGCACTGGAATTGTGCACATATCTGTGTATATTATTAACAAGCAAATTAAATTAATGGAAACGAGCGCGAGTGGCCCGCATACACATGCAAGCACATGTACACGTACATATATTAATATCAATAAAAGCAAGTACAGTCATAATTGTGACGTCTCGCGGGCTAACAAGATTAACATGATAAGTACGATAAACAACTCAACACAGATTTCTTATGTAGATGTCGTTTTGCTACTCACCATCCATTGGGTCGCCGAAAGCACTGTGAGTTGGCACATGTTGATGTTGTTGATGATGATGATGCATTGTTCGCTGATTTGGCGCAAAGTCGCGTTCCGTATCCGATTCGGTGACAGCCTCACGATGATAACCGCTAGAGCCACCGATAAGTTCGCCTGGACTGGAACGTGGCGTTATGTCGATCATATCCTCATCGTCTGTGTTTGCGGTGAGTGATGTGGTTGCTGCCGCATAGGATTGTTTTGAATGCGGGGCCAAAGGATGATCGCCGTCTCCTGCTCCTATACTATGGCCATTTGACTGTAAAATCGATAATTCCGTTTATCACTTTTTTGCATTTATGTACTTGGCACAAAATATTAACATTAGGCGACAAAACAGTTATTTGCTTACGCACTAACATATTGATAGGATTAAATGGTATTTTTGGCTTTAAGTGGGTTCAAAGGCAAGGGTGCGTAGTGCGGGGTGTGGGTGTGCTCAGCTGTTTAATGCTGACACCCACGTAGACACTTTTACAAAACTTATTTCCGCCCCTAAAATGTGCACAAATAATTTATGTATGAGCACATATTTCGTATGCAGCTTATTTCATGTCACACAAATGGTTGGCTACTAGTACTCGACTATTACATACCTTTTTCATGACTGTTTGATATGCGGTTATGTAGTTGTTGCCTTCCGCTGCAGCCTCTCTGCTACCTTTTAATGGAAATTTGTCCATTTTTATTAAAACGTAGTATTTTAAATGCGTGTATTAATGCGTCGCTTAGATTGGTATTTTGTGATTACTATAAATTTTTTTATTCTTTTTGCGTTGCAATATTGCAGCTGTTTTTTTTACATATTTTAATTGGTATTAGTGTATAACAAGTGCAACTAAACGTCACACACAATAAACACAAATACAAGCACACAAACAGTTGTTCGACTTGGACAAACAAAAAAAAAGCACTTCACATTTCACTTGCACTTGTTGTGTAGACTTAATATTGAATTTGTTTAAAGAGTTGTGCGCACATTTTTTAAGATCAAAAGTTAATAGTGTACAGGTTAATTAATTTTTAAATTAATACATCTTACTTTTTTTAGTTGCAATTGTTCTGTTTTATTGCAAAAAATCACGGCCACAATTCTATGTGACCAGGTGAACTACACAGTTAAAATACTTGCACTTTTTAGGAAAATTACATATATTCAACCTTATCGTCAGAGTTAAACGATGTTTTTTTTGGCAAAATACAAATCAAAACATGGACCGTTAAGTTTAGTAGATTATTCAAATTATTCCAAGTGTTGCTTATTCTATATTGCTTACTATATAAAGTGAATATTAAAAATGTAATAAATTCTAACATAGACGGCCAACACAAAACTCCTGGCTCTAAATATTGGCCATGTAAATAATTTCATATTAATACAATTCGCATAATTCATTCATTCCAAAATGGTTAAAAAATTCATTTGAAATAGCATGTGGAAACTCCATTTGAAAAAATGGCTGATGTAGATTTATTTCATAATTTGTGACAATGACTGATTTTACCGATAGTTTCTTACCATGAAAATACTAAATATATTTTATGGTAAGAATAAAACTGGGTGCCCCTAATGTGCAGTTATACCAGTATTGAAAAGCACATATTCATAGTATTTTTTATAGCAAACGGTCGTTGCAGTCTCAGTTTCCAAAATTGTTTAAACAAACAAATACTAAAATAGCTTCTGTCCGCTGTAAACAAAGGCCGCGAAACGCTAGTGCAGTTGGCGTTAGCAGCAGCAATACAATAACAATATGGCTGGTTTCGTAGCGGTGCATACAGGTTCGTTTTGATTGATGAGCATACATATATATTTATTTATGAGTTGGACACACACATTCGTTTCAGGGGCTGGAAATTGCATCGACGAAACCAAATACCAGCGCGTCATCAAAGAGGCATGCATGCGAGCTACAGAAATTCTTCGAAACGGCGGCAGCGCCATCGATGCTTGCGAGGCAGCGATAATGCGTCTGGAGAACTGTGGCCACACAAACGCCGGCTTTGGCTCCAATCTTTGCTTGGACGGCTCGGTGCAGTGCGATGCAGCCATAATGAATGGAACCACCTTAAACTTTGGTGCCTGCACCAATGTTAGCCGCGTAAAGAACCCAATACAGCTGGCTCGCCGCATCTGTGACGGCCAGTCGGATCAACAGCCGCTGGAACGCATTCCTCCCATGGTGCTAGCAGCCAGTGGGGCAGAGCAGTATGCCGAGCAAGTAGGCTGTGCCATGGTCGATCCCAATGTGTTGATCTCTTCGAAAGCGAAATTCCATTATAATCACTATAAGAGCAAATACGATCTAGTTGTCGGTGACAGCAAAGCAATCGAAACTGTCGAGGCTGTCCCTGAAGCGGGCAACGAGGTGGAGCTAACTGCCGCCCTGGACACCGTTGGCGCAGTGTGCGTCGATGGTGCTGGCAATACTGCAGCGGGCTGCAGTTCCGGTGGCATTCTACTCAAAGTACCAGGACGTGTTGGCCAGGCGGCAACTTATGGTGCCGGCTGCTGGGCCACCGATACGGATGAGTTGGCCATTGCCACGTGCACGACGGGCAATGGAGAGTACCTGATGAAGACACTGCTCGCCCGCGAGATATGCAATGGCGCCTTCAGCAGTGATTGCGCTGTGACCAGTCTGCATAAGACATTCAAGCAAAAGTTCTTGGACTCACCGCTGTTGCCGCAACAGCAAGATCTCTATGCTGGGGCACTCACATTGCTGTACTATCCCAAACAGAGCTGCGGCGAGGTGATGTGGAGCCATACGACGCAATCGTTCTGTGTCGGTTACATGGCAACCACGCAAAAAGTGCCAAAGGTTTGTGCACAGCCATCAGCTATCCATCATCTTGCCTGTCTATATATTGAATACTATATATATATTTATTCTAATGTTGTTTCTATTTTTTGCAGTTCGTACACTCTCCGTTGCCCACGTATAGTGTGCCAGGCAGATCGTGCGTTGTCAATGGCCATAATTTCCATTTGCGCATTTAGTTTGAGGCTAGCCAAATAGCCGCAGCCAACAGCCAACAGCCATCAGCCTGCTCTGTCCCAGACACAGCTCCGCCAGCGCTCCTCCTCCATCGTCATTTCTTTTGCAAATTCATTTGATTTAATATTTAATTGCCGCAACAAACACTGTCAATGCAGGCGCGCCGCCTTTCACCCAACCAACGAACCGGCAAAGCCAGCCAGGCTGCAGCCACCACCAAAACCAAAACCAGCAACGACAACGACAACATTTCATATTGCTTTTGTCTCGATGAAATATTAAGAATCATTAAATGGGAACTTTTCATTGTATATCACTATGTACGTATGTAAATATTGTCTATGTTTTTATGTGTACGCCACAACTAGCAATAAAATAAGATTATTTCGCATATATATATACACACATATCTAAAACTAAAGCGCAACGCAACTGCCCGCCTCATAAATCAGGCGAACAGTGGTCGGAAAACGTGAACATCATATTCTAATCACACATTTAGAATTGATGACGTAGACCCAAGCAAAACTGTCGGCTGTTTGCGGTTTTTTGTTTTTATTTTTATTTTTGTTTTGTTTAAGAAAATTTAGAATTAAACCAATCTTATTAGCACAAGTTTTATTTAGCTAAGAATTTTAATTGTTAAAATAGAAATTTGCTGCAGTATTTATTAATGAATGTATATATATTTTTTTAATAAATATATATATATATATATATATATAGCTATAAAATCTGTTAAAAATGATAAGAAATAGAAAATGTTTATAGCTTGTTTCAACTATGGAGCACTAGGACTCTCTTCGGGTTCGTTTGGCTGTTGGGAGGCGGTCGTGGTCGTGGTTGCAGCTGTGGTCGTGGTTGCAGCTGTGGTCGTGGTTGTAGCTGTGGTCGTGGTTGTGGTAGCCACTGGACAATTGGTCGGCTTGGTGGCGACACAGGATTTAAGACGCGTGTCGAAGTAAGGAGTAGGAGCAGAGCAGGTTCTATACAAGGACTTCCAGTCATTGCTGGATACACTGTTCCTCTGGCAGTAGACGGCGCTCTTGCAGCTCGCATCGGCATATGCATAGAAAAATAAGGCTGTAACACCCTCCGATGCAGCGATGCAAATTCTATTACGATCGTCGGGACTGGGTGTTGTGACTGGCGCTGGAGTTGGCGTGGTATACTGAGCATCGCCAGAGCAAGTTGGACTCTTTTTAAGCTACAGAAAATCGATAAATGTAACTCTGCAAACTCGCATACTGTTCGTTAAAAATTGGACTTACATAGTCAGCGGCACACTGTGGCACACAAACGGAACCGCTTTCAATGTCCGCAATGCATATCTCATCATCTTTGCAACTGATGACGCTGGCTATATCGCCGTTTATGCAACGGCCTGCTTGTGTCTTGCTCACACAGGTGTATTTAGCTCCGTTGCCACAAGAGCCACAACCTCCGGGGCCACCATCGGCACATAAGTTCTTAACTGTATCGGAGAGTTCAGTCCTAGCCACACAGATTGCGTCCCCATTGGTGCACACGGTGTCTCCAGTGCATTCTTCCTCTTCGCCATATGTTTCGCCATCTGATTTGAAATCGAACAATTTTATGATTAGCGAAAGTCCTTGCGGATATCCTGCACTACTTACTAAAGCAAAAATAATATGATGTCTCCGATGAACAGAGTACTTCGTTGCCTTCCATGCATACACCGCATTTGGGCTCCGCCGGGTCCTGTGCAGCAACTAAGCTGAACGATGCGATGGCAAGAATTGCGATCAACTTGATCATGATTTGTCTCATGGATTTGAATGTAAGTTCCTAACTGATGCTATGTCGCCCACTCAGCTGGCTTATATACCTAAAACATTCACCTTCAATTCTTCAGTTTATGGATCCTGCCATTATAATGCTGTTGACTTGTCACACGGATCATAAAGCAATATCGAAACATTCTTTTCGGCTCAACATAGCAACAACAACAGCCACAGCAACAAATTGTATAATTTATACTGCTATAGTAGAGGCAGATCATTCTTTTTTTCTCAAGAATACATTATTGACTTATCTTTATCTTTATTATCTTTACTCGCGAAATGTAAGGTATTAAAGAATGATAAACCATCAGAAGGTCGTCTAAGATAATTTTCATTTTTGTATAATAATATTTTGAATTTTCTTTGGCGGAAGTTGAATTGAGTTGAGTCTTAATATTTATTAAGAGATATGTTTGGGTTAGGGAAATTGAAATTTGTACAGAGTATTTGTCAGCCGAGCAAACGTGTTCTATATACCCCTAAAGTTGAACTAATTTAGCAATCATAAAACACCTAAAAACAAATAAAAATTGAGTAGAAAAACGATAGCTCTATAATTCTTCTATCTTAAGTTAATTACTTTTCATATGAAGGGTATTCCATACTCTTACATCTGAAATCTATAGGGATTACTTCCAATATTGATAGACCCTTGATCTACGGATGCACTGAAAAATACTTTATTCGTTTACAAGTTCTATATAGATCTGCCAATATAGAATGGAAAATAGATCGATTGCATATAATTTCTTTCAATATTATATCAATTGTAGGGTTTGGCATGCTTCCAACATGCATAGGCACAACATATATAATACATTTATAATCTGTTTCTCCTTTTTAATTGAAATTCGGTAAGAACAAGTGAAATATTCAGTAGGTTCTTTTGTCTATTCTTCTGGAGGCGCTTCAGCTGCTGCGGGCGCTTCAGCGGGTGGCGCGGAAGTTCGTTTGGGCTTATCCTCTTCCTTCTCAAATTCTTCGGGCTGCTGAGTGCGCTCGTCTTCGCGCTCGAACGGATAGAAAGGATGGTCCAGAGCTTCTTCAAACTTAATGATTCGATCCTTGGGCTTGATGCCCTTCAGGGCGCGCGTATCTGCCTCAGTCAGCTGAAAATCGAATATGTTCAGATTCTGTCTAATGTGCACGGGATTCGACGCCTTCGGTATGGGCACCACGCCGTAGTCAATCTGGGAATATATTGAAGTCCATTAGCCACGTTGAGGAACATCTATCAAACTCACATAGTTGGCCATACCAGGTAGCGCAGCACAATTTGGGCCGCAGTGCGATCGTATTTCTTCACAAGGCGTCGCATGCCCTCCGAGAAGAAGTAAATCGGTGAATGAGTCTCACGGTCCGGCTGGCCGATTGGCGCATAGGCAGTCACCACGATGCCATTGTAGCGGCAGTAGTCAACCAGATCCTTTTGCATGAAGCCAGGCCAGATTTCCACCTGATTGACAACCGGCTTGTAGGAGCTGCACTGTATGATGCGCTGCACCTGCTCCATGTTGAAGTTGGAGACACCAATGCTGCGCACCAAACCCAACTTGACAAGCTCCTCCATCGCCCGCCATGTGTCAATATAGTCCACGTCGCTTTTGAAACGCAGCTTATATAAAAGAAACTCGATGGGAAGTGCAAATCGCTTCAACTTACGATAATTGTACTTTATCGCCCTCCATGGGGTAGAGAATCTCATCGCACACGTGCTTAAAGCCAACTGGAAAGTGCATTAGATAGAGGTCGATGTAGTCAAAGCCAAGTGCTTGCAGCTGCTTCTCGCAAATGCGACGAACTTCTCGGGGTTCATGATGGATATTCCACAGCTAACCATGGAGTTATGGAGTTAGACGAGTATTGTCATGGTATATCCACTCGGACTCACCTTGGTAGTAAGAAAGATATTCTCCCTGGATACATTTCCCATTTGGATTTGTGTACGTATCGCCTCGCCCACCTCCTTTTCGTTTTCATAGACATATGCCGTATCGAAGTGCCTGAACCCAGTCTCCACAGCGCAATGGATGGCCGTCAGGCATTGATAGCCACGCATCTGCCATAGGAAAGAATGGGAAGAATCTCAAACAGACTTACAGATGTTGTGTCTACCTTAGCGGTGCCATATCCTAGCACGGGCATATCGTAGCCGCTGCTGAGCTTGACCTTGGGCGACAACAGCAGGGACTTGACCCCACAGACGGGCTTGTCGCCCAATATAAGAGCGACTCGGGTATTGTCTTCCTCACCGTCCTCACATGAAGTCAAACAGCGTGCTGGTATCATGTCGAATATGTCTATATTATTGGTTCAGAATATTAAAAACAAACAGATGAATTTCATCTACACACAATTTTTTTTATTGGCAATTTTGAGTTGTCGAAAAGCGTTAATTAATATTTAAATAGCTGAATTTATGACCATTGGAAAACGGCATACAAATTGCAATTTATTTAAAATATCATTATATAAATATATAATATATTTGTTTTATTTATTTTCTGCTTTAAAACTCAATGCCAAATGGATAGTACTTGTGATTGAGACCCTTGATCAAATTTAAAGGCACATATCGCTCGCCAGTATGATAGCCATCCAGTAAGCATCTCTCCTCCTCCGTCAGCTCGAAGTCGAAAATATCGAAATTCTCAGTAATGCGACCAACATTCGAGGATTTTGGTATGGGTAGCACGCCTAATTCCACCTGTAGAAAGAGTAAAAAGTCAAGCAGTTAGATGGAATAATTACAAATCAATGAATTTTAAAGTAAACTTGAATTCCTAAACATGGAAATATCTTAGGATTAGGCCAGTGGCCATCAGAACTTATTCTACTAAATATACCAAATAACGCAGCACAACTTGTGGTGTTGTCTTTTTGTATTTCTCAGCTATGGCCTTCACTTTGGATGCGTAGAGAAAATCGGGCTTCTGCTCTTCCGGATTTGGTCTACCCAGTGGTGTGTATGCCGTTAAAGTTACGTCGTGTTTCTTGCAGAAGGCCGTCAATTTTTTCTGGTTAATTGCTGGGGAGCATTCGACTTGATTGGTCACCGGCTTGATTTCACAATTCTCGATAATGCGCAATAGTTGCTCGCTGTTGAAATTCGATACTCCAATGCTGCGCACAAGGCCACTTTTAACCAATTTTTCCATTGCCTTATAGGTGTCCAGGTAGTCAATATCGCTCAGCTGCAGTTGACCTTCTTCATCTTTGGGTAATAGCGTTTGATCATCAATGTACTTATAGCCCACCGGCATATGCATCAAATACAGATCAATGTAGTCCATGCCGAAGTTGCTCAGCTGCTTGCGGCATGCAGTCTCAACGAGTTTGGGATCGTGATGGATGTTCCAGAGCTACAAGAATTCTATTAGTGGTTTGAACTATTATTTAAAAAATTATTCTCAATCGAGTTTCACCTTTGTAACCAAGAAAATGTCCTCGCGCTTGACAACACCCTCAGAAATCTTATCACGTATCGCTTTACCCACCTCCGCCTCGTTTTGATAGAAATATGCGGTGTCTATATGCCGGTATCCTATGTCAATGGCATGCTTTACAGCTATTTCGCCTTCATTGTTCTTGGACTGAAATTCAGTTAATATAATTACAATTAGCATAAAACATATCAAAAAGTAACTCACATTATACGTTCCCAAGCCCAAAACAGGCATTTCGTAGCCATTATTCAATTTAATTGTCGGTGCCAGCTTCATAGCTAATAAAATAATAAATCAAATTGAAAAAAAAAAGAACACAGCTCCCCAATTATTTCGCAAGCAAAGCTAATCTCTCAACAGCTGTTGACAGGCAAGAGCTTTAACATTTGCAAAAATGTTATGAACAGAGTGTACTAACATTTAATATTTACCGGCCTACCAAAACATCTGTTAATAATAAAATATAGCGATGTTACGGATTTCAAATACGGTTTCATTTTAAATACTTTCTGTTATAATTTTTTGCGCAAATTGTGACAATTATTGACAATTATATATAAAACTCAGAATTTAAGCTATTTATTTCAGACGGTTGACACTGTAACTTCGCGATATATCGCCTAAACTTTGATTTATCGATTAATTTTGATAGTGATGAAGAAATAATTGCTTGTTTATGTTTTGTTTGTATCTTCTGGTCAGCAAACTTATATATAATGGACGACAATGCAGATACGACACCAGATCTGGAGTCTTTTAATGGATATGACTTTAACAACTATACAGCGGCCGAATCTTTTATTCAAGGCCTTTCTGGAATGGTAAATCAGAGTGATGTTGAGACCATGATAAGAGCACAAAAACAAATGTGAGTAGAAACAAAGGGCAAATATAATGAATATAAATCAATTTAAACCAAATCCTTACCTTCAGGTTACAACGCTTTGAGAAGACTAATGAAATGTTGCTCAACTGCAATGCCTTATCGCAAAGCCGTTTGAAAAATGCCAGTGAAGATTTTAAGCGACATGTGAAGTTGCTAAGTGAAATGAAAAAAGATCTAGATTACATATTTCGCAAAGTGCGCATAATAAAGCAAAAACTGCAGCAGCAATATCCTGCTATATATGCAGAAGTACAGCCCCAGCGTAGCAGCTTAGCGGTGGAGGCAGAAGATGAAACGGAAAGTGCGAAAGCTGCGCAGCTGGCGGAAACAACAGAGGCGAAGCCCACGGTAGAGCCAGCTCCCAAAAAAAGTGGAGCAACAATTGAATACGTACAAATGCAGGAGGCTATCGAAAATGGTATTGTTGAGATAGAAAATGAGCTGATAAAACGTGTCTGCTCCGTCGAGACAGCCAATCCCAATGACTCGTCGGATTGTACGTCAGAAGATACTGGTTAAAGATTAGTTAATAATTAGTTTTATTTAACATATTTATCTAAACAATATTTATTATACATACTAGTGGAATATTCTGTATATGCAATAGGTTACATAATAATTTGGTACTTATATTGTTTCGGTACCTTTGAGATTATAACGCGTCCGTCATAACTTAACGATGCAAAAATCCAAGGATCTACATTACTCCATTCTGCACAGTACACAGAGTCCTCATGCTGATCGAAAGTCTGCAATAAGCCATCTGATAGCACTTTATGCCTTTCCTGCAAGCCGCCCGTTGCAATTGCATCACCACCATCAGTGCCTGGAGCCTCTGAGCTAACTGACCCTGCACAAGTCAGGAGGACCTTACAATCACTTGAACTGGATAGTATTAACTGATCATGGAATGTGTTGAACCGTACCGACCACACCCAGTGCGAGTGATCGCTGCGTTCAAAAACTGGGCCTTTGACCATGCGACAGTCCCACACTTTAAGACATCCATCATCACCACCTGTCACTAGATGACATTGTTTATTCGGATTACAGTCCAAGTCGCGCACGAACTGCCCATGTGCATCCTCTATGCTCCAAGCGCAATGTTGAGTGTCCCGCACATCGTATGCCCGAATGCTAGTATCATGCAAGGCCAAAAACTGATGTCCCTGATGATGATGCGACCATTTGCCACTGGTAAATGGTGACAAATGCTTTGTACCGCTGGTACCGCTGGTACCGCTGCTGACTTCGGCTACTACGCGAGTGGAAGCTTCTGCGCGCTGCATAACAGCCAATTTATTGCCCACCACACAGGCCAAGGTTTGCTCTTGGCTCGGATGAAATTCAACAGTCTTTACACGTTCACCCAACTCGGCAGTCTCCAGCACCTCAATCTTGGCCCATGGTATATATTCACTCTTGATGGGTTCGGCATTGTTTGAATCCCTTGAATCATTAGTCGGTAAAGTTAAGAGTGCGGCCTGCGTTAGCACCTGAGCACCCTTTTGCACGTTGTACACGGATGCCAGCAAATGTGCATCGTGTGGGCAGCTATTCAGTTTCCAAACTTCACCCAGTGCATGTTCAAAGATCTAAAAATGCATTAAAATATAAAAAATGAAAACAACAAAAAAAATCTAATTCACTTTTGACTGTATGGTGCCCTGCTCCTCGTCATATTGCAACAGGTGCAACTGATTGGTGGGCTTCAACGAATTTGTGGCTATAAAGAAGCAAACATCATTGCTTTCACCGTTTTGTGGTGTTAGAGCTCGAGCCTGCAATTCCAAACCATAAATCAAGTTATTCTCCTCCATTTAAAAATGGATTTAACGATTGGATTCTTATTAGATTGCTGAAATGAGAAACAAATTGCACATAATATTAAAATGATATAAAAAATGACCAATCCCTTTGTAGCTTAGCTGTATCATGAAACCCCTATAAACAGTTTCTTAAAGTAGTATATACATTGAAACCGTTAGATACATGTATATAAACATATGTAAATGTTCTAGTTTCAATATATCCTAAAAATCGAATCAATATATTTCATACAGTTATAGTCACATCTTAAATTATATATCCAAAAGCGAAACCATACCCAAATTATTTGAAATCAAGAAACTCTTATTTAATTTAATATGAATATAGTTAGGCGATATTTTATTAGAGATGCGCTAATAGTATTTAAATATCGAAATACTTGAAGTTTCAAGTTTAATTAATGCGTTACTAACAAAATTACAATGAAAATTAAATTTACCAGAATTGCACATCTCTCACTCCAAATAATTTATGTCATTGCAAAAATATATAAATTATTGATGTTACTGCTGTAAACTATATTTATAAATATAATTGTTTTCTTATTTGTTACTCGTTGATAGAGCAAGCTATTAGTTTATATTCAGCTGACGGAAAATACAACCCTGTGCACGCTCAAAGCAACACTGTGTTGCCTCCATCCATTTTGTTTTAGTGAAAAAAGATTCTCAAAAGTAACAGACGCGGATAACCAAAATTGACATTGCAGTATATATAGTGACACTTTTAGCATATTAAACAACTAACTAAATTCCCAGAGTGCAACGCAATGGCACAAAACATCAGCCCTGAACAGAGTGGTGCTGGTGGAAGTAGCAAACACAATGATGACTCGCTACCTATCAAAGACAATCATGCTGTGAGCAAAAGGTAAGGCGCCAAATTTTGATACATATATATGTATATAGATATACATACGTATGTTTGAGCAACACCTAAATGATTTGCATTAATTTTTGGTTTTAATTTTACACAGACTGCACAAAGAACTCATGAACCTAATGATGGCCAACGAGAAGGGAATATCGGCATTTCCAGACGGCGAAAACATTTTTAAATGGGTCGGCACCATTGCTGGCCCAATAAACACTGTGTACTCGAGCCAGACATATCGCTTGTCGCTCGACTTTCCAAATTCCTATCCGTATGCCGCGCCAGTGGTTAAATTTTTGACTCCATGTTTTCATCCCAATGTCGATCTACAGGGCGCCATTTGTTTAGATATACTCAAAGACAAATGGTCAGCTCTGTATGATGTGCGTACCATACTGTTGTCCATACAATCTCTACTGGGCGAACCTAACAATGAAAGTCCCCTAAATGCGCAGGCCGCGATGATGTGGAATAATCAAAATGAGTACAAAAAATACCTAGATGCCTTCTATGAGAAGCACAAGGATACCTAAACACCAAATAACCTACTGCGGCGACCCCTCTCACTTTCATCTATGCTCATATTGTGGCGTATTTATTAACCATTTGTATGTGTGGTGCAACAAACAACCAACAAACACAACACTACCTACACACCACCCACCCACATCTCAACCTTTATATTAGTTCATGCTGTTTTGGTACATTTGCATTTACATCTGATTTTCATTGATATATATAGGCACTATTGGATTTTTAATTTTTGAAGCAAATTAATTATATGTAATGTAATATGATATATGTATGTATTTTTTAATAATGTCTGTTTCTTTAAGCTTAAGCATGAAATTTAGTTAATTGTTTTTTTTTTATACGAATGATTTTTTGAAGTATGTAAGCGGGCGACTGCCATCAATTTTGTATTGACTTAAGGCAATTCGTGCAAGGTCCAGGCCCGACCCTCATGTGAATGTTAGCTAATTATATAGTAAACCTCCCAGATACCCACTCGCTACATATATGTATTTACTTTTAATGCAACAACAGCATCAACAGTTTTTCGACTCGATAAATATACATATATATATAAAAAACGAAGACAAATTTTAGTATTTCAAAAAGATTGTACTTTTTAAATTGTAATAAGTTGTGTTAGCTTGAAGAGTTATTGAAATCACGTATATATATATAAATATTAAAATAAAATCGAATAACTGATTAGTTCTGTCAATGGAAACGAAAATGTATATTTATACTATATATTTGTCTAACTGCTTAAGGATTAACAGGATTTTAAATGCTTGTTCAGGTGAGCAGACAACGCGGCTCGAGATCCAAAGATACGCGCACAGCGCTTGCAGCGCCACAGTTGCTTCTTATTGCCATGTCGCCTCTGGAAGTGATCCTTTAGATTTTGTTTGGTGTAGAAGCGCTGCTCACACGAATTGCACGCAAAGGCGTATTCACACTTGCTCCTGTGCACCCATTGATGGCGTGTCAGCAGAGCCTTTCGCCCATACGCCTTGCCACACTCATCACACATGTGCTTGGGACTCTCGGCTTCAATCTGCTTCACATGCTGGCGTCGCACATGATAGTTGAGGCTGCGCAGCGCAGTGTACACCTTATTGCAGTTCGGTTGGGTGCAAGCATATGTTGATCGTTCGTTCTGATGCACTTCCCGCAGGTGGGCAGCCAGCAAATTAGCTCGTGCATACGTCCTGTCGCATTTGCTGACCGTACATCTGTATGGCTGCTTGCCTTGATGCTTTTGCATGTGCGCCTCGTAGAGGGACATCTTATAAAATCCACAACCACAAATATTGCATTCTATTTTATGTCGAATTCCCAAAGGACGTTTCGAGAAGCCTGGGTGAGTGGATGTGACAATCCTTTCTTTTCCCAGAATCTCTTTTGCTGCATCGTCTTCGATTATATAGACTTCTTCCTGAAGTTAAACGAATATAATTTATATTCTTAAGTAAACTTGTTTATATGTATGTATGTCCAACACACAATATTATACACATATACATGCATATTAATGTTAATACTAAACACGTTCTTTGAATGTTTATACATATTTGTATTTGGGTATAGAAAACTAATAAATAAACAATATAATTCTGCGAAGCGTGGTCGACTAACAGGTACCTTGCCTATGCCTGGTACAAACGTTTTCTTTAATTTTTTCAATTTAATTGAAAAATGTCTCCAAGAGTGTAAAAATATAAAAACAACAAACGCTTCCGTTATTGACAAATATTAGTATTTTACAACACTGGTCGTGTAATTTACGGCCTTCGATCCTTTCCTGTGCCGGGCTCGCAAAGCTTTTCAAAGCTTCTAAAAGTGTGAACCGTTGCTATCCCAACCGCTTTCTTCACTGATAACATTTATGCAAACATATATTTAGATAAACATATATTTACATTTGTGTGCACAGATGTCTATTCTGATTATGTTCGCGCGTTCTCACGCTAATAAAATAAGCGTGCCATATAAATGCATACATATATGTGTGTCTGTATGTGTATGCGCGTGTTGTCTTCCATATCAATTATACATCTCCATGTGTGTGCACACGTACGCTCATATTAACAGTTATACATTCAAAAGTTCTGAACGCCATCAACACACATGTGATTAGATTGTGCAGACACACACCGATAAACACTAAAACTTATCAATGTGTTTATGTACTCTTGAATTTTACACTCACAATATCTTCAATTGATTCGGATGTTACGACGGACACCTCCACAGGTTGAACCTGAACAATTGATTTCTCGCCTTGTGCATGCAAACAAATTTCCACAGGGCTTGGCTGCGGGACGCTTATCGTCTTGCTTGGCAGCTCTTCCTGGTTGTTCTTGGTGTTCGTGTTTACTTCCGCAAGAAGTTTTTCGAAATTCGCAAAGGACTCCTCGCACATTCGTTGAAAGCCATAAAATCGATGCACCAATTGATAGCAGCTATCGCAGATACATCTCAGCACAATTTGTGGGCTTACTTCCTTGTCTAGTGGAGCACCCAAGAACCTCAGCCCATCACCGGCACGCATGCAGCCAATGAATTTTGCTGCCAAGTCTTTTTCCTGGTATAAATCGTAAGTGGGCTCCTCTGCACTGAGCAGGACCAAACAGGCCCGACACAACGACATTTTTCCAGCAGTAGCTTTGCTTTTATCAAGTGCGCGACGCGCGCTTTCTTTTCGTTCTGATTTAAACATCGTCAGGTTACATATACTCTACCGGCATGTTATAAATTAACATCAATTGCGACAATAACAATACATTTATGTGTGTGTGTATATGGTTTGGAGCACCCGAAATATGACGCCCGCGCCCTGCGCCTCGCAGTCTTTTACTGTGCTGGATAACAAAAGCTCGGCACTCGTTCATTAGATGCTGTTGCCGCTTCTATCAGCCTATACGAACCAAAAGAAAAAAACTGTTATGCCTCACAGGGTGCGATGGCAAATATAAAGCTTTCACAGGGTGGTCTCAAATTTGACATTTAAACTTGCCGCTAATGTATTTAAATACTTTATTCTCGCTGGAATCGCAATAAAATAAAATATATGATTTGTGACTTTTAAGTTTATATAAATTTGTGTTAAATACTATATACATACGCATGTATGTATTTACAGGCAGATATATTATTTATTAAGTACGCCTTATAGACTATCGGTTGTCATCGCAGAGCCGAGCGTTATAGATGTTGCCACCGAGGATATTGTCTCCATGGATACGTTGAGCTTCTTTTTGAAGGTTCGCAATGCATCTATGTGATATATCTGCTGATAGCCAGCTTGCTTATTTATAGATAGAGTGTACATATTTCGCTCTCCACTAGAAGTCAACAGAGTAGGCATATAATGCGGCAAGTAAAATCGTTGCATTTCTGATGAGTCGCTGCCTTCCGCATTGGCCAGCTCTTTGCTGTACGAACGATGTAGTCGCATTATTTGCACGTACTGATAGTGCGCAACGTAGAGGAATGGCTCCCGGTAAGCGAAACCAGTTGGCGCGTAAACCCAATTTAAATCATATGGGCGCGAGCGACAGCCAAATTCGTCGACAAAGACGCCGCATTCGGCAAAGCAGAGCAGGAACTCCTGACGAGAAATACGTACAGCTACAAATGGCTGACAGTTTAATGTGTGCTGCAGCGTCTTATCCGCCAGATCCACAAACTCTTCAGCCGCATAGTTATCCAGATCGATTTCATAAAACTTATCCGAGCTGACGATGGCCGAGTGGCGTGTATAAAAAATGGATGTTACGGGCGTCGCCGTATCCAATGCACGTACTGGCTTAAATTTATGCAGCTTAAGATCGTATTTCAGTATGACAATACGTGTAGATGTTGCCGCAATGGCCACCGAGTCGAGGGCATTCTCAGATTCGTTTGAAATCTGAACAAGTTTCCATTTTTCACTCACTGAACGATTGGCAAACGGCAATTCAATTACAGAGGTCTCCAACACAGGCTTATTGCAGGGAATCGAGCTTTGGCAGCGTGACTCCAGCTGCCTATAGTCGCACTGGTAGAGCTTCTCACCATTGGCGCCCACCATCATGGCCTTGGCCAGACGTGTCGATATGGACACGTAGCTAACCGACTCGATGCCTGCAATGTGTAACAAGCGCTGTGTCTCCACATTGTAGGTAAACAGACCGCTGTTGCAGCCAAATAGTAAGATTTTCTGTTCCACTATCTCGAATGCACAATTGATCTCAATGACCTCGCCGTTATGATTGTTCTGTGAGCCATTGTAAGCCAGTGTGCCCATGTACTCTCCTGTGCAGTTGCTCTCGCTGTCCAATGTGTCCAGGCTGCTGCTACAGCTCGACTCTGGTCGAGTTTCGCTGACCTCGTCGCAAGACGATACAATTGAGCTGCCACAGATGCTAGTTACGTTAGCTCGACATTTGCGATGTGATGCATCTTTGCATTCTTTGCAGCGCCAATAAGGAGAACCGGCCACAATTGGTTGTTCACAGGCCACACAATTGGCAGCATCGACTTTCGACTCTTGCAAAGCCAACTCGAAACGATGATGCGTCACTTCACTTGTGCTCTGCTGTGTTTGTGGCGATTTCAATTTTGCTTTGGTATCGGTTTGGCTTGCAGATCGTTTAATTGTCGTTGGCTGCTTACGTGGAGATCGTGGAACTGTGGCAATACTAGCTGGGCGCAGCTTAGGCTCATCTGCATCTCCATTGACTGCGCTTGACTTACGTGGCGAACGCAAAGTTGCCGTGCCTAAAGAACAAGTTAATGGTTATTACTATATTTTGTATACATTTTCTTTTCTACCTTCTATTACCATTTAATTGATCCAACTGTTCCTGCAGCATCTTGGAAAGCTTTTGCTCTCGGCGCAGTTCCTCTTTCAGGGCACGATATAGTATTGATGACTCCACATCATTCGGTGATATGTTCTCCTTGGCATGGCTGTTAGATCCAAAAATTTTATCTGCCAGAGTTTTCTTTTTCTTCGCTGACAAATCCTCCACTTTAAGCTATAATTAATATGCATTAGTTATCAAATATCATTTTAGTTTCAACAGTCAAGTTACCTGTAGATAGTCGATGAGTTTCTTGTGTTGAGCCAGCGTAGCCATTGCCTTGATGTCTCGCTGCACATAGAATTGTTCCTTTTCGGTAAGCGCATTTTGCAGCTCATCGATCTCGGTATGGAGTCCTGTTTGGACAGCCTGCAGATTCTTGACCTCGTCATGCAAATGCAGCACCTCCTCCTTGCTGTGGAAAAGCTCACTCAGTATGCGAGCATTCTCCTCCTTCAGACTAAGTAACTCGCGCTCGTAGTCTGCATTCTGCGCCTGGCAACTAGCGCTCTGCACATCCAGCTGATCCGCCCGCTCCTGGGCGCCGAATAGCGCATTCGTTTGCTCGACCAGCTGGCCCTGTTGTGAGATTAACTTCATTTGCAGCTGCTTCAAGTTCTCCTTAAGCTCTTCCAATTCAACACTAAGCATCTTAGCATGCTGCTCAGCTTGACGCTTGCCGGACTCCTGCACATTTAAATCCTTGCGCAGCTGAGTAATCTGATCGTTACGTTCGCGTAATTTTTCATGGCAGGCATCCAGCTGGGTTTGCTGTGTTTTGTTTCGCTTTTGCTCCGTCTCCAACATGTTCTCCACCTCCGTTAGCTGATTGTCAGTTATGCTGCATGCGTATTTTAGACGTTGGAAATTATCAGTCAGCTGCTTCAGCTCCGCCTGCAAGGCTTGAGTGCTTTCGCCAGCTGCTGCATTGCGTTCCCGTTCCTCTTGTAGTTCACGCTGTAGACGCTTCTGTTCTAGACCCAGACCATCGCAACGCTGCTGAGATTGATTCAGCTTTTGACGCACTTCTCTAACCTGCTGTTCCAACCTGTGCACGTTTGCCAAGTGCTCGATAACCTCTGATTTACACTTCATGCGCTCCTCCTCAGCTTTCTCCCACATGCGATGCTCTTTCAGCACATCTCGCTTGCTGGTTGCCAGCTCAGCTTTTAATTCATCAATCCGTGCATCACGCTGACGGAACTCATCTTGTGTGGATTTCTGCTTACGTTGAGCCTCTTCACGTTCATTCTGCGCTTTCTTGACGCGTTCTTCCGTCAATTCCATGCGCCGTGCAAGCAGCTTCTTCTCTGCAAGCGCCTCCTCCAGTTGCTTTTCCACCTTCCAGAGTGACAAATTGGCCGTTCGTGCTGCCTGACGTTCTACAATCATTTGTTCTCTCACTGCAGCTAATTTATCTTCTAGCTTCTCATTCTGACGCTCGAGCATGTCGCCCACGGCAGTGTTAGCAGCACCCGAATGGCCCTTCATGGGCGATAAACTTTGCTCATTGAAACGTTCGAGCATTCTTTCCAGTTTTGAAACTAGTTCCTGAAGCTGATCTGCGCGGGTCTTTTGCACAGATTCAGCATCCTTGGCAGCCACCAAATCGGCACGCAGCTGATCCTCAATAGCATGCAGCTCCGTCAAAGAACCAGGCGCCGTTTCGTAAGGCGAGGCTTGAGATGCGAGCGATGATTCCGCCAAGTTGCAACGACACTCAGCCAGCTGTAAAATTGAAGAGAATTATAATAAAATGTTTTCAAATATTTATTAAAAGCAAGATATACCTGTAGCTCTCGATCCAAACGCTGACATTCTGCCTGTACTTCATCAAATTCTTTTTTAGTGTGACTTAACTGCGCCTCTAGAGAAGTTTTGGCTGCGCGGAGCTCGTTGTTTGCGCTTATCTCACAATTGAGACGCTGCAGTATATCCTCGATGCTGCGCTCTGTCGCATTTTTAGCTTCTTGGTTTGATTTACTTGAGCTGATTGATTCATCCAACTCCGTGCGAATATTTTGCAGCTCGAAGGTCATGCGACGGTGAGTGTCCTGTGATTCACGCAGCTTTTGGCGCAGCTCTAAAAGCTTTTGTTCATAGGTCTCTGTTAGATGTTTTCTTTGCTTCTCATGATTCGTATCGGCTTTAACGCTCTGTTCTTTTAATTGCTTTAGCATATCCTTGTAGTTCTCCAGTTTGTCTCGAAGATGTTTACATTCATCAGTTTTGGCATGAAATTCTAGCTCTCTAGCCTCCAACTTTTGCACCGTGCAGGCTAGCTCTTGTTTTTTCTCCGCTAGCTGCTTCTCATATCTTTGTTCGGATGAAATTTTTGCCTCCTCGTACTTTTGTCGATTCAGGCGCAACAGATCTGTGATAGTGGCTTCTTTTTTCGACCACATTTCTTCGTCAATTTTCGCTGAGCTCTGCAACGTTTTGATTTGGGTTTTACAGCTGGCCAGCTCCATGGTCTTTTCCTTAATTATGTCCTGGAGTTTTGTGATTTCCACTTTGGCCTCAAGCACTACTTGCGATGAACCATCACTCTGCTTAACAGTTTGCTGTGCCTTAACCAATTCCTGTTTCAGTTTAAGAATTTCCCCTTCACGTGATTTCAACTTTTGTTGCAGAGTTCGCAGCTTTTCCTGTAGCTTAGTGCGTACTGTATCCGAAGCATCGGCTGTACTGTAATCATTTTCTAAATGAACAAAACTGTAGCCGATAAAAGGCAAATCCTTGCCACTAAAATCATTAGACTTCATGTTCGAAGTCAATGACTTTTTGGTTTGCGGTTCACGTCGCGCTTTATGCCGTATTCCGTCCTCGAAGTTGGATATATCGTCGTCCGACTTAATTGTAGGTATTATAGGAGGCACCTGCGAACGAACTGTACTCCACTGGATGCTTTCGAAGAATGGATGTTTAACAATCTGCTCGTACGAAAGACGATTCGTTGGATTGGTGACCAACGACCCGATCAAATGTTTCAAATTACTTGAAATCTTCAGATCACTGGGAAAGCTAACTATTTTCTTCAAACGGCTATCCTCGCAGTGAGAAAGTATTTTTGAATATGTTTCGTGTACGTTATCCTCATGGAATGGCGTTATCTCACATATGAGCTCATAGCCAATTATACCCATGGACCAATAATCGCAGCTTACCTGTTTAATAAATTAAAGAGTTAATTTACAAAGGGATGCACTAAACATACTCGCAACTGAAATATGACAAATCTTTTCTTAAGCCAAGATTATAATCCTTCATATTTCATTTGCAGTTGCATTAAATCATATGAATCATACAGTCGCACTCACGTCATGCATAGATTTTGATAGCTTATACGTTGATATGGTTTGTAAAAGCTCCGGTGCTATATAGTCTGGTGTACCAACTGGCGATAGACTTAATACATGACCATCTCGGTCCAAGGCAGCTGCATTGCCAAAGTCAGCCAATTTGATGTGACCAAACCGATCGATTAAAATGTTTTCTGGTTTTATGTCTCGATGGACATAACCCATGGTATGCAGAGTATGGAGAGCCAGCGTTAGCTCGGCCAAATAAAAACGAGCCATATCCTCGTCAAATGGACCGTGACGTGACATTAGGCTCAGAAGGTCGCCTCCTGGGAGATATTCCATGATCAAATACAGGTTATCATTGTCCTGCGAACGTTATCCAATATATATATATATATATATATATGTATATATATAAATCATTGTTAGAAAGAAACTTACCTGGAAAGCATACTGTAAATTGGTCAACCACTCAGAGTTACGTTGAGACATTATATCGCGTTCTACTTGCGATGTGGTCACCATCGATTTCTTGATCTTTTTCATGGCATAAACATCGGATGTTTGGCGCTCGAGTACCAAATGGACATTGCCGAAATAGCCTTTGCCAATGAGGGCCTTGATAACAAAATCATCGGCGTTTACGCGCAGCTGGCGCGTTTCCTCAACAATAGGACGAACTGGAGCAGCAAAGCGTTATAAATGGTATACCAAATTTATCTAAATAGAGAACTTACATTTATTTACAAATTCGGCTATGTTGCGGTCGCGCTTCTTAAGAGTCTCTTTGTCGCACTCATTATACAGCAGGCAGAATGCGTCTAGCAAACCCTCCCGACAGATGGCCTCTGCGACAGCTGCACTTGCGGTATTTAAAGGCACAACGCTTCGTCTCAAAGCGCTTGTTGAAGATTTTTGCACGGCGCCAACTCCTTTACCAAGTATTAGATTGTTGAGTCGCGTAGTACGCACACTAATTGGCTCGCGTTGTGGCGGCATATTGATTTGTGTGTAGTTAAACAATATTTTAATAGCTACATGCAAAGTGTTTACTTAGCTGATGCCGTCGACAAAAATCAAGCGACGCGTTGTTAAGAATCGAACGTTTTGAATGTTAAACGCGGTGACAAACGCAGGGTTGCATGCTCATCAGCCAGTGTTGTCGCTTGTAAAGTAATTTTGTGTAGGTGATTATATTTTGATTATGAGCTATTTATAAGTAATTATTGAAAAACCATTAATAATCTGTTGTTTTTAAAAATGCAACCTATTTATGTTTAGCTTACAAAATATTATCATCAATATGTAAATGGTGTGTAATCATTTTATGTTATGCATCCCCAGTTTTCGCCGTTTAACAACACTGTATTTGGTAGCGAGTACTCTTGCTCGTACGAATATCTTCCACTTTCGACGGGTAGGTTTTTGCAGACGGAAGGTGAAAAAATTTTCCACATTACGAATTGCAAAAAATTTAACATTTTTACTAATTTATCCATTTGATTTGATATAATTTTCAAATTGTGCTCCATATCCATTGTATTGAAAATCTGCCTATTGAAAGTTAAACATTTGCTCTGGAAAAAGAAAGTTATTGCGTGCTTGTCAACGTCGAAAGGTTGAAACTGCAGCGCAGCAGGCAACACTCGCTCGCAAACGGGGCAACGTCGCGCTCGCTATAATTGTTTGCTTTACTTGATTATTCTATTCGTCGACAATTGTCGGCCATAAGCAGAAACATTTTTTGGTAAAAACTGGTGAATTAAATATATTTGGATTGATACGCGGGTCATACAGTGATACAGTCAGAATCGAAAATGAGTGGGGGATTACCGGAATTGGGCTCAAAGATCAGCCTAATTTCGAAAGCTGACATTAGATATGAAGGCCGCTTATATACGGTGGATCCACAGGAGTGTACAATTGCCCTATCGAGTGGTAAGTAATATACCAAATGTACATGTTTGTGCATATATATGTATATACATACGAATGCCCACACATTTGTGTTATTTTCCTTTTATAAATGTGGACAGACTTGCATGTACATAGATGTATGTAAGTATGTATGTGCACAACGTAATCTGTGCTGTAAAACTAAAACGGTAAAATGCAAAGGCGGGTGCTAAAAAGAAAATGGTTTCTTTGAAATTTTTTTGTTCACGTTTTTGGTTGCTTCAGTTAGTTTTTACAGTAATTTGCTGCTCATCGCGCAAAGAGCGGGCAGACACACACTCGGCAGTATTCAACTCGCTCTCCCACTCTCTCGCTTTTTCTCCTCTCTCTCGCTCTCTCTCTTGTGCTTTTTGTTTGTCATGTTTGCGAAGCTCAGATGCTGTCGGCACAGATAGAGCTTCGGGTTGTACAGTGTTGCTTTTGCATCCCCATGCACGCGCAAAATGACATACATATAAAAGTACATGTACATACACATACATATAATGCATGTACCTATATGTACGACCATGTGTGTGTAAAGATTTACATCAAAATAAATACATGTGTTAGTCAGATAGAGATTTTTACATGTGTTCGTAATTTCTCTGGCAAAACCAATTTTTGGCGCCAGGGCCAATTAACGGATTATGTGGCAGCGAGTACCGTTGTTAGCATAGACTTTGAATAAAGTAGACTAAGGGATAATTCTCACGCCAGAGAATGTTGACCTATCACATAATTAAACATTCATATTTTGTAATTTTACAAGTTACCAAACTGTACTTTCGATATGAATTTGTCCACATATCTTACCGCGTTTTTGCATTTTATTATATTCAAACATATGTATGAATAAGTATACTCTTTTACCATGCTTTATATTGAAAATACATAGAACTTATATACTTACAAGTATTTACAACTTTACAGACATTGAGGTTATACATATAATATAACTTTTTTCCTGTTGTTGTTTTTGTAAATAGTGCGCTCCTTTGGCACGGAGGATCGTGATACGCAGTTTCAAATAGCACCGCAGTCGCAGATCTACGATTATATCCTATTTCGCGGCTCCGATATCAAAGACATTCGTGTTGTGAACAACCATACGCTGCCGCACCATAATGATCCGGCTATCATGCAAGCACAATTGCAGAATGGGCCTCAGGTAATGCCACAGCATTTCCCAATGAATGCGCCACAACAACAACAGCAGCAACAACAGCAACATACTGGTCCATCGATGACTGGTGGTAGTGGAGGTGCACCTGGAGCACCTGGTACTGGTTTTGGAAATGGCAATCCATTTGGTGCCTTGGGAGCACCCAGTCTAGGCCCAGGCTCTTTGGCACCAGGTGCCGGCGCAACAGGCAGTGGAGGACCGTTCATGAATATAGGTGGTAATCAGCAGCAGCAGCAGCAACCGAAGCCTCAGCAGCAGCCAAAACAAAGTAAGTTTTAGTCACACACACATACATCACACCCGTACTCACACCCACACACATACACATCATTAATGTATAAACATATATGCACGTTTTCCTGTCTATATGTAAAGTTTCCGTTTTAGATATGCTAGCGAGCGCTTCGCGTTCCACAACGCCTATTAGCCTCATTATCAGTCCAACGGCCGACATGACCCAGCAGCACTCCCAGCAACAGCAGCAGCTACATCAGCAGCAGCAAAACTCTGCACAAGCTCTCGGCGGCGGTGGAGGTGGTAATGCGCGCGATGCCGGTCATAAGCGCCAAAACCATCAGCAGCAGCAACAACAGCAGCAGAGAGGAGGACCCAATATGCAGCAGAATCAGAGGAACAACCACAACCACAATAACGATTTTTACAATCATCCCCACCAGCAGCAGCATCAGCGTGATCGCCGTGATTCTGGTCGTCAAATGGACAACAACAATTACAATAACTATAATAATCAACGTAACCGTGGGGGAACTGGCGGTGGTGCTATGCAGCAACGCGGAGGTGGTGGAAACGGTGCATGGAATATGCATCGTGGCGGACCACAGAATCCGAATAATATGATGATGCGCGGAAATCGCGGCATGGGTACACGTGGGCCAATGCGACCAAATCAGGTAAATTTTAGCAATAGAATAAATGTAAATCATTCAAAAGTGAGCTGACCCCAGTTTACATATTGTATATTGTTTTTCCATTCGGTATTCATATTTATATTGAAATTTGCTTGTTTATCAGCAGGGCTATCGTCCACAATCGGCTAATCAAAATAAGCCTCGTAACAAGATCAAATTTGAGGGTGACTTTGACTTCGAGCAGGCCAACAATAAGTTCGAGGAGCTACGTTCTCAGCTGGCGAAACTCAAGGTGGGCGATGAACCCAACAACAAAACCACAGCTACAACAACAGCCACAACAACAGCCACAACAACAACAACAACTTCCACCACTACTGATCAGGTATAAGTTTGTTTGTTTATTTTCGTTTTCTGCCTCATTTGGAATCATCTGAACTGTAGTCCAGTTAACTTGATATTATTTTTTTAATTATTTCAAGAACAATTTACACACAACTTACACAATGCATCAAACATACATACTAAGATATATTAGATTTTAAATTGTTAATTTTGTTGAACTTTGCACAGTTAAATGGTGAGACCGATAAGAAAGACGACTCTGGCAACGAAACTGGCGCTGGCGATCATGAGCCTGAAGATGAGGACGTTCATATTGGCTATGATAAGACCAAATCGTTCTTTGACAACATCTCGTGCGAGGCTGCTCAGGATCGCAGTAAGAATAAGAAGAATGACTGGCGTCAGGAGCGTAAATTAAATACCGAGACGTTCGGCGTCTCCTCCACCAGACGTGGCAGGTGAGTTAATGCATTGCTCAACCTTATCGCCAGAAAGCTAATTATTAATTAATTCATTTAATAGCTACCGAGGGCGCAACCATTATTATAATAATGGCAATACGATGGGCGGTGCCGGTAATGGTGGTATGAATACTGGCTATGGCGGTGCACCTGGCTATAATCGCAACAACTATCGCATGGGCGGAGGCGGCGGCAACTATCGTAACCGCAGCAACAATCGTAACAATAATGGCGGCAATCGCCAGAGCAACATAACCAATGGAAATGGCAGCGCAGCCGCAGCTCTGAAAGCTGCCAACAATGCAGGAAGTGCTGCCGGTACAGGCAACACCACGGACACCACGGCATCCAATGCCGCAACAACGAAGACAGCCACGTCTACGCTCGCAGAGCAGACGCAACAGGTGGCGGCAGTTTGTAAGTGTCCATTTGCCCAGCCTGTTTAAGTACTTAATATTTGACTCTTGATTTATATGTATATTTCAGCTCAATAATGTCGCACAAGTGGAGAATCCTTGCCGAACTTTACAAAAATGAAAAAGAAAGAAAAAAAAAAGAAACAAAAGTCCTACTCATTGCAAAGCTAGTAACCCGAATGCAACCCAATCAAGCGACCGATCGACGACAAAAAGGCTCTTATCATCATGAAGAATCGAGTTATGGAACTAATGGCATAAAACAAAATAATTGTAAAATTTTACTTAGTGTTGTAACGCTCATGACGTCCTGCGCGCACTCTCTGCCCGCCCACCGTGTTGCTTAGCTATTAATTATATATGATCCGCGAGCGTTCAGCAGCCATATGGATAGGTATTTTGTGTAAATGGCATGCTAAAACGCCAATAGCGAGGCAGCACTTGATTATAGTGAGAGAACATACACACCTCTACATATATTTAGTAATAAATGTGAAGAAAACAAACATTAAGCATAAGTCTATGAAAAGTTAAAACGAAAAAAAACTCTAGGAGTCGCAAATTATGAAATTAAAGGAAAGAAACAATTAAATCCATGGAATTCCCAACATTAATAAAAACAAAACGCAATTCACATGTTTATATTTTAAAAACCAAACAAAAAGGTCTACAGCTATACTTAATGTGGGCAGACATCATAAATAAATTAATTCAAAGCGTTACTAGCATTTAAACTTTTTTAAGAACAATTTTAATGATGGAGAAAATGGAAATACATGCATATATATATACATATATGTATATATATATATATATATATATATATATATATATATAAATTAGCAGCAACACGTACATATATTGAACACAAAAAATAAATCTAAAAATTGTAAAGAAATAAGTCACCTATCAGCAGTAGTGTGGGCAACAAATAAATTTACTTAAACTTATTGTTTATAAAAAAGGCATAACAAAAATTCAGAACAATTATAGCGTGTCTTTCAGAGATTAGATCAATTTTTCGGTAATTTTTTCAGTGTCTAGCCGAAAACGTTCTTAATATATATATAGTGTGTAGTTGAATGCGTTTCATGTGTTTGGGGGAGCTAAAAAATATATTTTTAATTACGCTACTTAAATATGTCTACACCAACCAACCAACTATGTATTTAGCTTGCAGCCTTGAAAACAATTGAGAAAATAAGAAAATGAAAAAAACATATTCTGTCACCCAGGAATGCACAATATCTCATTATACTACAGTTTTATAGTTTAAGGAGTTAGCCGTACGCATTGTGCGTGGATGTTCGCGTAAGATTCCGATTTATGATCTAATTTTTAAAAGAAATTTATTTTAAAGTTTACATTTTACTTTACATTTGTATTCGAGTAGCTGGAATTGAATGGAGATATTACAACAATACTCCACGGATTGTATATCAAAAATGTTTTTTGTAAATGTTTCATATAAATAAGCCATATAATTCATATTAAATTCAGAGCAAAATAACTGACCGAGTTATACTTTTCCCCCTTAGAGCACTATGGGTTCTATTTTCATTAATTTTTTCCTTTTCTTATATATATATAGAATGGACACACTACTATGTTGAGCACAAATCCTGTATGAAATTGTAATAAATATATATGATTATGTATGTGTATGTCGCTTATAAGAAATTAAGCAAGTCATATTTTGCAATAGATTAACTGTTTCTGCCAAGATATACTAAGTTCTCTAAATTGCATTCTTGGATAAAGTATGGGTATGTTTTAAATGAGATAATTGGCATCAAAAAGTACTGAAATCGAACTTAAACTAATTACAATAATCGAATTAGATTTATCTTTAAACTAACGATGCATTATTGATAAAAGGCGAATTAATACATATTTATTTCAGTCCATTTTAAGTTATCTTTCTTTTCTTTTTTTTTGTTATAATATTTTCAATAGGATTTTACTTTCCAAAAATAAAAGAGAATGAAAGTTTTCCTTTAAATATTTTATTAATAACTTGGGAATAGAGTTGCAAACGTTTAGCTTCGTGGAAACTGAAATATAAATAATGTCATATATTGGTTTATAGATATGATAGGAAATAAATAATTTATTCAGTTCATGCAATGGAAGTAGGATCGTCAGATCATTTATCCCACAATCCCAGTTCACGCATCTTGGTTTGAAAATAACGTTCCAGAGAATTGGCACAACGATAATACTCGGTATCTGGTGAGTTGTAGAAGCGACAATTGGAGAAAATACGAGCCATATCGGCCATAAACAAGCGACGTGTTTGATAATATCCCTTCTTCAAGCGTTCGCCCATTGTCTTCAGGTCCATGGGGTACTTGATGTGATCGTAGTAATCAGGCACCTCGGCAGCAGTAACCGGTCGAAGGAAGGGCCAAGCTGTGGTGTGCTGACGTACAGATTGTAAGACAGATGCAAATTGGGTTGCAAGTTTCTCAGGATCTGTAGATTCTTCCAGTGGACGAGACGCACGTACTGGACGCATTTGCGGCTTCCAACCGATTTCTCTAAGGCCAGGTATGGACTCAACCGGTATAGATGGCAATCCCTCTTTGAAGCACGTTAAGCCAGTTCTAACTTTTTGGACTTCATTATGTCGCTGTGCAATGAGCTCTTTAAGGATCTCACTTTGATTGCGAATAACTGGAAAGTGAACATAAAGTACTTTTGTTAATTAGTAATCAGTTGAGGATCGTAGGAAGCTAACTGACCGGCAATAAATTGTGTGTTCACAATGCTTGGATGTAGTTCACAATGCATTAATGTTGCACTGTCATACTCCTTGATATAGCCCGCATAGACGGGACGTGCCAATTTAATGTCCTTGGAGAAGCCTTGCTTTTTGAAATAGCCGATGGCATCGCAATCGGCAAAAGTAAGCAGATGTTTAATGCCACGTTGTATGCTGTAATCCTTTAGGTGATTCATCAGATGGGTTCCATAACCTTTCACTTGCTCCGCCATTGTCACTGCACAGAAGACAATCTCTGTGAAGCCCTGAGTGGGAAATGGACGAAAACAGATGCCGCCTATTGGCTGATTTTCTTTGATCAATGCCAAGGTTTTGTGTTTCGTGTCGAATACCAATTGGCTTATGTATTCACGCGGCATCTCGGGCAGCTGATAAGCAAATACAAGCTGCAGCCCAAGCAGCCAAAGGATAGTCTGCTTGTCAACAGACTTGGTTAGCGAATTTCCGACCACGTGAAACTCAATTGCTCGCTTTTGCTCTTCGGCTTTGACATTCTCATCGCGCGACACATTAACGGGAAATAAGATTTCTGATTTATTTGTTGTCTTCGATTCCGAAACGGACTTCATAGCACGCATAACTACGTCAGTTGGTAGGTCATCCAGGTTTTCACTAGAGAACGACATAAACCGAAATTAATACAAAGAGGACTTTGATATGGAGGGAACTAACCTGACGACCCGTTCCGCAACTTCCTTTTTGACCCTCTTGTGAGCAGGTTCTCCCACAGTTGAGCGTTTGCTACTACTGGTAGCAGCTGCACCAGCAGCCGAAATGGTGGCTGGTGGTGCCACTTCTTGGTGCCGCTTCCTTTGTTGCATGACAAATGAATTCGGTGGCCTATATGTCGAATCCCATATGGGCGAATCATCTTTCAGCAACTCAGCTCTTAGTGCCTCCAAAAACTTTGGCATTTGCGTAATGATCGATCGTTTATCTTCAGGAAAGCGGTCACGTTCCGAAATGCATTTCTTTTTTAGCTGCTGCGACATATTTTGAAAAACTGTTCGCAGTAGAGTGCGTCCAAATACGAGAGATGTCTCAAATTGTCTCAGGGAATTGCAAAAGGCGGGCACATGGCAAAATACAAGCCAACGCGTGTAATTGATCTTGTAGGTCGACGCATCGTCGTGCGTCAATGTTGCATCGCCGCGTCGGGCGGAGGGTGACTCAAAGTTATAATGATTGAGAAAATTTAAAAAGGTTTTGGCCACCTCGGTCATAGTCTGCAGTTCAGTCGGGTTCAAGTGGTTGTACTTGTAGAAGACCAAGGATAAAACAGCCTTCGTTATGCACGGTGACTCGAATGGAGGGTCGCCCAAAGGGCCGCGAATAACGGCCTGCTGACGTGTTAGCACACATTGTCGCAGCAACCTGAATAGATACAAATATACCTTCTTAGTATCCTCATCTTCAACACGTTGCATGGACATGAACAGATTTTCCATGTCAATGATTGCGCCTAAAAGGTCGTCCATGCTTGTCCTTGAAATCTCAGTGAGATGGGAAATGTGAGAACGGAGCGGATGACGACAGCTGGCATTACGACACTCTTCACTCGGTTCCGGACAATAGGAGGACTCGACGTCTCGATGCCTGTTCTCCTGGGGAGTCTTCCATCCAGTGCAACGGCAACCCTCGAATTGGCACGCCGAATACATGGATAATTTGGCGAGTTTCTGCGCTTCGGGCAGATTGAATACCTTTTGCTTGCGCTGCTGTATACGCTGCAGACTACTTTGCCGCGTCCCCTCCTGAGCTGGTGGCACAGTGCCACTTGATGCCTGGGATGAGGACGATGAAGACGCTGCTGCTGCTGCATTGTTTCCAGATTGTTGCTGCTGTGCAGCAGCATTTCCGCTATTGCTATTGTTACCATCTATTGGTTGGCTTTTGAGCGTTATTGCTGGTCCGCCAGACATGCCTAGTTGCAGTTTGTTAGGATTTCTTTAAAAAGCTTGTTATTTATATTTTAATTTCACAATCTGCGAAAATGCTGACGAGGGATGATGAAATAATACATTTTCAAGGGATGGCGAAATTAATCAACTTTTGAATCATTGTTCGATGTACCTCAATTGGCTTGTTGTTTTATTTTTAGATTGCAACATGCTTAATAAATTAACTTAATTAAGCTTATGTTTTTTTTAAATCAAACACACTGCTGCTTACATATAAATGATTATGGAATCGATATGAATCTAAGAAATGAGCCGGAACAAGTGTGAATGGCATAAGCATATCGATATCGATTAGTTCCCGATAGCTGGGACACAAATGTGAATTGAGGCAAATATTTTCAAATAAAAAAGGCTTTCTAAAGAATTCGTATGTTTTATAGAATGTTCCGACATGACAAGCTTAACATCCGATGATATAGAGGATCAGCTGGATAATTTTATCATACGGAAAACCAATGACCAATCATCAACTTATGTTGCCCGACATAAAATAACAAACAATGGACAAAGAATTCATGAGCACATTCCATTGCTTGTAAAAGATATATTACAATCACGCCCCGATGCAGACAATAAAGGAGCCTTCTCTCTGTTCAATCCTACTGAACTGAAGTATCGCAACTGCCTGGTGTACGGCTTTGTCGCAGGACGCGGAGTTCATAATAAATCGTTTTACAATTACGTTTTAGACGACGGCACTGGGACAATTCAATTTTGCATCTTTGCCAAGCCAAGGGAAGAAAAGATTATCAAGTGCCTATATAGTGAAGCCAAGTCCCTGATTGGCAGTGTGGACACTCAAAAGTACGAGAAGATATCAGCGACAATGACTCGTCTCTTGGGCAAAGCAATGGAATATATCGATGGCTCAGTAATATCACCAGGATGCAATGTCATGCTATATGGACGCCCAAACCATTTTAGGGATCAAATTAAAATGGATGTAATCTCATTTACCGTGGACAATGACAGGTCGCGCAGTCTGGAGATTGCATTCACTGAAAACTTAATAGATTACTACCAGAGCCATTCCACATAGGTGCATTTTTGTATATATATTGAAATTTTACTCAATAAAAAATCCAATTAAAAGTATACACGTAATTTATGTGGTTTTTGCTCGAATGGCGGCACGCTTGCCTGTGACAGCTTGGAAACCAGACTTAATGCTAGCAACAGAGCACCGAGAACCGCAAGATTCGCACTGTAGAAAGAATAGACGCGTGTCCTTTTGCAATATTGTCTCTGGAGAGCGACAGGTGTGGCAGGTGACATATTCCTTAATATAGCGACGCAGCACGTTCTCAATTTGCTTTGGCTGGAAGCGACCCTTGATAATCAATTGCTGGTTGCCGTCCATCGAACCACTTGTGCCCAACTCGGCCAACAGAAAGTCTAGCAGATGTTTTGGCAAACGATGCAGAGTTTTCGCAATATCCATAAAGTTGGCAAACGATGTTTTCTTTGTGCCCACACGAAGTACCTGAGGAGGTCTCATCACGAACTTAGGCTTACGGCCTGCAGCCATGTCTGGGTTCTTGTCTAGAATGATTTCAAAGACGCGTTTCAGCAACTCGTCGTATGTATAATCGCGATCCGAACCAGCCCAGGTGCTGCTGTTATCCTCAACTGCAAAGCAATTAATAAATGAACACAGGTAAACAAAATATATTTAAATGGAGATCTTACTGTTCTCTTTGTCTTCGCTTTTATCGTCGTCCATTTTGTCAGCAAACAATTCATCCAAGTCTTTCTTTTTGCTCTTTTTCTTCTTTTTGGCCATTGTGAAGTCCATATCCAAATTAATCTCTTCCTCCTCTGGGTCTTCAGCTATTGCAGCGGTCACGTCGTCCGTGCCATCCGGCAACGCCCCTTCCAGTTCATCTAAATTGAAGGGCTTCTTCTTTTTCTTCTTCTTTTTACCGAAGCTTTCTAAATCCAAATTATCGTCTACTTCCGCTGCTGTCGCCACAGTGCTTGCTTCATCTTTAGGATCTTCTTTCTTTCCAGCGTCGTCGAGTCCCAATGCGGCATCCAAGTCGAAGGTGGTCTTCTTCTTCTTCTTCTTTTTCAACAAAGTAGGATCAAAACCCTAAAATATTTCAAAATAATTGTGTTAACAAATTTGTCCACATGAAATATTTGGGCGAGTAAGTGAAATTCATGCAAATGTTAATGGAGCTCCATATGCTCTACATAACCTCACACACGAGAAACACAATGTCCGATCTCGTCGTTTGCATATAATTATTGATAGAAAGGCACCACACTTTTTGACACTTACGTCTTCACCTTCCATTTTAGATAATTTATGACCAACGAATAAGCGAACGATTTAAAATTTCAACTATTTTTTATAGAAGAAATTGCATCAGAAAATTTATACTTTAGTGACAGCAGGGCAGTTTGACGGCTTTGCTAAAGGGATGTTGTTGATTGTCTTATCGATGTAGCAAGATTATTAATCGATAATAACTGGTGCAACTCCTCAATCATCTGTTGGTGGCATTAGTATTTTTGCTTGTGTATTTGATTATTTTTAGTATTTTATGGAATCGAAAATAGGCGCGAAATTTAACTATATATGTGTTGAAGCCATCAAACATAATAATATTCAGCCGCTCATTAGCTAATAGTCATTCATTGAAATATTTGATTTTTATTATTAAATTGAAAACGTAATTATTTAAAATATTTTTGATATATAGTTCACCATAAAAATTTATAAGAAATACAAAACACAATCAAAATAAAGACAAAGAAATTTAAATGAATAGACTCTCTATACAGGATACTAGGGGAAGCACTTCTAGCGATATGTAAGTATATGTAAACCTTGATAAATATGAGTAAACCATAAAGCATATAAAATATAGTTGTGACAGTCACAATATTGTGATAACAGTCTCCGTACTTTTTTATTCTGGCAAGAATATAAAATCTCTCGAATTGTCTCCACAACACATTTGTAATAATACATATTGCAGTTAAAGAGGTTTACATGGATATATGACTGAGTGTTAAAGTACTTTAGAATAGGAACAGACATATAGTTAAGCACCCCGACCTTTCTTTTAAAAATTACTTCGATGCAATTCTGACAATTTTTAACAGTTGTAAATCATATAAAAAATCTAATTTGAGAATTTTTAGTCTGTTTTCTTTTGTAAAACATAACTAATAAATCACTTTTGGGATTATTACTATATTATAAATGCATCATTTTACGTGACTGAAAGTGTGTATACTTTAAGGCGGTGTAAAAATTAAACATACTAGTTACATATTCTCCAAAGTAGTATGTAAAATGAAGACTACCAATTAAGCACGCCGGTTAAATGCGATTCTGTGAGATTATGCCTAAGCACGCAAGCCTTCCCTATAAATATTGACTACAAGTGAGCATTATTGCTTGGATTAACTAATTCCGGTCCGACGCCGCCTGCAAGTTTTTGCACCAATCGTCCCACCTCGTACGCTAGCTGAAGTGTATCCTGTAATAAAGAGACACAATTATTGTGAATTACTATAATAAGTTAAGTATATATTTACTTCTTTTGTGGAAGCCTCGGCGTATACGCGTACCACATCCTCTGTGCCGGATGGACGCACAAATGCACGTCCACGTTTATAATTTGCAACGACCTGGTTAATTTCATCTTGTAGTCCCTCCGGCTTTACACACACACGTTCCGCGTCTGTGGTCTTGATAACATTTCTATCCTGAACTTGAATCTTTAGCTGTTGATTTGGCAGGTCGGTATAGCTTGAAATCCAGTCTTTAACATCCCAGCCCTTTTGATTCAGAATCGTCTCCACCAACAGCATATCCGAGATGGCATCGCCGACAGTTTCATTAATCAGATCTATGACCTGCAGTAGAGTCTGCGCCTGGGGTTTCGTCTTGGCTGCTTCGCTAATCGTTGCTTTAGCACTATCGCTGAACACAACGGTGCCGTGGCCGTTGGCTTCAAAGTATACGCCAATATCATATTCCAGTGCCTTGTGGTGCAAGTGCTTAACACCTGTTGGCACACAGGAAACGGGCACCTTCAAATCGTTGACAATGTAATCTGTGGATGCGCCATTGGCATAGGCCGTCTGCACTAAGCCCAATCTCAGGTCGAGCTCGCAACTTTGAACTAAATCCATCAGGTAGCCGGCTACTAGGGTGGCAATGCGGTCGCCGTCGAGAAGCTTGAATTGTCCCGTTTCATCGGTGAAGAAGTAGATCACACGATCAGCATCGCCGTCGACGCTGACACAACGCGTAAAGGGTTCTACGATTGGCATGCAGACTGGAGGCCTTTGTTGCACCTTGACATGATCTGCACCGCACTCCTCGTTAATCTTGCCCGGCCCAATACCTTGATTTATAACCGTCACATCAAGGGAATTATTCATGCGCTTGATGAACTGCAGCATTTTTCTAGCACCAACTCCGTTTGCTCCATCGAAGATCAGACGATTGCGATACTTGCCATTCTCTAGCTGGCCATTGCGGAGTTTCTCAAAAGCGGAAATGAGCTTCTCGTAGTAGCTCTCCTCTGTGGGCTTGCCATACACCTCCTTTGTGTTGGAAGCCACTACGAAGAAGTGCATCATTGGCGTTGTGACTATGCCGAATTCCCGCACATTTCCCTTCAGTGCGATGACACCATCCGCCACTGCTTTGAGCAAACGTGGACTATGATAGCGATTGTCCATGCCCACGTAGACACAGGAGCTTGAGTTAATATCGATTTCATTGTCCTTAATTATTTTAGATACATGCTGCTCCAGTTCTTGATCGCTAACGTTGGCCAAATCTGTGGCTATCTTCTCCCAGCTGTGATCCAACATTTCACCCTTCGGATCGATCAGTTTAACGCCATTGTCGGGCTCCGGATTATGTGACGCTGTAATCATTACGCCAATGACAGCGCCCTCCTTAAACCGGGAACGTAGGGTGGCCAGCACGCCCATACGGAACATAACGCTATCCAAGAACTCGGCTCTGGGCAAGAAGAAGTTATTGATATTCTTGATTATTATCAGTTTATATTACTAAACAATCGAAAGTCATTGTGTATACAAAGAAAAAAGATAACGTCTATATTTCTATTATTCTTAGTCATGCTACTATATGTATTCTGTATATGTAATCTTTCATCGTTAACGGTCGAATGTCTTCATTATCATTTCAAATGCATTCGTGCAAGAAGACTCTAGCGAGCACGTATATTCTTATACATATGTATGTGTGATACTTTGTATATATGTATTAGTATGAGTAACTTAACATAAAATGAATTGTTAGTTCGTCTTGGAGTTCAAATAAACCGCCAACCAGAACAATTTTCTGCTAATTAGAGGTTAAGTTTTTTCAGTTGCCTAACAAGAAATGAAAATATATAACTTTAATTTATAATATTTAATATTATGAATTGAAGTGTTCAAAATTGGACTTAAACTTGTGCTAAATATACTTTATATTTACATATTCATGCATTTACTTTGTATGCCTGAAATTGTGTGGCCATAGCTAGGTACCTTTAAAAGGTGCATGTTCATTGATAAAGCAAGAAATTCTATAAATATAACGGAATGCCAAAATAGTGCATCGCCTTACTCATCTTCACCACTCCCTAAAAGCACTCATACATATGTACAATTATCTAGGCATATGCGTGTGTGTGTATTTGTTCGCTTGGGTGTGGGCGCGGACATACACTGTTTTTCATATGCATTTGTATATATGAGGCAATTATGTGTGTTTGTATGTATGTATGTATGTATGTATGTATGCATGTATATATGTATGTATGTATGTAGATAAGGGTAAGTAAACTCACTTGCCGCGAAACCCAGCTGTTCCGTATTGAATGGTTTCCTTTGAAAGTTTTGGGTACATTTCTCTCGCAAAAGCGTAAACGGTGCGCAAATTGATAGACATATTGATTGCTGACTTAATATTTCTGTGGCACTGTCGATCCTTGTGGAAACTCGTAACCAGTCTCAAAACTACTTTCCGTTTTCACCTTGTTGTTGTACTAAAAGTAGCCCATATAAAAAACCGTCAAAAAGCAACGCGTGTCAGTGCGAGAGCCAGCTGAATGAATGCGAAGAAGAAGAAAGTGTCAATACCATCGAAACGTTTGCAGACACAATTTCACCACACTAGTGACGTCAGTATTGACCAGTTGTTGAATTTGATTTTTCAAAATTCTTTTATTTGATCAGTCAATATAAAAACAATAATTGATCTAAAAATGTTTTATTTAATATATCTATGTCTGTGTATAAATCTGATAGTATATAAAACAATACGATATAATTATACCTTAGACTTGTGATAAAATTATCTTGGACGGTTTGTAAAATACAATATATAATATAAATTTAGGGGACGGTACTGAACGTTGTAGACTACACGATTGTACTCTGATTTGTAATGTTGATCTTTATAACTTAAAATTAAATTATTGTACATTTAGGGTTTAGTATAATTTGTATCTGACCCTTGCAATGAATAATTTAAAGTTTAAAATATATATTAAGGCACTTTAGTCATAATCGGTCAGGTCAACAAACTATACTATGAACTCTCTGTTTGGTGTACACATAGATATGTTTGTTTGTCATTTGTTGTGAGATTCGTAATAGGCATTCGAATTTTTACGAGTCAATATGGGTAAAGTTACCCTATTTGGAGTATGATATAGAAATTGTGAGATTATCCTTATGCAATCAGAGTACAATTCTTAGAGCAAATGCACTCGCTAAGAGCAGGAATGTAGAGAACGTGAATTTACTGCTACTAGCATAGCAATCGGTAATGCGACGCGCTCTCATGTAATTTCCACCCAAATAGGTATCGTAGCGTCGTTCGTTTGGCTGAATGATTTGCAATTGTCGTGTGGCGTCTTGGAAGATTAGATCGTAGTGTCCAATGGGTGATGAAAACATGCTGAAACTGAAAGCATCCACGTCCTTGCGGCCGTACAGCTGCTGAGCATAGGTCAGCAAGTTAATATATGCATTCAATTGTGTTTCATTATAGTTGACGCCGCCTCGTGTAACAACAGCATTGGCCTTCACTTTGCCCAAGTTGCAGCGCTTATAGTCTTGGAGCTCGGCACGAGTGCCATCGGTGCACAACAACTCAAAGTCGTCGTTAAGGGCGTTTCTTGCCCACCACTCCTTGCGCTTGCCTCCAGTGCTCTCCATTACTGTGGTGTGCTTCATGAATGCCACATGGCCGCCGCCCTCAACGAGGCAGCGGAACGCACCCGTGTGTCCATAGTAATCTTCCGATGCATCACGCCGACAATATCTATAGCTGGTTCCATGGCAAAGATCACACATGCTGTCATAAGGGACACCAGTGTTATATTCACTGCTTATAGCGCCGGGCACGCACGATTTGGTAAAGTATTCTGCTGCGGCACGTATGGAGTCGCAGCCGTAGGGTCTTATCCAACCGTTCGAGAGGAGGAACGCCATCGGGTATGTCCAGCCAGCGGCTGTATTAATGCCTGTGTGACATGTGTACTTGCCTTTCAGGTATGTGAGCTCTGTGTCGGGATCTTCTTCTTTGGCTACTGCTACCACATAGTATTCGGGCTCACCCAAGTTGTATACCTCAGACATGAATGGAATCAAATCGTAGTTCAAGCCGCCTGTATAGACATCTCCGGCGTCAAACACAGATATATCCGCTTTTCCAGACTGTATCAACTGCATGCAGTTTATATGGGAATGCATTTTTTTGCAGATCAGCTCAGGCTTTAAGATTTGTGCTTTAAGTGCGGTCTTCAAAAAGAATTCAATCAATATTGGAAGAGAATCTAAGAAAAGTTAAGCTAACTTACCCTCATCTTAATGCACTTTTCCAGCTCTTGCTCAGAAGTCACACATAGCGTCATCGCAGGAACGGGACATTCACGAATACCGTATATATAATCAATAGATCTTTGCAAATATTTAGTAAAGGACTGATCATCTTCTGGTATGGAAACAAGAGTTTTGGCTGCATCCTACGAATTGAAATTGGAGCGTGTGATTAATAAGTAAATTTCGAATTATTTTCTGAGTGTCACCTGGAAGAGCAGGTTGGATTTGCCATATCTTCTCGATTCAAAAATGCGGAATTTCTCATAAGGCACTGAGGTGTTGCCTTCGAGTGCACTGCGATCTGTGGTAAAACTGCTGTCTAGACGTTCATTACGATAATTCGAGCCATCAAATCGATCATATTGATTTTGGTTCTGATTTCTATTGTAGGGATTGCTGTTGTCGTATTGACTGTTGAAATTGTCGTAAGGATTGTTGCGACTTTGATCGTTGTAGTTGTTACGATTCTGATCGTTGTAGTTGTTGCCATTGTACGTGTTGAATCCTCCGCCGGTCTGAGGCTGATTTGGTTCCTCGCGAATGCCGTCTGAATACAACTCAGCGACGCGTTTCATGAACTGCTGATATTGATTACGCTCTTTGAAGCTACGAGCTGAAGAAGTTACAATAGCATCTGAAGGAATTTGACCCCAGCTACATTGGCGATAGTCGCTGATGGGCACACGGCTGCCATCGCGGCAAAGCAATTGAAAGGTATCCGGCGATAGTTTTTCTAAACGGCAACGACTGTTAAAATGTGGAAATCTTTTATAATTTAGCAATCTACTCACGAAATTCAAAGGTTTGTAGCATTTCGGAAACCGTTGAGTGACGCAAAAATGCAACGTCGCCAGCCTCTAGAAGACACCTGAATGCACCATCGTAACCAAAATAGGGATCAGTCGACGAACAGCGTCCAGGTATTTTGCCAGAACAAAGAGCACAAAGTCTTGAAAATAAATGGAATTAATACGAGATACGTCTTTTGCGAACTTGGTTCACTTACTTATCAGAATTATCTCCGATGGGATTGTATCTATCAATCAACGAGTGCACGGCGCAAGAGCTGTTAAAATAGTTGGCTGCGGTTTTCACCTGATTATTGCAATCTACTACTTCCATTCCACCACTGTGTTGCAACTGAAATAAAGATAAATGAAAGCAAATGAATATATATTGTTTAGTCAGAGCTACGAAGTCCTCATACCGTGTAAATGGGTACTATCCAACCAGCTAGACTGCCCACCCAGGGGAAGCAGGCTTTCTTTTGACGCAGCTGCCGCAGATCCGTAACATCGGGTAAAGAATTCTTCTTTATAACTGCCACTGAATGATAGTCCAAAAATCCGCCTTCCAGTTTCTCTTGCATTATGGGAATCAAGGAGTTGTAGCGACCAGCGGTAAAAACATCTCCAGCATCCAATGTGGTAATATGTGCCTTCTCACGATCCAAAAGATGAATGCATTCATCGGAGCTGTATGCCATGAGACAGGTGAGATTCAAGAAGACATCATCGAAGAGCGCACGATCCCGTTCGATGGCCACGGTTAAGTTCTGACATTTGTACTGCTCCTCCATACCCTTAGTGCACCAAATAATATTGCTGATTTTATGTTCAGCATAATGATGTTGTGCTACAATTATTAATCAATTAATAATGCTTTTAATTCTGGCTTTACATTAATTAGCTACGAATACATGTAAGGGAAAACTAATAACACTCAGCTAATTTAATAGAATAGCATACTATTGTTACACATTTTATCTAAGCTACATTTCGAGCGTATATATATGAACTTATTGTTCAAACCTGGCTAAGAATGGCTTATTAAGTCAGACTTACATGCGTATACACGCACTCATAGACTCACACACATACATAAACATGTATGTTTTACATGCAGCAACGCCCAATGTTTAGTCAGCGAGCTAGGCAACCGAAATTCTACTTACCATAAGTTGCAGTCAAATAAACTGTGCTTAGTAAGCTTATTAGCAATAACAATCTAGCCATTTTACACATTTATAGCAGTACACATTTAGTTTAAATATATATTAAACAAAAATAATTATAAACGAAATGAACCTAACAACAACGACACGCCCGCAACTGCACAGTAATCGATATTTGTTTGTGCTTATCATTTCTAATCGATAGTCAATGCGATAGTGCTTGGTACGATGTTTACAAAGGTATTTTGTCATTTTTTAGTCAATTTGTGCAACGAGCAGGTGTTATTTGTTTTATAATAGTAAATAATATAATTTGGAGTTAAATAAATTGTGTTTTACAGTCTAATGGCAGTGTTACGCGGCTGGAGATTTATTGGCTTTGTGTCATGCATTGTGGGAGCGATTGGACTTACACTGTATCCAGTTGTCGTAGATCCTATGATAAACTCGCAGAAATACAAGTCCCTGCAAGAACACAACAGCAACCGCGCAAAATAAGTAGATAATATTTCCAGGAATGTGTATTAAATTACGTTATATCCTCATTTGTAGATAATTATTATTATTATTTCACAACTACTTATTGCGCAAGTAAACGCCAACAGCTGTTTTGAGCATAATTTGTATATGTATTTGTAATCGACCGGTTTACCAATTGTTAATAAATGTACGTACAAATAAATACAGTAAATTTAACTTTTCACTGCATTCGATAAGAAATGATCGTAGAGTGAACATCGCAAACGGCTGTATTTCTTATCAGTTCCATAAAAACAGCTGATTCAATCCAGTTTATATACACTCATACGTGGTCAATTCTGAGCAACAATTGTTCGTTCTTTTTCGTCTGTCTCAAAATGTCGAAGCGCGAGGATATTTTGCTGCTGTTCGATGTGGATGGCACCCTGACGATGCCCCGTTCGGTGGTGCAGCCCGAGTTCGAGGAGTTCCTTTATGCAAAAGTGAAACCAAGGGCAACAATTGGAATTGTTGGTGGCTCCGACTTGGAGAAAATGTTCGAGCAGCTGAATGGCCAGAAGATATTGAATGAGTTTGACTTTATTTTCCCTGAAAACGGTTTGGTGCAAATCGAAGCTGGTAAAGAGGTGGGCAAGCAGAATATTATACAACATTTGGGCGAGAAAACTTTGCAGCGATTCATCAACTATGTGCTCCGATATCTCTCCGAGCTGGAGGTGCCCATTAAACGTGGAACGTTTATTGAGTTTCGCAACGGCATGATGAACGTCTGCCCGATCGGGCGACAGTGCACCAGGGAAGAGCGCAACATGTTTGCAGCCTACGACGAGGAACACAATGTCAGATCGACTATGATTGCCAAGCTGAAGGAGGAGTTTGCAGATATCGATCTTACGTACAGTATTGGTGGCCAGATAAGCTTCGATGTGTTCCCGCATGGTTGGGATAAAACGTTCTGTTTGCGCCACATCGAGGCGTATCACAAATTTAAGGAGATTCATTTCTTCGGCGACAAGACAGAACCGGGTGGCAATGACTACGAGATCTATAACGATCCTCGCCTTCAAGGACATAAAGTTAACACTCCAGATGACACGATGAGAATATTAACAGAGCTTCTGAACCTTTGATAATTTTTATTTATATGATTCCATATGTAACATTTTACAAATATATATAAAGTTGTTTCATTAGGCAATTGCCTTATACAAATAATATTTTCTGAGAGATTCAAATGATATTCCCTTTATATATATCTTTGCTTGATATCATATAATAATATATATTATACAAAACCAAGTTTTTTATTTTGTCTTACATTAGGTAATGCCTCATGGAATTATTGGTATCTTCTCTTTATATAAAGTATTCGGAAAATTTCGATTTTAGGATCTTAGGATATTATTGTTAACTGAGTTGCGGTCGTTCACAGACCAATTGGAGTCAAAGCCACAGGCTGAATCCGAATCGGAATCGGCTGTGATTCCAATGCTTTTCGGAGCACGTATTTGATTTGGAGTGGTTGGCATGCTGCTGTAGCCAGAGTTGAGATTCGAACTGGAATTCGAAGAACAAATGGAGTCACGGGGCGAGTCGGTGGCATTCGAGGAATATGATGAACGTTTCGAAGATTTGTAACGCTTTGAGACCGATTTCGGTGGCGGCATTAGCGTATCGGGACGCTGTGTAATACTATCTGCTGAGCCCCACGACTTGTGTACGGCGTCATATATGTTCCTATTGATTGGCACACTGGAACGGGAGCCCAGCACATTACTCGAGCCGTATGGTATTGTCGTCGATGCTCTCTGATTCGGATGCCGATCCCGTGTCGTACCATTGGCATGATGTGGATGACGCTGATGATGGTGACGGTGAGATCGCTGGTGATGGCGACCCGCTTGGACTGGGGCTACCGCTGCGCCGCCAGGTCCATACGCCGTCAGGGTATTGCCATTGCCCACTCCCAAGAAGTTGCTGAACGCCTCGGTTGTTTTCTTTACCCGGACATTCAACGAACCAATCCGCAGGAAGCCCAAATCTTTTTCGACTGCAAACATAAAATGATTCCATGAGCAATTTACAATTATGAATTCGTATTTTCACTTACTTGCATGCTTTTTTCGTGCCTTGATTTCTGCAAAGATAAATCAAAGATAATTGTTAAAAATATATTTTTTACAGAAGATCCACACATGCACATGCTGTTAAAAATAAAAAATGATAAATATGTAAACCTAAATTAATTAAAACATTTTTGTTTTTTTGGAAGGACACATGATTTTGGCGATTTAGGGAATTTGTTAAAAGTAAAAAACTTACCAAATAAAGAAAACAAGTAAAACAGGCAGCAAATGTTTTTAAGAACTAAATAAAATTAAAGTGAACTACAAAAAGCCATCTTAACAATTTTAAACGAAACTTTAAGGAAATTATAAAAAATATATATATATATATACATAATAAGAAGCGAACGAGCAAACAAAAATTTTATTAAACATTAATTGTTGGCAAACATTCAAATTCTTTAGTTAAGTCAACCTGCCTCCAGGTTCCATTGAGTCCGCTTGAGTTGTGCCGCATCGCTTGAATTTCTACACGTTGCAATAATGAAAATAAATATAGAGGTGCCCAGATATTGTTTTTAGATATTTCAGTACTTATAAAGAAGAAGGATTTGTAGTGGGAGTACTCCTGCGATCAATCAAGACTTTAGTTTAGGCTTAAGTTCTCAAGTCTTGATTCAGTTGATCACTTGCTGATCATCTGATCAGTTGCAGGAATACCACTGTCAATACAAATTTAGTTAACGCATGCAGTTTGAATACCATTGTGTATGAAAAGTAAATGAAAGTATTAGAACACATGAAGACTCGGATAAGTATGTTCTCCACATCTCCAAATGTACTTTGCAAAAGTGTTAAATAATTAAAAAAAACTCTGGCAAAGCGTATTAGAGATTGATCAGTAACATGCAACACATTAATGAATCTAGAATCTAGTACATGTCTATCTTTCGATCTTATAGACCTAAAATACCTATCAATGGGCTGGTGGCAGTTGATGCGATCCGTGAAGCGATCTATTTACTAGAGTTGTTAGTCGAAACAATTCTTGATTTGCAAAGCCCTGACTAACTGTATGACGTGTATTAAATATTACTTATCAGGTTATTTTATATATAATGTTTTTATATTTTTTCAATTTTAATTCAAGCTTCAGTTAATATTTGAATTGATTTATGTATATAAAATTGTTTTGCAGATTATAAGCTGAACATCGAATTTCATATTTCTGATGCAATACGATTATTAGCTTTACATAACAGTTTCTTTGTTAATACATTTGCTGATGAAATAGTTATAAAGTATAACTGGGCAAATTGTTATCTAAAAATATGCTATATACAGTTATTTCTGACTGCCCCATAAGTTAGATAGTAAATACATAGGTTATTTTGGCACATGCTTCGATTAATTGCTAGTTGGATTAGTAACAACATCTGGTGGGGTGCGGTTCGCACCGGCAGCGGACCGAAATGTTTTACGCAAGAAGCTCTCTTTTCGCCGAGTGTGAACACTGCGTACTCGGCCCGATTGGGTCTTTAGCGCCGCCACATTATCTTCGCCGGGCCCATCGATTGGTAGCTTTGACTCTCGTTTGTCTCGACGCAGCGTGGGCTCTGAATCGCTGTCATCGTTGGATCCTTTGAAGAGCAAACTTTGCACCGATGGCTTTTTATAGCGTCGATATGTGGATGGCGATGACATCATAGATTGGGTACGAGTCACAGTGCCACCACCCGAGCCACTGCTAATAGTGGCATAGTTGCGCAGCTGAGATCGCTTCTTGCCACGTGTCAGTGCGCTGCCGAGTGTGCCGCCCATGATCCCATTGCCACCGCCAATGCCAGAGCTTGACAGTGGAGTCTCAAGAACGTGCTGGTATCCCAGTTGGTAGTTGTTGTTTAGCTCCGGGCCAAGGAAATACTTTTGATACTCACTGCTGCACGTTGAGGCCGAAACACTGGGTCGCTGTTGACTATAGTCCAGTGGCTTATTGCCACTCCAATCCATAATGTCACGATTGGCCTCTGTAAGAGTATAGCAGTTAATAAGATTGTACTAAAAGTAAGTCGATGCCAAGATATATCCCATGCAGAATTGCATTCTCATACATACTGTAAACATTCCATAGTAGCTCGAAAATATTATGCCTTCCGAATTGTGTAGCCAAGTGTAGCGGGGTGTAGCCCTATAAGAGAAAATGCAATTCATAAGCTAGAACTAAAGGTCTAAGCAGTTTAGTCTATATTTTTGCTTCTAGTTAGACAAGGCAACAGAGTTTCTAACTGAGAATCAGACTTTAGTTTATCGAAAGATTTATTTAGTGCTGAGTCCAAATCTGAAATCGGAATCTAAATTTACCGAGCTACTGCTCTCTCTTCTCTTCTAGGCGCAGGATGAGGGAGGGGGAGCGAGGGAGAGGAGAGGAGAGGAGAGGACGGGGGGAGAGGGGGAGGAGAGGTGGGCGGGAGCGGAGAGGCAGAGGCGCGGAGAGGAGAGGAGAGGAGAGGAGAGGAGATAGAGGAGAGGGAGAGAGAGGAGAGGAGAGGAGGGGAGAGGAGCGGGAGGTGAGGCGCGGAGAAGGGAGGGAGGAGAGGAGAGGCGAGAGAGGAAGGGCGGAGAGGCAGGGAGCAGGAGAGAGGGAGATGGAGAGGAGAGAGAGGCAGAGGAGAAGTAGGAGCGGAGAGCGACTAGGAGAGGATGATCTCTATGTAGGAGGTCTCTCTTCTCTTAGCTTCTCTTCTCTTCTCTTCTCTTCTCTTCTATTCTCTTCTCTTCTCTTCTCTTCTCTTCTCTTCTCTTCTCTTCTCTTTTGCTTTCAGCTTGCCTTAATCATGTTGGCCTATGTTAGCATTATTTCACTGTACTTGCCCTCTAATGAATTTCATACTTTCCTAAATTCTCAAAAATTAGTTTTTTATGATAGCTGCCTGAGTACTATAATACCTTTACTTTGGAACCCTTTCTGCAAGATGCGTAACAAATCAGTTGGAAATTCATATATTAAATTGAATGTAACACATTCGTCGTGATTGACAATTCACTTTGTCTCAATTTTTGGAGACAGACATTTGGAAAACATTTGAGGGAACTTAATTTGTTTCGAACAACGGCAACGTTTCAATTTAAAATTGTGTAAACTCGCATGCCTAGACAAAGGCAGTGGCAGTGGCCGGAGGCAGGAGGCAGTAGAAGGGGCACGTGTTGTGGCACAATTGGATTTGCTCGTCACGATTTGTCACAGCTCGGCTGGGCTTGCCTGCTTGGCTCTGTTGCCTCATGGGAAGGGTTAAGGAAGTGTTCCGCCGTGCGACATGTGACGCAGATTTTCGCGTGATTGTGACAAGGCTCAATCACTCGATGCTTGACGCTCGATTCGAATATATTATTAAAAAGTATTTGCCAAAAGCACACTTACCCCATGCTGTATGTATGTATTTGTCGACAGTTGGACAGACAACATGCAAATTGAAAAGAAACAAATTTTAAATATTTAAATATTATAGATATTTGATGCTCCTACCGTTCTGGCATTGACATCAGCTTTGTAGGTGCCGGCAATCAGCTTGACCACATCCTCGTTCCCATGCTTGGCAGCCCAGTGTAAAGCGGTCTGCAAAGAGTAGAGTTTAATTAGTAAACTGACTAATCGTTAGCCGATACAATGGCATATTATATATATATATACATATTAATATAAGCAAAGGGAAGACAAAGAGAGAGACTTAACAAGCAGCAGGGCGTCGGTGTCCCAATATGCTGCACTTCTGGAACTATTTGTTCGGCCATCAATTGCTGTCGCTCCATCGAAATGGAGAACAAGGATTCCACTGCGCTCAAGATTATACGATATAAATAAATTGGCCAGCCACTGCCGAATGCCGAATGGCGAATGGCGAATACCTTTTGCCTCAATTATTTTCATGTTAACATAATAATTTAGTAAGGCGCAACGATTCGGGCCGCTCAGATAAGCGACTGAGCCAAGAGATCGCCGCGAGTGCACGATGATTTTCTATAGAATTGTTTGCCACAGCAATGCTACGTACCACGACGTACCACAAAACCATGTGTTGACAATGAAGACGGTCACTTTTTTTGAACAGCAAAGACAAACAAGCCGAGCGGCAGCAGCAGCAGCAGCAGCAGCAGGCTGCAACAGCAACAGATTCAGAGACACTGGGACAACATTGAAATCGAACAGAGTGAGAGAGAGCGAGCGAGTGAGAGAGAGGAGAGGTTGACAGTACAAATAGAGCTACAGCCAATTCCCGCTGCCGATCGGTATGTAATTCTTTTCAAGGGAAATTTGTATCGTGTCTCTCGCAGTTTGAAGCTGCAGCCAGCCCAGGGACTGCCCTGACATACATATGTATATGTATGTGGCCACTATTCGCGTTCGATGCATCTTAATCTGCACTGTTTGGCATTTAATCTCAGCCCATTGTCTTAGCATTTCGTGGAGAAATGTGCTCACAAAACAGAAGCTGCACACAAACAGCTACGACTATCTTATCAACATTGTCTGCCGATTTACGATATCTTTTATTTTAACTGAAGTAACGTTCAAATACTTTACTTAAGCTTTACAGTTGTTGTGCACTTAACTAAAGTAACCAAAATGATTTGCTCTTGAAGTAGTTTACTGTGAGCCTCCATAACTTTGGCAAGACTTTAGACTTTTCAGATCAATTACAATTTTGATTTCTGATGTTTAACCTAGATAAATTTAATGTTTTTTTTAGATTATTTTTTTAGATTTTTTTTTAATATTTAAAATTTTTGTTTTTTTTTTTAAAGTATTTTTTAAAATAATTTAAAATTTTTATTGTGATCGAAAGTAATATTTATAGTTTTCTGAGCAGTTTTAGCTTAAGTTAGAGTTTAAGCTTAACTTCCTCTCTCAAATTCTATGATTTTCTTTTTGCTTCAAATAATTATAACTTTGTGCAAAGGAAAGTGGTTTTCATGATAGGGATTCTATTCTTTAAATTATGAAATTGAATTTATTTTAACGACGATATTTTGACCAACAGGTTTCCTAACTTCTATTTTGATTTAGATTTACAGCTCAACTTTTTCATAATATCTATGGATAGCATATTATGTAAGCCCATTATTTTATTGTCATATCCAATGCTTAATAGCTAAAGAGCCTGTTATGCTACGTTTCTGATAACAATTCAAATGAGGTGTGAAGTCATGAGACTGTGATTATCGCTTTGTCATAAGACAGGATGCAAAAACAAGAGTCGAAGGTTTGGATTTACAAATCGTCTCACGCGCAAAGAGTACAGAGCTGCGATTTTGGCCATTTCGTGAATGTCGCCTCGAGAGCTGTGGCTTTAGGCTGGCTTAGGCTCTTTACATATGGCATGTTGTCCGTCTGCACGTTTAAATTTATTGTCCATTCCATTAATGGTGGCAAGGGACAGAAATTCTGCGTCTCTGACAGTGAAATGCCATAAATTCTTGCGTCTCGTTCAGTTTGTGGCAGCATTGTGTGTGTGTATTGCCAACGAGAAACAAACAGAGCGATTTGCTCTCCAGACCCGCCAAGACCGGACTCTGAGCTACCAAGTCGTGGAGGCATCCGACGGTGTTGGCGATCGATGCTGAAGGGAATCCAGCTGCTGCTGCTGCTGCTGCAAACGCATTGTGCAGGAATTCCAGGAGTATGGTACACAGAGTGTACGTATGTCCAGGTCGTGAGACAGCCAGCCATGGTCCTGGCTTACAGTGCCTCACGATCATAAAAGGATGGCCCAAATATTTGTCACTCGTTTGGTCCAGAGAGTGCAAAGTAGTTGTGAAGGTGTCACAGCTGGAATCCGATATGGTAAAAATGCTGTGATGGTATTTGCTCATCTGGATCATGACCATGACAATAGATGATTGAGAACCCAGATAGCAATTTGCGATGATAATCTTCAGCGCGCCCAAAGAAACAGCACACAGAAGCATTGTGGCGAAATGTGAACAAATTTAAGCCAATACCTGAAGGCAAAGTACTGTGAGATGGCTACACATGTACTGCAAAGTGCTGTGAGACAGTTACATATGAAGTGCACTGAGCATATTGGCTTTGCTCAAAATTTGGCTATTCTTTCGTCTGCACTTTGATCTCCTTTGTAGCTTGGTCAGAACTTATATACAGACGCGACTTTTGGCATGTGACGAACGTGGAACAAACTATATTTTTCAGTTTTGAAACTAGGCAAAGGTGATTTGTGTTCATCTCCTAGTTGATCATCTTTTCCTTCCACAATAGTTAAACCAGAATTATCAAGTTTTCAAGTTAGATAATTGCTGATCTTCTCATCGGTCCTTCTCCCCTTCGATATACTCTCCCCATTAAATAGTATTAAAGCTAGGATCATAAACTTTTCTAGTTTGATCACTACTCCTATTTGATCTCCTCTTCCCTTTACACAATATTAATGCTAGGAGTTCGGGTTCTTTGATGTCCTCTTTGTTGTAAGCTACGATCATTAAATTTGCTGGTTTGATCATTGCTGATATTTTTGTTGATCCTTCCTGATCTGCTCTACTCATTTTACAGTATTCAAGCTGAGATCATTAAGTGTTCTAGTTCTAGCTCTCTACTGATCTCCTCATTGATCATGCGTCTCATCGACATCCTCTCCCCTTTTCATTTTATTAAAGCAATAATAAACTTTTCTGTTACGATCACTGCTGATCGCTTTATTGATTATTTTCCTCACTAATATTCTCTTTCCTTTGCACAGTTCTAAAGCTACGATCATATAAAGGATACTTACATACTGTTAACCGCATAGTTCATAGAAATAGTCCAGTAGGCGAGGCACATGTAAAGAAAAGGAATTTAAATGAATTTCTCAAAGCAAAAAATGAAGATATCTTTATAAATAATTGCTGAATAAACAAGCTGACAAACGGAATGTAGTTAACGTAAAAAAGATTATGGAACTAGTTAGGCTTTAGCTTATTATTAACTGCTAAACATAGCTTTCAAGTGGAGCTGACATTGCGCCTTAACAATTTAATAACACATTTTGGCAGGTCTCAACGGCAATTACGGAGTCAGTGGCAGATGCACTCGGACGCCTATGGCTGATGTCAGTTGAGTGTTGTTGAGCGAGGAGTGAATGTCCTGGCCAGGACATGTTTGTAGCTTCCCCTAATGGTGGCAGCTATGATAATGAGGGTCATGCGAGCTGGAATGTGGGCTGGCAACAGTGCCTGCCATTCATATATAGCCACGTTTCGTACATTTTTTTTGCGCCAAAAACGAAGTCGCCTGCAAAGAAGTCGCTCGAAGGCGTTTTTGATCGAAATTCGATATTACGTTGATAAGACACGAGCTGCCACGCAGACTTCCAGTCCTGTAGACCTCTAGACAGTCAGACCTGCAGGCCTGTAGAGCTGTGGACAGTGCACAACCGGAATCTTTTGGCACATCCAGTAGCTGTCGTTTTGATCGATCGCCGGCACATGAAAAATGTCATGTTTAACATGTATTTTGCTGGTTGTAATTAAGGTCGCCTTGCATCCAGTTGCTCAGTGTAATGTGAACTTTAAAGGACATTTAAGTACGTGCCAATTGTTTCAAACAATTCATTTATCAAAACACTCAACAAACGTTCCATGGCCCCGTTTGCTCTGCCAGCTAACATAACTAACCATTACGCTTTCCACACACTTAATGACTATTTAATTGTGTTTGTTTTTCAAATAATTTTCAAATACTTACACCCTGATATTAGCAGTGTAGCAGTGTAGCAGTTCAGGTCGATGTCATGCGCAGAGTTCGAAAAAGAGAGAGAGAAAAAAGTACATGAAAAATTAGATCTTAATTGTAAGAGATGCTTATCGCATATACCAAAAACAAGAGTAAAAAACATTCCTTATATTATTAGAAATTTGAATAATCATCTAAGAAATGTTTTTAGTTCAGGCAAAAAAAAACAAGTGTGCTCTCATCGGGAGTGCTCAACTAGGAAATGCCCTGACCATTTGCAATGGGTTTAGGGTATAAAACTAAGTTAAATGTGATTGATTCTAAAAATTAATATTCTACAAAAAGTTTGATTAATGGTATATAAAAATTATGTAAAAAAAGTATATATTTAATACTAAATTATAATAGCAAATAAATTTAATTATAATATAAAATTTATAATTAATAAAACTTATGGTAAAACTAAGTAGTTCTTATGCATTTTCCTGTTTTAACAGAGAACTATTAATAAATATTTTATATAATTTTTCTTATATTATTTTGACTAAAATTTTGAAAAGAAATATTTATTGTTAAACTTTACCCTTGATCCACACTTTCTTTTAAATTAATTTTCAATCAATTTTCTTACAGCAATCTTTAAATGCAAATAAAATCAAAGAACTTTTTGGGAAAATCAACCAAAGCCAAGCATAATTATTATGAGTATGCACGCTATATCAATATCATGTAAGCAACAAAGAACAAAACAAGGTGAAAACCCATCGTAACTAGTAGCAAACAGTAGTAACAAAAATGTGTGCTACTTCTCAGGATAAGAACACGAAACACGCATGTGAAACAGATGCAATTATTTTCTCTTTATGGGCAGGCATACTATCGAAAGTGCAGATTAACTAAATTGATTAGAAATTATACGAACTGCCTGCCTCGCCTTGACCCAATCAAAAGCAATAACAAAACTCACAAAAAAACCAAGAAACAGCGGCTAATTTCCAGAGTTTCCATGTTAACTTGCCAATGCGTACGCACACCCCACGGAATCGGAACAACAATAATCGGATAAAAAAACAAAAACAAATGAACAAATATTAAAAAAAAAACAAACAACAATAATAATGACAGCAAAAGTCCTCGCTGCGTGGCTATCTTTGGCAAACAATCTAAATGATATATTAAGCGCAAAGCAAATAACGCTCTCTGTTTGTCGCCCTCCCTCTCGCTCACTCTCTGCCTCTCTCCCTCTCTCTCTCTGACTGTCGCGTTCCCTTTCCATTTCCATTTCCCTCGCGAGTTAAGTTCTCCAATTATGCGGATTATTAATTTAACTGGGTCGCTGGTTAAAGTGGACCTTATTTCCCTGCGCTGCCCGGTCTCCTCTGGCTTATGTGTTTTTTTTTGTTGTTTTCACTCGCATGTCTTTCGTTGTTGTTGTTGTTGTTGCTGGCCACTGGCAGTGACCACTTGTCGTTTCACAAGTTGTCAAAACTTGTCATTTAACCGACAATGAGCCTTGTTTGCTTTAATCGTGGTTATTATGCGTTCGCCCGAACCGTCTCTGAATTATTAATGATACCGGAGCATACCTGGGCAGGTGCTCCAACTTCATGCTTAACTAAGTGTGTGTGTGTGTATGAGTCTCTAATTAGCTGCCAGCGCGGTTTCTATGAAGGGCTTTATTTAGTTAATCCTTGATTTATACCTTTATAGCTTTTATAACTTTCGTTTGATCATTAATCAGACACAGCTTCGACTCGCTTTTAACTTGTGCCAAATGACATTTTTGGCTGTTGCTGTTGATCAATGCTTTAATTGGTTTCCCAACGGCTCATTTGTCAATGGTGCAATCGATAAACTCGTGGACAGGTGGAATATCCTGCACTCAGCCAGCTCACGTCGTCGCCTGCGCCTCCTGCTTCCTGATCCTGTCTGTATTCCGTTGTCCTGACGAGGGTTGTTTTTGTCTTTTGACAGACTGGTGTCGCCTTGGGGGCTGACGCATGCGCATCCTTAGTTTAGCAACAGGTGATCGCCGATCGTCGATCGCTGATCGAGCTGAGGTGTTTTTTGTTTTGTTATTAAGTTGTTAAGCTAAATTATTGTTTTTTCCTTTATTTTTTATTTGTATCTGTTTTTTATGACTGCTGCCGGCGACATTTAACAGTTCATGCATTTATATGAGCTGTTGCAAAACTTTTAATGGCCATTAAAATTGAATATATTTGTGTTCGGCTTTTTGTCTGCGTTTAAATGGCCTTCAGATTGAAGTCGAAAATGTAGTAAATATAATTAATTTTATGTTTATAGAATTTCAGCTTGAAATTATTTTTTTTTTGATTTTATGAAAAGCTATAATTAATTGATATAATTAGTTTTATTTTACTACAATTTAAATATACCAAATTGTAAATTTTTTAGTTTGGAATTTTTAGCAAAATTATTGAGGAGGTCTAGAGCTTACGAGTATATATAATTAACTTTAAGGACTGTCATTAGTAGTATTTTATTTTAAGAAACTATACGTAATATCCTGGCAAAATTATATTTTAACTCTTGTATGAAATATAGCGTATGAAATATTTAAAACTCTAATATATCTAAGTAATAAAGATGTTCAATACTCTAATGATTAATTAGAAAATATTCTAAGCAGTCATATTCAAAACTTACTGTAGCTGGACACTGCAAGAAAAAAAGGAAAAATTTCTCATTAATAAATTGTAGATTCATGAATAGATAATGATGAAAACCAAATTAAATTATAATAATATTATTCGACTAAGAAATTCTAACAGAAGAAAGCTATCAACTAGAATCCATACGATTCAAGTAATTATTTAAAGTAAAACTCAAAAGTTTCAATAAGAAGAACTTCAAAAAATTGAAGCAAACTTCCAATAAATAGAAAAATCTAACCAAGATCAAAAAGGCGGCTTAGATAATAAAATCTAAATCGTATAATAAATTCATTAGGTAAGCAAAAAAGTGGTTAGCGAACTTCAAAGGCAGCAAAAACGAGAGTAATGAAAATCGCATAGAAAGGCGATAGGCATAATCAGCTTACGCAGGCAAAGCTGTTCGCAAGACGAACTTTCAGCTCTGGATAGGTTCAGTTAGCGTTGCCTTAAACGCTTTTTTGTATCAACAATTCATGCGAAGGAGGAGATATTGAAAGTATTTGACGTACGTTCGTATAAATGAATGAAATCGAATTCATTTGGCATCGATTGCTGATTTAATTGCCTGACTAATTGAGAGATTTTTTTTTTGCGCTGGCATCTGTGAACTCCCATGACGCACATTCGGCCTAGTTGCAGCGTTATTTGCTCCATTTGGCACTCCGGCAAGCTTAATGACTTGATTTGGGAGGCTGATGAGGTGCGCGGCTTCGCCACAGCAGTCGCTGCACAGATTGCCCAACGTTGATTAGTGCCCGGGTCTGGGAGACAAATGCTGTACGTGCAACAACGCCAGCATCGCTCTGGCTGACCGACGACAATGACTTGGCCATATATGCACTCTCTAGCTGGGCGGCTCTGCCCAACAACAACAACAGCAGCACAACACAGGGGGAAAAAACCCTTTAAATTTCATGCAGAATTAATTAACTGCTGTTGGTGGCGACTCCGACTGCGACCGATTCGTGTTGTCGCCGCCAAAGCCGCCCAAGTTGCGGGCGCCCTTCTGCCCAGCCCCGTATCGCTTTTTCAGACTCTGATATTTTGATGGCCAAGCAGACAACGCCGGAACACACAGAAGCGCGCTCTGGATCGCTCTTCGCTCTGGAATTTCATTGAGAAACGTGCCCTGTACTTGCCGAGACAGCAAGCTCAGGTCGTGTCCCCAATGCTCCGTCATGAATTGCACAGATATATAGATGTATATATATATTGAGATGTGTGTGTGTGTGTGTGTGTGTGTGTGTGTGTGGGACACTCGTTGTTTGTCTTGGGGATCTATGTTGTGGCGCCATTAGCTGCCATTGGCTGGCCCGTGTCGCAATTTAATTACAAGCATCGCTATCTAGAGAAGGCGGCAGCAAGATTTATGCAAACAGTATACAACATGGATAGACTGGACCAGGACAGATGCACGGCTCCTTCAAATGATATCAACGGCAATGGGCAATGGGCAATGGGCAATGCCCATGGTTGTCATCAACGTTGTTCTTTTTGCTTTCTTTTCGATGCACAACTCAATTTGCTGCTGCAGTTAACCCACTCATAAGTAAGTGAATGAGCACACATACTATATGTATCTGAACAACAGATATGGTCTGTCTGCAGCTTCTTGAAAATCGAATCACGTTCGCCCAATTTTGAATGGACTCCAACGTTCGGGGTAGCTTCGACAATTTTAGCTCCCTTGTAGGCGATTAACTTAAATGCCACTAAACTAATTTAAAAGCGATTGTAGGAGCTGGCTCTGTCTCTCCTCTCTCTCTCTCTCTCTCTCTCTCTCTCTCTCTCTCTGTCTCTATCCGTCTGTGCGTCTTTGGGGCGATAGAATTTCAGTGCCTGGGCTGTTAAACATCTTGTCCTGTCCGTTCAAACACTGTGCAACGCACCCATTGTCACGTACTGTAGAATGTGGCCATCAGTGTAGAGATCTGTGTAAAATAAATACATAAATACATGTGTGTGTGTATGTGTGTGTGTGTGCATGTGTGCGGCTCTTGGCAAGATTGCTTTTTCCATATGGAATTTAATTTGCGCTGCCCCTGAAACATGTAATAACGATGCAATTTCATTTGCAATTTAGAGCTACGGCTACTAGCCCCGAAAACATTTGACCACTGTCCTGGCATGCCACAGATGCAACAACATGTTCCATTCTATATTAATGCCACGTTATGGGCCGAAGAGAGCGGGAGAGAGAGCGGGTGTCAGGGCACAGCCCAATGGCCAGCGATGACAAAGAATTTCTCGTTATGCAAAATACCTGCGAATATTACACAGTTAAGTTTACGATTTGATATATAGCTCTAAGGACTGTTGTTGTTCCTGTTGTTATACCCTGCAGCCTTCTGAAAGAGGTTGATATGTGTGAGCTCTCATTGGTATGTTTTAATAGTAACAGCTACTGGATTTATATGAGTCAATTTGCACATTGTTATACAGTTATTTAAGTTATCGATAACTTTTTAATACTATTTCTAAAAAGTCTTTCAATATGGCTGCCAATGAGTCTGCAAAAGTTCTTAGCTATAAAGAATATGAGAGTTCTGGACTAAATGTGCTTCGATTATCGATAACTTCTATATCGATAATTTTTGATATATTTACACAAGAATATCTTTACATAGTCTATAAAAGTCATTACATATGAAGGTCATAAGAGCTGTAGGCTTTATGTATGCGTAGGTGGCATTTTTTGTATAAAATTGCGTTTATCGATAACTATTTTCGATAGTCTTACTTTACTCAACTTTGAAGCTTTATCTGCCGCTTTCTCTCTGCCTAATGTAGTACATAGTTGATTGTGTAGTTATATTTGCCTTAAGTGCTCTCACTCTTCTCCTCTTAGGGATTTGATTCCATGAGAAGCTAAGGCAGTTTCAGCCTGGCAACATCCGCATTGTCCAAGTTTCTTTGGAGTATGTTATATAGACTTCTCACAGCTTATTAAGCTGAATCTATATTGTTATTTTTCTCATTATCCGCTAAGGAAGCCTATGATGAGGTCCTCGTACACTTAAAAACCTATGAGAACTTTTTTATTCTCATTGACATTGAGCTGTAATCCTTGTAGGGTATCTGCGAGTCGTTCACTTATAGATTAGCCCACTGGCTGCATTTTGTTATTGTTATTGCTAACTGGCCGTTGTCAGTGAGTGGCTGGCGCTTAGAAAACAAAACGCGGCGGTGGCAACCTGTTGCGCCTATGGATGCCCCGCGGTCAGGGGCATCGTAAAACCTTACGAGCTGAATAACAAATACATGTATGGGATGATTAATTTAAGCACTTTTACGATGCCTCTTCATGGCGCAACTGATTTATGGCCGTGCGGCCGTGCGACGAATTTGCGTCAGGGAAAGCACTACGAGAGGTCCATGGCGCGAGGGTTTATGATTGGCTTAAAGGGGCGATAAATGAAATTAGGGGCTTACGAATAGAACAGAGCAGCCGGTAGGGTGCATAAGGCCTTTGCTTGCTTGTAGGCGTTGCAAACCCAGACATCCGGACGGCCGGACAGCGCGCTACGAATATCATCTAAGTTTTGCTGGCCTCTTGCAATGCAAGTACAATTGGCGTGGCGAGGAGAGGAGCGAAGTGAGGGGAATCGGCGGCTGGCGCATGTTGCCATCAGACGCATTTACTATTTTGCATAAATCATAATGTAATCTGCATCTGGAAATGAAAACAAACCGAAGCGAAAATGTCCAAGCTTTTATAATTAACTGCGCGGGCACAAACCGAAGACATTGGCAGGCGACATGCCGGGCACAGCTGCAGGACCTCTGCATTGGCTACAGCCAACCAGCAACCAGCATCAGGCAACAGCCAAACAGCCAAACAGCCAACAACCAACAACAGCGACAACCGCATAAGTTTCTCAATGAAGCATGGAGCCCAAACATCAAAAAAGCAACAAATATACAAATGCAAGCAACAGCAGCAGGGAGAGCTCTGTGCCTGGTCAGAGCGAATTCGCGCTGGAGAGGACGACGCCGGCACAAATGTGGATAAGCCCTCACTTGGTGCGCAATCGCAAAATCTACGCAGCGCGCGGTCAACGGGCGCCTGCCAAAACTACGGCTAAATAATTTATGCCCCCAGTCAGCAGCAGCATCAGCAGCAGCAGCAGCAGCATCAGCAGCAGCAGTCAGCGATGCGCAGCAACACATTGGCGCAACATGCTCCTTGGAGCGAAGCAGCGGGTTGGATGTTAGTCGCAGTAAAAATCAAACAAAATTATAAATTAATGAAATTTATGCACAATAAAATTGCAAAAGAAATTATTAATGCAGTCGTTCACGCTTTAAATGCACCCTAAATCAACGAACGTACGCTAAAATTATTAATACGGCCGCCAGACATGCAGCAGCCGTCGCCGTCGCCGCCGCCGCTGCCTCCTTCCCAATCATCCCCAGCCTCCTACTCCTCAACCTCAGCCTGAACTGGGCAATCAATGCAAGCAGTTGATAGGTTTAGGCGCCGGATATGTTAAGTTGCAAAGACATGCATCTTGCAACATTAAAGCACAACTTGCGTTCAGCTCAGCTCCATTCAGATCCACCTTCAATTTTTATTGAATACGTTCTGCTCGACTGCGTTTGCAGATCGCAGCGATCGGCCAAAAAAAAAGAAGTGAATTTATGTGCTCATGATGTCTGTTTGTTTTCAATAATCTTTATTTCAAACATGAAGACACTGTCGGACGGACGTAAGAATGGGAAGCATTTAATATTGATTTTTGTAGATATTCAATATAAGAGCTGCGCCTCTACTCTAGAACAACTTGCTTAGCTAGTTCTGACTTTCTTAAAGAGCTGTCTACAAAGACTTCTTGCAGCGGGGTCTATTAGGTTCTCGGACGTCTTTTAAAGCACATATATTGAAGGAAAAACCAGTCGATGTTCACTATGAATCGAAAATCTCTCCTAACTACTTAACTAGTCATTACGTTCATTTTGATCTGTCTACAAATATGTCTAATGATATGATAGCTGAGCAAGGAA